GTTCAGAAGGACCCATTGTGCGCACTGTTTGCATTAATAGAAACTGAAAGACTTTAAGCAAAGTCTATCACCTGATTGGTAAACAGGCACAAGTCAGGCCACCTCAAGGATACCACTGATTCTGAGCTGTAGGTAGATCTGGTAGGAAAACTTATACTGGAGATAGTCTCCACTGCCCCAAGGCTCGACATAATGGGAATTTTATTTCATGGGACTGACAGTTTGTTGGCAGGCTCAGTGTAAGAAGAGTTTGACAGGAAAAGATTGTATAAGCAGAGTATAGCCGCAGAAGCTACACAATGAGGATGGAAAGTAAGTGTTTGTTTGGTAGAATCAGAGAAAGAAGTAGTTTGGAGTGTGTAGACAGAGTTTGCAAAAAACAACAAATGTCGGTAAAAATATGGCGGTGGGTCTGGATGAGGAAAAATAAAGTCACTTAGTGGGCAGAATAAAATTAGGAGAGGAATGCTTATCTTTCTTTTATTTCTTTTCATCTCATCTCTCCTCTCTGCCCTTTTGAAAACAAGGAGTAGGGGCAGAGCGTACAACATAACTCAGCTGCTCGCAGTTATAGCCCAAACAAGCTGAAGATCTAATGAGAAAGGTCCTCAGCCTTACACTGAAGACCTTTCTCATTATGGGTTGTAAACTTGTAGGACATTGTGGGAAGGTTGTTCTGATGTTATCACTATCTAGAGCTCGTGTGCAGGGCCTGGTTCTGCTGACTGTTGGGTTATAATATAGGAGGGTCCTGTTGGTAGATATGATGGATAGTGTGGGCATGGAAGGAGGTGGTTCTCGGGCTTCTCTTAGGTGTTGTGGGCCTAACTTAATAAAATATCGATAAACGGACGTGCATAACCCCAAGTGTTGTGCTGCCACTCGCTACCTAATCGATCTTATCTGTCTTAGGCAGTGGGGGACATAAGGAACCATTTGGTAGGCAACAAAACAAATCAATAGAGGGCGTCGTAGAGTTGGTTTCTCCTCTTTCTTTCACTAAAGGCACAAGTATACCTATTGTAGCTCAGTTCATATGATTAGACACAGCGTAAAAATGAACCCATGTCTGTCATTGATACCTTAGTGGTTGATATTTAAGTGAACAAAAAACTGAGTGTATTTTCTGTCATTTTCTTGTGTGTTGTACATAGACTGCTGTCTTTTATGGTCATCTGTGATGAAAATCCAGTAAATCTAGGAACTCTTCATGTGTTCGCTCAACATCTATATGAACTACCTGGGCGCTGGAGCATTACAAAACAAAGAGGGTGTGTTTCAGAGAGAAAAAAGGACCCCCTTTGTAAAGATAAGGACGTATTCTCCCTTTGTGCAAAATGAGTTCATAAGGAGAGTGAGAGACACCCATTGCTTGAAGACAAGGTTTCTGTGTGATAACAGGCTGGATCGACATATTGGACGGAAAAAAGGGTTTCATTTCCTGTTCTTCAGAGGCAGTGGCAGTATCAAGAGATCAGTAGAAAGGCTGGAGAGAGAGAAAAATGCAGAGATGGGGAAGAAACACAAGGTAGGAAGGTAAATGCCAGGGTGTTCTGTCAGAGAAAACAGAGGTACAATCTGGATTTCTTCCAATAAGTAATTTGATAAAGGCCTGAAAGAAGACAGATAGACAAAAAGACTTCAAAGATATGTCAAACTCAGGTGCTTTCAGGAAAATGAAGTCAAAGTGAGCTGATGCGAAGAAGCACTGATCAAAGAGAGAGGAGTTTTTATGGTAAATGCGATTGTACAAGTATAAATGGTTTTTCTAGTCTTTCCAACCACTCTGGGAACTTTTACAGTAAAAGTCACATCCAGCCATTCACACCACATTCACACTAATGGCAAAGGATGTTAAAGTAGACAACCATCAGTATTAACCCATCTTATTCATACATTATCAAAACATTCAGACATTGTCTAGCAATTTTTGGGTCCAGTGTCTTGCTTAAGGACACTTTCAGGTCCAGTAGTGTCTTGCTTAAGGACACTTCTGTATTTAAACACCAACCCTTCAATTAAAAGACAGCTGACTCTACCTCTGAGTGACAGCAGCTCAGATACAGAAACCAATAGACACAAAGAAACAGACATGCACACAAAAACACTGAGCCCGAGTCTCCAAATAAATATAAGAGAGAAAAATAAGAGGATATGAGAGCTGAAAAAAGGGTCGAAATGAGATGGAGGTCTTGATAGTGAGAGTTGCTGGCTGGAAAGCAGCTGGGGAGATGCCAAGATGGCAGGTATGCCAAGGTGGAAAGATACTGTGGCTGTGCTATGCTGTTTAATATAGATCTACCATGATAAGGTAAGGCAGAACACAGGATGTATCCATCAGTCAGGGGTAGGGAGCTCAGAGGAAATTGCCTCAACAAAGCACACACACCTGTTACACAACTCTACACTAACTGGATGTGATTACACACACACACAACTGTGCAATTTTTAATTTTTTTAGTTATTAACTAGATCAATCTATTATGAAGAAGAGCTTAAGTATCGTGGTCATGTAGGCTAACTAACTAACAAACTAGCAAACCAACAAACTAACAAACTAACTAACTAATGACTTTTTTTTTTTTTCGGAATGATGACCGGGATGCTTTAAATCCATTCTACCATTTACATTCCTTATTCCATGTTTAAGGTTTTTGCTTTCCTACAGTGTTCAGATTTTCATTCATTCAAGTTTCCAACTTTTTAATTTCAGATTTGGAAAAAATATATATTTTGAGGTCTATGAAAAAAAAAGCATTTTTCTTGTAATATGATAAAGTCTACAGTAATGCTCAGATTGTTGTGGTGATTGTGGCATTTTAGTTTTATTTTGGATAGTTTCCTGGGTTACTGTTTCTTGTGTGGCGTATGTGTGTCTGTTTTCCTCTTTACAAAGGTTGGGCTGTTTCCTCCTGCACCTTCACACCTGGACATCATCACTGCAATCACCAGCAGCTCTGAAGCTCTACTCTGATGCCTCTCCAGTGCCAGATTATTATGGCACATCCTACTCTACGCCAGTGTTATCTCATGTTTTGCCACCTGTTGAACATTGCCTATTTTTGTGTGTTTCCCCTGTGACTTTGACCGGTATCTTTTCTGCTTTTCTTCCAGTGCCTCCACAAGCCCTAAATTGGCAATTCACCCAATCTCTGTCACACTCTCTCTGGAAACCACTCACCTGCTTCAGCCACAAGCCCTCACGCCTCCAACCTTCACCACTCCTTGAATTCACTCCTCACTCCTCAGCCTCCTGGTTCCCTTCCCTCCACCTTTCCCCAATCAAATTCTCTTTAACGCCTTGTCTGCCTTTTTGGTTCATATTAAAACAACTGGTATCACACCATAACATCATACCATACAAATGTCTTTATTGCTTCAAAATAAAAGAGGAATTTTGTTTTAACACAACCAAATATCATTTCACAACCCAGAACCTCAAATGTTGTTTTTTTTGTTTAACCACTAAGCTGTAACTAATTTTGAAGTGACTGTTTTGGAGATATTTAATTCTAGATAAAATATGCAAGTCAGCACATGGACCATACAGGACTGAGGTGGAGTAGTATGTGAGTAGACAAAAGCCTCAAACTAAAACCAATAACAGGAGTAAGGAAATGAGGAAGACACAGTCTGGCCACCTTCATGCCTTGTATTTTTTTCCCCACAATATGTAAATCAATGGGATCTGGTTCAGTATATCAGTTATTAGCCCACATTGATACACCTGTATGATTTGAAGTACTTCTGCGCATATTTGTACAACAGTAGGAAAGCATAGTCAACTTTGATCACACCATCGTTCAAACCAAAACCTGTTTTAATCTCTGCGTTCCTAAAACAGCAACATCTGTGCACCTGATGACTTGTAGTTTCAAGAAGAACATGCCCATGGACTACCACAAGGGTTCAGTCCAATGAGAGCCACCTTTCCATGTTTTAAATTTCTCTGCTCATCATCATATTGGTAATTTCAACTAGTTTTGCCATGCTGTTTGTGATTGTCACTCAAAGGCATTTAATTGATTTTGACTTTCATCTTAAATTGTTTGCTTTTTGAGTGGCTTGAGATACTGATGACTTCATGACCAGTATCCAAAGTAGATGATTGCACCCTTGTCTGGTAAATCAGCCATGAACACTATCATAAGTGTGAAAATGTGATTTGAAGGTTTTGAAACTGCTGGTGTAGGTTCAGCTGATGTTTCCTGGTGGCTTGATGGAGTTAAGTTAGGTATTGGGCTCAATTTACGCAGTTATTCAACAGATAATTTCATATCCTGCTAAGATTAATGTTTGGAAAATCTTTAACATAATGATTAACCATGATATTTGTTAGGACCTGGTCTAGCTTTGACTTGAAATACTTATGTTGCCAGAAGTCCAGAACAATATGTTTAACCCTCCTCCTGTGTTAGGGTCTGCACCAACCCGTTTTTGTTATTAAATGCTTAAAAGAATAAAATAATAAAAAACTTAAATTGACTAAATTATAAAATGCTCTTATTAAAATTATGGCACTTGTTGTGTTAGGGTCGCTGTTGACTCGGTTAGATTAATATCTAATAATTGGAGCAAAAACTGAAATCATAAATGCGCTGTCAGGTACCGCACTGACAGTCAGATCCTCTTCCAATCATGTGAGATTTAGGAAATTCTCATTTTGCCATGTATTTCCCTGCACAAAAAACAATGTCGGGCATGTCCAGACATGTGAGATCAATTCAGTATAGATGTCTGTGTGAGGGGTATACTGACAAAGGCCCAGAGGCCTACAATGAAAAATATTATACACAATATTTTCATGAATAATGAAGCCTAACAGGGTAACCTAGAGATAAGAACCAAATTGGAGGATAGAGAATTGTTTTTAGTGTAATTTGTAGCTGATTTAAGACATGGGTCAAAACTGACCCTTAACATGGTGAGTGCGTAGTAAAAGCTAACACAGGAAGAAGGTTAACAAACTTAATGACGAATAACAAAAACATACGAACAGATGATGTTTCCTCATATTTCTTTATTGTCTGTATTTTCCAATATATTTATTTATCTTTATTCTATACAGGTGTAGTTCTCAATACAGTCTTCTACAGAGGTACATAGATCTCACATGAGCTGAGAGGTGCAAGAGAGAGAAAAAGGCAAGAGGGAGTTTACAACCTTCATAATATCTTTTGGCAGTTAACAAGACAACAGAAGATCACATTTCACCTTCGTCCATACACACACACACGCACACGCGCACATGCACACATAACACATACATCTTAGGTTCAGTATACACACTCCCCACAGCATGGACACATAAAGGGGCTGAACGCCTCTAATCCTTTTTTGGACCACCAGTCGTGGATGCACACTAACGAAGGTTCACCCTCAAGCCTCTACAAGAGCTGAACATAAACACATTCACACATTGATGGAGTGAAGAGACAGGTATTCACAAGATATAATACACCAATACCAGACTGACTAGTCAATACACATGTAGATGTATAGCACTTGCCGTTTTTAACTCCTGCTCCAACAAACACACAGGAAAACACATTCTCTCACAGGCACGTTTGCATACACATACAAACACACACACCACCTTTTGGTAGAAAGCAAAAAGCAGTTACACTGATTTCAAAGATGCCATTAATGCTACTCACTCTGATCCTGTCTTGATTTCTATTACTATCCGTTACATGAAAACAGATGGAGAATATTATGTTAAGACAGGGAAATATCGGTAAAATATTGCGGTTTGTCAAACTTGATGAGGGGCAGTGATACGAATGAATACATGTTATATTGCAGTTATGAAAGGAATACAGTAAAAACTTGATTATTTCTGTCTTAGAACCATTTTACCCCGAATATTGGAACAGTCTTTCTGTCATGCACACATAAAGAAACACACATTCATGCCATTTTCATACAGTGCTTCACAGTGTAAGACACTCTTGCGTATCCATCATCCGTTCAAGACACCAACAGATAAACACAGTTAACACAAAATAACACAACTGTGACATTAACACATCTAACAAAATATAAACAGAACAGGTATCATATATTTGGTTTTGGTAGGAGATGTAAAAGAATACCTGAATTTTGCTACATATAAGAATGCATAAATTATCAGCATAATACGAATATACAGCTATTAAGTGTGTAACAATATGGCCTTCTCCAAATTTTGACGTGTAAAGAATCTCCTGGTTTTTTTAAGCATACATTTATACTGTATAATTATATAAAATATGTATGACCTGACTGTATGACCTGAAGAAAGGTTGGTTTGTTCATAAGAAAGACTTAAGTTTGGAAAAAATATAAAGAGAGTGGTGATAAAAATACTGAAATTAAGATCTGTGTGTTTGCAAAGTGACACCAATGAATTCAGAGAACTCTTTTACGACCGCGGGGGAGCTAGAAGACTAGAATAAATCTCATCTTTAATGCTGCGGCCTGGCCCCAGCTAGCGTCCCCTTTATTCTTTATTTCTACATCTTTTCATTTGACAGCTAAAAACAAGAGGAAAAAAATGCACTGAAAGGGGGTAAAGACAGTGAAAAGGAGCCTCCTTGTTAGGTAGTGTTGCAGTTTGTCCAGAGGGGGGCACTCTGTGTAGCTGGAGTGGCACCTTTTGTTGTTGGTCAGGGTTTGGTCAGACTGCATTGGTGACTATAAAGTTTCTCTGTTGCTCAGTGGAGGGCTCTGGAGAGATGCTCTTTAACAGACGCTGTGAAGGAAGGAAATAGAAAGAGAGACAATTTAGAAGGAGAAAAAGAAAGCAGGTTATCCAACCACAGCCAAACTTTACACTTTTTGCAGAAGTTTTTTTAAAGTCCAAACAAAAACAAACCTTCAGGACTAAAGTTGGTTAAAAATAAGGAAACTTTCTTTAACTTCTTTTCTTTGTTCGATCAGACCATTAGGTATTCTACTCATGTCCATAAACAACAAAAGATAAAAGCAAAAACTCATGTGGAGAAACTCAGACCAGCTAGTATTTTGCAATGTTTTGCCTTTTTGGACCTACTTTGTTCATTTAGTAATTGATCAAATGCAGTAGGTAATTTTTGTTCTTGAAATTCTGTGCAGATCCAAATCCACTTGACTTACTGTACACTTACATCTTCTATACAGGTGCTTTTCCTTTCTAAATTATGTGAAAAGAAATAAATGTAGCCACATCTTAGAGCAGGATCTTACAGGAGAGCAATGGTACACATAGTAGCACATGACACAAACTGGGTTTAGAGACACTCAGATGTTTTGAGCTCTTTGGTTTTCATCTATCTTCAAGTGTGTCATCTTTAATTCCACACACATATATGAACATTACTCCTTTGTGTTGATGTTTTTTGTTTGTTGCATGTGTTCCCTGGCTAAATCAAAGACCATCATTTTGGTCACATCTTCAATCTGCTTTTCCCATCTATCAACCTTATAAAGTGAACTTCACGATATTATGATAATGATGAGAAAAGTTTTGATTTGCAATTATTTTGTTTGTTCAAAAGAACACAAGATACACCTTAATATGTAAAAGATTTACCGTATATGGCTCAAAAAGTCTCAATTATGATACAAAGATATCTACATTGTTTTTTTGGAGTGTATTGATTATAAAGCTGACTTGGAATATCCGTATTTGTGATGCAGGAAGAACTGATGCTGAAGCTATGGATGGCAAGATTTTCACCTCCTTTGTTTCAGCCTTCACCAAATCTTTATGGTATACAGTGTTAAGGGTCTGTCATACCCTACATTCATGCATGTTTGTAAAATTTTCTGCTAGTATATGGCTTGTACCATTTCTTTGCTTCTTTGATCTCATATGAACCCTGAGCAATGGGCGGCAGTAACTCAGGAGGTGGAGCGGTCGTCCAATAACCGGAAGGTTGGCAGTTCGATTGCCCCCTATCCCTACTCTGTCTGTTGTGTCCTTTAGCAAGACACTTGATCCACCTTGCTCCCAGTGTGTGTCCTCCACTGGTGTATGATTGTGAGTGTTTTGTGGGGGTGGTCAGAGTGACTGTAGGCGCAAACTGTATGGCGCAAACTGGCAGCCACGATTCCGTCAGTCTGCCCCAGAGAAGCAGTGACTACTAAGGCAGTTTACCACCACCAGGGTGTGACTGTGTGAGTGAATGAATGATTTATCCATTGTAAATGCTTCGAGGGTCTCTGATAAAGCGCTATATGAAATCTGATGCATTATTATAATAATGTGCTCACTAAGACGGGTGGACCATGACAGTGTAAGGAAAAGAAAAAAAGACAGGTAACTCCTTTGAGGGTAGAGTACAGACTAAAGGGCAGGTAAGGATATGAGAAGGACTAGGAGACAGAATTTGTGGGTAATGATGTTGGAAATACAACGTTAAGATACTGTACCTGTTTGAAAGTACCCTTGGCATTAAGCAGGTGATAAACCATATAAGTAGGCACACAGATGAATGAGGAAACTCCAATACAGTATCCTAGGACAGTGGTCCATGGTGGGTACTGGTAGTGGAACAACCTGACTTCTGGAGGAAAGGCCAGAAAACTGATGATGATGAACTGGAAACAGGATTCAGAACAAAAACGGGTCAGACGTGACAAGGAACAACTAACACTAACATCAATCAAATGACCCCCTCCAGCTTTTGTTATAGCTGATCCTTCTTTTTAGTATATGTGCATGTGTAGATATAGTACTCGAGCCTCACCAGGAGAAAGCAGGGGCAAATGGCCACCCAGCAGATCCTCCAGAAATAACCCGGGGAGAAACCAATCATGACTTGGACGTCATTACAGAAACGTTTGGTACCTGGAACACACAGAGCCACTCATTTTACGTCATTTTTAAAAATTCATTATCCATTGAAAATAAATAAATGGCATAGAGCAACTCAAACTTACCATAAAACCAAGAGACAGCAATAACCTCGAGCAAAACCACAGTGATGACAGCAGGGCCTGTAGCGTACTCCTCAAACAGCTTTACAACAAATGCTCCTCCCTGACGCAGGAGATGAAACAAAGATTACAGAGGAGAAATTTTTGCTAAGCTTTATACTAACCTTTTAAAAGATGTGTTATCTAAATTATTCAATAATCTAAAGATTAGAGAACTTTTTAAGATGGTTTAAGGGGCAGAGATGCGTCTTGGCCTTTGTAGTAATGTGAGTTAGAGATAAATAGATTACTACTCAGAGACATCTCTAATCTGATGTCAGATAACTGCAAACTGTACACCATCACATTGCTTAAAATACTGTATGTAAGGGCATGTAAGATGAAATATGTGTTCAATGTACTTTTCCACTTACATATGTAAGCGTGGAGAGAGCCCCCAAATAACAGACACACACCAGACCGAAGACAAACCATTCTCGTCTCTTGACCAGGATGTGAGGGAACTCATCTAGCATGGCTGTGATCACACCCTCCAACCCTGCAAACTAAAGACAGAAAGACACCTTGAGAGTCACTTAGAAAGAAACAACTCCTCAAAGACAGCAGATAGACTATAAAGGAGTATCAGCCTACTCAAGAAACACAATATAACACACAGGAGGTATAAATCTTTGTGTTATGAAGACTTGATCTCGATCTTGATGGGTCCAGAAACAGAGGGACCTTTGACAATCAGAGTACAGTGATAAATGAAGGACCTGCATTATAAAACCTTTGCGTAATCAAATAGTAATAAAGAGACTAAATGTTAAGCTGATCTATTATGAATCAAAACACATAGACATGCTTTTCAGTAATATCCTCAGCGCTTAAATGAAGACGCATAGCAACCCCAGTACTGATTCTGCGCCGATTATCAGTATTTGATAAGAGCCTTACGAGTCTCTCCAGCTGGCTTCCTCGGAGCAGATAAACACAGGCTTAGGGAGACAAGATCACAACACAACAGTAATATGAAAGCCCTGTCATATTGTTTTTGTTGTCTGTAATCAAAAATAACAGCCAGGAAAAACAAAACCCCCTCGTGTAACATCACGGACGTTTACCCCTAAGCGAGGCCAAAAATAAAACCTCTGTTTTTAGGTTCCAGGCAGACACGAGAGCCAAGTACAGGGCAACAAGAACAAGACAGTCAAGATCATTCTTTTGGGCGTCTGGAAGATTAGCTGGTGAACTCACCGTGCTATCCAGACCCAACATTATGATCATGAGGAAGAAGATGATGGAGAAGAAAGTCGCAGCAGGCATATTTGCTATGGCTTCAGCATAAATTATAAACAGCAGACTTGGACCTGGGGAGAACAAAAAAAAGAGTTATTGGACAAAGATTTTGACAGTAGGGTGTTAAAATGTAAATTCACAGGGCTTGGATATCATCTCACCAGCATCTTTGGCAACAGCATCCACATCCTGTTGCCTCATTTCAGCCATGTAACCCAGCACGGTAAATATGACAAAACCAGACAGGAAGCTGGTCAGACAGTTCACAGAGCTGGTGACCAACGCATCTCTGAGATGGACAAAGACAGAGGTCAAAGAAAAGACAAAAAAGAGCAAAGTTCAGCAGAATATAAGTAAGTAAGTAAAATTCATTTAGTAAAGCACCTCACATAGAAAAGATTCACAATCATAAACATCAAGTAAAAGCAAAGAACAATAACAAACAATGGCATAAATAGAGCATTAGATATAACAGGGGGAGGTAAAGGCCTGTTTAAATAAGTGGCAATGGAAACACCTGAACGAATATCAGCAGGTAAATTGTTCCAAAGTGTTGGAGCACTACTTCAAAAGCGTGGTCACCTCTTGATTTGAGGGACAGCGGACCTGAGTGACTTACTCGGAAGGTAGGGGTGAAGCAGGTCACTGATATATTCAGGGGCCTGACCAGAATGTCTCAAGTAATTATTTTCATCATCGCCTTGTGTGTTTAAGAAAAACTCTTACTTATAGCAGTTATTGTGAAAAGGGTTGTAGCTGGCGAAGGCGAGGAGCACGCCAAAACCTGGTCCCAATGAGAAGAAGATCTGAGCGGCTGCATCGATCCATACCTAAGAAAGCGTGAAAGACTGATGATGGGATATGGTGTACAACACGACAAGGATTTTGATCGTAACAAACGTCTATAAGGAGAGGGACCAAAGGAGCCTCGTTAAACATCACTTACTGTGGTGCTGAGCAATTTCGCCCAATCAGGCTTGAGATAGAAGACAACGCCCCTCCAGGCCCCAGGAAGAGTCGCTCCACGGATCAGCAACACGAAGAGGACCAGGTAGGGGAAGGTAGCAGTGACCCAAACCACCTAATAAGGGGGGAAAAGATACTGCTTTCTGTCAATGAAACTACAGCGTGTGTAGACAGTCCAGTCGAATCAATTATAACTTGCTGCTGGTCCTAAAGTCCTTTGATAAAACTCCTCACTCTGAATAGACGACTGGATTTTTCCTGCAGTCAAATACATATTCTTCTACTTCCTCGAGCTTAAGTCATACCTGGTCTTTGAGGAGTTGTCTGTTAGGGTTTCACATAATAATAATTTCGATTTCATGCCTAACCAACTTCTCTTCCCATGATGATGAATGATACAGAGGGTGAAGAAATGGATAACATCATTTTCACCCTTTCTCTGTCTCTCCGGCTCAAAAATATCATCGATCCATTTAACCTAACTGACGAGCCCATCAACCCTGCAGGCGCCCTTTCATTTACCTTCCCAGACGTCTTGACTCCTTTCCAGATGCTGAAGTAGACAATAGTGAAGATGAAGAGCAAACAGAGGGCCAGCTGCCAGCTTACAGAGCCCAGCTGGTGCAGACCTGGGGAACGATGGACTTGTAACACCTGGCGACTGGGTGGGGGAGAGAGAGGGGTAAACAATGTGATAACAGGAAAAAATGGAATATCAGTCGAAGACACAAGAAGTGGGAAGACAAGGGAGTTGTGGAAATGCAGGAAGCAAAAGCAATAGGCGGAGGAAGTGGAGTGAGGTCAAACGGAAAGCGAAGAATGTGGAGAAAAATAGGAAGTGATAAAGACGATAAGAAGTAAAAATACAAAGATGGGTGGATGAGGGGATGTTTTTGAAACTTGCAGACAAATGATAAAGAGAGGGACAGGAAGAACTTAAAGAACAAGGAAAGTCTTTACTTCATGTATATATACTGTATATATGACAAAACGTTTTGGAAAAAGCAACAGAGTCAAGTTAAAAACAACTTCCAGATAGGGCTTGACTAACTTAATTACAAATTTATGTAATTGTAGTTTACACAAACCAAAGTTAAGAAGCGCTATGGGGAAAGAAAGGAATGAGGCCTAAATTAACAGTGAGGATAACATCTGGTCACAGGTTAAGCACACAGAGCTTGCATGAGAAGACAGAGATGTGATTTATGTTGAAAACAGGAAATTCTGGCGCCACACTGAGTTGCGGAATTTGTTTCTTTAAAACTTGTATTAGGAAAAGTCAGCAAGGGATAAACCCTGAATCTGTCTCGGTGGATGGACCCAGACCAGTCCAGTGAGAAAATAAGACTGAAGAAGCAGAGGACTGTAAAGCACTGAGGCAGTCGAGAGTAATAAGATTGTCCTACATAGCTTGTTTTTTTAACATTACCCAGAAAAGTCAGTTGACTGGAGTAGACTACAGTGAGCAGAGTCAGCCAAAGATTTGTTGACACAAGATGTAAGTCTAAAGTCATGTCAGTATTAATATTTGTGAGACGATGTTTGTGCTGGCAACATACAATCTGCTCTTAAATATTCTCATTATACTATCTGTCTTATAATCTCCTAATACAAAAAAAAACAAAACACAATCTCTCTCTCTCTCTCTCTCTTTCTCATTCTCCAAGGTTTGTACTATTCCTTCTGCTCCTGACATTTACAAAGTGAAATGAGAATAATCTTGTAGGAGCTGCGTTCGAGTTTCCTCGGAAGTCAGATGTCTGAGCTCAAAATGACGTCACACCCGAGTTACCAGCGTTTCAGTTACCAAGTCAGGGAAAAAAAGCAAAATTGGAGGCCTGAAACAAGATGGCTACATCTACTGCAGTTATTTTAGCAATTGCCTTATATTCGGACAAGGTAAGTGCTCAAATAACTTTTTGTTTCAAAACAAGATGGCTACATCTATGACAGTTATTTTAGCGCTTGCCTCATATTCGTACAGGGCAAGTGCTAAAAAAAACTTTCGTTTTCAAAACAAGATGGCTACATCTAGGAAAGTCATTTTAGTGCTTGCTTTATATCCGGACAAGGCAAGCGCTAAAATAACTTTGGTAGATGTAGCTATCTTGTCTCCGGTTTTGCCTTTTTCCGTCTTGGTAACTAAAACGCTGGTAAGGTGTGTCGTCATTTTCAGCTCTGACATCTGACTTCCGAAGTAACTCGAACACAGAAAACAAAAAAAAATCCTTTCAAATAATGTAACAGGTCTCTGGTGGTCATCCTCCCTTTCTTCACTTGATGTCTCCTTCCTGCGTAGCCCTCTTTACATATGACTTACATCAAACTTACATATAGAATTCCTCTGCTGGCGAGGTAGAAGAGTTGGACCAGGACACGTTGTGGTCGGTGGACATGTAACGATTACAGTTGTCCGTATTCCAGCTGTTTGTACAAGTGGTCCAGGGCAGTATGGGCCGGAATGAAGACAGTAGGTAGTACAAGGCCCAGGCCATGATGGTGTTGTAGTAAAAGGCTATGTAAAGGGCTATGATGCAGATGGCAAAGCCGATACCTAAATGATGAAGAAGAAAAAAATTATTGGTACTATATAAGCACTTTGAAAACTGATTCACTTTCCATTTAAAAAAGATGTGGTCACCAGTCCTAGATCTTCAAGACACATCAGGGATGATTCAAGTCGGTTTAAGTTGCTTTTGGTTAAGTGGCTGGCATTTCCAAACAACAACAATTTACATACTATCATGTTTCTGGGCCTCTGGCATTTGGCATGGAAATGTGACAATTTCCATAACAGAGAGTCGGTTCAATCAGTCAGTCTTGGTAGATGTATGAGAACCTGTGAACGCTCTTCAAGGGGACTGTACTGGGGTGGACAACAAGGTCAAATGAGCTGTCTGCCAGATTCAGACAGCTTGATGCTATCTGTCGTCTTCCTTTTGTTCTGCCAATACTGCCAGTTTTCCTCGTAGGAAGTGCTATTTCTCGTTTTCTTTTCTTAGTTTTTAACCTATGCTATTGCTTTTAAACTGTTTCCTTATTATGTTATTTGTCTTTACTTATTCAGCTATACCTTTGAAGATGGGACAGATGTGTTTCCAAATGGAGATGCAGCCACTGCGGTGGAACTGACCAAGAGCCAGCTCCATGTAGAAGAGAGGGACACCTCCAAATACTGCCATCAACAGGTAGGGCAGCAAAAAGGCACCTAGGAGGAGGGACAAGAATGGAAAGTAAATACAAGGTATATGAGGGCAATAACAAGGGTTGGAAACAGGGATAGAGAAACGAGACAAGCAAGGAGAGCAGGGTAAAAAAGGAATAAGTGGAGTTTTGCCATTGTAGGGGTAAAGGGGGTTTGGTGCATAAAATATAGTGTTATAGAGGAGGAGTAAATTAGTTAAAAAACCTGATATTGGCAATGGGAGTGGTAAGTCGAATGATTGGAGGAGAATCAGAAAAATTAACAGCGAGGTACAAAAAACCCTGACAAATTGCCAACCAAGTTTAAAGACTCTACATTCAAAGTGCAGAGAACGATATCCATCAAAGCTTTCTGTTTAATTATCAACATACTTTACGCTCGTGTGTGTATTTGTGTATGCAGTTGGGTATGTGTGTCTTGTGTCTTTGTGACACCAAAGCAGAGATAAGGGTTGATTGAGCAGCTGTCTGACAGACAGGTTATTAAGCAAGGAGAAAGAGTCTGAAGGCGTTCTCATAAAAACCACAATTAATACTGTTGCCTCTATCAAGTGTCTCCCGTTCCCCATCTCTACCTCGCTCCGTGAGACACACACAGAACACAGGAAATTGCAAAGATTTTATTATTGCAAATCCAATAAAACTGGAAAGAGTGGCCTTGTTTGCTGTTAGGTGAGGATATTGTTGTAACACAGTGCAGGCCACACAGACATTGAGAAAACATTAGCTTGCTTATATAAGCCACCTTTTGTACCCGAGATTTCCCAAGAAATAAATGAAACCAAACTGTAGGTCAATTCTTGGTTTACGTTTGTTTGTTCTCCAAAAATGATTATGTAACAGAGGTTGTAGATGGCCACATCTATTTTTATTGGAAAAAGTTAGCTGCTATCATGTAGATAATTAGATTTATTTTTAGCACAAGTAACAGTAGAATTCTTACCAAGTAAGATTTTTTCTCTTTTCTAATCCTTTCAATCCTGTTCATAGGAATATGGGATCTGCAGTATGCTAATCCCCCATCACCCTCCATGTATCTCCTGGCTGCCACTCCCAAACATGCATTGCCTCCTCACCTCCTCCGTTTTGGTAGCAGATGTATGGAAAACGCCAGACATTTCCCAGGTCCACCGCATAGCCAATCACAGAGAGCAAGAAGTCCATCTTCTTGCTCCAGGTTTCTCTGGGCCTCTCCAAGCTGGTTTGTTGAACAACCAGAGTCCTAAAACCTCCCAGTGGCACAGAGGACCCGGTGGCTTCTCCAGTCCCAGAGGCTGTACCTCCAGAGCAAGCTGCAGTCCCTGGTCCTTCCCTTGGACTTTGAGGAGTGGATGTGTTTAAGCCGTTGGACACCTGCTGTCCAGAGCTACAAGTCAGGCCCTTGGGTTTCCCATCTGCGAGACCATCAGCTAGAGTGAGTCTACCATTTTCCTGCTGTGTTCCTTCATCTTCTACCTCCTCTCTCATTTTTTCCCTTTCTCCCTCGTTCTCTCCATTATCCTTTGTCAGCATGCTTGTCATCATCGTGTCTTTGGTCTCCATTTGCTTGTGTTAATGTTAGTGTTGGCGAGGCAGTTAGGAGTCGAGAGAGGATCTCGGTGACAGTGAAGGGAATGTGGCGCTGCTGTCTGGTAAGGTGCCCATTAGTGGAACAGCAAGGAAACAGTACAGTGAGGATGCCAGACAAACTTGGCTAAACAGAGCTGCCCTTCTTGGATAGGTAAAAGAAAAAGGGAATAGGAGAGCAAAGCTCTCCCTTGAGGGGCTACAACAAGGATGTGTGGGTGTGTATATATTAGTGAACTAAAATGTAAATACATTCAAAAGGATCTGAGCGAGAAGGGGTAGGAGCAGACAGCTTGGAAAGATGGAGAAGGCTAGAAAGGAGAGATCTGTTTAAATAGGATGTAGCCAGTGGGAAAGTTCTGGATCTCAGATCGTCTCCTCTAACAGCTTATCCTCTGAAACACAGAGATGGGGCAAACTGCAACACAGAAAAGGGAAAACAGTCATTTACTTCCAAATTACTTCCTAGTTAACCCATAACCCATCATATATACAACTGCACACTGTCTCTTCCTTCATGACACAGCTATACCAGAGTTGTAACAGAGACATACAGTTATGAAATACAGTGTCAAGACTACAAAGTGAGAGGATTTAGCTGTGACACACTATTTATTTAGCTTTTCCCTGTGTTTCTCATTTCAAGCTATCTCTTGTTGCATAACCTGTTTTGCTTATCTGTTCAAAGCTGCATAACGGGGAGAGCTTGGATCATGTGTACGAGCGCCAGCAACATTTTTTTGAAGGCAGCAAACAGCAGGGAAGCTCAAAACACAAGGCAGGTAAAATATGGGAAGTTTGAAAGTTTTTTGTGCACAGGTTTACCCTTGTTTTGTTGTGTAAAAAAAATCTAATTAAATCAATGTAATTATACAATTATACAGCCCACTACCAATCCAGATTGAGTTCAAAAACTAAAATGCACAGATTTTACATCGTTGCAAGTTTTTTTTCAGCTCTTGCTTTTCCATGCTTTTAGATGTATCGTTCCATTTATCTCCTTTATTTCCTAATTTAGACTTATTTCACATCAGTATCACCACGAGTTTATTATGTAAGGCAGTTTTTGTGTAGAGCCCTGAACAAGAAGTTTCTGTCTGTTTTATCCACAGCAGCCTAATGTACTCTTTACTTCTTTTAAAGTTAAACATCACATATTATTCTATCCAAATGCTATCGCAGGAGTGTTGCGGCAACTTGACTACGAGGAAGCGTTTTTCCAGGTCTATGAGATTGTTTATAGCATGTGTCAAATAAGAAATTAAGGGCACAGTATAAGAGGATGAAATGTGCACTAAATGTTATTTTTCTTTTAATCTAAATAATTTTTTTGTAGTTTATCACCACACACAAAAATTACAGAGTAACACCTGATGGCTATGCAACTGTCATCCAGTCAAGCGACTGGGCTTTGGAGGAAATACAACACTGGCTAAACTTCATTTCAACACTTGCATTTGTTTATTTTTGAATAAATTTGTACTTCTTTGAGTTAAAGCTAAGCATAAGTTCTTTAAAAAATACTCAACTGACTTTACTTCAATCTGAAGTACAATACGTTCTTGAACGGTCTGAGACGCTCTGCAAACTTTGACACTGAATCTTACAATGATAATTTTAAAGGTCACTGCTGCAACAATACAGAGAAAATCCCCCTAAATAAAACAGAGTGATCAACGCAATATTGTTATTTTGTCAACCCTGCGTTAATCACTCAGACCCTCTGTAACCGCTGCCTGACTGCCACACAATAGAAAGTCAAATAAAAACAAACATTGGTACCGCCTCATAGAAATAATGAATCTAATCTGTATTTGCACGCACACTTCATCAGTGTATGAAAGCATTTAGAAAGAAGCAGTATAATCGATTCAAATAGAGTTTGACTGTTGTTATTCCTATCACGGGCTCAAATAGATATATGTAATATCATATTACATTGACAAATATAACCAAGTAAAAGAAGGTAAAAAAAAAGAAAGATTGGAGCAAAAATTTTCTAAATGATAGATTTCTAAATAAGAACATGCAAGAAAAATAGCAGGGATCATGATAAAAATGTAAACGCTTTTGAGTCGTTTCCTATCTTAATGACTTCTGCTTTAAATCAAAAACAACTCATAGATCACCACAGTTCACTAAGAAATGCTAAAACTAACTAAAAAAAAAAAGAATCAATAGTTTACAAGTCAAACTCAATATCCATACATTACCTTAAGACATGGTAAATGAGAGAAAGTAGAACTTGCACTGGATAAAAGATACACAAAAAGCAGCAGAAGCAGCAGCAGCAGCAGCATCAACTTCAACTGTTACTTCAAGAATCCCGTGGAGATGCAAAAACTTGCCAGGGAAACAAGCTGCACGAGCACATGAGGACCCTGTGTTTGTCCAATGAGCTCTCGAACCTCACTCATTTCTCTTTCCCCCTCACTCACTCTCTCTCCCTCCCCGGTTGTCCCTCTCTCGCTGACTTACAACCACACACACTTGCACACATGTCGTGTTGGGAGACGCACAGCTGCGCAGGCATATGCAGAGATGGGTGCATATTTGCATGCACACAGAGGGGAATGAAGAACCGTAATGCGAACAAGTACACCTGAATCTTGGTTTGATATATATACAATGAAATCACAAATGGTAATAATGAATTTTTGTATGGATATGACACACTAAGGTCATGAAAGAGCTCTTGTCAAAACACACAAACAATAGACACAAATACACACACACACTGCAGACAGCTGAAGTCTGAGCCTTGGGCAGTTTTGGGGCTCACCATGTTTTAGTCCCGCTTTACACCACATGTGCATTTAATCAATTCAGCTATTCAAGAACAAGGTGTGTAGACAATCTAGTTTTTAGAGGGAAATCCCAACTTTCTTGTGGTTATTTTTTAAAATCTATTTAAAGCCTCATTGACAGTAATATATGCTACTTTTTAGAGTTCAGTCTTCAATGAAAAGGAAACCTGCTGATGGTGATACTGCAGTCTCTACACCCTGCTGCTCACTCCAGTCAGTGTCAGGTTGTGGTATTGCTTGGCACCTTCAGAGTCAGATTGTACGGCCACATTTGTTCCTACAAATCTGGCATTTTTGCTCGATTATGTAAAGACTAAAAATCTAAGTGTTTCATATGCTGTATCAAGCAGTTACAATTTGTCCCAGTTCTTCAGAAATGGTATGGTGAAATCTATTTAAAAGGAACAATAACAGTCATAAACTTGACTTGAGTTTATATGCCATGAGAAAAGGCAAACACAGATGTCCAAACACACATGGGCAAAAATATGCACGCAGAAAAAGGGTTCAAACACATACCCTCACTGTATTATCAACATTTTAAATCAGTTAAATTACAATATTCTTAATTACCAATCATGACACATTAATTATATAAAGAACTGTATTTCATGCTTGACTTAGAAACTCTTTCACATCTGTTTCTGAATTCCCAAGAGATTCAAAAGACTGTCTGCTTAGTGTCCTTCTTACTCCAAAACAACTTGGAAAACCTTGGGCTCCATGCCAGCTTTTGCAACCTTTTTTTCTCCTCGGACACCAACACCCTTTAGTGGGATAGGGTTGGGCAGAGGGGCCTCATAGTCTCAGACTGTGAATTTATTCATTTTGTTGAACTCCAGACAATGTCTGTCCAGTTGATTGGCATCATTTAGGTTGCAACTGGTTACTTTTTAGTTGTTATTACCCAGCTGTCTCACTGATCACTAAGCTGTGTTGAATACTTGATGCTGATTGGTCAAAACCCCTTAGAAACAGTCATTGACTCTGCAAAGCAAGAGCAACACCAGAGACAACCAAATCTCACACATGACATTAAAAAACAATCTGTGGCACATTCTGCTAGTTTCTGTTTGTGTGATAACTCTTTAGGTGAAACAGTTTGGACTTATAGATCCTGTCCTGGAATCAGAAGACCAATCAGGAGACCAAACCATTAATGGAAATAAAAAAAAAGTAGTGATGAAATATCCTGTTCACCTTGCCAAATGTAGTCTTCAGTAGAAATATGTACTAGAATGATAATTATGCAAATGTTTCAACCTTGAAGAAAATTGATAAGTGTTCATGTTTAATTTGATACTTTTTATTCTTGCAGCAAGTTGGAGGGTAAATTGTATAGCCATGGTTGCACCAACTGTAAGGTTCAAAGGGACTATTTTTTTTCATTTAAATATAATTTTTAGATCAGTAAAATTGTCTTCAAATCACAATTTATCATCAATTTGTTGGTTAATTTGGTTGGTATTTTTGCCAATTTTTATTTTTAATGTCTGTTGGTTGCTGTTAAAGAATTACCAATGAAAAATCCTCAAATCAAAAAAGCAGTGACATCTTTAGTAACTACCTTACTTAACTAGCATCATTTTATTTCAACACAAATTAAAGGTTTTAAAGAAATCCTTAAAGAGTTTGTTTGCTTTTGCTCTGCTGTCAATAATACTAATGAATGATTGAACCATATGGCCATTTGTCTTTCATGACATTTTCATTCTTGAGTGTTGTTGTCAAATAAAGTGTAGCAGTGAATCTGAAGAAAATACAGGATACTTATTTATCATGTTAAGTTTGTTGAAACATGCTGTCAGAAGACCCTCTGAACCACTCTATATCACTGCTTTATGTTTTTTAAGTCTTGAACCTTGAATCATGTCAAACTTGACTCTGGCAAATAAAAAAACATTTATGAGAAACCTGAGAAAAGCATTTCTTACTGGACTGAAATCCTCTACCCTGTTGCCACATCTGTACAATCAACAGTGAAGGGGTCTGTGGAACTTAATATTGAAAAGAAAACTACTCCCAGCAGAAAACACTTAAGCTTTAGGTTGGAAGGCAGCCTGATAAGTTAACATGAAAAACAAATTTTTATAGTGAACTGTCAAGAAAAGAAGGAGAGATTTACTTCCTATTACTCTGCAGCAGTTGCATAAGACTTTGGAAATGTGGAAAATGTTAATGCGGGTATTATTGAATTATGGCACTTTGCTTCTACTATTGTGAACATATGCTTGTTGACCCGTTCATGCACCCTTGACAATCATGAAATACTCAAACATTTCTCACTCTCAGCCTGTGGATGCCTTTACCTCAGCAAAGAAACGTTCCCTCTACCAAGCCATGTGCTGTGATTCTGTACATTTGTAAGTTTTTACTGACTGCTACTAAATTTCACAATCTGGGATAAGTTTAGTCATCTACACACCAAAATCAGATCAAAACAAAACTATTAATCTACTTCATCAGCTCATACTCCAAGGATCAGTCTCATTGAGGACCTAAAATAAGGACACGCAACAGCTGTTTGTAATTGCCCTTGGTGCCTCTTTATGTGCTTTTGTTGTTTTTGTTCACCCTGAAAAAAGGGGTGAAGATACTGAACATACTAAAGTGACGACAACAAAGGGAAGATGAGATCGTATAGAAAATTACAGACGCCATACTCTTCAGATTGCTGATGCAGATGTGGATGTCATTCTAACCCAGTGAGACATGAACTCTGAGGGTGTGCTGGAGTATCTGGAACTAAGAAGCTAATAGCAGATCCTAGAAGTTCTGTAAGTTGTTGGTTGGACCTGTTTGTCCAGAGCATCGCACAGGTAATCAATCAGAGTAAGATCTTGGGATTGTAGAAACAAAGGCACCTCCTTGAAATCATTGTCATATCCTTTCTTCTCTTACTCTAAATCAGATGCTTATGAACCCCTCATAGGCGCTGCCCCCTGCCGACAGGTACTCACTTCACCTGTCAGTGGTCATAATGTTATGTTACCACTACCTGATTTTGTTGTTTGAAATATTAGAAGGCTGTTTTTTGTGTCTCTCTCTCGACCAGTACACAGTAAGGGTATTGCTTTTTGCGTCAATTATTGGGTGATTTCTTGAGATTTAATGGATTTACATGCACATTTATAGCAAAGAGTTCTTAACTATGACACAATGAAACAAGGTATTAAATCCACGTTTTAAAGAAAAATAGAGAGCAAATGGTGTCAACTGTCAGATAGTCTCCTGTACTTCTCAGTTATTTATCATTTATTTTAGTAGTTATGTTTGGCAGAGAGTCTGGATTGGACTTCTAAACACTTTAAATGTCACCCATTATTAATCATAAATTAAAACACACAAAAAATCCAGAATAGGATGGCTTACTTTCCAAATCAGTAAACTATACTCAATTCAATTCAAGAGGTTATGGAAATAATACAAATGAAGATGAAGACAAATATGAAAATTCACTAACTGAGCTAACTTCCCACTGAGCATTTTTCGGTCTATAAGAGGTCTAATAGACGTCTAAATGTAGCCTAGATGACTGGTCTAAAATCAGGTTACCACAGGTCTAAAAATGAACGTTTTTTAGACATCTAAATATAGACCAAGTTTAGACCAAGTGTAAGTCTATATTGATACTACAATGTATATTGCTCAACAACTATCATAGTTATTTTGGTTAAGTACTTGGAGATCAGTTATGCAACTCACAGCTATTAGTTATTGAATAATGGGTTAAAGTGCAACGTCTAAATTCCGTCCAAAAATATGCAGAATCCAGACATTTGAAATTAGGTCTAAAAAAATACTAGATGTCTAATAGCCGTCTATTGCTCAGTGGGTTAGAAAAAAAACACCTTGGATATGGTAAATCACAGCTTTTGACACTTCACCCATGCACACATGCGGAATATATTTATCTCTAACACATGGGGATACAACAACAAATTTATAGATATATCTTATTGGATTGTAAAATATGAATCTACTAGCTAAAAAACTCTATGATGTTAAAGAAGAGATGGTGGGGTCTTACCTTGATATTCAAACAACAACAGTCTGCAGCAGCCATGATGCAACTGATCAACCGGGAATCCAAGACGTTGCTTGTCAAGGCAGTCTAAACCCAATCACACAAATCACACATTCCCAGGCTTACAGCAGGTCATTTTCTTGCTTTGCCTGGCTTAAGACACAAACACACATACTCAAGCATGCAGGCACCCACTCACACTCATGCACTCACTCAAACAAATGCACACACACATGAAAAGCTTTAGCAAAGGATCCTTGCCTCTAATCCAGGACTCATTGTTGCATATTTATGCACAGGGGGCTGGCGAGGAATAACGGAGCAATACAGAAGAATAGATCAAGTCATGAAAAGTCAAAACAAGCATGGTGAAATGTAAGGAATGTGGAGTGTGTGTGGGCATGAAATGAGATTATTTCTGTAACAGTCTGTCTGTGTCCTGCTCTAAGTGACCTGTTTACAGCCACCTGTAACCTACTGGGCTAAAAGGCACAATGCCAAGTACAGAAGTTCAGTCAGTCCACTAAGCCTCCATTGTGTGTTAGTGTGTGTGTTTGTGAAGTGTGTGATACATGGGAAAGAGGGTTGCCTGAGGAGTTCAGCAGTAGAGGTGACGAAATTTGATCACAGTGTATTTTTTTTCCCCCACTCTCTCTCACCCCGACGCATACACACAGCATGTCGTCCCTCCTTCTCGATAAAGTCAGGTCTGTGTGTATGTGCAGTGTCACTCCAATCAGTATCAGCTGAGGTACTGGGTTAATCCTCATTGCAACACACACAAATCCTCACACACAGGCAGGGACGCACAAACACACATAACTCAAAAGAGGGAAAGAGAGAGAAAACAATGAAAGGACATAAGAGTACAAGTCCAAGTGTGCAATAAACACTCATAATTTGAAGTGGGCTAATTACCCCTGTCAACTAAACAGTTGGATATTAAAACAAACATGAGGACAGTATTGGCGATCAAAACACATCGCAAGGATTTATCTCGAAAATATCAGGTTATTCACAGATATTTAGCAACTGGAGAAAATAAACAGTTTCAATTGTGATATTGAGTTTTATGTAAGTTTTCATCAGCATGTAAAGAGGCTACAGTGAACTTAGCATATGTTCTCAAGCATTTAGCAAACTGTGCCAAACATTCAATCCCACTATTCATTTTGAGGGCATTTTAGAAAAAGTGGTTTTCACTTTTTATATCGATGCTTCTCTAAGACTGTACCTCAGCAAACAATGGGGTCAACAACACCTCCTTACCGAGGAAACTGTTTCTACCCCTTCTTACTCACAGTTGCTATGAGGGTGTTACTAAATCATGCTGTAAGACTCTTTGCTACAAGATTTTAAGCCAAGTTTAGGGTTTTCTAAAAGGATTTTCAGAAGGATTTGTGAATACAGGCATGTTACACCCAGCAGAGAGGGTATCAGAGTGTAACATGAGATTGACTCGTCTTGTCACAGATTCAAACAAAAACAAAAGGGAGGACCCACGTGCAAAAGTTCAATTATTTTTATTAAATAAAAGGCTAAACATGGAACAACAAAAACTTACTCAAACAGAAAATGTCCAACAAATCCAAATCCCAAAATCCAACAACACTAGGAGCAAATCCCATGAAACAAAAAGGCAATGAGGAAAAACCACAAAGTAGGACAGATTCAGACAAAAACATGAACACATCAACAGGAATGAACCAGTCCAGAAGGAGGGCTACACAGGGACTAAATAGAGAGGGTAACGAGCAATGAGAGACAGGTGAGACACTAAGACACAGGTGCAGATAATCACTAAAGAGGGAAAACACAGGAAGTCGAACTAAACCTGTCACGCAGGGATTGACTACTACAAAATAAAACAGGAAGTCAAACTAAACCAAACACACAAGGGGGAGAAACTACAAAATAAAACAGAAAACAGTTAAACTGATTTTAAGTATAAAACACTGGGGACAAAAGGGAAACAGGGTTAAAGATTATGTCAATGTCAATGTCATGTTTATTTATATAGCACCTTTATAGGACAGGCCAGACAAAGTGCTTTACAGGAGAAAAAGAAAAGCATAAAATAATAAAAGCTACAAATATGGCAACATTAAAAGTGCAACATACAATGACAACAATAAAAGAAAAGCGTACGCGAGTAAAAGCAGGTGACAACTCAGCCAAAGGCTAGGGTAAACAGGTAGGTTTTAAGGTGCATTTTGAAGGAGGTGAGGCTGGTTGCAGAACGCACAGACAGAGGCAGGGCATTCCACAGAGTGGGAGCAGGAACTGCGAATGCCCAATCCCCTCTGCTTTTAAGCTGGGTTCTCGGCACATTTAAAACCATCCGGTCAGCAGACCTCAGGGATCTGGTGGGTCGGTGCGCCTTGACAAGGTCGGATAAATATTCTGCGGCCAGCCCGTGCAAAGACTTAAAAGCAAATAAAAGAATTTTAAAATCAATCCTGAACTTGACTGGGAGCCAGTGAAGTGAGGAGAGCACCGGTGAGATTGACATTGACATTAAAGATTAACTAAAAACACCCAAAACAGGATCACAGGGGACAGAAACACTAGGAAAAACACAAGTAAGATATGAAAACCAGGAAAAACTACAATCACAAGACCTAATCTTGACCCCTCTCCTTCCTGACTCCCAAGGACGACGAAAGAATAAAGGTTCAGCAAGTCAAAGTATTGTATTCTTTCTTTTCCCTCTAACTTAGACAACATCAGGGATAGTAAATGCCTAAAAATAATGGACAAAAACTGTCTTTCCTTACAAAATCATTGAAATAAATGACAAACATCTTACCTGACTACTTAACTTCAAACAGGAGAAAACAAGTGTAAAATAAACAAGTTTAAATTAAAAGGCTTGTAATGTTATGTCAAGACTGTTATGTTTTCATGTTTTTTGTATTAATATCCTGTTTTTATTTTTGTAATGCTGTGTTTTTGATTTATTTCCAGTCTCTCTTACTGTTATGTTTCTCTATTACTAGTCATCTTAGTAATTAATCTTACCTCTATATTAATCTGAGTGTCTCCATCTACTCTCAGCCATATCGTCATTACAACTCTTGTGTTTTATGACCTCCAGTCTTGTTTTCTTGCAGTCATGCTTCTTTTTTTTTTTTTTTTAACTTTGGATTTTTAGACTCCTTGGAGTTCTGCCAAAGACTTTGCAGACGCCCTCTCCCCTGCAAGGTGTTAGATCATCGCTCCCCAACTGGAGAGGTAGTCTGAGGATTCCTGGCCCCAAGACAAGGAAGGGGCTGATCATTCATTCATTCATCTTGTTTTATTCCTTCCATGAACTGCCATGTTGAAACATCCACTTGGTATGCTTATTATCTATAACAACACTCAGCAACAACATGCAGGTGATCTGTTCCCACAAAGCCCTGAGCATCCAAGGCTGCTTCTACTCAAGGTCCACTCACTCCCCTGATGGTAAAATAACTGTGCCAGTCATCTCCTCCACTCCCATCTGTCCCCTCATACCTGATGTCAGGGTCTTGGTTGTAGAAACTGTAACATTACCACCTGTTTTTAACTACGGTCCTGTCCCAAGCAATGCACTATGCCCTAGGCTGAAGAAAGGGATTTCTGGTGGTCTGCAGCTCCTTTGGTTGTTATTGAAAAAAAACACAAACATACCCAACGAACTCAGAGCCCGACACCGCGTAGGTAATAATACCATGATTCTATTTATATATGTAGATATATACAAATAAAATACACACAGGTATTTCAAATGCTGGGCGGTTATGTTGATCTGTCTGAGCAAGGCCATAGTGAAAATATTATCCTCTTGCTTCACCTCTATCTGAGGGGCTGTGACGCTGCTGCTGTGGCCTGATAGGAGCACAAACTTAAATGGAGTTTGTAAAACACTACAGATCATCTCAAAACACCCAGAGTTTGAAGCTTGCATGTAAGAAAAATGCTAAATCAAGAAAGTAAATTTGTCACAACTGTATTAAGAGAGAATGACAGATTTCCACTTTCCTGACAGACAACATCATCTCTCTGCTGAAGTGAGTTATAGCTGAAAACATGGCAATCGTCCTGCTGACACTAAAATGAAACCGAGCATGGGTCTCAAAGACCCCTATTGCAAGAGATGGAAGCAACTCCGAGATCTTGGTGAATCTTTTTGGGGAAGGTGGAGATAACACTTGGTTGACCTCCAGCTCAGAGTCAGAAATGTGATACCCTTTGGAGAAATGTTGAAGATTTTAAATTCAAAATTTAATTAGAAGTTTGGTCCATAATTTATCCAAGATAAAACCAATTACATCCTCTGTGTTACATTTATGTTTTTAAACTTAAGGTCTGGGTCTCCTTTAAAGAAAAATACATCGATGCACAAACAATGAGTTTTGATCACAAATATTAATTATTTGAGCATGAAAACCACTTTTTCTTTACAACAGACTTTCTTGTAGAAGTAAAAAAGCAAAAGGTTCATCTGCTTTCCATGTCTTTGCAGACATCTTGTAGAAAATGAACTTGCCTGGTATATGTTGACTGCTTGCCTGGTATATGTTGACTGCTTGAAGGTCTGAAGTTCTTCTAAACTTGCCAAAAAAAAAGAGTTTGAGTATAAGAGTATGAGCCTTTCTTGCGTTCATTTTTACACTGTCAGAGGGCATTCAGACAAAGGATAGGAAAATACATTATGTGCATTCACAAACATACAAATGCATACCTGTGCTACTTTGACATTGTGCTGTTTACGGAGAAGAACTTGCAGGAACACGGTGTGTTAGACAATCTGAGTGTTAGTGTAATAATAATATTGCATCAGATTTCATATAGTGCTTTACAATGGATACGTCATTCATTCACACAGTCACACCTTGGTGGTGGTAAACTACCTCAGTAGACTGATAGAAACGTGGCTGCCAGTTAGTGTCTACGGCCTCTTCAACCACCACCACACAACACTCCCAATCATACACCAGTGGAGGACACACAGTGGGGTCAAGGTGGGTTAAGTGTCTTGCCCAAGAACACAATGGAGAGATTCGGGATAGGGGGGAACTGAACCACCAACCTTCCAGTTATTGGACGACCGCTCTACCTCCTGAGCTAGAAAAAAAACACAAGGTTTTATTTTTAATAAATTAAACTATACAAGGTTAACTCTTACATAAAGAAGTGTCTTATTTTTATGTTGCCATCTTGTAAAAAACAGATAAGAGGGTTGAGAATGTGTAAAACTCCATTGTCTTGAAACATCAGTAGACAGAGAACACAAGCAGTCCGGTAAAAAAAGAAAAAAACTTTATTGTTTTATCAAGAAGAACAGGTATGTTTGGAAGGATGTGAGATAGGAATAGTAACTGGAGAATTAAAAGCAGCCAAGGAACAGGGCGAAGTCCAGACCCGAGGTTGGGGCTTCCATCTTGATCTCTGCAGTTATGCCAGGGCACCCATTGGATCCCAGGCAGGAAGTACAACTGGCTCCTGTTGTATCACGTCAAGGACTTCAGAGGTAAGGTACTTTTTGTCTACGACCACCTCATACACATACTCGGAGAACCAATCATCCGTCATGATCAGGTAGCCTATGAAGATAGATACAATTACAAGGTTTGTTGATTCAAGTTCACTTGCATACACGCTTAGATCAAAACTGAAAACAACAGAGCAACTTTAGACATATTTTTGGGCCCTAGGGTTCAGCTACACTGTGCAGTTTTGGGTCATGACTTAGTTGACATGTAAAGCCCGTAATGAAAGAAGGCTGACCCAAAAGCCATTTAGGTCTTTCTCCATGATATCATTGGTTATGAGGACCAAAGACATTTCTCTGTTAACTTTTTTTTTAGTTTAGAAAGTTTTGTAAACATAAATAACTGTCTTAAAGTTATCTTATCTTGTCTTATTTCAATTAGGGAAAAAAATATCTTGACATTTCAATAATAATCCTGTTCTTGCTCTCTGCCAAAAACTATTGATATTGTGCGCCCCAGTGCACAGCCATGTTTAAGAGACAATGTTTATGTAGTAGTATAGAGCGGTTGTTCTCAACCAAAAGTGGGTCGCGGATCGGTCAGGATGGGTCACGAACAGCTGATTAAAAAAGTAAATATTTAATGCGATATTTATTAGATGTTCAATATTTTCTGTATATACAGCTCCAGTAGTTGTCGTCCTCATGTTGTCCCCTTCATGTGCTCTGAAATGCACTATACTCAATAAAACAAGTGGATTTATGTTAAATATTAGAGTCTTTAAAGGTTTTTTTATCTGTAAAAAATTAATTTGCTTGGTTTAAATTCTATAAAAGTGGGTCGCGACTTAAGGACCATGGGAAAATGTGGGTCCCAGAGTGAGACCAGTTGAGAACCATTGGTATAGAGCACTGCTTAGAACTACTGAATAGCTTAGTCATAAAAAAATCAACACATTCATTTTTCAATTGCCCTCAAGTGCTCTCTATCACAATACATTATGGTTGCCAAGAACAGGAGGGTGGACCCCACCCTTGATAGTTTATAGTTGCCCACCCTGCAGTGCTGAATTTATTTAATTCATCTGCTATCACCTCTAAACCCCCACCCCCAGAAAACCAAACAATGTCAGCCTCTCTCTCTGCTCTGAGTATGTAGTCATACAAGGTCAATGTGGCTGAGCTTGGGGTGGTTATGAAAGCATACCCTCTGCTAAACACTTCATAGTGGTCCTAAAACCCGTGATAAAAAAGCAACCATTTAAATCTATGAATATCTGTGTGCAGCATGTACTAGATGTTATGTGAAACCACAGTAAATAAAACTATGCCGACTCAAAACGGACACTTATGGGAAGCTGGATTAAAAACTGGCAGCCACAAATTTGATCGAATGAAATTTACTCTCTATTTCCTGATGTAACGTCACTCTTTCTCTTTCTCTCCATCTCCACTCTCCCCTCCTCATGTTTTCAGAGCTAGGTAAATGAGAGCATTACGCCTGCTGCCTTGCTGACTTATGGAAGACGTCAGGGTAACCACAAGAACGTGCCACAATTCAAAACAATGTACCAGGGATGGCGTGCATAGTGTGTATGTGTTCTTCCAAGTACGCAAATCTTAAATGGCACAGTGCCTGGTTCCCACTGTGGTATCCGCATGTGTGTTGATGTAAGCCTTCCTGGAACTTGCGTGTTGGGTGGCATTATGTGTGTTTGTCCGTGAATGAATGTTGGGTGTCATTATTTGTTTTTAGGGATAGGCTTACTGTCCTGTCTCAAAGCAGATGGATGTTCTTCGAGGCTAAAAAATGAGGAGCAGCCCTCTTGCTTTCAGACTTGAGCAGCAGTTCCCAACATAGGTCCATCACTTGGAAATGTGGATCCTGATGTGTCTAAATACTCTTTAAAAGACAGCGGGATCTCTACTTTTAGATTTATCATTTAAATAAATGTTGCATGACTACATTGGTGTGGTCTGAAACCAAGACTAATTCTGTGAAATACTGTGTTTTTGAAAGGACAAGGTCAAATTTTTTCCTGTTTTTGCTTGATGTACTACTTCAGTTGCTCAACAGTCAGGGGTCTCTGTTGTTGTATTTTACACTTGCAATGGGAGACAGGTGTGGACCGCAGGCAGACCAGTCTAGTACCCCCGCTCTTTAACTACAAAGTCATGCTGTTGTAACATGCAGAATGTGTCTTGGCCTTGCCTCTCTGAAATAAGCAGGGACATACCTGATAAAGACATGGCTTGGATGGCAGCGTATGTTACTCTGAAACTTCTATGTCCCTTTTAGCATTAATGGTGCATTCACACACCCCCATACCATCACAGATGCTGGCTTTTGAACTTTGACCCTGATGGTCTTTTTCCTCTTTAGCCTAGAGGACACCACGTCCATGATGTCCAAAAACAATTTGAAGCACTATGCCTCAGTCCATTCCAGATGAGCTCGTGTCCAGAGAAGCCGGCAGAGTTTCTGGGTATTGTTGATTTACGTTTTTGGCTTTGCGTGTAGGAGAACTTTGAACTTGCACATGTAGCTGTAGCGACACACTGTGTTAACTGTTAACCAATGGTTTTCTGAAGTGTCCCTGAGACTACATGGTATTATCTTTCACAGAATGATGTTGGCTTTTAATGCTGTGCCGCCTGAGGGATCGAAGGTCATGAGCATTCAGTGTTGGTTTTTGGCCTTGTTGCTTATGTGCAGAGATTTCTCTGGATTCTTTTAACGATATTAAGCCCTGTAGACAGTTTTTCCTTTAAATTCCTCGCAACTGTACATTAAGAAACATAGTTCTTTGAAATATTAGGACTATTTGCTCATGCAGTTGTTAACAAAATGGTGAACCTCATCCCATCCTTGCTTATGAATGACTGAGCCTTGGCAGGAGATGCTCCTTTTATACCCAATCATGACACTCACCTGTTTCTCATTAACATGTTCACCTGTTTCTAATTAACATGTTCACCTGTTTCTAATTAGCATGTTCACCTGTTTCTAATTAACATGTTTACCCGTGGAATGTTCCAAACAAGTTTTTTTTTTAGGATTCCTCAATTTTCCCTGTCTTTTATAGACTCTGTTTCAACTTTTATGGAACATGTTGCAGACATCAAATTCAAAATGGGTCAATATTTGCAAGCAAACAAAAAAAAACATTTGAGTTTATTAATTAGAACATTACATATTTTGTCTTTGTAGTGTGTTCAATGAAACTTTCAATCTTTTGTTAGGAATAGTAATATGAACCATGCCATTTTAGGACAATACAAAGAAAAGAACTTGATTATGGTGGTACAGCGACAACCCCTTAAAAAATGTGGGACCAATTCTAGAGGGGGCCTTTTGTTTAACCAGCACTAGTTTTTTGTGAAACTTTATCATTTTTATCCCTCTAGAGGTATCTTAGGCTCTTGGGAGAGACTAGTTACTAGGATTTCCCCACATCATCTCTATCTACATTTTTTTTTGATAGAGGGACAGTTACACAATCAAATTGTTTATTGTGTTTGGCATACTTCTCATGGTTAGGCACAAAGATGGATGCCCTGTTTCGGAGCTTGGTCATCTTATATATTTATATGCCAATTGTTACATTTATGTAATTTATCATTTGTAGAAATGCAAACAGTGTTAATCAAATCCAGTTGTTTTTCCAGTGGCACTCTAAACACTAAAGATCAAGCAAGGACAATGCTTTTTAAACCAATGCTACAGTAGGATAGCAGACTTTGATACGTTTTCTGCAAATCATTGAATAATCTTGTATTAATCTAACAATAAAATCATGTGCTCGGAAAAATCTTACTTTTAGCCCTCTGTCTGAAATCTCATGATTGTGAATCTCAGCCATCTGTCCCAATGATGGACAAGATTGGAAAAGACAGAAGTTTAATAATGTGTTACCTTTGTTCCCACGATCGTCTCCCCAGGAGTTTTCCACCCTCCACTTCTCATAGCCTTCTTTGACGTCCTGAAGGATTGAAATACAGAACATGATCGGGAGATAAGAATGAGAAGCCAGGAATGGGGGAAGTAGCGTGTTCCGACAGCTGGGGTTACTTATAAGGGTGGAAATTGACATCACTATGAAAAACTGCAGCTGATTAAAGCAGCATAAACACGTCGCAAGGCTTTGATACACTACACCCTGGAAAGCACTGAAAGTGTGTATTCCTCATGGTTTGCTTGTATATGAACTGTACATTCGAATGAGATGACTGAGCTGTACTGAAACTGAACTATGCATTTGTGTAAAGGTACCTTGTCTGTGACAGCAGTAAGAATCATGGCATGGGTCATGAGCGAGTCTCCAAATATCAGTCGCTCTGCCTTGGAGAGGTTCTTCACAGAAACTCCAAACACAAGCTCATGATTGAACCTGTACAAATGCATACAAAGATTTTTGATGATTAACATGTAAAGAAAAAAAAAAACAAAATTAAGTGAAAGTAAATGTGTACAGAACTCAAAGTTGAACCTGTGGAAATATTAAAATATACCCACACTATATTTAAATTGAATCTTTGTACAAAAACTAAAATTTTACAATGCTACCATGTCACTATGCAGATGCTTTTATCCAAAGTGACATACATTCAAGAGCAAGATCAATGCAAGCAAAGATCTAAGAGGAAACATGACCAGTAAGAGCCACAAAGCACCTCAAGTCCATTTGGACACAACTACTGCCAAGCAGTGTTAAAGGCAATGAACATAAGAGTAAAAAGGAATTTAATTTTTTTTGATGAAAATCAACAATGAAGCAACTAGCTATCAATGTAAGACTCTTCATCATCACTATCATTGAAATTGTCATCACAACAATAGTTACCAAAGTACCAAGTGCTGGGTCACTCACATAGAGCTGAGCTCACAAAATCCCAGAAGTAGAGAAAGACAGTAGCTGGATGACTCATTTAACCACTGGGGACAACAGTGGAGAATAGTCTAGCCAAGTGTATAGTGTTCTCTAAAGAGCTGGGTCTTTAGCTGTCTTTTGAAGTAGAGCGGGACTCTACAGATCAAATGGAGTTGGGTAATTCATTCCACCATTTAGGGACAACAATAGAGAAGAGTCGGGCTACTGATTTAGGGGCTTGATGTGCTGGGAGCACCAGGCGCCTTTCTGTGGCTGAGCGTAGCGGGCAAAAAGGGGTGTAGATGAGGCAGTGTTGGATACTGCTTTGTCGGCAATGATTAGAGTTTTGATAGAAGTGAAAATTGGCAGGACTCAGCTATGTAGGCCACATGAACCCTGAAGGTTAGCTGGTCATCGATCATGACACCTAGATTTCAGGCAGACTTAACAGGCATGCTACAGTATACCATGTTCAACTACACACATGGACAAAATTGTTGGTACCCCTCGGTTTATGAATGAAAAACCCACAATTGTCACTGAAATAACTTGAAACTGACAAAAGTTTAAAGAATCATTTCAAAAAGAAAAAATAATGAAACAGGCTTCGACAAAAATGATGGACAAAAATAGTTTTTCCATAGGGACATGATAAACCAAGGTGTGTCCTTTCATTAGCATCACAGGTGGCTTCAAACTTGTAACAAATCAGTCTGCTGATTTAAAGGGTGACAAGTAGCCACTGTGCTGTTAGATGACACGGTGTGTATGACACTGAATGTGGACCACAGAAAGCAAGAAGAAGACGAAGAAGAAGAGAGCTGTCTCAGGAGATTAGAAAGAGTTCAAAGGTAAAGGCTATAAGACCCTCTCAGAGTAGCTTGATGTTCCTGTGACTAGAGTTACACATATTATTCAGAACAGAAGTATATCATCCACAGGACTGAACAGAACCATGCATCTGCTTAGAGACTGCATGTTGCTGAACACAGAAGAAGTGTTCATTCAAGCTCAAACCTCCTTCCTCCAAGCAAAATTTCTGATGCCTGGTGTTCTTCGCTAATTGGCTCACTCGCTTTTTCATGGTTTTCTGAGCAGGACTGCAGAAATAAGGCTTCATTATGCATCAGCCTCTTTCCAATTATGATCTGTCGGCACCAGAAAGGATCTGTCTGGAAGATGAGCCTCTACAGAGATGATTCCAGACTTACGGCACCATGCTGGTATGGTTCAGTGTGCAAATTAATGCCTGGCGCCAGGAGTTCAGACACAGATGTTTCCTCACCTGCTGGACAAAGATAAGCAACTTTTCCTCTACAAAGAGACTGACACCTCTTGCAGGCAGATGAAGTCTGCCTTTGCAGTGTGAATCTTGCATTACTGCCACAGATAATACTGGTATACCAGATATCAGTGGGCTGTGTAGTTCAAGTACTTGAAAGAATAAAATAATAACTATCTTGTTTTGTTTTTCTATGAATCCGATTGGGACAATGGACTCTGATCAACATATCAGCAAAAAGCATCAAAGTAAATATGCCAGAGTCAGCAAAGATGCTAAATTTCATCCGTTGTCCGAAGGCTGGTATCATAAAAAACAACATACAGACAATATGCAAAGACAATTAGATAAAAAATCTAGAAATTTTACACAAAAAGTTGATCTTGATTCAGTTATAGTTAACTTGCAAAAGATGAAATCTCTCAGCTAAGAACCAAATGTGTTTAAGGAGTTTAATCAGGGCTTGACACTAACTTTTTTCAGAGAGAGCACATTTGCTCCTAAGTTGAAAAAGTAAGGAGAACACAAAGAGCTTTAGGGGCCCAATGAATCAAATAATGTGTGTCTTATTGGTTGACATGGGTACAATTATTTGAAATCAATTTTAGGTCTTTTGGTCACCTGACAAATCAGGGAAATAAAGAGGCGTGTCTTATTGATTTCAATTAATAATACTGAGGTCAGACAATTTTAGGTCAATTGGTCACATGACATGGAAGCTACTGAAGGAAAACAGCCTTTTTTGAGAACATCAACCGGTAATTTATTGATGGTCCCTTATTCAACACCCAATGAATAGAGAGTGAGAAGACACTGGTTGATCTGCAGTGCATGTCTGTTAAATAACCAACCTAAAACTAACTTCACCGCGGTATTAACATGAAAAAACATTTGTTGCCTGGGCTGATTTTATTTTTTGGTGCACATGTGCCCCTAAATACATTTTACAATTCGCACACATCTATTTTTAGTCGCAAATGTAAGTGAAATGGTCGCACTGTCGAGCCCGACTTTAATCCCACTTTATGACTAGAAATTTAAGGCATATCAGTACAGGGGATGACACATTTAACAAGTCAGTCCTGGGTGTTGATATTTTTCCCTCAGTTAAAAATTAACTTTGGCAAAAACACAAAAACAAACTTTGGATCTCTAAATACACCTTTCATATTCTTTAATATGGTATATGTAATCAAAATGCTTTTCACAGTTTGTACTCCATCTGTGTCCTTTCAATCATGTCAAGCAGTATCCCTGAAACACCAGATCCTTCTGAATTATACTCACACATTCAAGTCATTGATGCCCAGCTTTCCATGGAAATGTTTTCCAACATCACAACCAAACCACACTGCCTGAGAAAAATACAACAGGCATGTTAGATTTATTAGGTCCAAACATGCAGGCACCATCAAATGTTATTGTCTCTTCAGTTGTGTCTGTTTTCACAAAACCTACCTCCCCATCCTTGATAGAATCAGCTGCAGCCTTTTTAAGCAGCTGGATGGGTTGATTGTTATACACAGTGCTGCGGCCACCAACCATGTTACCTAGAAACTCGACACTGTACATCTTCCCATATGGGTTTTGGGGTCTAGGATCATTCACAAGGCAGACCTGAGAAAAGACAGTTACAATATGATGTCAAAACTGGTTCCAGACAGTAGTGGCCAAGAGAGAGCCATGTGTTATATCTGCTATGGTTCTCATACTTTGTCCTGAAGGTTGTATAAGGGCTTGACATGCTCTCTGTAAAACTCCTGAGGGGTAAGAGGTCCCATGCGGTGGAAGTTCTTATCCTTGTCTCTGTACTCCCAAGAGATAGTCTCAGGGGGACTGCCAAGGCAAACACTGGCCACACGGAACACCTGCACAGCAAAGACAAGACATCAACATTTTAAGAGATTTATCACACACAAGCTATCCTAATTTGTGTTTAACTTATATCAAACACTCAGTTGGTAGTCCCTTCAATAAAAAGCTTAAAAAAAACACATGCAGCGAACAAAAGGTACTTCTGAAAAGGCAATTTGAAAACACCAGAGATGTAGTGGTCATATACTGTTACTGTCTGAAATCAACAAATCAAATATTTTTGATCCTTCCATTACCTCTCACATTGTACAAACTCTGTATGACACTTTGAACAGACTGGGGCTGATAAAAGAGAGCACAGCTGTGCTTTAAGGCTATTAACATGTTCTCATCTAACCAATCTAACCCAATGTTTGTCTATGTACCACCTCACCAGTGCCTGCACCTCTCTAAACTCCTCCCACCTTCCCACAAAACAACACGACCACCCCCCTTAGTAATATCCCTCCATTTCCCCGTGTACACCCCCTGCCCTTTCGTTCTTCTCCACATGTGGCTTCCTGTGGTACTGAAGTTCAGACAGTTTTAGTGTAAAAAATCAGGGTTGTTTAGGCGGTCTGTCAATCTGACCCTCGTAATTTCTGATAGTTATTCCAGGAATTTCCCTCTATTGCTTTTCACCTCTGCCTTCAGCAGGACCTGGCTGATGCTTTTCCCCTCAAAAGTGACTGAAAAGGTACAGAGAAATTCTGACACAGCACGGCTGATAAAAAAAGGTTTAAAGCCAAAGACAGATTGGTTTAAAAATAGGTAGATGTACAAGTGAGTGAAGATTTGACAATGGAGATAGATCGTGGAACATCACAACACGTACTGCTTTGGCCTTGAATGTAAAAAAGGATAAATTTACGATACGTTACAACCAATTCCATATTTTGATTGCAGCTACTGATACCCAAAGTTCAACACCTGTCAAACTTTATTTTGAGCAAACAGATAGATAATTTTTTGAAAAAATAAAACAGCCATGGCAACAGTTTTTCATAGTAAGTCAAATCCCAAATTTGTAAAGATGTCATTCTAGGTTTCCAGTTTGTAGGTACTGAGCTTAGTGAGACCAGAATTGGGCATATTCTGTGCGTGGAATTTCGCAAAGTACAATCAATGTAGAAGTGGAAAAGACTTCAAGTGCTTCCAGTCTCAGGTGTTTTGAAGTGGTGTGTCGGTCTTGAACGAACGGATCAAAAGAACTAGTTCTTTTTGATGAACGAAATGAACTAGTTCTCCCCCCCTAAATGACCTGTTCAATCCGTTCAGTTCTTTTGATTGGCTGAAGAGGGACTGCTTGCCTGTCTTATCCTATCGTCGCGCCTCATTCTGTGTGTGGGTGGGGCTTAGAGAAGCAGCAGCAGTACTACTGAGCTGACTGAAAGACCGGAATGACCGAGTTGACTGAAAGAACGGGTCAAATGAACGAAAGACCTAGTTGACTGAAAGAACGGGTCAAATGAACGAAAGACCTAGTTGACTGAAAGAACGGGTCAAATGAACGAAAGACCTAGTTGACTGAAAGAACGGGTCAGACCGATGAACGAAAGACCTAGTTGAACTGAAAGAACGGGTCAAATGAGTGAACGAAAGATCCAGACGGATGAACAGGTTGAACGAAAGACCGAGTGAACAAAAGACCCAGACGGTGAACGAGTTGAACGAGAGACCGAGTGAACGAAAGATCCAGACGGTGAACGAGTTGACTGAAAGACCGAGTGAACGAAAGATCCAGACGGTGAACGAGTTGACTGAAAGACTGAGGGGGGGGGGGGGAGCCGGAGCGAGCGGGACAGTCACACACACGCAAAGGCACACAGACTGCTGCAGCGAGGCAGAGAGACAACTATTAATATGCATTTGCATTTGTTGACTGTACAAATGACCGATTGACCGAAAGAGCAGCGTTGGACGAAATGAACGGGTCTTTTTACTGAACGACCCGGAATGATCCGGTTCACTGAAATGACCGGTTTTGCCCACCACTAGTGTTTTGGCTGAATTTTTTAAAAAGCAGTGGTTTTAATAGTCAATCATGAGCTCTGCTTCCTCAACTCTAGCTCAGCCTGACGGCCAATGATCTTTCCCTGACAAGACGAATACAATAGATTAGAGAAAGATAGAAAGACCTCATTCAGAAAATAAAACAGCCACTGTGGCATAAGAAAAGGAACAACGTTGAAACATCTCCTGCACCAATGACAGATTCTTACATTGTTGACTAAAGAGGATGACCTTAAATTTCCTCTGTGGCACGGTGCTCTAGTGTTGATTTGCTGGCATTTTAAGTGACCTAAATAAACCAATCAGCTTAAGTTAGGAGTGATAGTAAATCACAAAGACAATCATATCCAAAGGCATCTCACAAAGTACATGAAGATATTGGTAACTTTGAACATGGCACCTCAATTTTCAAGACAGCGGTATTGCCGGGCTAACATGAAGGCCATAGTGTTTTCCTGTACTGTATGTGGTCCTAGGGCTGGGCGATCAGGCCTCAAATCAATATCACGATATATTGAGCAGTTCATCTCGATAAAGATGAATGGACGATAGCTACTCCACAAGCTGCTCATGCCCTACCACATTAACTTCGTCTGCTTCAGCCACCGCTCCAGCTGTTACCTTTTTGTTACGGACTGGATGTGGTGGAGTCACGTCTCTGATGTAGGACAGCGTCTTAAAGGGACATGAGACCATAGCCTACCTATCTACTATTTATTTGACACTGAATATACCGATATGGGCAAAATGATGTCAGTTATTGTTGTAAATTTCGGAATCTGTAAATTTTCGGTTTATTGCCCAGCCCTTTGTGGTCCATATGAGTGACACAGTAAAAATGAATACTACATTTAATGTATTTTGTGTTGAATACGTGACACGTGTAAAATCTATTTAATGTGGCCAGTAACTTCAGACTGAAAACACTGTTTAAATAAGTTATAGGGGCCAAATTGCATAAGACTAATCCAGGTCTGCAGCCGGCTCCAATCTAATTTACAGAAAATCTGAGCAAAACATGTCTCATCTATTTTGTGGTCAATTTATAAAAATTGTCTAAAAACTGGACTTGTGAGTGTAAGCAAATTACACCATACAAACAGTCTGCATAAAAGTGAGTGAGGTTTTGATTAAACTTCCATGTTTTGTAAACATGCAACACATGTGGCCATTGTTTAATTCGAACAACAGTGAGAAGAAATCCAATTATGAGTGGACATCTCTGCCCTGGCACAGCTATCACTGTAGCCCTTAGCAGTGACATATCTACAGGAAAACACCCACACTGAGTGAACAACACATTTTCTGACCCCATGGCCAGACGCACTTGAGGAGAAGTGAGATGATTCTTTTGAGATCTTGATGGCTGTCCCAGAAATTAATCTCTACAGAACCCCTCATCTTGCATTCAGAGCCAAGACCAGAACCGCACATGGTGTTTCTGATTCCATGACGCAATGGAGCATGGAAGGGCTACAGTTGTGGTGTGAGGGATACCATCTGTATGCACTCATGTGTGTGAGGAACTGTATGGCCATGTACAGTTAGTGTGTGTTTGATGCAAACTTGTCAGTTCAAGTAAAAGTAGAGAAGCAAGGACACACACCAGATATGGAATGAAAGAAAAGACTGGCTTTGAAACTGGAATACTTCTGTTCTGCCTAAAAACATGCAGTGTATGGATCATGTCACTGAAGCAAGCTCACATATGTGTAACAGTGAATAAAACACACCATAAGTTGATGCTGGTTGTTGATGATGACAAAAATTTCATTGGTTAGGTTTTACGTAATATGTCTGACCAAAAATAATCAACTAGAAAAATGCATGAGGATCCATTTAAACCAAGAACACCCGGGGGACATCAAGAAGAAGCAGAGATGTTAACTCCAGCTGCCTGTCAAGGAAGTGTGAGGGGGTCTGACATGATGAAGTGCAGGGTACAATCACAGCCCCCAGGTAAGGAGGATGGACAGCATCACCTCCACACACACAAAGTAGGGCTGACACTTTGATCTTGAGGAATACGTGTGCATATAGAAATGAAAATGAATGTGAACACCAACAGAGAACTTAACCTTATTCTGGTTCCAAGGGTCCAAGAGAACAAAAACCAATGTGTTAGATTGTCCACTGCTTCTATGTCACTCAAAACCTTAAAAATAATCTCTCTTTGGAAATGAGCTTCATAACAGGTTAGATCATGTACAGCAAGGTCTTGCTAAGCCTAATGTGCCATAAGAATCCACTCACTATACATCATTTTCTATTCATTTCTATTAGTATGAAACAACAGCAGAGAAATTTTTGTCCTTGGTTTCAGGATTTCCATGTGAAGCTGTTTGGTAGATGGGATGAAAAAACATCTCTTTGAATGACTTCAGTAATTCTGTTTACAAACATGTTTCACTGTCAATTTCCTTTGTCTGTGTATTTTTTTGTCAATGAATGAACTAATTCTTCAATCAAGTAATGAAAAAAATCTTCTGTTGCACATGACAAATTCATTCTTCATTTTATAACGAAAACCATGCAAGTCTAAAGGTTCAAATTCAAGTTGAAGATACTGTGGCCTTCATCAAATTACTTGACAAGCAAGTTAAAGTTTAAACTGATACCAAAAGAACAAATATGAATTTTTACCATCCCCGTGGGCGATATGGACATTTCTTTTTATGTTCTTAGATTAATCTTTTATTTGGAATGTGTTATGAGGACATTTGTGCGCAGACCAAGACTCTCTGCAGATCAACCCTGTTTCAAACCTTAGCTGTGAAAGCTGTGCCAGGCCAAGGAGGAAGCCCAAGGGAGTAGGGACCAGGTCCTGTACAAGCAGGTCCCCTTCCTGTCTGAGAGTCTGCACTGACCGGCTTCACTCAGATCCTAAAGAGATCTCTGGATCTTTGAGAAGTCACCTCCGGCTTCAAACAGTCCGACACCATCCTAGTCCCAAAGAAACTCTCCATCACAGTTTAAATGTTAAACTACAGGCCTGTTTGCCCCTTACATCTGTGGTCATGTAAACTTTCTAGAGACTGGTGTTGAGCCACCTAAAGGACATCACAGGACCCCTGCTAAAACCCCTGCAGTTTGCCTACTGTGCTAACATATCAATGAATGATGCAGTAAACATGGGCTACTAGGCCAATAAAGCTGATTCTGATTGTGGTTCTGAGAAAAATGATGTTGGTACATTTAAGTAAAAATGAAAACTATAAAATATCTTCTCTCTTTTATTGAGTTTGTACTTTAAAATGTTCTCTGTTTTAATGTACAGCAAATTATATTCTAGGGCAGCTTGACTCATTATGTTGGGTGTTCTTTTGGCACGACTGAGTCCTCAGTTACTATTTTGCTTTGACAGAGTGGTGTTTCGCAAAACAAACCAATTCCAGGTGGACAAACAAAGACAATGACAACCCTTCACCCCACACTATGTTCTACAGTGCAGCGGGAGCAGTCTTTACTGTTGCACAACATGTGTTTGTGTATGGGTGGTGATGGCTGGGCATCCATGGCGGCACTTTCAGATACAAGCCGCTGTTTAAACAAGCAGCCATCCAGCAGCACAATACCACCAGCCCAATACAAAGGCTGTTTAACTGGACCCCTTTTCTGTGTGAACCACCTCAATAGAAGGCTGATTGACTGACTAAAGGTCACACAAAAAGTGTTTTTTATGCTTCCTGTGTGTTTTCATGCACATAGTGCTGCCTATCCAAGCCAGCAAAAACAAAACATTTTCAGATAACTATTGATCAGAAGGAAACTCATAAAGTAAATAAAATTAGTTGTCATCTTTAATTCCCTGTTAAAAATTTGGAGCACATATCAAAAAGGTTTTAAGGGCTAATCTGGCTTGCTATCGTCTTATAAGGCCTTATTTACCAATTAAGGCTGCCCAGTTATACATGCACTCTATGACTTTATCACACTTCTTCTATACTGTCTGGGGCTGGGCCGCCCAATCAGTAATGAAGCCTATGCCGTCATTATGACTGTTTTGGCTGTGCCCCAGATTTGGTTAGTGAAATGATTGAAAAATACTCAAATAAAAAAGCTCCTACAAGAAGTGCAGCTAGTGGAGACTTTGAACAAGCAGTCGTCTTTGTTAGTCGAAGATCCACAGATTTGGAATATCCTAGCATCAGAAATAAAAACATTAACTTTCAATCTCACCACAAAACTATGGCTTAGAGACAAATCTGTGACCCTTATGCTGGCTTTACTACTAGCTCTCAATGTGTTCACATTGTTAGTTTTTCTGTGTTTATAAGTGAGTGCTTGTTTTATGTCTGCTTTGCTTTATGTGAACCTATAATTGCTTGTCTGTGATATTAGTTTTTAAGTTTGTTTAGCAGTTTATGTATTATGTGCCTTATTTCCAACTGTCTAACCAGGGACAAGGACTGCAAATTAGCCATAGCTAGATGTCCTTTATTACTTTGGTTGTATCTTTACATCCGTTGCTCTTTAATTAGATGTAATAATGCCTACATGCACTGTCCCTGTCAAATAAACCGATAGACAAAAATAAAATAAAAACAAATTGTGTGCAAGCAACTATAACTAAAAGCTTAAAACCTTTTTACAATATGGTTGGAGGTGGATGTTGTAGAGAATGTGAATATTAAAACATCATAATGAGGTAGAGATTTTCACTTCATTAAGTCAATCAAACCTGGGCCAGGTAAGAGGACGTAGTACCTTGACCTTAGCTACCGGTGTTTTAACATGACAAACTCAGACCCAAACACTGTGAGCTTTGCAAAAAGGCTGACATGCCCATTCCACATGTATAACATTCAATAGCTCCCTCTTCTGGTTTAAGAACTGTAATACAAGGTAAGAAAAGGCACCTGTCCAATCAGACATGGTTGCACTGCCATTTAACTTAAAGCTCTCTTTCAGCCATGACAACCCAGATTCTGTCTCCTCACTTATTAACTGTACAGCTCACCTTAAACACTGGATGACCCAAAACTTCCTATGACTAAACATGAACAAAACCAAGATAATCATAACTGGTTCAGACACTTCACATGCCCACATCACTGAACATCTTAAGGCCTCTCTGAGCAGATATTTCTAACAGCTGCAAGAATCTTGGAGTCATTTTTGATGACAACTTCAATCTGGAGAATCAGGTCGATTCAGTAGTAGAATCATGTTTTCATCAGCTAAGACGACTTTCCAGAATCAGTCACCTACTTCCCAGAGAACACCTTGAAACAGTCTGAGTCATATTCGCCTTCATCTCCCCCCACCTGGACTACTCTAACTCCTGATATTCCTGTCCATCACAGCAGAGCCTAAATGAACTACAGCTGGTCCAGAATACATCAGACAGACTCCTAAAAAGAATAAAAAATAAAGAAAGAAAGAAAGAGAGAGAGTACATCACTCCTATTTTACCCTCCCTACACTATTGACAAGGCTGGACTTTTTTGGGCCATTGTCCAAAATTTAAAAATTCTCATACATTTTGTTATTGAAGTTAAAGTTAAACAGGGTGACTCCAAACAAGCCAAAACCGGCTGCAGGTGACCATTTGTAGTTGACACTCATTCACTTTTATCGCTTTACCCACTCCTGTTTGTTGTCCATTTCTTTAAAAAAACATGACATGATGATAAATTTTATATAACTAATGAAAAACTGAAAAAAGAAAACAGCATTTAATTTAATTATCATCATTATTATAATTTTTTGTAATGGTGCGTTCTGTTGATCCTTAAATTCAAAAACAAAGGCTATGATGATAAATGAATAGTCAACATGAATGAAAAGCTTTGGGAGCAGGAGTGTGTTCCACCTGTAATCATTCAAGAGAATACAAAACTGAGTCCTTAGCCTCTCCTACAGAACAGGTTTCTGAATCCCTGAAACAGGCTCTCAGTCATCTCTGAAACATCCCATGGTAAGTATGCCTGCAATTCTTATTTGTTGTTGTTGTTGTTGCTTTTTTAGTCTCACCTCCTCTATCATAGTGTCCATGGCATCAGACAGTTCATCTTTTGTTGCATCACTGGTCACCATGTTCCTCAGTCTTAGGCAGTATTCTCTCAGCTGAAACAAACAGTCAGACATACACAGAGGTGTTAATTCACCAAGTACAAAAATGACTAACAGGTGGGCATGGTAGGTCAACATATGGGATGTAACAATATTGTCAATCATTGGATCGAAACACGATTCTGTCAAGGACCTGGTTCTACATTCGTACAGTTAAGAAATCATTGATATTTGAACCTGAATCATTTCATTCCTCCTTTCAAGTCTGATGGACTTACACTGTGAAACGAGCCACAACTGGTGCACAAAAACATAAATCCATGAAGCTCTGAGTAGTATTTTGAATTCCCAACCAAGAGACATGAACCACCTGAAGAAAAATATTATTGATCAGCTGCTGGTGAAGGTGGTTTTCAAGCTTGGCTGAATACCTTCAACTGATTTCAGGTTGAAAAAGTCTGTTGTCTTTTGGATTCTGGTGGTGCTGCTGTGGGTGAGTTACCCCCTACTTCACTCAAAGCAGCTTTGGTCATCACTCAAAGTTGTAACAAGCCCCACAAATTAAGGAGGGTCATCTACTGTTGTTATCCTAATTAAAATCGGCAGGTAAGAAGCTAAGAGGCTACAACCAAACAAAGTAGTGCATACAGGTGAATACATTATGACATGTTCAAGGTCCAGTCAGTAAAATAACCGTCAGACAAAACTTTATGAGCAGCTCAGAGTTATATGAATGTTACTCTCCTCCAAGTTGCCATAGCCTTTGTTTTTTTAAGTATAGCAAAAAATACAATATCATGGACTGGTTATACAGAGATTTTGACATCATTACCTTCCTTATAAACATACCTTATGGTTAAGGATATCATTCATTCTTCGGGAGGCCTCTGAACTGTGCGACTCTGGAAAGCACTTCTTCGGGATGACTCCATATTTTTCTAAACACAGATTTACACACAAAGAATAAACAAGAATTCATTCTCTCTTCCTAATTTTCTTTGTAACTCCACAAACTACTGGATTATAGCTGTTATGGGTGTTATTGTCAATACATTTATTCACACTCCTCAGTGTGACCATATGTCATAAAGAAACTAACCAATGAGGTTGGTCAGCATGTCCCACTGTCCTCCATCATTGGTTGGATTTAACAGTAGGAACTGTACCAGGCGTCCGTCTACTGGCTCTTTTCTCTGTGCTGTCTCCACACAGGCATGGAGGAAGTAGTAGCACCGCTCAATCTAGAAAAAACAAACAAAAAAGAAGAAATATGGCAGGTACTAAGAAACTCCAAGAGACTGTACAGTTTTATAGTTTATTGTGTTAGGGTATAGGCAGAAACATTTCACTTGAGTTGTCCTTTCAAGTTTCCCTAAATTCAAATTAGTGTGTAAGGACTTTAAAAAAAAAATCATATTAAACTTCTTATATTGATCACCAGAATTCCTCTGTATCTGGCTCCATAATGACTAAGTGCTCCAGTAATCTTAAAGGCCAACCATCTTAGGAGGACAATCATTTTCAGAAGAAAACAGAGAAGACAACACTAAATTCTGCGTACTAATTCTGTCCCCTTTCTGCGCTATTTTTTCTCAATTTTGAGTTACCTTGAATTAAACCTTCATCTTTAACCAACTAAATTCTCAAGAAATAGAATTAACCCTGATTTGTAGTTTTTAACTCATGCATTTTCTCGTTATTTACTACCGACTGCATTGCTATATGGGGTAAAAAAAAGACAGAAAGCCTGTGAGAGAAAAAGAAACAGATAAAAACATTTATCCTGATGTCACTGTTGACAACCCTGACAACACACAAAAAGCCTTGACAACAACAACACACAAAAAGGGTTTCAGCAGTACAACTAAGGTATAGTTGTACCACAGTACAATAACACTGTACCAATGCATACAGGCATACAAACATACACACACAATGTAACAACAGCGAAACAAAAGCATCTGTTTACCAGAAGCTTACAACACTAATAACTAACAGTAGACTTAAAAGGAAAAGTTGGAAAACACAAAAATAGACAAAGGAAAAAAACCAACAATGAAGCAGTGACACATGGCCAAACTGACAATGTGGAAAACCCCAAGTACACAAGAGTTGTAATTTTTTTTAAAAGGAAAGTCCAAGTTTTGTATGTCAGACCACAGGACACTTTTCCACTTCCTCTTAGTCCTTTTGAAAAGGCCTCAGGCCCGCAGAAGTTGCTAACATTGCTGGATCATGTGTATGTTTAATCATTTATGGGCATGGTGAAATTTTCACCTGCATTTGTAAATGCAGCAACAAACTGTCTTCACACATGATAGTTTCTGGATATGATCTTGAGCCCATGCAGTGATTTGCACTGCAGGATCATGTCTGTACTGGCCTTGTGCCTCTGGATCTTTTCATCAAATATGTACCATGTTTGAGAAATCTCAAGGTGTTGTTTTTAGCATTACACAACTTTTCCAGTGTTGGGTATCCCTGTCTCATCTGTTCTGAAATGTCTTGCTGGCATTAAATTTAAAATGAACATATATTATTCATAAATGTGAACATTTTCTGTCTCAGCATTTGATTTGATTTTTTTGCCAAACCCAACTCTTACGGAATTGGGACTGTAAATGTTAACTTTTGTAAACACAGGAGGAGTGAGATTTTAAAACTATTTAACAAGTTTACAGTTGAAAGAGATCAAACACAAAATAAGAGACTTGTCAGACTGTGGAGAGTGAAAAATCATAGTGGGAACAGAGTGGCACCCAATCTTACCTTGTCCCAGAAAAACAGATAAGACTGACTAAACTCAAACTCCTCTATGTTAAACTTCTTCATGAAGGGAAGTCGCATGACGTTGAGGCATGAGAAGATCCAACATCTCCCTGATAAAAAAAAGACAGAGAGAATCCTGAGTAACCTGCAGGTATGATAGACCTAACCACTATTTATCTGTAGCACTGCTAGCATCCTACCTGAGTTTTTCTGGTTGGTAATAGGCTTGCCCTCAGTGGGAATGGAGTGCTGAAAAATATGCACTGTGTCCTGGACAGTCTGCCGGTGGAGACAGACCTCCAATGGGTCAATGCAGGTCGATACATTCTGGGCCAACAGGTAACGTGGTTCAGCCCGCAGCCGCTTAAAGAAGGTGGCTACCTTCTCCTGACTAAGACCTTGAAAAATGAGAAGCAGAAAACAAAGGATAAGATTACACAGAAAGGGATTGATATTATTATTTTCTTTAGAAGTTATTTATAGGGGTAGTCTACTTATGTCAGATATGTTTTTTTAAATAAAGCATTATTTTGTGACACTCCAGTTTTAGTCATTTATATACCAAATATTTTAACAAGTGTGCCAAAGTTTATTTAATAATTTCAATTTATTTAGGATAGCCCCTTGAGATCCAGCATCTTGTTTTCGAGCACTTACACAACTCAATCTTTTACCAATGACTCTTTTTTTTTAAAACAACTGCATCCTTTCAATGTGAGCATTATTAAGCAATAACACATTACAACGGCTCTTAAAACTAGTAATAAGCTTCTCCACTGTAATTTTGTTTTTTTTGTGTGTTTCATACTAGCAGATAATTGACATTGATTAGTACAGACGATCATTGGTTGTAGCTCTGAAAGGTAAGATGTGTTTTGCTTAAGTTGGCACTAGTTCCAGTAAAATTTGGCCACCTTCAGCTGCGAGGGGAAGCATTTTGGCATTCATGAGTAGTTCAGTTTTTGACAAATGTAGATTATGAAAGGAAAAAAATGGGTTCTATACTGACTGAGGGAACAATGTTATTTTATGGGGTATTTTTCAGATTCATTTTCTTTCTCAGAATGATTGAGGGAAAAGGAGGAGAGAGGTGGCTAGTGCCTGTAGGTGTCTCTCGTCTCTATAAAAAGTGCCTCTTTAGAGTAACACAAGATTTTTAACTGTGCAGTGTAGCCAATAAAGTCCAACATGAGTGGCCACAAATATCAAGTTTAGCCTATTATCAGTAATTTGCTGTTCCTGTATGAAGTAAGTGTGCATTTAGTTTTATGATTGGCACTTAAACCATTGTTCTGAGGGAGCTGTTGTTGTTGTAGTACATCTGTATCCACCTCTCTCTTTCTACATCTCTCTGCCTTTTAGATGCCAAAACAGTAATGGCAGGAGTCTGGTTCTGCTTGAGGTTTCTACCCATCAAAAGTAAGTTTGTATCTTACCAAATGCTACCAAGTGCTTTGCTCATGATGAATTAAGATGTGATTAAATCTTTACTGTCCTGATTTTGGGTCCGGTGAATGCTCTTACCGTAAAAAGTTCTTACCGTAAAATGTTTTGAGATTACAATTTTTATAGATTTGGGTTGAATAAATAATGATTGACTGATTATTTGAAACAAGGAAATAATCTTCTTAACTGTTTTCCCTTGGTGTTTTTAAATGACCCTGGGGGGCTGAGGGCTAACCACAACAGGCCAGTGTCCATACATTTGGCTCTCTGTGTGAGAGAACAATCAGGAAAGCTTGTCTCGTCTCTCTACGCTGGAGGAAGGGTGAACACAAACTTGGATGGACTCAAACTTTGCACTGATGCATGGTTAGTAATTACATTGTATAGCTGTGCAGAGCAGTTAAACACTGGCAAAGGGATATTGCTTAGTCATGCATGCTACGGAGACTTTAACATCCTCTCCTCTTAACCGTGCACTGTTGTTTTTTCCATCTGGACAAAGATGGGATGCCATTATAGGCCTTTTATCGTTAAGCAGAATGGGGCCCAAGTTAATAGTTATTACAAAATGGAGGATTGCTGTAAGTTTTATGCCAATGTATCATTTTCCTTGAAGCTCAAATCTTTTTATCATGATCAGTCATGTCGTTTTGAAGTCACTCAACAAGTTTAACAAGTTTAACCATTAATGATGAGCAAAGGCATTATAGTGGTTTTCAATGGCAAGGGGCCAGGCACAGGCAGGCAGGGTAAATTTACACTCCAGTGGTTGTTCAAAGGCGGTATATTAGCTAAGCTCTCCTCGATGCCCTTCATACTCACAGGGCTAAATGACAGTGGAGCAAATGATGTCAATAAAGTTCACATGACAGATTACTGTGGCTCTGTAACTAAACCTGTACGTGACACACACACACACACACCTAGAGACAAAATAGACAACTCAAATCAATGTCCCACAAATAACCGTCTAACTGAAGCTTTGAACCATCAATCAAAGGAAATACCGAACAAACCTGACCCAACTTCGACTGTTCAAACTTGACATAAGACACAGTATAGCATTAAGTAACATGTAACATTAAGTGTTTTAGAGGATAAAACGATTCTCATAAATGTAACTCCCCAAAAATGAAACCAAACTCCCATTGAGAGTTTGACAGCTTCTAGTATTCTCAGCTTCATTCATTGTCGGCTAACATTAGCACAAGCTAGCATTTCCGGGCTTTTGTGGCTGATAGCAGTTTTAATGACTGAAAGTCGTTGGCTGTCATTGTCTCAAGTTTAGGTATCAGTGCCTCTCTGTCGATCTATCAGCATCATCTGTCAGCGTTACCGGCAGAGATAAACGATGCCACAGTGTCACTAGCAAGCTGCCGTGTAACGCAACTCATGCTAACTTAGCATGAGTGGACGTTAGCTTTGCCCAGCTGTTAAACACACGCTGCGCTCAAGCTAGCGAGGAAACAAACTCCGTGCCTAAAAGAGAAATGAGGTGAGGTGTCAGAAAACCCACCGGTTTCCATGTTTTTCAGATTCCAAGGAGCGTTTTCCGTTTCCACGAAAAGTCGCCGGCTCTTTGTTTATGTCATTCACCTACCGTCAGGCAGTGGGTGGGTGAGCACAAGGTGCGCTCGTTTATCCCCTCACAGACTATTTCTGACGCAACTGCTGGGCGGAGTTCCCACTCAACTAAATAGGACATAGACTGATCAATACTTTTCAATATTGTTCCGTTCATATGCTGAGCTAATGGCATGATTAGGAAATGTTACACACCAAATTTTCCTTCAGCAATTTTTGTTAGATGTTAAACTTTCAAACCGTGAAGACAGGTTTTTCGATTTGCTCAAAGTAAAGTGATACGGTGGCCGAAAACCGCCACTGCTGCAAATAAAAAACGAATGCAAAAAAGAGAGTTCACAACAGAAGTTACCAATGCAAGAACAAAGAAAACGAAGCCCACGGCAAATAAAAAAAAGAAACAGTGCAGATTAAAAAACCCCAAGACAAAACAGAAATAAATGACACACAAAAAAGTGGCGATGCAAAAAAAAAAAAGAAAAAGTTACTTCGAAAATAAAAGGATGCAAAAAAAAAAAAAAAAAGCCACAAAGGAAGTTACCGATGCAAGAGAAAAAAACGAAGCCCACTGCAAAAAACAAAACAAAACAAAACAAAACAAAAAAAAACTTCGGGTAGAAAAAAAAAACAATTTAACGATAAAAAAAATGGAGATGCAAAAAAAAAAAGGTACTTGTTTCAAAAATAAAAGGATGCAAATAAAAAAAGCCACAACAGAGGTGAGCTGCCGGGGACCAACACTACACCAGCATCCTCCAGTTCAACTTCATATCGACTCAGGATTATTATCATTATTGGTTCCTGACAGCTCACTTTTGTTGTGGCTTTTTTTCTCTTTTTATTTGCATCCTTTTATTTTCGCAGTAAGTAACTTTGGTTTTTTTCCATTGCCACTTTTTTTTTTTTTGCATCATTAACTTCCATTGTGGCTTTTCTTTTTTTTTTAATCTGCACAGTTTCTCTTTTTATTTGCAGTGGGCTTCAGTTCTCAGCCACCGTTAAAAATACACTGTGTCAAACGAAATTAAAATATTGTTTTAGTAGTTTGAGCAGGTCAACGATCTCAGCGGGTCCAATCAGAGCACAACGCAAAGCCGACAGAGTAGGTTTTATGTAGAGAGTGTGAATCACCGTAGACCTGTGAATAAAGCTACTGTAAATTAAAAAAGTTACCCACAGTTTCTGTAAGGTGGTAGCAGACTGCAAGCCAGTCGACATTGTTGATAACAACTGTTTGACCTTTGACCTAAAAAAAACCTGTGGGGAATCAGTTTCATTTTCCTTGAGATAGACTTTGAAAAAAACAACCTGAAAAACCAACAAAAACACAACAAACACACACACAAACAAACAAACAAAAAGAAAGAAATAGGCTGGGATGCAGTTAAATCTTATTTTCTCTTTTTTATTGTTATTGTGGCAGAACTGTTGTACGTTTGCTTGGCTGTGTATAAAAAAATGAATAATGGATGTAAACAATTGTCGGCTTTTAAAAGTACTCTGAACCATCCTCAGTAATGTACGTAATAAGTAGGAAATAATGTACATTAAGCAGATGCTAATAAAAATAAAATCCTGATAGTACCTTAAAGGGTTTAATAGTTTTGCATATTTTTTGTATGACCGTGAGAACTTTTTATAGGACATGCACAGGGATTTCCCAGACTGGCAATGCTGACATACCAGTTTCTTTGCATACCAACAGTATTAGTGTCACCTTACCATGTCTTTTTTTTCTTCCATAATGACCATGACCCAGTTGCTCTCCCAACTGACATCTGACCATGTGGACATACTTATAACATTCAAAAAGAATAAGAGAGCAGAAAACTGGAAACAGCAAGTCTGAAATAAATTTCTGCATAGTTTTCTTGTTGCAGCAAATCCACATTTGGTTGAAGCTCGTGTAACCTCTGAATATCTTGCAGCGTCCTGTAGCAGATATCAACAGGTGGTGCTTAAAGTTCACTGAGTGTTTTGACCACTCAGAGGGCTGGCAGTGGTGGCCAACAAACCATGACTTACTGTGCAATTTCTTTGTTTCAGAATTCACTTTCTGTATTCACAGTCTATGCATTCTATGTGGAGCTTACCTTTTACAACGGTGAGTAGCAGCTTCTGTTTGCATATGGTATATTCTGTGAAAGAGTAGCTGAGGACATGATTGAGAATAGTGATATAGCAGTTCCAGTCTTTGCTGAAGCAGTTTGTTGTATAGTTTGGAGTATAGTTAATAATTTATAGTAGGCCATTGTTTGATCTGAAAAACATCTGAAACATTTCACATTTGGACTTCCCATTGACATTTCAGTGTCTGCACACACTGTTTCCTCATTTCAGGCCACATATGTGCCAGGAACATTGAACTGTAAAAAGAGGAACAATGAAAATGTCAATGAAAGAGAAGACATGGTTGCATGGAATGTGGTGGCCAAGGCTGTGACGTACAAGACATATGGAGGGGCAACACAGCAGGTGGCACAATAACCGTTTGGTCTCTATTATCATATTTTTACGATCTGAGGGAGCCATAATCATAAATCATAATTAAAATCCACTTAATAGACCATATTAAGGCTGGACTGAGTTAGGGGAACAGCTTTAAGCTTAAACAAAAGATGGCATAGGCAAGGTGAGGCTCGTTTATTTATATAGAACAGTTGGGCAACAGAGCAATTCAATGTGCCTAACACGGGCATTAAAGAATCATTACAGAAGTCAGAAAAAAAACACATGAAAGAAAACGTTTACAGTTCAACAATTTGTCAAAGCTGGGACTTTTGGGTTGGCTTTGTTTATGGAATTTCCCCTGATTATTAAATCATGTTATTACAGCATTGTTTATGCTGGAAATAAATCAGTTCTTTGTTGCCATCACTACAAAACACTCAACAGTATTGTTACTGTCCAAAAAAAGACAGTTTTCTATTCTGCAGAGCCCTCTAGTGCCAAGATAGTGTGCTTGCCATTATAAAAACTGCATATTGAAGCTAAAGAAAACAAGGGCAAAAACTTCAAAAAGACAATCAGCAGTGATTGCATTCATGTTGCATTTATGCTGCATTATACGTACATAGTAAGTTAGCTTTAAACCATCAATACTGATTGAATCCATTCTTGGAACTGTGCATTACCGATACAAAAGGAAATAAAACTTTGCAATGGGGTGCACAGAAAATGGCAACATTGTTAGATTTAATATATGAGCCATTATAAATCATGCATGAAAGTGAAACTTAAGGAAAAAATGGCAAATTTTATGGCCCTGAAATTTGTTCGCACAATAAAAAGACAATTTAAAACCCTCCCACGTTTGATTACAGGGCTGCACATGGGCCAGACCATATTGTAGTCACATGGAATAACAGCATTTTTCTTTTTTGATGACCATATTGTCAAACTTTATTTCCTACCATCTTTATTTTCCTACCAATTTAAAAAAAATATGAGACATTGTTTGCGCAGTATGATGTACTCATCCACTGTACAAAGACTATGTTCCATAACATGTGTCAACCAATTGGATAAGAGTTACTGCAGATGCAAGGCCACATGGGTTTCTGCAGGTATGCAAAATCAAATATATTGAAATCATGTGTGTACATTTTTGGATAACCTGTATTGTCTCCTAGCCTCTCCCTCTTCCAGAAGTGCACTGCACAGAAATCTTGTCTGTGTAGGTGCTTCCTTTTGTATTCCTATCATTCAGGGACTGGCATGTTCTATAAACAGTGAAGTCAAGCCTCAGGAGTTCACAGTCTTCAGATGTACCTGTTCACAGAGACCAGCCACATCAGACACGACAGCCTCTCTCCTAGCATCAGTCAACCCCAAAACAAACTAGTGAAATGGAAACAGAGCTTCCTCTCTTAGAGACGTAAACTATACTTTGTGGTTAGTTGTACTGACAGAAAAATCTTATTGTAGCATATTCAACTCATTAATTACTTTTTTCTTAATCTGCATTTTACAGCAGTCGCTGAGCCCCAGCAGAGGACTGAGGTGAGTCGGTGCCCTCTGCAGTGCCCTCGACAGTAATTGTTATTCCAGACGATATTTGTATGTGTTTGCATGAACTTTATTTTGAGTTTTAGAGGAGGTGGGGGGCTGTTTTGTCGGGACATTTGTGTGAAATGTCGGGAGTAGAGGATTGGGAATGATGTGCAGCAAACGGTTGTGATGATCATCATAGGCTTAAACCACCAAGCCAACGAGCTACTAGAGAGTTCCCTGGCAATAAAAGGCAAATATCTTTTCTGCACATTTTATTTAACATAATGAAAGAGTGGCAGCTGAATCAGCTGAGATGCTGCAAAGGGGAGACATTTGGCTTTCATGACAGTGAGGTGAGGTTTTGTACGTTTCTGAATGTGACTGCAAGGGAGAAAAAATTATAGGCAGCTGAACTAATTTGTTGTTATTGCATTTTTCTCAAGACCAAACAAAACACACACACACACACACACACACGAAACACTAACTCTGTGTCAAAAGCTGTTAAAAAAAAGAAACTGACTGACACAAAATACATTTTATTATAGAATAAATTCCTAATGGCACAGTACATAATCAAATATACATATACCTGCTTCGACATCTTTAAATTAATATATATTTTACTCAAATAACCATTTTGATTACTTTACTTTGCAGATACATTTTTACATGACATCAATGAAAAAGAAAAAAACAAAACAAAAGTAAGCTAATAAATAAAGCATGACAACAGAAAAAATCAACAGGAATAAAAGGCAACACCTGCAACAAACTGAACATCTTACCATCCTGTCTTTGTGTGATATCTGTCAGAGCTTTCCTTGTTCAAGGTAAGCACTTGTCTTTAATAATTCTGTACACATCTGACTCCAGTCAAAGGATATAATTGTGTTTTGCAATAAATTCAAATGTGTCCTGAATAGTTAAAATAACCCAAACTACAAAGCACAGTTTCATTATTTGGATGAAGTTACATCCATAGGGACTGGATATTCTATGAAGTCATCCTTTTTGCAACAAGGATGGTTCTCTACACAGTACGAGTACATAAATATTCTTACAAAGACCCACAGATCTGTGCGTTTGATTACATAGGACAAACCCTTGTGTGTTGTGTGGCTTTTTCTAGGATAGTACTTGTCTTATTTTGTGCTGCTTAATTCAGTATGGAAAAGTTTAGGACCAGAGCTGACCTGCTATCTTTTGGCGCTCTTAAGTAAAAAGCTTTACTCTTTCAAATAATATAATCAAAACTAAAAGAAGGCAAGAATTTTACATTCAATTTTTCTTTCTACTTAATGAGATGAGAGTTTAATTCAGTCTGAAGCACAGTTCTTGAAGTTAGTGTCATTAGCTGCTATGCTGAGAAACTTTTAACTATGTAGACAATTTGTTAAGAGTTTCACCGAACATAAGAGCAAACACACAGAATTAGCAAGCTTTAGTGGGAGGAATCCCACGATGAAATGTTTGCATTTGCATGAGTATTTTCAATATGGTGGTTGATTGGCTCCCAACGACTGTGCTGTAACCAGATATATCAGAACATATCATATCTCATATCTTGTCTAACATAATGAAAAGGGCAGACAAACAAAGGGAGAGATTGGCAGAAAGCCATCTATGTTGGAAAGGGCTTTGATAGATTGTAAGGCGCAACTTTGGCGAAATTAAGCTCATGGCAAATTGTGTGGCAGTGCTAATTCTCTATACCCAAGCACAGGAATCCAGTAATTTTCTAAAGTAACCCCCCTAAAAAAACAAAACAAATGCTGTTATGGGTATCAAGTAAAATGCAGCAATATTAAGTTTAAAGTGCAGCAGCAGCAAAAACATCTCAAAAATAAAAGACGTTTCTTAAATAGGCATTTTTTTATATGCAAAGACTAACCCAGATCTGAACAGTGAGAAGTGAGACTCTAGAAGGTCACTTCTATAGACCACATTTCTGCTCATCTGCACATTTTATCCCTTGAAAACAGGATCAGTTGCCAGATAAAATATTCAAAGGCATCAGGGATTCTCCTGGTACTCAACGATATTTCTTAAGATGTCCTTTCCGCTGAACATTCAGCAGCGAAACACACAGAGTAACAGTTCATAGTCTAATGATTGCGTTCTTTGACATCATGTTGTGTCTCTGTCATTCTTGGTCTTTACAATAAGCTTGAGAAAGAGCTGAGGCAGAGCTTGGCCCACACTCTCAGTACTACGACTGCTGAGGTGCTTCCAAGAATAAAACTAGATGCAGCTTGCAACGATGGCAAAGCATGGACTCATTTTTTAAAGGTTAATTGAGAGTAAAGCCAACTTTTTCTGCTCCTTCTTCTTACTATACAGTCACAGTTTTAGTTTCTGGTGTGTCGGGGCTCTTGCGCTTAGTAATCATGTCAGATATCCTTGGTTTAATGAAGTGAGTCCACAGTCCTGCTGGAGTTGCTGTCGTGATACTGTTTTTGCAGCTTCAGCAATCTGCACTGTCTTGTCGTTGCAGAGGTTTCTTGTTACAACAGAATTACTCAGACTGAAAGAGATGGAAAATGACACCATTAGAAATCATGATATATAAGAAGAGGAATTACTTGCAGCATGCATCTTTCAATGTGGGCCAACAACCTGAAACTAGTGCTATGATAAAAACATCACACAGATCCAGACACATGATATATCACTAACATGTGTAGTGACACTATTAAAGACAAACAGAGGACTTTCTCTTATGATTTCAAACCTAATACTTATATGTCATTGTAGGAGCCATGAGGGCAAGGTAAAGGTTTGTGGTTATGCTCTTGATTTGTTTTGGTATTTTGTTGTGATTGGTGGCAGTGATTTGGGTCACGGGAATATGGGCGGTGTCGCTTAGTTGATTTAAGCACCTGTTCACCTGTGTTCATGAGGGAAGAGGTTTGAGTGGGTCGCCGTATTTTTGTTGACCGCACGCACACACGCATGTTAAGTCCAGTGAACGCTGCTTCTTTAGTTGGTATCGTTTTGTTGATTGTTTTCTTTGGTATTACATCATGTTTTTTCTAAGTTATTCCCGTCTCAGCGGATCATTGACAAAGCGCGCCAGACAACTAGACTAGGCCCGTATCTCATCCTCTAAGCGACATCTTGGTTTCTGAGGTCGCTATAGTCATGTATGAAGAGTTTCACAAGGGGTTGGTAAAAGACCTCCACTGTAAGAAAGAGTAGATGGCTGGAGCGACTACACTGCCCACACCACCAAAGTGAAGGAAGTTGAAAGCTAAAAGGACAACCTGACAAACGTCAAATCAATCTGTGCAAAGGACTTATTTCATCTCTGCCTATAAGTGTTGCTGGCCATTCACACTCCAGAGAAAACATCAGTTTTCATCTCAGTATGGCCTTGGAAATCACAGAATGAGAACTAATACAGCCACTGAACCAGGGAGAATGTTGATTTGGGGACTGCTGAGGAACGCCAAGTATATCCATCCAATATTGGCAATATGTTTCTTTATTACTCTATATATTTCCCCCATACAGTCTATAAGAATGATCTTATGGTAATAAATTGCTGTGATCAAAAGATAAGATGTCTTATAGAGCTCCCACCAGTTTGTGTTTCTAAATTGTTATTTATGTTGAAAAGCTTCTGCACTTTATTGCAAGACACCTTGAACTCACAAAAAAGTTTAAATAAAGGTTAAATAAATTTTTAAATTCATTGTCTTCTTACCAAATTCAAATCCATATCCAAATTGGTCCCTTTAAATGCTCTGTTATCGTCTCATGAACACCATCATTTACTCTCTTCATTATATAATAAGTTATTCTTTTGAAATTATGAATATAATCATATCCTCGATATGTGCCAACATTATTTCATATTTCACCATTTACTGCCCTACTATTTAGGTTTACATTATGAATAGTCCCGTTAACTTTATCTGTCCTTCAAAGTCTGATTTCATATGAATTTCATATTAAATTGAGCTGATCACAGCAAGATGCTTGTCTTTTTCTTTGCGTTAAACAAGCTTATTGTTTTACTATGAATTCAGTTTATCTCCCATTTTTACAAACAATTCATAAACTAAATGTTTGTAATTACCTCCAACCTTTCTTGGAGAAGTCTGTTTTACAGTCCAAGAAAAGAGCCTTTAACTGGAACTGAAGTCTCAATAAGTTTTGTCCTTTCTTCCATAAATGTAGTCACTCACCCTGCTGACTCTATTTTTTTTCCAAATAAATCAATACTAAGTTTGAACAAGTTATCTTTTGGCTGCCTGTGGTTGAACAATTTAAAACAATAATTAAAATAAAATGTCAACATTGTTTTTTTTTTGAAAGTATGTTATTTGAGTTAAAAAAAAAAGAAAAAATAATTGAGAGATGAGTTCAAAATATGACAAAATGACATTTTGTTTTTAAATATCGAGAAGCCCAGTGCAAGTCATAGACTCATCTTAATTTAAGTAACATAAAAGTTAAACTTTTTTGATGGAACAAAGAAGTGTAAATTAAATTTAAAGGTTAAAAAATCATAATGAAAATGCAGCAAATAGATGGACATCGCATTACTTACAGCTGTCGATGAGTGGCTCATTTTGTCAAATCTAAACTTCAGATTTGACCTTGGCGAAGTCTTAGTTTTCCCATCTACTGAATGTAGAAAAGAGCAGATAAGAGACAGAGAGAGATAGAGAGAAAGGATATGAAATACATACAGGATTATAATGTGATACAGATAATGTCTAGATTTGATAGTCTCTGTGTTTCTGTTCCTAAAACTGCAGGATTACCAGGCATACCTGATCCTTGGCTCTCCACACTGAGGGCGGGACTAAAGGCAGAGGATGCTACAGACTGATGACTGGCCTGGAAGACAGAGGGAGATGAAGAGACTTCAATGTACGGATATTTTCAGAGTAACTTCAATGAAACAAGGGTCTGAGAATTTGCTTCAGATGCTTGATCATCGAAAACTGAAGTTGGTAGTTTTAAGGAAAACTGAAAGGTAGAAAGCATACTGACTTTTGTAAAGCTATAGCCAGGAGTTGGTAAACTTAGCCTCGTGATGAGCATGGACTGTGCACATTTTATTTTTAGGGATTCTATTTCCTGAGTGGGCTGTGTGCTGTCACTTCACCTGTTAGCAGAGGATGCAACCCCCCCCCCCCACGGCGCAGTGGCTGAGTGCGCTCACCTGTCTCCACTCTACAATCAAGCCAGTGCCAGAGTATTATCGCCTCCACACTGTGGTACAACAATCTTTCAAAACTTCTCGTGATTACAGTTCAACATTTGAAGATTTTTGGTGTATTTCCTCCTCACCACGCTGGGACCTTGGATTCTCAATCCCTCGAATAAAATCTGTTAAACTTTCCCCTAGTCTGGATTGCATTTTGGGTACAACACTCTACAACAATCACAAGCCCAAAATAAAGAATTGGAAAGCTAGCCCAGATCTGTCCAAAGATAAAACTTTTAAAAAAGAGAGAAAGAAGAAATTGTGGCACTTTTGCATTCACATTTTTGTTCCAAGTGCGTTGAAACCGAAGTCTGTCAGACGGACTGTGAAAGATCTGTTTAGCTTGGCAAAAAAATCCCTGAAGTCTTTTGTGCGAGACACAACCATTCAACTGATTTTTTTTTGACACTTAAAATTTGGTTGAAGTGTCAACTGGTCCTGGGTACTGCTACATCAAGCATTTCATCTCTTTTTTTTGGCTCTCAGTATTCATTGAAAATTTTAATTGTATGCCGGTCCTGTTCTACGCTTTGTTTTTTGGTAAATTGTGTCAATAGATGCAAGGATAGTTAGAAGAATGGTCATCATTCTGCTCTCTCCTAACACTGAGTTACTGATTAACTTTGCAAGAAACTGTCGGGGTTGTACTCACTATTTCAAGCTCTTCTAGAGCTTCTGTTTCTCCTGTTGTGCTGCTGAAGCTGCTCGTGCTGGATGAAGAACGGGAGATGTTCGGTTTCCCACCGCTGTACTCTTTCAGTTTGATAAACAGCCTGTTGAAAAAGCAGAGGGAACAGAAATGTTGAGAGACTTAAAACCACTACACCCCACAACTTTAATGGAACAGGTAAAAAGTTGGCCTGAAAGTACAAAGTTCATGCACAGTATTTTGTCTTTTCTTGACACATCTGTTATGTTTTGTTGGACTTGTACAGTGTTACCCTTCTTTGATCTCAGGTGAGCTGGGATTGGATGATGTTTCTGATCTCACTTCTTGGGTCAGTAAGCAGATATCGGACAGCTTTTGGTCACTGCAGATGAGAAAAACACATAAATGACGACAACAACATGATAGCTTCCTCAACTTTCACAGTTTGTGATCAAAAATAAAATATAAACAAAATGGCGTTAAATAAATGAGATTTGTAATAGTGGTAGCCATGGTGCAACACATGGACTGTATATACTATGGACAACTTGGTTCCGCCAGTATACGGAAAAAGCTCTCTGTAATTCTGCGTTTTCTCTCCATTTCCTGAAACCGACATTGCGTAGTTGCTTTGTACGCACTCCACCACTTGCACAGTCGCATTGTGTGCATTCGGAGGAAGAGTCACTGAGAGTCACTGTGATGAGGCCCGCTCAAACAGCATGTCCCCCGGGTAGCGAAATTTATTTTTGTAAGACGGTAGAGAAAGTCCTACCTGCGAGTGTGCTTGTCTGTTGGGGTGTCTGTGCTGGAGTGAAGACGAGGGAAGAGGCCTGAGCGCCTTTTCACCGGGCTCTTCAGAGGAGACTTGGCTGACAAGACAGGAGGCTGAAGATTACAGGTTATAGGATTTGCCTTTTGAAAGAGTGTGTCAACATTTTTAGAAAATAATACAAGTTATAGTCCTTTTCCTTGAAAATTTCATGACTCAGTGGGTGTCAGGAGTTCTTCTATGCACATGGAATAAAATACAGAAGACTGGCTTATATAAAAGTACATCACAGACGTCTCTTTCCATTTCTTTTATAACCATTAGTATCAAAGTTTGACTCATTCACTTTGGCTCAGTTCTCGAGTGGCAAAAGCCCTTTTTAAAACAGTGAGCTCAAATCTATAAACAATTCGTTTTTCCTACACAACAAACAAAACGCTCTCAATCATTCAAGCAAATTGCAAAGTTTTGGTTCATGTAGGAGAACCACGATCAAGGTTGAAAGGATGTAAAAATATGGCCAGTGCTTTTAGCTCAAAGGTAGAGGAAATGACCATCAGTCATGGGATCAGATGAGTCTGCTGAATGTCATAAATACTGTTTGTGAGGACGTCACTGGTGATCACTGTAGGGGATGGGTGCGAAACACCTGGAGATGTTTTTTTCTCCAGGGCAATGAAAGAGAAAACACCCGGGGCCTCATTTATAAACATTGCATACACACAAGACGAGGGCTGATGATGCAAAGTTTGTGATTCGTAGAAACCAAACTTGCCAGGAAAAACTCCGACCCATGCCTACGCACAGTTTTATAAATATAAATCATTTTTGGCTTGCCAGATTTCCAGATTCTTGGCATACACATTTCTTGTATGAATAAATGAGACCTCTGATCTTATGTTGACTCAACATCTCATGACTAACAGAATGTCTACAAAGATGAGGCCTTCTGTAAAGTGGTACAAAGGTTTTGGTTTTGCTTGTTTGATTTTACCTGCATTGTTATAGGATTTCTTTTTGTTTGTTTTTAGGAGTAATTTTGTGGCAATCATAATGTGATTATTATGGTGAAAAAGCATATTTACACTTTGACCTACAACAACAAAACATCTCTTCATTTTGGTGACAGAAAATCTACCTTTGGAAAAGTAAATAAAATAATTGGGCAACTCAAACCCCTTTTTAATGTATTATTAAACTGTTGCATTAGAGTTTAGAGAAAGTTGGTAGTGTTTAAAAAAAAAGAGCCAAAATGATTGAGAAAAATCAGTAAATTACATTAAATTAACACTGATTTTCAAACACCTCTTTATTCTGTCTGAATAAAAATGATTTTCGAGTGCTTCTACTCACAGTAAAGGTGCTCTTTGTGCATTCACTGGTGCTCTGCGGCAGTCCTCCTCCACTCACACTAGCTGGTACTCCACCCCCCACCCCTGGGCTCCGGTGGCGCTGAGACCCGACCATGGTCTCCATGGAGTGACTTCTGACACGCATGGCTCTCTGGAGAAAGTGGAAACAGGAGAATGAGAGGATTAAAAAAATGAGGTGAAAGATAATTACACTTAACAGGGAAAGGAGAAAATGAGAGATGGAAATGTGGAGACAGATGATAGCTATATATTTGAAAAAGTAAACTGGGTGGAAACTGAAAACATTTATTCTCAGATTACAAACCAGATACATATAATTTCTATGGATGCTTTTGAAAAATACAACCACTAGAGGACACATTTTGTCAAAAAGTAACTGTAGTGGATGGATTAACAGAGTGTATGTTGTATTAATCATTACTGCTCTGATGCTTTTGTATCCACTGATATCAAGAAACAAGTTCCATGATATTTTACCAAATCAATGTCAGCCTAAAAAAATAAATGAGAGATGTAAACATGACACTTCAATTTTTGTCCTTATAATGTCAGAGAATCTGGAGAATGATACAGGACAAATAATCAAACCATATTGAAATATTAACTCAGACAACATCATGTAAAAGATTGTTTATTCATTCTGGACATCGGTGATTGCACACAGGTAATGAACAGTGACAGCTAGAGCAGCGAGGCAGAGAGCGACTCCTTGGACTGACTGCAAACAGTCCAAAGTAACTGTCCAACATTCCTGTGAAGAGCAAGACAAGTTATTTGTAACATACATCCCTCTGACAAAGAAACACACAGATGTAAAGATGATACTATTAGAAGAAAACAAAGAGACAGTGGAGTCGAAAAGAGCTTGAGTACATGTAAGAGATGAAGGAATATTCACAGGAGGACAAAGATACTGTTGGTTAAAGCAAAGTTAGCTGTTTTTGAAAGTTAGTGACCTGTGGGTGTGAAACATCTTATTTAGTGCCTTAAAGGTGGGGTAGGCAGGGTCCTGTTAAAGAACCATTAAAGAACTGTTAAAAAGAAAACAACCAGAAAGTACAAGAAATTGTCTGAATTTTTTGAATCCCCCCTTTGGCCACGACTGCCGACACAAGCAAGAAAACGAAGTAAATACCAGAAACTCTGGTGGAATAACGGGTGCTTAGACCACCCAGACAACAGCTAAAAAGCCGGGGCAACATCAATGAGGCATTAACGATTGGGACGCTTCAGATCTTGCGGATCCTGTAACCTTTCTGCTGGACAGGTAAAACACTTAAACAAAGTAAGCCAAGTGTCTGTAACAGAAGTGTTTCTTGTGCGTGTTGTAGCGTTGCTAAACTGTTGACCTTGGGTCATGAACTATGTCACATCATGCTAGTTGTAGAAGTCCTGCAAACTTTGTGTTTGCTGGTAGTCTGTTGGTATCTACAGTAGCACTGATGCTGTTTACTTTCACGTTGACTGGGCTCCATTTGTAATTATCTGAAGTATTTATCCACATTATGTCTGAATTTAATTAGAACGATACGAGCGAGCAGGAGCGTCTGTTTGTGGGCGGGGCTTGCTAGAGCAGAGACGAAGGGGAGAGGAGGAGCTGAGAGGAAAACTGGTTGGGAGGGGTAGTGGTTACATTCAAGATTTCTCCACAAAACTGGCACTTCCTCAGATCCTGCCTACCCCACCTTTAATGATTGTGATGAAATAAATGTCAAGGGCAGACATGTTGTCACTTTGTCCCACTTCATGTTCACCTTAAAGGACTCCAGTAGACCCCCGTGTCCACCATTTTCCAGTTTGTCCTCTTCTCCCACCTGACCCAGACCAAGAGCTGCCTGGCTTTGTCTGTGAAGCTCGTCATGAAGGTTGTCTAGGAGTGCAGCTCGTGTCCTTCCCTTGAATCATTTTACAAACATAAAGCTCATGTAATTTAACATCTTGTAACCGTTTAAAGGGATGATTAAATAATAATAATAATAATAACTATTTTTATAGCACTTAAAAAAAAAAAAGGATGTTTACAAAGTGCTTTAGCATGTAGTCGTAGAGCACATGGAAAAAGACAAATAAAAACAAAAAGCTTAGTAAAAACGGAATTGAAGGCCATTTTCATGTCATAAGGCAACCAGAAAACTATGCAACATAAAATGAGACCATGAGACCATGAGGTTATCATATGTCTTCAGTGTGGTTGTACAAACATGTGTCACCTCTAGTTTGGCAAATTTATCGGACTTGTAGCAGGCATTTTCAGCATTGATCAGCTTTGTCAGGAGGAAGTCTCGAAACTCAGGACCCTAGAAAGAGAGGGGTGAGAAAAAAGGGTAGATGACGAAGAAGGGTAGGGATGGAGGAACAAAAAAGTGTCAAAAAGGCATTATAAGCACCACTAAGATTACACCATTGAAGCACACTGAATCTAGTTAACACTGAATCTAATTAACAGTCTCAGCCTTATTGGTTTCTGTTGAATGACTTCAAAATTCAAAGCTATGCTTTTAGTCTTTGGTGTTAATGTCTCAAAATAAGACGAGTTGCTTTACAATTTGCAAAGTCATGGTAATGTTACCAGCGGCCAAACTGCCACTGATTAACTGTCACTCCTGTAAGTCTCAGCGCTTTCTCTCACCTTCTTAAAGACAGCAGGATTAGGGAGAGGGGGTCCAAAAGGAGGTACATCCTCTCTTGCTGCAACAGACACCTGTTGGCATCGACCAAGTTAGTCACACATTGTTAGTGTACATTTTAGGATGTACCAAGTATCAAGCGAGGGGGGAATAAAACAAAATCTAAGAAACATTTGAAAACATTGAATAATTATTCACATTTTTTTACATGTATTTGCGCTAATACTGATTTTTTTGTTTGCCTTTTTTAGCACAATTTCGTTTGTATTCTTTACCCATCTGATAAGTAGTTTCGTTAGAGCAAGGCCTTTCATTTTTTCATTTTATTTTCATTTTATTATATTTTTCGAACATGTGCTCGCAACACCAAAAGTAAACTGAAAACAAACAAATATAACTAGTGAGAATATTCAAAACAACAATAACAATAATCAAAGCAAAAAAGTAGAAATAAAATGAAATAAAAATTAATAATGATAATAAAAATGCGAACCCAACATGTCCGAAAAGGAGTAGGGTGAAGCCTTATGCTTTTTTTTTAAACCTACCCCTTCTCCTTTACTCAATAATATCAGTCTCCAGCAAAATTAAATTGTATTTACCAAAATATACATCATAAATAGAATTAGTAAGTACATTAATCATTTGTGAAAACACCCGACAGTTAATGCCCTTCTTCCTCCCTGTACCTGGTGAGAACCTTTCACAGCTTTTTGATTTACTCAAATACAGCTGGTGCTGAACATCCTAAGGTAGTACTAACGCCATTTTGCCACATAGACCATCATTGTACCTTGTACGTTGTGTTCTCTGTGCAGGGGTTCTCAACTTGTACCAGCACATAAGCATGAAGAAAGTTGGAGGCGATCATGTCTGGTACGAAAGGTGTCGGCTCCTCCTGGAAGACGGCTGCCACAATGTCATTTCCTATGTGCCTTTTCCGCTGGAGCTTGAGGAGCAGGAGAGAGTGGATTTATTACTCGGTTCATGGATTTTGTTTTGGCGTTAGGAGGACCTTTACAACAAGCACGATTTACAACTCTTCCATGACTCTGAGTATACAAAGCATATTTTTATTAGCAAGGGAAATTCAAGTGGGTTAATGAATACAAAGATAGGAATTAACTTTCAGCCTCAGCTCACACCTTGGCAAATCAGGTGACAGACCGTGAAAACAGTGTCAATGACAATGCCTGATTATTACATACTGCAAGGATGCATTCTTTGCCGTTCAATCCGTTCTGCTTACAATGTAAGAATAAGAAAACCAGTATTGTACCTGCTGGACATCTCCCTCAGTGAAGGGAAGTTTGGTTGAAACATGAAACATGATCTCTCTCCGTCTGAAGACTGTGTAGATGGATTCAGTCCCTGTCTGTCCGTGGAACACATCCAGCCCTCCACGAAACCTGTCTCATAATCAAAGCACATGTGTCGTGTCATTTGAGTGGCCTCCACTTTTCAGAAATAACACAAGATTGGATGTAATTCATGTTTTAGTTCCATAAAATTATGTGAGAAAGTAGTACAAAACTGCTGTTCCTGCTCCAATTCTTTTTTCTCTGCACTTTTTTTGAACAAATCTGAAATATATTCAGAGAATGAAAGAGCAATACCAAAAGCCTAAAGGTTAAATTAATTATTCCTTGTATTTTATTTTATTTCGCTTCAATGGCATCCTTTTATTTCATGCAGACCTTGTACTGAGTCCCCTATCTAATGTGAATTCGAGTTCTGTCTCCTCTCATTTATATTGCACTTAGCTCTACTTCTTTTCTGTTATTCAAATGCATTTTACTCCAAGTCTTACCCTTTGAAGTCCTGCAGCTCAATATTGTCACCCAGCAAACTGAGAAACTCCTTGAATGCTGGCGTCTCCTCATTATTCCCAAACAGCTCTTCCTCTGATATCTGAAAGGAGGTAAAGTTGACAGAAAACAGAGCAAAACACAGAGCAGTGCAACTGTTTTTATTCTGTTTGAATATTGTAAAGCACTCTGTGGCAAAAGTTTTATAATAACAATTAAAAAATAATAATAATCATGACATACGACAGTGTTTACTAGTAGATGTTAAATGTGAGGTAAGTTGGAGTAAACTGGTTTGATGAGTTTGATCACTTACTTGTTTGAACCTCTGGTAGATGACACCAAACTTGAATGTGTTGTTCACCTCATGTTCATCATAGGCCACTATCAGCTGGGATCCCTGCACATGTACAAAAACAATTATCACGTTCATTTTCTTACATGAAACACAGCACTCGGGAGAAAAAACAAAACGTTTTTCTTTTCTTTGAGACCCTAATGACAAGGATCATATGACTTATATGATATAGAACAGAATAGGATATCTTTATATTCATTAGTGCAGATAAAAACACATAAACAGTAAAACCTAAAGTTTAAAAACAGTATATAAAAATATTTACATATCACTTAAATGCACACCCACATACAGGGCATGTCCAATTCTAATAAAATGCATTATTTGCAGTTAAGACATATCACAAACAGTAAGGCCCTCGGTTGCAGAGACAGTGATCTTGCAGACTAACAGATGGTTTTCTTTCCTTTCCTGAGGCACAGGCTTAAAGCACGTCCTAAAACACTGCTGCTACACAGAGCCTCCAGGGACAAAAACCGGTCCCTTGTATCCATTATATGAAGTTGTTAACCTCTTGTGTTATCAATCTTTTTTTTAAATAATGTAGCTAGTAACTGAAAAGGGCAGATTTTAGAGCGGGGGTTTATAAATCACATTGTGACCTTTCTTTTGGCAGGGAGATGAAGACAGAGTTTTTTAAATTTCCATGGCCTAAAGAGCAGGATACGGACACTCCATATTTGTTATACTCACTGCATAATGAATATGGAGGAGAAGAGCCTTAACAAGGTCACTGAAGAAGATTAGAGTGTTGGGATATTTATGTCAACTTGAATGAATATCCATAAAATGTGCGAGCTTTGAATAAACTTACTCTTGGGTAGAGCACTGGGTTAAACTTCAGCCCAGTGGTATCATCACACAGAAGCTGAAATAGAAAAAAAAATCAGAGCTGCATTATTTGAACTGTAAAGGAGAGAAGTATAAACTTTGAAAAATACCCTGGAAAACTCTTGACGTCTGTCCTAGCTAACAGATAGACATGAAGACACAATTTTTTCTAGTTAGACAAAACAGATTACAACGTTAATGAAAACACCTCTTTTACTCTTTGAATATTTGTATTTGTATCTCACCTTGGCAATCTGGGGAACACTCGGGAGTTGGCTGATGCCCGCTAAAGAGATCCTTTCATGGATTGTTTTGATTCTTGACCTACATTTGAACAAAAAAAAAAAAGAGTTTTGTTGGTTAGATTGTTCTATAAATAAGACATCTTTACTTTTGATTTTTAGGGACTGATTAGTTTTTACACACGAGGGTGAAGTAGGTCACTTCTCAACAAAGACACAAGAAAAACAGGCAAGAAAAAAGCAATTTGCTGTCTTATCAGGTGTGAAAATCCTTTTTCATTGTTGGGGGGGCATTAAACAGTAAATGTTAAGAGAGTAATTCCTTGCTGTGTTGTCTGATACTTTCTCAAAAGTCTTACATCGTGATATTAAACAATAATTATGTCATTGTCCCTTATAAGTCTATATCCTACCTGTCTAAAGGTTTGTTTATGCTCAACCAGCAATTCCAAGAGAGGTATTGGGCGGTAGGTGTCAATTACACTATAAATGACCCAACAGAATTTCTTTGCTCACCATAAACACTGATCACCATTACAACAACTTTACAAGAACAGAAAACTCAATCCAAGTTCTAAATCTAGAAATAATACTTTAATGAATAACCAAACTAATCTTCAAAAATGTTCTTTATCAAACTGTTTAGGGGGGTGGGACCCCTGAGTTCCCCCCGGGATTGGTGCCCCTGTGCATGATTCTTATAGTTTAAATAACATTATCACTGTTAACTCTCAAAGACTGTAATTAGCCACCACCTAATTACTGTGCATTGCCCATGATAGCATATTAAAAGCAAAAGTACTTCATAGTTTGTCTTGCCTTTTGGTGAGAATGTTACCAACTGTGAAGATTGCAAGAAAGCTGTCCGTGACAGCACTGCCACTCTCCACGGAGAATCGGACCTAAGCTTAAGTGTCTGTGAATTATTATCATTTCCAACACTTTCATCCAGACTGATTTTTTCCACATTTCTGAAAGACGACACAGTGGATTACCATGGAGATTATACAGTTTATGTCCTCTCATGGATGGATTCCTTAGACATTGATATTATAGGTATATCTAATAACCAAATGCTGATCAAATGCTCTTCTCTGTTTATTGCAAATTATCCAGTAATTTGCAATTACTTGATAGATAGATGGAGTAAGTGAACATTATGCCTGAACAAAATCTGCTGTTTAGGTTTGTTATTGTGAGCATGTCAGCATTTGGCTCAAAGCATTATTGAATAGGTCAAAGCCTCAAAGAGCTTCTCAAAGACTCCTAGTCTTATTGGTTTGATTCACCATATTCATTTTGGCTTGCCCTCTACAACCTGGCAGAGGAAAGAAACGTCACTACAACAGAAAAAAAGTAGAACAAAGATGCTTCACTTGCCAGAAAAAGGACAATGATCATTCAAGAAAGGGCTAACCACATCTGAGATTATGTTTCAAAGATATGTTTTTAACTATTCAAATCATAATGAGTAGGGATGGAAGGATATGCTTTTCTCCTGATTCGATTCTTCTACGATTTTTTGGATGCTGATTCAATTTAAATTGTGATTGTACGATGTTTGTTGATTTCCTCGATTTTTAGTCTCGATTTTAACATCAGTGACATAGTTGAATGATTATGATAGTCTACTGACTATTCCAGGAACCATATTTCCCCAAAAAATACACATCACATGTAATTCACTTTTGTGATTTGTTCTTGAATTTGAGAAAAAAAATTGATTTTTGAAAAAAAAAAAAAGTAAAAAATTTTTTTTTACAATACTTATGTGAATTGTTTTTTTTCTCCCACCCCTAATATTTAGCAGTTTTTCAAATTGAGTATACTTTGAAATAAAATACAGTATGCAGAAAAAGCATAGTTTTCTCATGTACCTTAGCATGATGCGTAGGAACTCCTGCCCTTCAGCCTCCTCATGTTTCAGGGACATGATGAGGTTGCCTATGCTGCTGCCGGTGCAGTAAAAGTTCATGTGTTCCTATATTACAGAAAAGATTAAATTAAAGACAAAGAAAAAAGGTTTTAACACAATTAAAGACCAAATGCATAGCTGAACTGACATTTACAGTATATGGGCTTACAGACCTTGCCAAGAAAATGTTTGCGATAGGCAAGAGCAGTACTGTTACACTCCAGGCGGTAACCGTACCCCCCGCCCGGACTCATGCCTTCTCCTTCATCCTCCTCTCCACAGAAACTAGACTCAGAGGAGGAGGGGGTCCCTGCTTGTGCCTCCACATCTTCAATCCAGTAACCTCCAAATTGTGGAAGGATTACTTGAGGGTATGGACCACCTTTCTCCAGAACCTTTAACAGACGGAAGAATGGTAGATTGAAAGAAAAATATCGATGAAGTACAGTAACTCCAGGAAATGCTAATTCTTCATGAATGAACCTCCATAAGGTAAGCTTGTTGAGCATGTAATAATCACAAGTATGTCAAATATTTGAAACAGTCCCATTTCATGGTTACACCAAAATATATCAGGAAAAAAGGACTCACATCTTCTATTCTTGGGTAGGGAATATAGTCATCCTGTTAAATAGAAGACATAAACAAAGTTAAGAGCAGTCTGGATGGAAACAAACTCAATGACTTTCACTAAGATGGTAGTCGTGAGCACAGCCACAAAAACACATACACAGAGGTGACACTACCTTTTCACAATAATATAGTGTTGGGCAATGATGCAATGAACGGCTTGATATGCTGAGTCATTGGCAAAAATCAATGAGGTCATCTGGCTCCTGATAATGTCAAAACTGCTCTGAATCAGTAGCCTCTGGGGCTCAGAGCTGTTATGATCCCATCATTTCACAGTTTGCCAATGTGTACAACTTTGGTGTCTGACCTCTAAATACTGCTGAGGCCAGTCTGCAGCACTGAGAGCAAAACAGACCGTCATTTATATTCTGTAGCAGCAGGAGCCAGGATTCTGGCAGCCCAGGATCAATTAACAGTTGGATTTTGTTCAGCTTATAATCAATCAGATCAGAAGGATATTGATTTGTACTTTAAGAGCCCCGAAAATCTGAAAAGGACTGACAGACACGTAAAGAAAGGCTGACAAAGGAAACGATCAACCACAGAGCAAATCAGCTACATTGTGCGATAAACTTAAAGGAAATCATGCAAAAAAGTGGACTTGATAATGAAAACTGATGAGATGTGTATCGGTGTCCTGTCACACCTTCCATTTTTTGGTCTCTTCAGGTTTGGGAACCTTGTTAGTGTCCGTATGCAGCATGAGGATAGGAAAGCACAAGGGTCAAAAAAGACAATTCTGCTTTTGATTGTAAAAACTGTACTCGAACATGGCACTCTTGTTTTCAGACCACATCGTCTGTGTGGCAGGTGACAACTCACTGAGTCATGCTAAATCATTTTTCTCAACACAAGCACACAGACATTTGGAAACAGACACACACGCTCCCTCAAAGGTAACATAGATGCTTCATCATTCTATCTCTAGATCTACCTCATAGACATGTAAATTCTGTTTATGTCAGCCTGAAAATTATGAAGTTTTCTTCAGTTTGCTTTTGGACGTTATACTGATATGAAAAATGCATAAGTAGAAGACAGAGAGAAGATGCTGATTAAAGTTCAAGACCAGTGAATAAGTGTCCCTTGGGCAAATGAGGAAATTGATACACGTGCAGATGGTATGAGTCAATCTTGTTTATTTTTAATCTATTTAATTCAGGTTCCTGTTTGAACATGTCATTTATTATTGTGTGTTGCTATCTTCCTGGCTCTGTTTCTCCTCCTCTTTGATTTGCTACTTCCTAGAGCTTAGAGTGTATCAGCGCTGGTGGCGTATTGATTGAACAGCTGTTGAGGTTATGTAGAAGTCGGTGTCAACTTTGTTCAAGTAACACAGAGATCCTCTCATGAAGCTTTTATAATCAATCAGACAGAGAGACAAAGAGGAAGAGAGGATAAAGAATGATGAAGTGAGGGGGAAGGAAGGAAGAAGGAATGTAAAATATTGATACCAAAAAGGTGACTTTCACACTGACAGCTGAGTTAAAGGGGGAGAAAAAGAGCAAGTTGGTGCAAATAATGTTTATAACCACACACAAGATTATTGTACATTTGACTGGATCTAAACTGTCTCACTGTCCAAATTTAGGTTCCTGTATGGGGAATATTTGGAACATTTAAGCTGCAGATTAACAAAAATGTTAGCGCTTCAGCCTTTCCTCTTAAAAGTAATTTTCAGTGGAATAACTTCTCCATTTTCATACTTTGAGATGTCGTTGACGACCAAAATCCATTATTTTTGCATGACAACCTTCTAAAAGGACTTTTATTTCCCCTATTTATATCTTTCTCTTCCCTATTTTTCCCATTGCCTTTCATTTGCTCTTCAGCTTTTCTTCTCTTAAACCTTTCGTGGATTGGCCGGTCGCATTTCTGTCATCAGGCAGGTTTCTCTCGCAAAACTTGAGGATGAAACACTTTGTGGAAAAAGTGAATGTGTTTAGTTGTGGCAAGCCTGTGAAAAACCGCTGCTTGTGAAAAGATTTCATGATGCAGTTAAAACATCAGTTTTATCCAAACTTGCAAAATATGCTCTATTTGGTGAGATCATGTAAATAAATTCACTGGGATTGTGGTGGATAAGGTTAAACGTTAAAAGTTTAATGGACTATATTTGCATTTTTGTATTATTCCATGTAAAAGGATTAGAGTTGAACCATAGACTGTATATAGAATGGATGCCGTCTGCCTCCGCACTGGGTGAGGCCAACCGAGAACAGCACCCTCTGGTGACGGGCTGCAGTATAGGTCATAAATCCCGCTTCCTCCAGCAATCCCTATAGAGCTGTTGACAAACTTAAGAAATTTATTACACAGAATATAAACTTTCCTTCCCCTCCTTGTGATGTTGACATGTAGTTACTGTAAGACTGGTTTGTGCTCAAGTCCTCTTTTTCTGTACAGCTCCGTTTTTAAAAGTTATTAGGGGTTCATGTTTTCTATGATTGACACTTGATACAGCCTATGGGCGTACGAAGATTGTGTCGCTCACCCGGGGGATACGCTGTTTGAGCAGAGAGTCATCACAGCGACTCTCCCGCTGAATGTGCACAACGCTACTAGGCAATGTCTGTTTCAGGAAGTAGAGAAAAATCGCAGAAATACCGAGAGCTTCTCGGCTTCAAATCCGTATACTGGTGAAAGGCAGAACCAAGTTGTCCATAGTATATGCAGTCTATGAGTTGAACTGAAAAACAGTTAAAGCTAACAGCTGAGTTTTATTTTTGAAAAGTTTTGTCCTCCCAAACACCAACTTTGAGGTGGTGTCGCCAAAACAGATGTGAAATATACAGTTTGGACTGTTTAAAGTTCACAAAAGTTAAACTACATAAATGCAACTTTTGATTTTCAGTTGTTAAATGCAACTTTTGATTTTCAGTTGTACAAACTACATGAAAAAGAAGGAGAGGAGAAATAGAGAAGGTCAACTGAGGATAGGAAACAAGGAGAACAGAGGAGAAAAAAAGTGAGTCCAAAAATTGATTATTTAAATTCATACCTGCATCCTCTCCAGCATATCAAAGAACTCTGCAGACTGAAACAGACAAAAAAGTTGATTAAGAAATGAATATAATGTATAAAACACTGGCTAAACTTTAATTTTTAAGGCTTTATCACCGAACATGTTTTGTTCCACAGGTCAGACTTTACCTTACGGTTTCTGTTATAAAGGTAGAATTGGTGTTGCAGTAGAATTTACAGACCGAACCCTGTGAGAATATCTCCCCCCACAGTATGAAATAGAAGGGATAAGGCAGAGGGTAAGTCAGGTTAGAGACTTTCCAAACAGCCTCCCACTTACACATAAACATGCACTGATAAGCAACCACTTCAACCAGACACATCCTTGAGCGTATCCGTACATCCTGGCCTTCAGGGCTCACAGCTTGACAAAATAAATAAGGGCACTAATAAAATAATGAGGGCACTAATGCCACTTACATGACAAGTCAGCTTTATAACACCAACACTGAACTTCCTTTCAAATCTCAATCTGATTATAAAGAAATAAATGCTCTACAAGTTCGAGTTCAACACTTCCTCAGTCATTGACAATGCTTAAACTAGTCTTGAAACCCCTCCTGTAGACTTGGGTATTTTAGCAGATTATTTAAAGCCAACCGTCTCAAATTTGGGTTTTAAGATGGACAGTGATTTCAAATTCGACAGGCAAATTAGCTCCGTAGTGAAATCCAGTTTTTATCATATTAGGCAGCTGGCGAAGGCAAAGCCTTTTCTTTCACATACGCACTTTGAAACAGTAATCCATGCCTTTTTTACATCCCGGCTGGATTACTGTAATGCACTTTATTTTGGAGTTAGCCAGTCCTCCCTCTCACGTCTCCAGTTAGTTCAAAACGCAGCCGCCCGGCTCTTAACTGGAGTATGTAAGAGGGAGCACATTACTCCCATCCTGGCCTCCCTCCACTGGTTACCTCTGCATTTTAGAGTTCATTTTAAGATTCTTTTATTTGTTTTTAAATCTTTAAATGGTCTGGCTCCATCATACCTCTCTGAGCTTCTCCACCCCTACACCCCAGCTCGGTGCCTCAGGTCAGCTGATCAGCTGCTCCTGGAGGTACCGAGGTCCAAACGGAAGCTCAGAGGGGATAGATCTTTTTCTGTTGCTGCCCCAATTTTATGGAACGAGCTACCCCTCCAAATTAGACAAGCCCCCACACTGTCCATTTTTAAAACTCGTCTTAAAACCCATTTTTATTCATTGGCTTTTAACCCTGCATGAGACTCGGCTCCTGTTTTAGTGTTCTATGGTTTGTTTTTAGTTATTTGTTTCTATGTTTTTAAATTAGTTTTTAAAAACATTGAAGCTATATTTTATTATTAATTCTGCTTTTATTTTATCCATTGTTTTAATTGTTTCTTGATTGTTTTTTATTTTGTTGTTTTTGTCCTGTTATGTACAGCACTTTGTACAGCTGTGGTTGTTTTAAAGTGCTCTACAAATAAAGTTGAGTTGAGTTGAGGAATACTGATTTGACCAACAAAATAATCATGACTCACAATACTAGACAAAAAAAAAAAAATCAATCTCATTTATAATTTTTTTTTCTGTGACACCTTATACTGACATTAAGACATTTAGACCTCATTGAAAGAAATAATAGCTCAAAGAGTTTTGTATATTTGTCTCCACTATCTGCTCTGTCTCAAGGTCCAATTCATTAAGGATATTCCTGTATTATTCATGGATTTCACATGAAGTCGCAGCATTTGCAGCACCATCTATAGGACCCACCTGGGACTGAACGTCAACAAGTGCTGCAAACCATGGGCCTGATCCACTAAAATCCCAAATAACTAGCACTAAACTGTGTGTGCAAACTTAAATTTGCATGTGTTATTAGTGGGTGTATTGCAGATGATCTGCTAAGATTGCGTGTGCAAATGATGACGGGCGCTTAAAAGCAGTTTCAGGTTTAATAAATCACATTGTTATGTAACAAACAATTACACTGACAGAGTCACATTCAGTTATTGTCACAGCTTCACCAGACAGCAAACGCAGATACTTGTCCATCTTGACAACCACATGACTTCTTTTCCTGGTTATACGGTGATGTGAGACACAAGCATTTTACTACCAAACCTTGGAGCACTGGTTTATATTTCTGTATTTTGTTACTTGACACATCAGTCAATAATGTTTGGCTTGCTTCCTAGGTTAAGAAACAATGTTGTGAAATGCAGTCCAGGTAGGAGCGACTGTGCTATTTATAAGATGTTGAATCAATCATACCCAGTGGTTTGAAAGATAGGTTGCCCACATTAACTAAACTATGCACAGTAAAAACGTCCGAATCGTGTCAAATGTGATCTGAAATAAAACCAAAATAAAACAAAAGGATCTTAAATTGTGTCTCCTAAACACTTATCTGAAAGCACCCTGTGTATCGAAAATAAGAGGAATGTATTACATGTTGAGCTAAAAAGCTGTAAAACAGGATTATCAATTGACACTGTCAGACTGAATAGCACACAGAAATGTTAGTTCCTCTTCAGGCTCATTCAAACTGAGCACATTGCTGTAAAGTTCAGCAGACAGCAGCTGGAGTGTTGTGTTTACACTCGTGTCAGCATGCTGACAGACAGTGAGGTGATCAAGAGTTTTCCAAAGTTTGAGCTGGTTAACACTTAGATTTGTCATTAGTAATCGTCACAAAAGTGAATCTGTACTTTAAACTACTTTTTTTGTGTGTGAATGAAAATTCAGGGCTTACCTTTCCACAGCCACTGAGACATTTGAGCCTCCTCTCTCTTTGCCTCACTCTTGATCTGAACTCCTCTCTACAAGTAGCACTTTGCCTTTTCATGCCTCATGCTAAAACAGGAAAGTCAAGTTGGGCTGCAAACTGAATTCTATGTAAAGACAGAGCTGGTCATTCCAGTGTATTTGTGTCTACACACACAAAACACAGAGACATACGCACAATATGTTAGCCACGTGGACCAAGACAAAGAGGGTTTTTCGCTGTGGGAATCGGTAGATTTACTTTGAACCTAAAAGAACTTACACCCACTGCTCTTAAAGGGAACATGTTGTGGCGCCATATTTCAGAGTTATTGAAAAAGTCTCTGATTTGTCAAAATGTGGAAAAGGTGTGATTCAATCTGTGATAGAAATGTCAGGTTGTATTAGATAAGGACACAGAAAGCTGTCAGCATCCTGTAGCATGACCCTCAGTTTAGTCAAACTACTGAAAGTGCCCTGTTTTCTGTGAAAGATGATATGTGTCAGACCATTGAAGTGGTGTGTATGGCAGTATCAGGACAACATTCCCCTAAAGGCCCTCAGTAGCTCAGTACTTTGAGCACTGAGAGTAAATTTTAAATCAGTGTATTGGTCTTTTTCCTTAGCAACAGAGGTTTGTCCGTCCATCTGCAATTTCACATCATGTATCAGAATTACTATACTGCTATCCTTAAGTTGTTTCACAGCACAAAACACTGCGAAGACTTTCTCAAGAAGTATCTGTAGTTGTAGAAAACTAAGTAACAGACCGTTCTAAGAAAGCTATTAAAACACTCAGTGCAGATAAGTATAAAAACAATAAGCATCTATAGCAGTGGAGGCTTTCAGGACAAATGTTAACACTTCAAACAATTTCTTTTATCAGTAAAGCAAAGACACACCCTGCATTTCTCACAGAGGAGGGGGTTACATTGATTTTGCAGAATTTGCAACAGCCACAGCTGTCACATTTTGCAGGCCAGTGTGCAACCTGATCCATGTGAACTTTATCTGAAACTCCCACACCAGCTCCCTTTGGTGGCAGTGGTTGAGTTGCTGGTGACCCCTTCAAGAGAAGAATAAGGGTGCTTCTAACCTGTGCCTCCTGTATTTCAGTGGCTTGTGGAAAAAGTAGTTTATAGAGTTTAACCTTGGAGTAACTAACCCTAACGCTAAGGTGGTAAATCACACTTGTATCTACTATCCAGAAGACATAGCACTATTGTTTAGGTAATGGTACAACCTCCCCAGCCTCTTGCAAGGTCTAACTCCCTGTTAGTGTTATATTCTCCTTCCAAATCTGCGGCCTATTGATTTCCTGCAAAACTGCTTTACTGGTATGCTGTAGGCTAATCTTGGACTGTAAATAAATTCATGCATTTTTCTCAGGTGCTACCAGAGCACTGACTTGCTCACAGCAGTGTGTCACTCACAGCGTAATTGTGGGTTGACAATTTAAACGCCATAAACCTGCTACACACAGCGAACATAATTGATATTTTCAAGCTTCTGTTGTATTTCCTCATTGAAATACACTGTTTTTAGTGTTTTCCACCATAAACTTTCTTTTTTTTTTTTTTATCCCCATGATCCTTTACTCTTCTGTGTGCTTTGTACCTCCATGCGTCTTTGGCAGATTTGAGGATGATGACTTTGTTGAAGGTGACTGCAGAAAAGTGCCTCTCAAAAGCTGTCCTCTATATCTCACACATCAAGTCTGCTGATCTGCCTCCTTGCAAAATTCATTTCTCATCTCTTGTACTTTGTTGAAAGAAGAATTCTCCAGCTCTTGAACTAGTGAACTGAAATGTGACGGAGGAATAGAAGATACAATGTACTAATCCTTGAGGTATTTTAAACATTTTCGCTCTGGTTTTGAAAATGCTACACACAGGCTGAAATAACATCTGTGCACAAACAAAGTCCTGTCACAGATGTCAGGATGTCAGAGTGAGGGGGCATGCATACTGATGAGTACCCAGAGCTCAGGGGTACCATTGTCTATCTTAAGGCATCTCAGCAGTGCCCAGGAAGTGAACTGGCATCTCTCAGGCTACCAGCCTAATTTCAAAACTTGGTCCGCAGTGAGTCATAAGTCAGTGACCCTTCAGTTCATCACCCAAGTTCATACACACAGAGCCACTGCTGCCTCCTAAGCAAAGTTCTCCCTGTCAAGTGATCCAGTTTGGGCCTCATGCCTGACAGGTACTATCCCAATAAGAATTTCATGTCAAGAATAAAAGGAGTACTGCAACATAAAATCTCATAAGCTGTAACAACACTACATGTTTCAGATGGACCACATTAAAGGTGATATTGGAGTTTTGTTAAATATGCTGAGCTAAAGCTTCGGCTACACACCCCTGTGATGACAATTTCTTCAAAGTCTGAGATCACCTTTACAGTCTTTTTCTACACTCATTGGTATGCCAACATAGGATATTAATATTTTCTTTCTCTTTTGTGAATTGTAGGCTGTTGAAACACTTCAGTCTTAACTGTCTGTGAATAGTCAGGTCCCCCAGGTAACTTCTCAATAAGCACAATCATAATCATTGGGGTTTTTTACTACCAAGGAAATCCATATTTTTTAAAAAAAAGTACAGGTTTGCATTTATGTACACAAGCAATATGCCATTTTGCATGTCTTACCCAAGCAACAATCAAAGTACGAGGAATGAAAATGTAACTCAAACTGTAATTCCTCAAGTTTCCACTAGAGGCTGGCTCCAAAGCACCACAAGCAACAGACACACCAATTCAAAACAGACGATCTCAATGAAAAAAATAAACACGTTCACAGCCTGGTGAAAGCAAACAAACAGAAAAAACAAAAAAACAAAAACAGTTTTTGCCTGAATAGCTCACCTCTTTGTTTGCCCACACTGTATGAGGGGTGATTTTCTTTTTAATTTGTCATCAGGAGATATTAATGCAATGACTTTGAATAATAAGGGGCACATGCAGGTACACAGCAGCTGTTAGAAAGGAGGCTAAAGACCTGCCTCAACCCCCCCTCTTTGTCTGTTGTAATGTCAACTGAAAACAAGGTCGAGTCAGTATTTCAAACGCAGCTTGCATCATTAATAAGCCCCTAAATTCTAATTCAGAAACCAATAAGAAGCACCGCTTTGGCTACATCCATACTGCATACATACAGTGTATGGGCTTACCTTCATGCTGGGAGGAGCAGTCCGTGGGGGTGAGGGAGGATAGTCTCCCATAGGGACATTGGAAATGGTAAGCAGCTCCTGCTTCCTAGTGAGAAAAAGACACATGGATAATAAATAAGATGTCTTTATTGATTCTCATGTCAAGAGGTTGAAAGGAAACTAAAATCTTCTGTCTTCATAAGTGGTGGTGTACTTGAACAGAGATTAGATCAGCCCAGTAAAAAAAGCCGGGCACGATGTGTCACAAGTATTTAAAACACACACAAAAATAGAATAAATAAATGTAATGAGGAAAAAAGATCTAGATACTTAGGTTGGTAAAAATGTAGATTCTAATTCAGTAAGACCGTCACAACAGTCTGATAAACTATCATTTCAAAACAGGATGCAACTATACAACAAAAAGCTCATATTTGACAGATTATATGTATAAAAACTTCAGTCCAAATGAGTAAAGTAATGTTAAATGTGTCTCTAACAATAGGATCAAATCATATTATAGAATCATACCATTTTGATACAAACAGCCGTTTAGGCAGAATCCTGTAACTCTCAGTATTGTTGAACCCAGAGCCTTTAACCTTAGAACATTACATTTTGACTTTAAATCCAGTGACTTTAAGGTTTTGAGCTGTAGTGGCTGCTGAAAAGATGTCGTGAGGTATCACATGGCTCTTCACTGTAGTAATATACAGGAATATAGTATATAGTAATATGCTCAGAGGATTCTGCTCAGACAAGTTCTTTTGGGGAAGAAAGCCTCTTTTCCTCCTTCAGGTTTTTGTTTCTACAGAGCGCTCCAAAGCACATTAATAACCCCTAATCGAAAAAGGCTGAGCTGTCACTGAAGGACAGCAGATAAGCTCTTAGAAATCTGCCGCCTATCATGAAGACGTCTGATAACCTGCTTTAAAATAACCAAATACTCTTAAAAAACATCCATTTTCACTGCTTTCATTTTTCCAACCTAGAGTTTGTTGGACGTAGTCTAAATGCCAATAAGACCATGGATCTGTACAGATTTAAGAGGGAAGTCGGCTAATCCTATTCCAACTGCTGTTTAGAGGCAGACTGAGATTTATCTATTCTTTTGAAAGAGTAACATAAAAGGTTAGGACATCATACAGTGTCTGTAGCGTACTCTACAAGCATAATGCAAGCTCATTCTCTCTCACAGGAGATAATGACTACCAAAGTCCAAATCCAATTAGCTGAAAAATTGTTGGATCACACTTCAATAATCATAACAAATTAGAAATAAAATTGCAGAAGTTAAATGATCAGTTTGTTGATAAATGAAGATAAAAAAATATTTGGCTCAGTAAAATTTTGGCACGAGGGACTTGTGAATTTCTGTTCAGCCATCTGTGAGTATTAGAATTAAAGAATTCAGGGTAAATATTTGGATTATAAGACCAAACCAAACAAAGATGAATCAATCTATATGTACTGAACATCAGCAGACTGAGACACCCACCCTGTAAGGAGCAATCAGACTTAAGAGGACCAGCACTACAATGTGGTGATTGTCACGCCTCTACAATCAACATCTTTTCCTCGCATTGCTGTCACTTTCGCACCAGAGTTTCCGCCGTTATTCACACATACACAAATTACCACCAAACATATCTTGTGATTTCTCACTTTTACAACAATGAATATAATTATATAGTGTTGTATATTATTTTGATACAATCCATACTTCTTAGCACATCTAACATTTCTTTTATATCTAAATCTAACCCAAACTTCAACACACATTGATGCATCTCATAGACTGTGTATAGAATGGAAGTCATCTGCCTCCCCCCGAGAACAGCACCCCCTTGTGACTGGTTGCAGTATAGCTCATAAACCCCACCTCCTCTTGCAAACTTAATGGAGCTGCGGATGAACTTTAAATTGTAAATACATGGAGTATTAGTTTTTCTCCCCTCTGGTTACGATGTTAACATGTAGTTATTGTAAGACTGGCCTGTGCTCAAGTCCTCTTTTTTCTGTGCAGCTCCATTTTTAAACACTTGATACAGCCTATGGGTGTACAAAGATTGTGTAGATCACGCTATTTAATCAGAGCGAAGAACACTACTGTGCAAGTGCTGGTTTCAGGAAAAGAGAAAATTCTGAAAATACCAAGGGCAATTTGGCTTTAAATTTGTATAATGACGGGAGGCAAAATCACGTTGTCCATGATTCCATGTTGGATTTCCCTTCCGAGATTAATAAAGTTCTTATTCTTACTATACACAGTCTATGATGCATTTCATATTCACAGCACTTCAGTTACTATCTGATTCATAGTGTGCCAACATGTCATAGTGCTTTAACATTTAAAAAGTTTTTCATGTTCTGTATTTGTCCTTGAGTTTTTTAGGTTATTATGTCAATGTGCTGCACACCATGTGTGTTTAGATAACCTAGTAGAGTATTGTGCAATAACTAACTACTTATAAGTGAACAACGTCAACAGTGGATATAATTGTTTTAATTTTATTTCAATCCCCTTTTTCTAAATTTTTAATTTCATTACTACTTTAGAATTATTCCATTCTATAGTGTCAGTATGATTGTCCAGACAATGTGTGTCTTCTTTTTTTATTTATTTATAAAGAAAAATCCTCCAAACCATCCAGTGCATCTATCCCTCTGTACTTCCAGTATTCAATAAACGCTTAAATGGGCAATTACATAATGGAATCAAGACAAATGGAGAGGATACAGTAAATCTCGGTCATTTCATTTTTTGATTTCCCCTTTGGATATGATTAGGTTGGTAGGAAATAAGGCCTGAGCTTGGGCTCGGAAAAGGAGATTGTCAAGGAGAGAAAGAAAAAAACTGAACAACACCATTACACACTGCCACGTGATAAACAGATAGCAGAAGAGGTGATGGGAGAATGGAAACAGGAAGCCAGGGTGATGGTGTGAAGAGGGATAAAAATACAGAACGGAGGGAAAGAAAAAGAAAGATTAAGGAGTGAATGAACTTCTTGACTCGGATATGAAGCCCCTCTCAGGGGGCTAACTACCCATGCCTGTTTCCAGTTGTACTTCATATTTGTAATGAAACTCGATAAGGAGCCTGATCCTCATGCCAATTGGCCAATTATGCAACTGATGGTTTCTCTAATAGAGTTAATAGAAAAGTAATTGGAGACAGAGAAAGGGAGAAAGACCTGACTTGTAAAGAGATTGAGAGCACTGAGTGCAGGAAAGATAAGATGGCAAACACTGAAGGAAAGCAGCCATCAACTCTGATGTTATTGAAGTAGACAAGATGAAAATCATGTCACCCATCAAAATCTCATGTAATATTAAAATTGGACTCGACATTTACAGCTCTGATAAGCTCTTTTGGCTGATGCTACATGGGGCAGGGGGCAAAGGTGAACACATCTCAGAGAAGAAATAAGAAGTGCTTAAGACTGAAGCTTTGACTGGATAAAATAGCCAGAGAGACTGGAGGGTCAAAACAATATAAGACACTAAAATCAAAACTAATAAAAAGGCTAGATGGAGTTAAAGTCTCCCTATAATTACAAGGAGCAGATGTAGAAAGCAGCATCACACTAACCTGCACTTGCAAGTGAGTGGACTAGATAAACAGCATCTCCACAGTCACTTGACACAAGTGAGCTAAACATTACAGATTACAACCCTTACAGATTATTGGGGTCAAATTCAACCCATTTAGAAATGTATCATTGATTAAAACAGCTTAACATTTCAAAACCTAGGTGATTTGGCTCTACGCTCTTCCATAAGTGGGTCAAAAATGACCCATATTGGAAATGATGTCTTTTAATTTGTCATTTACTAATGCAGTTTTTAAATACTACCGGTATTCTTCTAAATACTGCACCTTAAAGAGTAGGCTTATCATTTTTAAAAAATGTATTTTTGACAAAGGTTATAATTAAGGCTAGCTGTCTAGGGCTCTGACCAGGTCTTTGTCATGATGCGATGCCTTGATTATTGGGAAACCTGACACAGAGCTCCTGCCCCCAGGCTCAGTTTTCTGGTGATAGCGACTTCATTGTTTACCAATGAAGTCTCTCCTGACCAAAATACATCTACCATTTTTACTGTCTTTGTAGCCACCATAGACCTACCCTCTGTATTCGTTGTTGCTCTGCTTGTCTTAATCCACCTCTCTGTCTGAATCTACACTTTGAATGACTAGATGGCCTACAGAAATAGGGGCAAGGTTGGGTTCAGCCAACATGTTTCTTGTCCTGTGGTGGAGTCATACTTTTTTTATTGGGGTGGTGAAACTGTGGCACTGACTTCTGAAAAGGGTTGCCAGGTATGGTAAACATTAGAGGCCTACCCTGATCATAGACATTTATTTTAACATCCAGTATTAAAAGAAACACAATCAACAATATATAAACTGTAACCAGCCAAAAGGCTTCGAAAGGCAAAATGTCTTCAAGAACCTCGAACAAGTGCAGTTGCTCTTCAACAAAGACCTGGCCAGACTGCATATGTGAGATTACACACAGACACACACTTTAATTTCAAATCAATTTCTGTTCATTTTAATATTTATCAATAAATGCAGATTTTCTTCTAGACTTTTTTTTTACCCTTTATAGTTATAATTTAAAAAAAGACAGTTGTTTTAAGCTGTCAAACAAGATTGCATGAGAACCTGCATGGGAGCGATCCACTTATGCTAATATTTGAGTAAAAGCTATTCTTGGTTAGTCTGTAGTCTCTTTATTTCTTGCCTTCCTGTCATGCACTCAGTATTGTGTATCCAGAGATGACATGTCGAGCTGGAAGAAGACAAGAGGAGCAATTTCATTTTGCGTGTTGTATCTTTAAAACATAGATCCCCTACCATTTAAATCTTTAAAACAAGTCAGATGGTCATGGCATTAATTAATCAGTTAACGTTAGATGTTTAAAATTATAATTAAAAAACAACATGACAACTCCAACGGTATTCCATTTCTTCAACAGGCCAGATAAATCATGACAAAATATTCTGCATTGAATGTTATCTAAATCATCCCTCTAAATTCCCTCACCTTTTTCCTTTTCCATTTCTGCTGTGCTGTTGACGACTATCCTCTCAGATGAGCTCTCCAATCCATAGCAGCTGATATACTGACTAGAAAACTGGCTCAAAAGACTGATCAGCCATAAAGTGTATCTCTGACACTAGATTCATCATATTCATGCTGAAGGCCTTTGATTAAAGCCAGTGAAAGGTTACGTCCTGCTGCTTTTGTTTTCAAATGTCAGCATTGTTTTTGTCTGGATCCACAAATGATGCCATGAGATCTTTGAAAGACATTTACCTGACCTTGATTCTCAATATCATAGAGACTCCTACAGTTTATGTCCCAGACTACAACATGTTTGTAACCTTATAGTTGGGTGTTATGCACTGAGTGGACTACACTTAAACCAAACCTGCAGTGCTAGAAAAAAGAATACTGTTTGGTGAATATAGTGCATATTCATAGAAATCTGTACAGTACTATGCTCCATAATTGCTAAAATAAACTACTAAATTACATCTCATCATTATTGACCGACTGATTCCAGTCTTCTCTCTGAAACTGCTTCATCTGTAAGATTATCTAATCTCACCCAATCTCACTGACTTGATTCGAGGACAAAAAGCTGAGTTTACCACACCATACATATGTTTTCAACCGAGCCCATCTCTTCAGACTAACCACGCCAGAGCATAGAAGTCCAAAAGATAAAGATATAGAGTCTGAGTGATGACAACTCAGATTATTGAAAGAGACTGGTCTGCAGATTGAGGTGTGAAATTATTGTGCTTGGCTGATGGGGATAACAGTTCTGAAATTGGTCCAGTATTGAGGAAAAGTGGAGCTGCCGGCAGTTGCGAAAAAAGCTCAAGCATAGTTTAACCGGGCAATTGAGCATCATTAAACTGCATCCACTTAAAGTGCTTTATTTTACCGCTGACAGGCTCAGACTGTTATTACAAATCCTTTGAGGTTGTGTCCACGGATGATACCCCGGACACAACACCACCACTGACGTTGTTAGGCATCAACAGGTCCCACTCATCACATCACAAGACTTTCTTCCTCTGTGGGCGTCACAGCACCCACAGGAACAACCACCAGTCTCCCAAGCTTTGTGGCCTTGAAGCAGCTGATTGGCCCTCCACTGCCTGTTGACCCTTTTTCTTTCTCTTTCTCCTCATTTGCTCACAACTTGTCCTTTATTGGGACACTAAACAAATACGGTTAGCCATCATATTCAAAGGCACTATCAAAACCAGACAAACTTTTATGTTTCTAAAATGAACGTCACTACATCACCGCTCTCAAACAAGCACTGCACCAGTTCCTGTACTCACTGACTCTCCTGGTGTCATTCACTCACTTGTCTTTCACTGTCTTCCTTCAACAAGTGACATCTCGTAAGATATCAGGATGACACTTCTGCACCAAGCAGATCTGGTTGAACACAGACTAGCACAGGTGGAAGTAAAGGGAAACCCTTGCCATTCTGATCTGGGGACTTGTTATAACAATAATTTATATGTATATGGGTTTTATCCATTTTAATATCAGGGATATTAGCCTGTTAAGCCATTTGCAAAATTTTTCTGATTTTTTTTTTTTTTTTTGTCTCAGACCTTGTTAACTCTGGCGATGTCTGAGCCAGTTTGGCTTTCAATGGTAGCGCACTCATGTTAATGAGGTAGGCCATAGCGCTAAGGGTCTTGCCTAAGGACCCACACTGGAAGATGTTATTCACTCCTTACAGATGTGTGTCATTTGGGATTCGAACCCCAACCCCCCAGTTGGTAACGGATACTCTCTCTTGTAGATACTACCTTGTTGTAAAGACATTCAACTTAAAGGTGATAATTAGCACGTTTCTAAGTAGCTAGCATAACATATGAGATACCACTGGATTTATTAAAATTTCCAGCTTCAAATTTCAGTAATGTAAAAACCAAGCCTGATCGTGCCTTATAAACACATTGTATTTGATGTCAGGTGAAAATATTAGAGTTTTAAAAGTAGTGAGACATATTCAGCAATTTGCGTAACAAAAAAGGGTTCAGCCCTTGAAGCAGATAGTAAGGAGAAAGGTGGGACAGAGAATAAAGGAAGTGAAGAGGACAGTGAATAGTGATAATAATGGAAAGAGGACAGAAGAAGGGCGAAGAAAGTGAGTTTTTGCCAGAGGACCCGGGTCAATGGCCAGTACGGATAACCAATCAACAGGAAAAAACTGTCAGACAGAGATGATGAAAGATAAAACATTCTCAGGATGGCACTAAAAGAGACAGAGGGCCAGTCATACAGATCTTGTTGAGGAAATATTACCTTTACTACTGACATTACTCCTGATTTCAGGTATTACAAATCAAAGTTATAGCTTTTTAAAGTTGAGTTGCTTTGTGTAATAGAGACATGTTTTTTTATTCATGTACAGGGTTAGCTAAGGCTGTGGTGATAGGGCCCAAAGAGATATATGTTCCCAGCAACAAACCCCTGGCATAACGTTGAAAAGATAAGTATTTCATCTACAGAGCAATGTCATCAACTATTTTGCTGCGAATTACGTGACACAGCAACATTCACTTTCCAATTATTGTACTGTTTTCATTTTACATCAGGATGTAATACACCATAAAAAGCAAGAAAGTGAAAAATAATCCAAAGACATGAGTGTTTCTGAGCATGTTTGTTGTGTATCAGCGCGACTGTGCAGCACTAAATCAAATATTCTCTACCACAATCACAGGAACTCTGTGTGGCTCTCTGGAGTTTCGTTCAACTTAATATGCTTGGAGGACACATAGGGGACACAGTTTGAGTAGCCTTAACCCAGCTAAACACTTGAACTGCTTGTTGCCAGTCTGCCAGATGGGATATTCCCAAAGGTCTTGTTGACTGCACCATTCAAAGAAAACACTGGCAGGGAGATAATCCTCACCCAACGAGACATGCATTGAAATCAGGTGTGTTTGGAGTGGGAAATGTGGCAACAGTGCTCTTGAGTCCAGTCTGTTCTAATTTACTTCTGCCTGAAAGTCTTAAATACAAGTAGTTGTTGAGATTTACACTAAAAAGAAAAATGTTAAGTTGTGTCCGTTGATGGCTTCAAAGTCAGTGATAAATAATTCAAACTCTGCTTTATCACTGTAACAGCTGCTTGGTAAACACAGGGCTGTAGACAGTTAGACAGTTATTATGCTCTTTTTCTATCCTATTATTCTAGGCAGACCACCCACTGTAGTCCAAGCCAGTTCACTTCCTAAACAATGATATACTACACGCTGTGTTTAAAAAAAGTTACATCAGCATACACACATCAACAAGTGTTAGTTGTTGTTTTTCGCAACGGCATAATCTGCTAACCTTAAGAGAAATCATCCGCACAGCCCTCCTTTTTGTTTGCCACCACGCTTTCATGATACTTCAGATTTCATCTCTCCCTCAGTCTGCCACAACTTTACTTTTGTCATCTAAGTGTCTCTCCTTTGCTCCAAAGCACTTACACTTCAATTCACCTTCAATCATACACCTATCTATCTTCCCGGCTTGACATTTCCACTGACCAAATGAGTCAGCAAGAATCACACAACCACACAGTCAAGCACACTCACAAAAGGAACCTGTTATAGAACTGGAGGGTCAAACTCAACGAAACAAAAATAGTTCCTCTCCCTTGTGGAAGAACAGAAACAGCGCAACAGAATAAAAGTCTTATAACTTATCATCAACTCAACACTCCATTTAGGACTCTACTTGTTTCTAAATCATCATAACCGCTCAGCATGCCAGCATCACCAGATGACACAACAGGACAAACTTCACCAACCCTTCGCTCTCCTCTTTTTCTCTCTCCTTCTCCTTGGCTTTTCGAGACTTGTGCAGAAGTCCAATCAAGATCACAGCAGCCCTAATGCCAGCCTTTTTGTTATGGAACCGCCCTCTGGTCTGAGACATGCTGGGCACTTCTGGGGGTACCAGAAGGGGTTCAGGTGATAACTGATCCAAGGTCAGGCCGTTTCCAGGATCCCTAGGCTGAAGGACCTGCTTGGTCGTAGCTTTGCGAGGTTCCAGCGTGGGTGGTAGAGGAAACAATCTGTAGTTCTGGATGCTGTCAGGTTTGGAGACAGCTAGCTAGTTTCTGCCAAAGTACCAGCTTGATTTCTGGTCCTGGATTGGCAGTTTAGTCTTTATGTCAGATTTTGCTACTTATATCTCAAACGTTGATCCAAAAGTTAAAGATTCCCAAGACTCATATGATAGACAGGTTGTCAGATCTGATCAAATCTCTGCTTTTCTCAGTGATGAGATCATTAGGCATTATCGTTTGTAATCCAAGAGGTCCAGAGTTGTCCAGTTGTACCCCAGCTCAAGGTGAACATCTATCTGCATTGTCTGCCTTTGCGGAGAATCTGTGCATTGCAGCTCCATATCAAATCAGGCGTCATGATGACAGGATAGAGAGTTACGCCGCTGACTGCCTCGCAGGAACGCACACGGTAGTACTGCATGTCTCTATCTCCATCTACCTTCCCACCTCTCCTCCCTCTATGACATGCTCTGCTTCTTCCTCCTCTGTGTCTGTCTGTTGCTGCTCTGCTACCTCTATTCTCACTGCTGAGCCCCTCCCTCCTCTGTCTCATAGGCTGGAGTTTTTCCAAAGACCGCCTCTACCTCCACCCTCTTCTCTGCTGTGCGCTCCCCCCCCCCCTCCATCTCTCCCTGCCCTTGTTTTTACCTTGTTAACAATTTTAGATTAATCTCCCTGACCTTGTTCTATCTATGCTTGTCTTTATGATTTCACAGCCACTCTCACCCAATCTGTCTGACAAACACGTTCTGTCCCACTCTGTGAAATCTTCACGCAAACAGGCTGAAGAGCTGAAACCTTACCCTATGGAATTAACATGATTGTGTGAGACCGAGTGAAAATAATACTTATCCTCTTGTGTACACATATAGGTGGACTACATTGTTTTTCACACAGCTGTTTTTTGTTGTTCTTTACCACCTTATATTTTCCTGTTGTACATTTTTTACCAGTCCATGTATATATGTTGTATATATGTATTTTTTTCAACCAAAAACTTCCTACTAGCTCTTGTGTTTTTCCAGACAGGCTGCCCGTCCTACATTTACACCAGAGCCAATATGATGATCTGACATGTTTGTTTCCATCTTGCCACCTTCTCGTCTTTTCCCCCGTTTGAAGCTCAAACAACTTATTGATTTTTTTTGATTGATTGTGGGTGTAAGTGAGCAAAGAGTTGGCTAATATGATGAATTGCGACCTCTGGTCTAACCTTCGGTCATTTTTTTTCCTTCAACCAACCTGGCTAATCTTTTACTCATTTATTGAATGTCTTTCTAAATTTCAGCTGCAAAGTACTCTGCTTATTGCAGATTAAGATAAGACTGACTCATTGGATCCCATCTTAATATTGGGTCTTTGTAAACAAGAAGAAAAAAAATAGACTTGACCTGCTCTTCTCTGAAGTGAATAACAATCGTTGCAAAATGGCACTATAAATATAAAGTCTCCAAAAATAACCAGATAAAGAAGAGTTGTCAGTCACATCATGTTGATCAAGACAAAGAGACAACATTGTTTTGAGATGTATTCTGTCTCTAAACAATCTAACCAGGAACATCAACATACATATCATATTGGAAAGGAAAGAAACCCTAAATTTTCTTAAAATCAACCACATCACACAGCTAGTCAGGCTTGTCGTTGTTGTTTCAAAGGTGTAAAAGAAAATTAATGAAATATCAAACACGAATATATATTCATTTGGGTAAACAAAAGAACAACAGTGATGGCAAAGATCTTAAAATACCAGCAAACATCTCAGTTTACAGACAAAACAGGACAAGGACACAGAAGATACGCATCCTAAAGCCTAATGCCAAAAAAATCTAATGAGTAAAAATAATAAAATTCTTAAGATTTGCAGAAATGAGTGTTGCAGACTTATTAAGAATGTAAACAAAGATCTCTGAGTAGATGAGATGTCAGTAATTTTTTGACATCAGCTGGGGAGGGATTGAGCGAGGATAACTGCAACAACAAGCACAACAATTAACTAGAAGGTCCCATCTCTCTCCTACATTGCTCTTCCTGTTAGTGATCATCGCCTTGGCAACCAGACAGCTGCTAGAGCATCTGCCCAGAGGACCCCTACGGCTGTATTCTCTCGACAACCACCAGGGAAAAGCTTAGAAGAATTGTGGTTCTTACTCCTGGAAGATTTTCCGCTCAAAAAATGATATTTGTGATTTTGATTGAGAGAATAAAGATCATCGCTCTCTGGCTCAGAACCACCTGAGGATTTCCCCGACACCTGGGTTGAAACAAACAAGCTAGACTATTTTATGTCTCCAGAGATGAGCTATGAAAAAGCATTTACCCCTCACACACACAGACACATACCACACACACACAGAGTCATTCCACTAGGGTTCGACTGTGCGTCATCAAGGCGAGAGGAGATGAAACACCTGTATATATTCACTGTCACTCACACAAACTCCTCTTGCTGATGTTCATCCCCTCTCCTCTCCACTTACCCCACTCCATCTTACAGACACCCACAAGTGCAGCATTATTGTTTGTGTGATGAACACACCAACAGTCTGTACTTGTAGATAGAAACAAAATAAGACAATGGTGCAAATATTCATTGATAAAAAGTAAATGATAAACATGCTCTTCAATGACTCCGACACTCCATATTTTCAAAATACACATTCATCTTGTTTTATCTATTTATCAGCCTTGCCACTTAACAGCTTCTCAAGCGCCTCTAAAACAGTCTTCAATGTAACCCATCTTTCAAGCTCTTGTGCGGTCTTACATGGAAAAAAACAGTCTGCAATGTGGCTGAAAAGAACAAAATTTATGATGTGGCAGTCCAGATAATAGACCTAGCCTTGATACACACACTTGCACTCATGCACTCACACATCGGCTCTTATGCACACACACCAAATGCTCATCCGAACAGCGGAAAATGACCTTCAGGACTGCTGCTGAGTAACAACACCATCCCCCAACACTTTATTTAATTCACTCGCCACAGCATTACAATTGCTCTTGAAAATACAAATATAAGAAGAAGGAGAATCAAAATAGGAACTGATAAGAATAAATAAAAAATTGCAACGGTCAGTAAGAAGTGCAGAATATTAGAAATAAAGCTATTTACAAGGCGTTTAAGAAATAAGCTATGTACAAGCATAAAGGTCCTAGAATATAGAACGCGAAATTACGAAATATTCGGAGGAGAATTTTGACGCGCCTGACTATACACATCAAGACGCGATTTTGCGACTCTCCACAAAGTCTGGAAACAGCATCACACGCTCAAGCCAAATGGTCAGCACTTACAGCCAATCAGAGACGTTAAGATAAGCACATGAAACTATAGTAACAACCGTTAGCTTACGTTAGCACAGATGAAAGTTAAAACAAAGACGCTTAGCAAACTGTTAAAGCACACAAACTATCGTCATATTAGAGATCCGATGCTATGTTGTCCTTCAGGTTGTTTTCTTTGTAATGTTTGTGTCTTTTATCAAAAAGCACTCTGTTCTCCGACACGTAAACATTTAGCCGGTCGGCCATGTTGGATATACTGGTGAATCTGATTGGTCAGAAGTGGACACACAGTATGTGAAACTTTAGAAAAATCGACCATGATCCGAAAAATTAATGCCGCAATAGCACAGGACGGGAAAACGTCACTGATGTGAACGCTTGTATTGACAGGATACGGGTTAGAAAAAAAATTCTGACATCCAAAATAATCGCATGACGGCGTGAAAGGACCTTAAGAGTGTATACCAAACCAGTCTGTAGTGTGGGATATTGCACAGAATATTGCACAGTTAGCTCAACAATGCATTATTAGTATTACACTTAGATTACTGAAGTTTGACCATTTTACAAACAGTATGCACAGTTGAATGTAATTATATTCAGTGGAGAACTTTACAGCTACTACACGAGAATAAGAGAAGAGGTCAAGTGCCAGACAGAGTGTGTGACACTCAGAGGAAGGAGTTATAAAGTTTGATGGCTACAGGCAAGAATGACTTCCTGTGACGTTCTGTGGCGCACTTGGGTCTGACACTGAATGTGCTCCTGTGTTTAATTAGCACGTTATGGAGTGGGTGGTGGATGCTATCAAAGATCACATGTGACTTCAACAGTATCCTCCTCTCTGTCACCATCGTTAGAAAGTCCAGCACTACCGCAACAATAGCCATGTTTACATGTGCAAAGTTTCTTGATCTGATTAAAATTTTTACGGTTCAGTAAATCTGAATCCACTGTTTATACGGGCGCAAAAATCAAGTTATCAGATCATGACATGTGTATACATGTACCAAACTTTATTCAGATTAGAATCATTTGGACATAGGCAGAGTTGTATTGTATTTCCGCCTGTGCTGTCAACAAACCCACAAATGGGGTAGTGGCTCACTTCATCCAATTCAGGATTTTCCCCTCCACTCAGAATGGACCTGAACCACTTGGGTCTTTATTCTGATTATTTGTGCCCATGTAAATGCAGCTAATGTCAGTGGATGTCATTGTCATCCATTGTCATGTCTTTGTGGATGGGTTTGTTAAGTCTATTTGCTTCTGCTACCTTCAGTCTGCTGCCTCAGCACACAACAGCAACCAGGATCACACTGGTCTACCACAGACTGCTAGAACATCCTCAGTGTCGTCCTGCAGATTTTTAAGGACCTTAAACTCGTGAGGAAGTAGAGTTCGGCTCAGTCCCTCCATGTCGACCACTTCAGAGTTCCTAGACCAGTCCAGTTTGTTGTCTAAGTATACTCCTGGGCACTTGTAGTCCTCCACAATGTCCACACTGATCCCCTGGATGTAAACAGGGGTCACTCGTGCCTTTGTCCTCCTCAGATCCATGACTAGTTCCTTGGTTTTTGGTGCATCAAGCTGGAGATGGTTTTGCTCACATCATACAACAAAGTTATCCACCACAGTAGAGCCTGATGGTGTCAAAAGCACCTCTCTGGTTTGTACAGGTGAATGCAGACACAGCTGAGCAGGAAGGTGATGGCATCCTCAACTTTCAGGCGGGGTTGGTAGGCAAACTGGAGCCGATCCAGGAGGTGTCTGACAGTCGACCTTAGATGTTCAAGGATGAGTCTCTCCAGGGTCTTCATGCACATTCACACTCACCCTCCTTTCTCTCACTTTCCCTCCTGTGCCTTTTATTTTCCAATTCCCCCTGCGCTATAGTGGCGTGAAAATAGAAAGACAGCTTATCATGACACTTGTATGTGAAATCCATTTTCAGCTGTCCATATCTGCTGCCTGGTTGTGTGTAAGGGTCTGCAGTTGTGTGTTAAATAAAAGCGCCGACCAGCATTTGGGCCAAACAGTAGCAAGCGACACATGTTAATGAGGAAACAACAGTGTCAAAATGAAAATGTCAAGTGTGCCATAATAAAAGATGAGCCCTTGAATGTTATGTTGTCAAATAAATCAAAGTAACTAAAGCAAAAAGTAGATGTCATCGTATAAAGGTTATATAGTGCCCTGTTTCTGTGTTAATCAATGTTGTGATCCTGTTCTATGCTTACAGTTGAAATAAGACTGAATGTGGTCTTGACTTGAAATATGACAGGTAGGAAATAATGTAGCTTTGAAGTTATATTTTAAGCAAATTGCATTGGTTTGATTCAACAGTTTCTCTGAACAGTGTTGGCAACTCCTCAGACAGGAAAGTCGCTAGTGGCTGTCCCAGAAGTCACTAGATGACGTCATCGCCTAATTTGCATAATTTTTCTGTCACCCCCCCAACACCACACACACACTCAGTCTATGGAGGAGGACTGAGGAGTCTTCCTCGGGGTGTCTGTATGTGTGTGTATGTGTATGTATTTTTGGTGAACACCCACTACCCGTTAAGAAGAGTAACATTGATACCTGCTTTCATGTCAGAGCCTCCAAACACCAGAAGAAGTCACTAGATTTGTTGCTAAGCACTTTTTTGAAATCAGTCGCTAGGGGGTCTGAAAAGTCGCTAAATCTAGCGACAAAGGTGCAAGGTTGGCAACACTGTTTAGGAAAAAAAAAACTAGTTTACTCACTCTCCTTATATTACGTAGGTATGAGACATAATACCCATAAAACATGATACACCCTTATAGTAGCTCTGCATGATTTGCAGCACTCCTTATTTTATCTTATACTGGTGTTTGGTAATATAAATTTAGACGCAGCTCATGGATGTCACTTTTCACATAGCTTTGCAGCCATGAAGCAACATGAATTTTCTTCCTTTACAGAAACCTTCTGAGACTAGCTATAATGGCCCAATTAGCTCCCTATTGAGCTCTGTCAGTATACCATATGGTCACTGTTGTTACATTCTGTCTGACTTGCAACCAATGGATTTGAGACTTCGTGGAGGGTCTCTGGAGCTGAAACAGCCCAAGATTTCAATAACAACTGAGACAATAATCCAGCTTGAAATGGACTTAATTAAAAAAGGATAATCAGTGAAGTGGCACAAATAGCTACATTGTGGCTTTTGTGTGGCTGAACGCATAAATAAATTTAACTTTCATTAACTTTCATTCGTCCTCGTGAGGGGAAAATAGCTGTGACTTTCTTTACCAGTCAAATGAATACCTAAAACATCAGAGCCACAATGAATCAGCAAAAAGAAAAGAAGAGAAGAGCCATGCAGTCGGTCACACTGTCCGGTAAAAGGAAAATTTGGACACACTCCCACCAAGGAGTGTCCTTGAAAGTGTTGTACTTGAGCTGCTGAGTGGGCGTGTCCTTCAAAAAGCCACTGAGTGGGTGTGTCCTTCAGTTTCACAAAGTTATTGCAAAACTCTCTAAAATACATCTTTGAATTATACTAAAATCAATGTAATTCATGATTATGTAACTTTGCTGAGGTTTTGTAAAATCATCCGATACAATAATATTTTATGTATATATTACAATACAAACCAGCATGTCTCCTACAACTTTATCTGCGGTTTTTCTACTGAAAATTGACATTGTGTTTTTGTGTTTTCCACTGTCTTTTGGATCTAGATTGTGAGGGGTTTCCTTTAACACAATACACTTTCATGCACTGAGCTTTTATTTCTCATTTGTGTGGACCAATTGGTCGGTGAAAGGCAAGCCTTCTTGGTATGTCATTGGCTCTTCTGTTTCTAATTTGCTGTTTTTATCATTATAGAAAACTGACCTAAATGGGAGAGATGGTCAAATTAACTATGTCTTTTTCTTTTTTGGTTTCATAGTTATGGTCCTCTTATTTACCTGCCTTGACAAAGTAAGATGTAGCCTCTTCTATAGCACATGTTACTCTTTTGTATTGAACAGAGAGTTAATCATTAACTGTCAGATAGAGAATTTCCCAGAACTACAAGAGAGCTGTTAAGTTCAAAAGCGTCATAAATCACTGTTATAGCAAACCAGGAACAGAGAAGCAAACAAAAAGTGGTAGATTAGTGGTTTGGGAGCTTCACTACAGCATGCTCCATGTTCCTCTTCTGCCAATTACTATAAGTGAGTTACAACACTGTACTGAGGCAGGGTAATAGCTGTTACATAAGTTAACTTCACATGAAAAATCTGAGTCTTAATTACACAGTACAGACCGTTTATCACACTAAATGACATGTGAAAAAGTGAATACAGCTCAGCGGTGTTGAGTGTATAACTCTCACTAGCAGCAATATACTGCATGGTGTACCATTTCAAACTTGAACACAAAACAAAAATAAATAAATCAAATACTTAAATGGCAAAGTTGGGACAGTAATGAATACAACAAAAAAGTGACTAACTCTTAAGTAAACTTATTTTCTTACTGAATCGAGCAACAAAGTTTGTTTTTATTTTCTTTTTAGCGTGAAGACTGTCCCTTAAAGTTCATTTTTTCCCCCTTTAAATAACTAAGGCCAGCATTAGTGGATTTCTGCTGAACCCTGATGGCTCAAATAACAAAAAAAGCACAAACTAAACATCGGCAAGTCAGCATGAAAGCTTTAGAGGTCTTAAATTCCATCCAAAGGTTTGTATTTCCATTATGTTTGTTTTATTTTCTAAACCCCCAAAACCTGACTTTGCCCTTTTTTTCCACCCACAGCTGATATAGATACCCCAGAGCCCAGAGAAACCATTTTATTATCTTTTAAAACGTTTTTCTTATCTTATCTTAAAGTATATTAAAACACTGCAAATTAATTGGCGCCTTGGATATATATTGTATAGGGAGGTAGCACTGAGAGTTGGCAAATAAATACAAGTAGATAACTCTTTTTTTTTATATATTTTCCAATATAGCTACTCTGCAATAAAGTTGTATGTTTGATTGGTGTTTCAAAAGGCCCATAAAGCTGTATTTTACTCAGTGATGACACACTGCCTTCCTAAACCCATCAAATTCAGGGTTACTATACTGTACCAAACTGGATCAGATCGCTTGGTGAAAATGTACCTTAAGGCACCAAGTGCAAAATGTACAGGAACATCTTTTGAGGAACAGCAGATATTTAGGTGTGTCTCTGATTCTTTGGCTGACTCTTGTGTGTCTCTTATTGAAAATGAATAAAACATAATGTAGTTATTGTTAACAACCATCTACAGTTAGGTTTAGTTTAAAGCTGGTGATTTAGAAAGAAAATCAACCATGTCGTAGTCCTGCTAAATGACACTGTAACATGGAGGCATTGTAACATTTTAAAGCTGAAACACCTTCCAGTTAACTACAGTTTTCATCAGAACCAGCACTTCATGATGTTGAACAATAATTAAGTCATTATTTTGGTTTTAAAGCCAACAATTTTCCTGTTTTGCTTCACCCTTGCTACATTTATTGAATTATTCTCTGTTCTATGAGAATCCTGGCCTATGCAAAACAGGTCTGAGAAACTCACTTTGCAGTAGCTGTCTAAAACTTTATTGCAGATACAGACATAGATGACGTACAGCTGGTGAATGTACGCAATTAGCAGATATCATCATAATTTAAAAGATGATCATAGAGACTTCAAAGGTAAATGGTGAAATGGTAATACTACAATTGCTTAAAGGTAAACTGTAATATTACTTTGAATGTATTTGACATGTAAAAAGGCATCGATGACATTATTTGGTTGCTTAGGGGACAGCGCACAATAATAACACGGGCATGTAAATATGTCAGATTGTGTTGTCTATATAATGTACAAGCATGCGATGAGAAAATAAAGAATACAGAATTGTTACCTACTGTTTTTCCACTGCTTGCATCAATTTAACACAGGTTAAGAACAATCAAAAATGTTTTCAAGCCATGAAACACAATAACCCTCCTTATAATTCTGGTAAAAAATAGGTTTTTGCTTCACAATAATAACTCAGATGGACCATGATGAAATGGATTAGGAAGCACAAAAGCAATTTTCCTGCAGTTTACTGGTGAATCTGACAAGATTAATTGTCAACCCAGCTTGATCAATTAAATCTGTGTTAGAGACCCCATGTCAGTCAAACCTTCACTGTGGTTTTGTGAATTTATGGTTGCTGGTTTCTTTTTTCTTTCTTTTTATTTTTTACAGCTTTCAAGGACTTTATCATAATTCAGATATATTTCAGTTCACACCACATATTCCCTACATATCACTTTGACCATATGATCAGGATTTTGTGTAATCAAATCTAATTTGATCTGATCTAATTTTATCTAGTCTAATCTAATCTAATTTGATCAGCCTCCTCTGTTCACAACGTGTTCCTTTTCACAGTGGGAGTTCAACACACAGGTAGATTTATCAGACCAAAAAAAAAAAAACATCTCATATGTATGTCCTTTGAGATCCTTGGATGGAAAGGGCACTACAAATAAATAAATAATAAATAAATTGTATTATTATTTTTATTATGAATGGATCCCAATTTATTTTTATTTACTTTTTGTCTTTCTAAGCCTTCACCCTCAGTAATAAGACACCATATGCTACATCCATTCTGTCTCATTTTCTGGGCTATTGTAAAAACTCTATACCCTCTGTATTCTCACATTACTCCACAATGCATAAACTGCAGGGGTGTGTATGTGTGTGATCATACATGTGACCCACAGAGCCCAGGGCCTTAATGAGTCAGCAAAATAAGACACCATGTGTTAGCGACGAGGCAACAGATGGAGAAGGAGGCGAGAAGAGGGATAGAAGGGATGGGAGTTGGACAACAGTCTTTTGCGCACACACACACACACACGCACACACACACACACACACACACACACACACACACACACACACACACACACACACACACACACACAATGCAAGGATAAGAATACCACTAGCTCATTAAGGCTCATATGTTAGATGCTTTAGATTAAGTGATTACACACTACTGTGTCTAAAGAAATAGTCCCCCCTCACATTTCTGAGTCAGGAAGAGTCAGTGCTTTAAAGGTGGGGTAGGCAGGAATCCATTAAAAAGCATCTTTTGTGGTGTTTATATAAAAAAGCTTCTAATGTCAGTCAATAGCTATTAGTCATTGATGACATTTGGTAATATAACAATATCATTGTGTTTTGTTATGTCAACATATGCTATATATATATATATATATACATATATATGCAGTTTGTATTTTATTTTGTATTCCCTGATCCTCTCCTTCTTGTGTACAGCACTTTGTGATACAAGTTTATGTATGAAAAGTGCTTTATAAATAAAGTGATTGATTGATTGATTTGCTTTTATGTAGTGTCACATTTAAATTGAGTGGAACCCCGGAAGAATAGCTGCTGCGATGCAAAAGCTAATGGCATCTAAATAAACCAAACTAAATATCATTACTGTACATACCCTGGCGCCACGTCAAGCTTTGAATTGATTTAATCAGTGGCAAGATTATAAGCAATATAACAAAGCAGGTTAACACTTGTTGATTTAAGAAATAGCAGGTTGAAATGACCTTTGGCTGTACATGGTGCTGAATGGATTTAAGATATCTTTTACATATTTCAGCGCCCTGTTCCACATTTAACACTGACAACAGAATGAGTTATCAGTTGAATTTGAGCAACGCACCTTTTATCATTTTGAATCGTTTAATCATTCTGAGTTGCTAGAGAGACAACTTATTTACAATTAATTTTTCGAAATTCAATTAGCAGAATAAAACCCTGAGTTACGTGATTTCTTCTCAGTTCTGACTGTCCATCTATGGCATGGTGCACTGTCAGTCTGGACTTGCTGTGCTCCAGACAAGACAACAATCGTCCTTGTGATGGATAACCCATCTATCACTTTGGATGCTTCTAGGGTGATGCAGCAGTCTAAAATAGCTTTCGTCTGTGTGTGTGTGTGTGTGGGGGGGGGGGGGGGGGGCTTCTATATCTGGTCTAGTCGGCACTTAATGGCTGGTACAAGACACACACACTCTCAAACGCATATAGTCTCAAAGACATACTTTATTGCTGTTTCCTCCTTAGTTTATCACCAACATTCGTCACAGGTCGGTCTCAAGGAGAGTAAACTGTTTTTTTTGTGTGTGTGTGTGTGTGTGTGTGTGTGTGTGTGTGTGGTCACATGTATATGCTACAGTTTGCTTACAGTGCAGCCCAGCTTGTGTGCAGTTACATGATTACTGTTATTGTGGCTCAAGGCCATGTGAGCCCTGCATGCTCAATCAAACCTGCTGTAATCTCACTACCTCTGAGAAAGTACAGATGGTTCCGTCTCCATCCTTTCTACAATGATCATGACGAATACTACCTTCACTACAGGCCAAAAGTTTAGAAGCAAGAATTAGTTTTTTTTTGCTTTTGCACTGAAGTTGTGACTCTTGCAAATGTTTTTAACTCTAAAACTAAACCCTTATTATCTTTTGCTGACATATATTTAGCAATGGTCTGTTAACATCAATGTATATCTAAAGGTAAATGGAGTAAAATGGTGCATTTCCATGAAAGCAACATCTGATCATGGAGTAAATACATCCCAAGATACATAAAACTCATGCTGGATTTTGAAAAAAAGCATTGTGAACAAAAACTTGAAGTTACTCCCAACTGTTCGACCTGTAATGGCTTTGCTTCCAAACTTTTGGCCTGTAGTGTATAATAGTGTCTGTGTGTGTGTATGTGTGTGTATTTTTCCTTTTGCTGCAAAATAACTTCTTTAAACTTATGAAAAAAAGTCCAAAAATAGGTGTTGACTGCACTGCTTACTAGCCAAAAGAAAGAAAGAAAGAAAAAAACACAGAAATAAGACTTGTCCTTATTGTCAGTCCAGTCCCGTCGAAAGAGTTGTCTAATTGCCCCCTAGCTTCTTTAGGATCATGCAAAGTCTCTCTGACCCTTCTTTTTCTTGACTCTGTTTAACATCACCCGCCTTCCTATCAGATACAAGTAGACAGGTTGTAATTTACTGCCAGCTTATGTTATGTGTTTGAGCTAACAGCAGTAAACCCAAACCATAATTTACAACATCCTCCAAGGCTGGTTCTCAACAGCAACACTGCCGAGCCTTGATGGTTTTGTAGAAGACTCACGGACACACAACAAAGATTTGCAAATGGAAATGGGATGCACATAAACATAATACCAAACTCCAACAGAATCACACTTGTTTTGGTAACAGCTGAAGTGTTTTCTTACAGAAGCTTTTCAGAGTCACTATGATTTGGATTTCCATGTTTGTTTGTGGTAATAAAAAGAATTCTGTGCTTCATTTAATCAGTTAAAAAAGAATTTAAACTACTAGACCAGGAAAGCCATCCCTCCATCCATCTTTTTTTTCTTAATTTTACAGTGTTAGGTCACAACCGAGAAGGTCAAATCCACATACAGATATCGCAGGACCACATCTACAGCGCCAACGCCAACAGCTTCTGACAGGGTATCAGGAATATCACTGACTGCAAAAGTAATCTTGTCTGCCCACACAGGGTTGCCACACTGCCGGACAAGCTGAACAACTTTCTTCGCTTGCTTTGAAACTAGCAACAGTGTGACCATGGTAACAACACCAACCACTGACAATGAACAGACTCTCTCACTGAGTACATGTAATAATGTACTGTTCACTCTGTGCAGGCCCTGATGGAGTTCCTGGATTGATACTCAAGGACTGCATGAAACAACTTGCTGAAGTAGTTACAAGTATCTTCACCATGCATCTGAAATGCCTGAAGTGAGCTATCATTGTGCCACTGCCAAAGAAAACAAACATTAGTATTGATGCACAGTTGCCCTCTCCATTGCGCATTAGCACATATCCATTGTTCCCTTAAATTTACCCATTTTCATTTTACACTGATTCTACAGGAGATGATGTTGCTATGTTTTATTTGCTACTGTGTGATATTTGTTTATTCTTGTGTTACTCATGTCTTTTTTTATGGCTGTAACTTGCTCTATGGCACAGAGCAGTTTCAGTATTTTCAAAGTACTAAATGACTAAAAGTAAAGAAACATTAGAAACACTCCCTTTTAAGTTATGCGGTCTGAGTTTTAACCCATAATTTAACTGAATAATTCAAAATAATGGACGTTTGTTGCAAAAGTTGCATCTGAAATTTTCCTCAAGATCAATAAAGTATCTATCTATCCATCCATCCAACCGTCCATCCACCTATCCATCCATTTATGTTTATCTGTTTCCAAAAAGAAAGTAAGCAAGAGCTGAAGAGATGAAACACTGATACACCAAGAACAGGTACATCCTTGGATCCTCTCGCCTTCTATCCGTCTCACCTCCTACATCCCCTGTGGATATGGATGTACATGTGGGTGGGACGGCATGCAACCGTGCTTGGGTGAATGCAGAAGTGAACCTATAAGTGCTGTTTACTGGTTCCCCGCAGTTTCTCACTCAGGGAGTCCTCTGCTTACAAGGGCTTGTTTTATGAGCCCTTAACAGCCAGCACTCAGACCAGATGGTGCACTTATCAGCTAGTCCACTGAGTGAGTGTGTGTAGCATGAGGCTGACTGCAACAAGTAAATATTTGTTGAAAGCAAGGAGGGAGTTGGTTGTCTGGGGGACACATGCTTAACTGGCAGAGCACAAGCGCAGGGAGATAGTGGTAGTAGCACACATTGTAGGCATGAAGGTAGGAGTAAGAGCAAAGCAGGGCTGGAGTTAAATGTGATTTCTAGGTCTGAAAGCAAAGTTCCATGTGTTAGCAGATAACTTGTTAAGGCCAACAAAGAAAGAACAATAAAGCCATAAAAAAGCATGAAATGAAAGAACATCACATTACACCGCTGGCGACAACATCATTACGTGAAAATGTCCACCATTATTTTCCAGCACTGCCTTAACCCTCTTGGGCATGAAGTTCACCAGAGCTTCACAGGTTGCCTCTAAAATCATCTTCCACTCCTCCATGATGACTTCGCAGAGTCGGAGGATGTTAGAGACCTTGTGCTCTGTCACCTACAGTTTGAAGATGACCCACAGATGCTCAATAGGGTTTAGGTCTAGAAACACACTTGGCCAATCCATCACCTTTGCCCTCAGCTTCTCTAGCAAGGCAGTGGTCATCTTGGAGGTGTGTTTGGGGTCATTATCCTGTTGGAATACTGCCCTAGCAGACAAGTTTCTGCTTCAGTATGTCACAGTACAGTTTGGCATACAGGTGCTGGCCAGTAAATTAGAATATCATCAAAAAGTTGAATTATTTCAGTAATTCCATTCAAAACGTGAAACTTGTATACTGTATACTTTCCTTCCACACATAGTGATATATTTCAAGTGTTTATTAATTTTCATTTTTATTATTACAACTGACAGCTAATGAAAACACCAAATTCAGTATCTCAGAAAATTAGAATATTCTGAAAAGGCTCAATATAGAAGACACCTGGTGCCACACTAATCAGCTGATTAACTCAAAACACCTGCAAAGGCCTTTAAAAGGTCCCTCAGTCTTGTTCTGAAGGCTCCACAATCATGGGGAAGACTTCTGACTTAACAGTTGTCCAAAAGACGACCATTGACACCTTGTACAAGGAGGGCAAGACACAAAAGGTGATTGCTACAGAAGCTGGCTGTTCGCAGAGCTCTGTGTCCAAGGACATTAACAGACAGGCGAAGGGACGGAAAAAATGTGGTAGAAAAAAGTGTACAAGCTCTAGGGATAACCGCACCCTGCAGAGAATTGTGACGACAAACCCATTCAAAAATGTGGGGGAGATCCACAAAGAGTGGACTGCAGCTGGAGTCAGCGCTTCAAGAACCACCACGAAGAGACGCATGAAAGACATGGGATTCAGCTGTCGCATTCCGTGTGTCAAGCCACTCTTGAACAAGAAACAGCGTAAGAAGCGTCTCGCCTGGGCCAAGGACAAAAAGGACTGGACTGCTGCTGAGTGGTCCAAAGTTATGTTTTCTGATGAAAGCAAATTTTCATTTCCTTTGGAAATCAAGGACCCAGACTCTGGAGGAAGAGCGGAGAAGCACAGAATCCACGTTGCATGAGGTCCAGTGTAAAGTTTCCACCGTCAGTGATGGTGTGAGGTGCCATGTCATCTGCCGGTGTTGGCCCACTCTGTTTCCTGAGGTCCAAGGTCAATGCAGCCGTCTACCAGGAAGTTTTAGAGCACTTCATGCTTCCTGCTGCTGACCAACTTTATGGAGATGCAGATTTCACTTTTCAACAGGACTTGGCACCTGCACACAGTGCCAAAACCACCAGTACCTGGTTCAAGGACCATGGTATCCCTGTCCTTGATTGGCCAGCAAACTCGCCTGACCTTAACCCCATAGAAAATCTATGGGGTATTGTGAAGCGGAAGATGCAATACGCTAGACCCAACAATGCAGAGGAGCTGAAGACGACTATCAGAGCGACCTGGGCTCTCATAACACCTGAGCAGTGCCACAGACTAATAGAGTCCATGCCACGCCGCATTAATGCAGTGATTGACGCAAAAGGAGCCCCGACTAAGTATTGAGTGCTATACATGGGCATTCTTTTCATGTTCATTCTTTTCAGTTGGCCAACATTTCAAAAAAAACATTTTTTTTATGTTTTTTTTCATTGGCCTTTTCAATATTCGAGATAATATTTGAGATACCAAATTTGGAGTTTTCATTAGTTGTCACTTATAAATATCAAAATTAAAAGAAATAAACATTGGAAATACATCGATCTGTGTGCATTGCATGAATATAATGTACAAGTTTCACTTTTTGAATGGAATTACTGAGATAAATCAAGTTTTTGATGGTATTCTAATTTACTGGCCAGCACCTGTACATGAACTGCAGCTCCCCTGTGCCGGCAGCACTCATGCAGCCCTAAACCATGACACTTCCACCACCATGCTTGACTGTAGGTAAGACACACTTGTCTTTGTACTCCTCATCTGCTTGCCACCACACATGCTGGACTACATCTGAAATAAGTTTATCATGGTCTCGTCAGACCACAGGACCTGGTTACAGTAATCCATGTCCTAGTCTGCTTGTTTAGCAAACTGTTTGCTTCATCTTCGAAGAGGCTTCCTCCTGGGACGACAGCCATGCAGACCAATTTGAGGCAGTGTTGGGCGTATGGTCTGAGCACTAACAGGCTAACCCCCACCCCTTCAACCATTGGAGCAATGCTAGCAGCACTTAAACATCTATTTTCCAAAGACAACCTCCTAGCACCCGCACTCAACGTCCCCAGTCGACCATGGCAAGGCCTGTTCTGAGTGGAACCTGTGTTATTTAACTGCCGTATGGTCTTGGCCACTGTGCTGCCTGCAGGTCAGTTTCAGGGTGTTGGCAATATAGGCTGGGACGTCTTTGTGTAGAGCAATAACTCTTTTTTTCAGATCCTCAGAGAGTTTATAGCCTTGAGGTGCCATGTTGAACTTCCAGTGACCACTATGAGAGGGAGTGTGAGAGTGATAACACCAAATTTCACGCAACTGCTCCCCATTCACAACTGAGACCTTTTAACACCAACGAGTGACATGACCATGACACAGAGGAGGGAAAATGGCTTACTGGGCCCAGTTTGGACATTTTCACTTAGTGGTGTACTCTCTTTTGTTGTTTGCGGTGTACACATTAATTGCTGTGTGTTAAGTTATTTTGTTGGAACGGTAAAATTACGCTGTGATTACACAAGCTGTACATTGACTACTTTACATCGTATCAGAATGTCAGTAATAACGTGTTACATCTATTACATGAGAAGAAAGATTACATACACGCATGCACGCACGCACACACACTCCTGTTGATATCATAACACAATTCCCTGTATCTCTCATGTATCTCCCTCATTTTCTTTTCCACTCACAGGCTGAAGATCAGCGATAGAAGAACCCGGATGCTGCTTCAGGCACCAATAAGCACTGCTTGCCTGATTATCATCCAGTGGTTTTGTTAGATGCACTGACAATTTAGTCTGGCTGAAAGGTAATACAGCTAGGGCCTATCACCATGGTGATGAACCAAAGTGGACCATCCCAGTTTTTGTTGCTATGACAACATCCTTGGCCCCCTATAGGTTGCTTGCAACAGTATGGCTGAAAAAACACAACACACTTGCATGCAGTGGTAACCTTTAACATAAGCAAACTTGGTTCTTGTCATCGGCAGGTTACTTTGAAAATTTTTGACAAATGGGAACAGAAAGCTAATCGATGTCCAGAATAAATATTGAACATAATTTGGCAAAAATTTAAAGTGAATCAATAAAGATAAAGATAAATGGAAAATGAAAAAAATAAAATAAAAAACTAACAAATCAATAATAATAATAATGATAATAATAATAATAATAATAATAATAATAATAATAATAATAATAATAATAATAATAATAATAATTATTATTATTATTATTATTATTATTATCATTATTATTAATAGTAGTAGTATGATTGTTGTTGTTTTTGTTATATGTTGTTGTTATTCTCTTATAGTTAAATGTAATCACAATTATCATACATTTTCTTGAAGTTTATTTGCACTACATCAGTTAAAAAAGGTTAGTTGGTTTTCTAATAGAGTCAATTAAAGTAGAGCTGTTACAAATGCCAGTGTTGACATGGGGTATGTTATTACAGGCTGGTCAGGGCTTGATACTGAGTTAGTATCCTTGACAACAGACAAATTGCTCCCTCTAGTGACCAATTTTCTGCATTTCAGTCATTTCGTTTCTCCTTTTTTTCTTTTACCTCCCAATACTTTTCATATAAGACCATTAAAGAAAGTAATGGACACTGCAAGGAGTAATTAAAAGAAGTGAAATGGTTAAAACATATACTTCAATTCCATTATAAGCCATTAGGTATGGGAGCTCTTTGAAGTAACTGATTAAATGGTTGAAAGGTAATTGTCAGCTTTAATTTCAAAACGTACCATAAGATCACATCTAAAACATAAAAAAGTGTAGAAAAAAACCTGATATAAATCATGCTACAATGCACACTCTCTGTCTTTGATCGAATTATATGTGCACGAGAGGAGGATGTTGCACTTCCTCTGTTGATGCTCTTGCGGATGGGTGGAGTTCAACACATCAGAAACTCATATTATCAAAAGCTCTTTGTGGTCTTGGTTTCTCTACCGCTTTCTCACACAGTCCTGCAGCCACCCGTGCAGAAGGAGAACAATTAGACACACAAGAGGAAAGGTCTCCTAATGTCCAATGATCTGAAAATACAAAGTGATGCATCGACTGCAATACTCCAGCACTAATCTTTGGTCTTCTGACCATTCAAGGTAGTTTGACCCCTCATGTCAAATCCTTGAGTCAACCCTTTTTGTACACACTCACACTGATTACAGAGGCTGCCATGTCAAGTGTTAGGTGGTCCACCGCTGACATTAATATTCTACACTGACATACATACATGTACAGCAGAATCATTTTTCTGGTTGCTACGTATGCATCTTTATGTGTAGGGTGCATGTGTATTGACACAGCATGCATAGAAGTGGACATATACACCACTCTCCTACTGTATTATACTTTTCTCCATTTATTATTTATTAATTAATTTATTTTGTATTATGAATATATTCTTGTATTTTTGTACTGTGGGCTGAAGAGAAACGTCTTTTTGATTCCTGTGTATGCACTCACATATGGCTGAAATTGACAATAAAAAGCCTAAATCTTAAATTGTTGGCAAGTTCACTCTTTTGTCTTGCTAAGGGACTCTTCCACATGTAAGTCCCAGAACTAGGATCAAAATGAGCCTCCTGACTGTAAGATATCCCCACCCAACCATCAGTGGTGGTGTTAAAGGGAGGGAGTCCAACAAGAGAGCTCTGTGAAAGACTGTAGCTACCTTAAACAATCCCAAGTGCACCCCATCGGAGAATCATATATAAATGAATGGGCGTCTCTGTATCACAAAGTTGGGGGTAACGATCACAGGACCACAACCTTAAATGCCCGTGGGTAAGACACTTGAATATACCTGCCACTGCATGCTGAGCCCAGTGGTATGTACTTGGGATTAGCCAAAAGCTGATGGCCTCTATACATAATTGCTTCTGCCATCAGTGAGTGAATGGATGAATGTGACATATAATGTAAAAAAAAAGTGCTTTGAGTCATTAGAAGACTAGAGGAAGCATTATTTAAACATGGTCTATTTAACATCTCATATCTTGTGTAAAAGAAAAAATGCGACTGAAGGTCGTCCTGCCTTAACTGCTCCTGTCTCTCCACTCTCTCTTATGACATCGTACATTAGGTAGAAGATTGTAAATGTGTACACTACATCAACATAAAATATGACACAGCTTATTAAAGCTCCACATAGCCTTTCCCCTTGAGTCCCCTGACCTTTAATAAGCCATCACCTAAAGTAAACATAAGCCAGCGGAAATTTAGTTATAATGTTTTTCTTTGTAATGGTAAACACTATGTTAGTCCTTTGCAGAATACAATAGGCCCCAGGAGGGCGTATAAATGTCAAACCACAGAAGCAGCAGTTCTTCTTTATTGTTTCCATAGTAGACAATCAATATAGATACGTGACCACCAATACCATGGGTTTTTACTATAGAGAAAAGTCAACTTGCCTTATCATCAGCTCCCTTCCCCCTTTTCATTTTTCTATACTTTGTTAAATTCGAGCTTCATTCTTGTCACTCTTACTGAATTTCATTTATTCTAAGACATAGAAGCAAATACCACCATGCCATTAACACTTAGATAGTACCAAAGGGAATCCATAGAATTAAATCATTAAAGTATAAATGAAGATGAAGATGAAGTGTTCTGACCACAGATCAGTCCCACTGAGCAGCATTACAAATGTGAAGTACAGAGGAGAACACACAGGTGCTGAGCAGCTGGCTGAAGAGTCTCTCTCTCTCTCTCTCTCTCTCTCTCTCTCTCTCTTACACATAAACAAAAACATAAATGCTGATGACTGAGCGCAGTATTTGCAGTCTGTCAGTAATCTGTCTTTCTTTTTTCTATTAAACTGTGGAAATGTTCTTAAGATGCGCTCAAAACATAGCACATATTGCACACTGAAAACAAACAGCTCCACCAAATATCAACCTGGACTTGGTTTAAAACACTCTTCTCATAAAACAAATCTCATTTTCTTCAGAGGCCATGAAAAACAATGTTGGCTAAAGAGCTTTTTGACAATAGCCATCAAATTTCCCGGAGAAAGTCATTACCAGGCTGCAAAAAAAAATCTTTCTCTGAAAACCTTTTGCCCTCTTCTGTAAATAAAATTACTAAAACTCTGTCCAGTAAAAAGCAAGCTTCTATTATACTATCACAACCTGTTTAATCCCTATCTACAATTAAGTGTGTAATAGCCTTAAACTCATAAAGCCTCGTTCCCCATTTAGCCTCTCTGTGTAGTCTAAAATACATCATACATTTATCAAAGGATAATTATGGCAGATGGATCTAAAAAGCAAAAATTGCGAACAAATATAATCATTTTTAGACTCTGATAATGGTAATGTATTAATTTCATGCACCATTGAGTCATCTGAATGCTTTTGAAGCTTTAAAATGCAGTTTATAAAATTTTGTGAGCACATTTTTAATAACAGACAAGAAGATTTTAACTGGTGATGACAGCTTCTATGATGTACATCTCTGCCAAAGCTCATCTACAGATAGACTGCGAGTTAAGTGACGGGCTGTAACCATATAGTAAGAAATATAAGTCAGGCAATAGTTACTCACCACAGTTTGCGAGGCATTTTTAGACTCTATGAACGGGATGATCAGGTTCAATCTCTTGCTCTCAGTCCCTCGCTACCCTTTATTATGCCTGTTTGTCCACTTTTAATATTCATTCACCCTCACCACCACTTCAAGACAAAGCCTATAAAACAGATGCAAGTGTTTGCTGTCTCTCTCTTTCTCTCTCTCTCACACACACACATGCATACACACACAGCGGGCTTCAAGGACACACAGGGTTTGATTATGCAGACAATAATGAGGAGCTGTGTGTTTGGTCAAGGTGGAGGGATCTTTTTTGTGGTAACCATGGGCAGAGGGGATGCAAGGGAACACTAGGCACTAATGGGGAGAGGAGACGAGGGAGGGATGAAGAACTGAATTAAAGTTGTTAAGAGGCAGGAATGAAAAAATAAAAAATAAACAAATTGAGCTAAGGGTAGGCCAGACAGAGTAACACAGTCATACTGCCCTGCAGCTACGAACTTTGAAGTCAGACTCTCGTAGGATGTTTTTGTTCTCCTTCCCCCCTAGGGCACTTTTCGATTTTGTGAACCCCTAGTCCTTTGTGTCCTCATTTTCCTGGATATGGGTGCTTTGATGTGGCTCTTGTCTGATTTGATTTATCCGTAACACTTTACAATAACTTACAAATAGTAAACACACCATTTATAAATGGTAAGCAGATAGTTTATTAATGTTTAATCATCATTTATAATTAGTTTATAGACCATTAATAAATTGTAAATTTTACAATTTAAAAAAAAACCTAACTTTACAATAACATCTAAGTAATGTTTATAGATGGTTTAAAAACCAAATATTAACCATTTACAAAGTCCTACTGACACACACTTTAATATAGATGTTTCACAACCAATATTTAAACCCTATATAAACCTTTAATAAATAGTCCATTAATAACTAATGAAAATTATAAATCATAATTATATTGTTTGTTAATGGTAAAGTAACTATTAACTTAAATTAATGAACTATCTATTTGCAATTAATAATTGGTCTACATGCTGTTTTTAAATGATGATTATACTTTAATAAACTGTATATTTGCCATTTATAATTGTTCTATATGCTGTTTTTAAATGATGATTAAACATTAATAAACTATCTAATGACCATTCTAAAAATTATGGTTATTGTTAGGTGTTACCGATTTATCTAAATAACAAGGAAAATACCATACTTCTAAAACAGAGCATATGTTTGCATATGTGCGTGTGTCCAATCATACAGATGGGATCTCATGCTATCAAAACATTATTCCATAAAAAAAAAAGGAGAAAAAAATAGTCTCATGTTATTGTGACCTTTAGGAGTCCATTCCAGCTCTACACAGATGTATGTGGTCTGTGGTCCCTGGGAATCCAGGACAATCACTAATATACACAAGGCTCAGAGCCATTTTTTATGAGCTGGTTCCAGCTAGAGGTGAATATGAGTATACTCAATACATAGCGGCTTGCTCCATGTGAGATATATAAAATTACTATATCAACCAACAAGTGTCTTACAGACATCAAAAGCTGTAATTCTCTTAAAAGTCTTTCTTCTCTCCGAATGCCGCTCTCACTGCAAACATCACACTCAGGAAAACTCTCCTCTTCATGAGCGTGTTTAAGTATACAGAGAGGAGAGAGACAAGGGCAGGTATAGAGTAAAAGGAGTGAGCAAAAAGAGACTCTGAGCAAGTCGACCAGCGCTCCAAGACACTCTTCAACCATGAGTCTCCAGATCACTTAGATCGGATTCTGCTTTACCACTTACATTTCTGATTAACCAGCAGAGCAGAGCAGGTAATATCTGACTGAAGTGATAGTGTTAAAAAAATCTTTGGTTTGATGGTATGAGGCCAATTGTACCTTGTGTGACAGCTGTGATAAACACACGGATGCATGTGGTGTCTTTTATCTATACTGCATTGACAAACTCTTATAGGAGGAGGTGGAGGTGTTGATCATGCTGATATCAGGGTGTGCAATAACATGCAGGACAGATCATGCCAGAGACAGACCTACACAAACGGAGAGACTGGACTCACATGTGATCGTCACCTCATATTAAACATGACATGATATATAAACTCACTGGATCACATCTGTTTCTTCATCTGCTTTCCTCATCTCAGTGCAGGATCATCTCATTTAAAAATAATTGAATGCTGTCTTCCTTAATCTTCCTCGCTGAATAAACACGAACATTCAGGCATAATACCTGTTCCCTTTTATTTATACACCCAGCTATAAAAAAAGAAAAATCCTATTAAAGGGCCTACTTGAATCGTAATGCTGGAGTCATGCATGAAAGGGTAGAGTAATATTCCCACAGTGAGTAGGAGGAGATTTTAAAACATCAAGAAACATAACAGGTGTCAGGGTATAGCATACAAATATCATAAAACTGTTAATCTCTCATATCATCCAGCCCTAATTCCAGCTATTCCTGCTTTGCATTCAATACCACCCAAACATGTTCTGTTTGCTTAACAACTGCGCCAAAGATTTCAGTCATTTACTATGCCATCAAGTTGCAATATTTTGTCGGTTTTCGGTTCAAATTACACTTCTTTTTCTGGTAGTGTACAGAATCAAGTTTTACTTTCTTTGATGTCAGTATATGACCCTCCTAATTTACAATTGGTTCAAGATGCAGACATCATAAACACCTAATATTTCAAGAAGTTATCCCTTATGATTATTATTTGAATGATTAAAACATTCCTTAAGTTTAGCCTACTTAAAAATATGTTGTATTGACAGTTGTCAGATGAAGGCTTTTAAAAAATTGAGCGAGCCAATAGATATCCAGAATGACAAAAAATATTTCAAGTTAAAGCCAGTCTTCAAATTCAAGTCTCAAACATTTTCAAAAATGAATGTTAAAAAGTTTCTGGCGCCTGGAGTTTTGGATTGATTACAAACAATAGCTCGCAAACAGATTCTGAAGCCCATTTACAATCATCACTGACAATCACTATTAGTCTCTGCAGGCTATCTTTTAAATACAGGCATGCACACAAGGGCATATTATATCCTAAATCCTCCCTGCCTTCCATTTAACCGGCCTAGTAGCTGTTAGTTAAACCAATAACTCATTACATACAATAATTATATTTTTGCGTCAATTCATGTTAATTTGTTTTTCTCAAGCTCTATAACCTCGTCACATATGACAACCTTAATGTGCTAAACTTACACTGCTGCACCTCTTTCTGACAAAAAAGCGAAATAATATTCATCAGGAATTGTCTCCAAAAGCCCACAGTGAAATTTAACAGTCCAATTAATCAAATATATTGGCACAGTAAGTGGTAAAGCTACACAAGTCAGCCTTAACCTTCCTCCTGTGTTGTTCACCTGTGTCTTAAATCAGCTGTAAATTACACTACAAACAATTCTCTATCATCCAAGTTGGTTCTCATCTCTAGGTTACCTTGTTAGGGTTCATTATCCATGAAAATATTGCTTATAATTATTTGTTGTGGGCCTTTCTTTGTCAGCATACCCCTCACACAGACATCTATCCTGAACTGATCTCACATGTCTGGGCCCGACATTGTTTTTTGTGTGCAGGGAAATACATGGAAAAATAAGAATTTACCAAATCTCCCACGAGTGGAAGAGGATCTAACTGTCAGTGTGGTGCCTGGCAGTGCACTTATGATTTCAGTTTTTGCTCTTATTATTAGATATTGATTTAACCACGTCAACAGCGACCCTAACATGACAAGTGCCATAATTTTAATAAGAGCATTTTATAATGTAGTCCATGTATTTATTTATTTTGTTGAAATAGAGGTTCCTGACAAATCAAAAAGCTAATTTAAGTGGATATAATAAAGTGTGTAGTCCTTATATCAATCACATTTTTTTAACACTGTGATGGAGCTGGTTCTTGTGACTCCTACATGCTGAACGATGAATTTAGACCCAAGTTGTAAGTGGCTGATCCTACTTGTCTGTTCAAACAAACTTCTCCTGTTATAGTTAGTTTAACATCCCAAATAAAGCCTTTAAATGAAAAGCAAGGGAACCCCCCCTGAAACATGCTGATGAGAGAGCAAGGTGTTTGGAAATAACCACCATAAAACTGAGCATCTCTGTTGGAACAAAAAAATAAAAGTGTTTTGTCTCGACCAAAAAGCTCAAGGCACATTGCTCATAGAGTGACAAATGACAAAAGTAAGATAGAATGCCGGAAATGTTAGCAGCAAACCGATGTAGCATTAAAGAAAAGCTGTGCCAGGAACATTGAATGCAATGTGAGTAGTGTCAGTTGTAGTATGTACTGCTGTAATGCACAAAGCGTTTGATTGGGATGATTGCTGAAGTGAGTTAGAGCCTAAAGTTTAGTAAAGTTAACATTTATAATGTGGACAGAATAATTTATGAACTTTTAAATTTCAGCTCTTTCCAGGAATTTCTTCACCTGCATGAAACAAGAAATCCAAACAAAGAACTTACCGGGCTTTCAGTGCAGACAAAGTGGACTTGTCAACCCTGGAGAAGAGGCAGGAAAGAGAGAGAGAGAGAGAGAGAGAGAGAGAGAGAGAGAGAGAGAGAGAGAGACAGAGAGAGAGAGAGAGAGAGAAAGAGCATGGTTATCACACCTTTGCAAATTACTCAAAAGCCACAATTATTTCATCAAGTGTACATGAAAACCATAAGACATAAAAATCAAATTGACTAAACCAAGAAGTTTGGACATAGCGACTGCTTATAGAGTAAGGATAAGTGTCAAGGTAAAGTCATAACCACTGAACCAAGTACATGTTTTTGTTCCTACAAGCAAGTCAGACAGGTATATGGTGACGGGTCTCAATGTTTACAAGTGAACAATTCATGCTTCATTTAATATTGTTTATACTGAAAACATGGAAAGTCAGAGATGTAATGTTTTACTTCTAATAACACAGGGGTGACTAAATAGTCAGTGAAATGCAATAAAACAAAGATTCCTCTCAAGAAAAACAAAGAAGCAAAGATATAACACAAATACAATTTGATCAGATTTCTGAAAACAAATGCTATTTAACAGGTCAAATCAGGGGTGAGAAAGTTCATAATCAAAGATATAAAATGATAAAAAGTAGACAGTGTAATCTTTTCAAGTGCTTTGGTATGAGTAGTAAATAGATATGGCAATAAAGTCAAAAGTAGATCATATAAGCTCTGCAGGACCTTTAGGAACATGGAGTGTACGCCAATCATAAAACCAGGAGTGCTGTGCTGCAGAGGATCACACTAGTAAGGAGGATTTGTTAGATGGTAGTATTACAATAATTCTTGAATCAGGTTCATTGTGTCTTTTTTTGATAAATTACGATCAGATGTTCTTTTATACAGACACAGGTTGTCAGCAAGGTAATTAAAAACCCGTGTCCGTATAAAAGAACATCTGATCGTAAAATATTCTAATAAGTTGTTTAAAAGTCAGCGGGTAAGTATAACAATAAAGCCTCTTTAGAGACAGAACACCATCAATCTTTTTGTAGGTACCTCCAATTGTATAAAGTATTTGGGCTGTCTATATTGAGGTGGCATTGAGTTATTGTCTGTGAGTTGTGCTAAAAAAAAACTGGATTACTGGGAGCAGGCCTGGTGAAACAGCCTGACTACAGCAGGAAGGAAGGACTTGTGACAAGCTTCACACTGCGGGTGTCACTGAGGGAGCTGCCCAGTGCTGTTACAGTGCTCTGTAGGGGGTGGGAAACATTGTACATGACAGATGATAGCTTAGCCATCTTCCTCCTGTCCCCCCCATCAACTCTACAGGGTCCAGAGGACGGTCTAGGACAAAGCTAACCGTCCTCACCAGTTTGTTCAGTTTGTTTGTGCCTGCAGTCATGATGCTGAACTTCATCCAGAGGTTTTTAAGGTTGCAGCCAAAACATGCTTGTTCAAAACTCCTCAATAATGCTGCTCAATGCCGCTAAAAAAGTTTGAATTAACCACCATTTTTCTACAGCACAGAGGGAAAGAGGATTTATTTCTGTGGAAAATAAAAACTCTTTTGTGAAGTTTTCAGTGAAGGTCTTGTACTCAAAAGAAGAATACCAGAAGAGTGCAAGCATAAAACTTGAGTGTGTCTGTGCAGTCAGGGTGGCAGCATACTGAACTAGTCAGGAGTAGACACATAAGTACAGACAGCAGTTAGAGACAAAGAAGCTTGTTGACTATAAGTCCTCTCCATATGAGACAACAGAGAGTGAAACTGAACATAACGTACACACATAAACCCTAACACACATACCTATACTAACACACACGCCCACATACACACACAAGACAGGCAAAGGGAGAACAAAGTGTGAGAGGTGTGACACATTGAATTATTTGCTGCTCTCCACCCATCCTTCCTTTTGAAAAAGTTTACATTTCTCACACACACCCATACACACACACACATTCACACTCATATTCACACACATTGACATTTAGTAAAACAATGTAAATCAGTCACCATACAAAAGAATTTTAACTCACCATATAATCTATCCTGTTATTATTTCATGCACACACAAAGTAGTACACACACATATACATTAGAGTTTTAATTAAAGGTCACATACATACCATCCATATCCACCAAAAGACACACTTCTCCTCCGCCTTAGCATTTTGTCAGACTGAACTTTTCAGCAGTCTCTCTTGCTCTCAGCCCCTGTCCTTTGGGTATTGCTCTGCTGTCTGTCAGTCTCTCTCGCTATACAATAGATACTTGCACTTTGCTTCTCTCACTGACCCATGTCATTGTCCCTCCCTCTCTCCCTCCCTCTCCCCTCCTCTCTCTATCCTCTATTTAACATAGTTTTCTGTCTCTGTCTCCTGTCTTTGGCTATATAACCTCCCAGAGCTGTCAGTCTCCAGTTTGGATCTGTTGACACAAATAGTCAATGTTTTTTTTTTTTTTTCCCTACAGCACTGCTGACTTTGACTTTTTTAGCCTGTCTAGCACACTGACACACTGGGATATAAGCTTGTTTCGGGGGGAGGAGCAAGGTAAGGAGGGGCCTTAAACTCAGATCTCTGTTTTCAACACATGCACTCACACAAACACACACTGATTCTCTTCCTCTTACTCCAGTTGTGGTGATTAAAAATCGGCCACACAGTTCAGATTTACAGCAGTAGGCTGTGGTCTATTCTTGGTACTGTGTATACCTAATGATCTGAACCAGGACTGGCATTTTAAAGCAGTCTAACCCACATCAATTCAAATAACAGCTGGAGCGAAAAACAAAAAACTTCACTGTCAAACAGGATAACCACCTCTGAGGTGCCAGAAGTGAACTGAATGCTTAAGAATATTGTAGTATCAACAATGTTGGTCAAAAACAAAATTTTGTTCTCTTTGGAAACACTACTCCAGTTTTTTCTTGGCAGTTTAATTTTTACAGAATAGGAGCCAAAAACATTCACAAGTTGGTTGTACGTAGGTGGTATCTACTTATCATATTCTTGCAGGTAATTATTTTAACTGAAGTTTATACTTTCAAATCATAAAAAGGAATAGTAAATGCAGGATAGCTTTAGATCAGGTAACAAATTATATCAAGTGATAAACACAAGCTTTAATAAAAAAATAATAATGACAGAGATCTTCACAATTTTTCTTCAAAGGTGGAACTAAATTATTCGCAGATTTATACTTTTTTTTACTGGATAACATGATAGTTTCTTGTTATTTAGCTCCTTTCAAAAATTAATAGTGAAAATATACAATAAGCGTTAATACCAAAGACAGAAGGAAACCAATGACTCTGGCTGAGAAAGACAAACACATATGAAGTGTGGTAAAAAAGGGCCAAGGGAAAAATCTTTCATTATAGCGTAGTTTATTTTAAATGTGATTTCTCCTTTTATGACTCTCTTTTGATTGCTTAACAAACTCTCAGTCAATATCTCATTTATGATGAGATCGCACTAATTAAAAGCTATGAAAATGTCCAGTGGCACACACTCACACAAACACAAATACATTTTAACATACACATAAAGGACTTGAGTAATTTTAGTAATTAAATGGAAAAAAAAACCTTAAATGGAAATTCCACAGTTTATTTTTATATACGACACTATGATGTATTTAAAGGCTGTATCCAACATTTCTTTTTTCATCTGATATATAAATAAAAAATTACAATTAATGAGACTTCTGAAACCACACTGTATTTTGTAATACTAGTGAAACTGACAGCCGGCCAACCCATAAACCCCTCAGATCATACACACAACCATGTACAAATGAGGGCACACTTTCACACACATACCAGAGACAACCAGGAATAGGTACAGAATACTGTGGCAAGCACATGCTATAGTTATTATGGGTTGTAATTCATGTACATAAATCATCACTTACAAGAGTGAACATTTGTCTTTCAGGGCAGACTTTCAGTAACCCTTGTGCTTACATTGATAGCACACAGTAAGTTATAGGTAAATGCATGCTTTCTATGCAGTTTTCACTGGTGCATTTTTCTGTTCATGCATTTACAGATTTAAGTACAAATCCTGAATTCCCTCTAGCAAAGTATGACAAATAAGCCACTGTGTTCTTTGAGCAGGAATCAGTAGCAGATAGTATACAATGCTGCCAAAAGGGACAGCTGTCCACTCAACATTGCAGAGCTGTGGTTTGTCAAGCTTCTCAGTCTGGACTGCCACACTCTTTTACAAATGAAGCTATTACTATGGCTTTGCATGGTAGAGTTTTAACTTGCATTTGTAGATGAAGCAATCTGTGTTCATCTACAAGTGGTGAGTCAACGTGGTGATATCCTTTACAGAATGATATGCGTTTTTAATGCAGTGAGGAATCGAAGGTCACAGGCATACTGTGGATTGTAGATAATGAAATCCCAAAAGTTCTGGCAAGTGTATGTTGAGAAGGGTAACCATACACTGACTTCACAAAAAAAGGACACAACTATGCTGGGGTGGAGTCACGGAGTCACAGAGTCGCATGAAGTTAATGCTGAGAGTTTTTGGGGTTGGATCGAGTGTCTTTTACATGCTGCTAACTCAATAAGTCCACGACACAAACTCGAAACTCCCGTCCAAAACCGCAGGCATTTAAAGGATTTTATAAACTTCCCCGGACAAAGCTGGACAACATCCCCCCCAGAAAGAGGACATGTCTGAGTAAAAGAGGATGTATGGTCACCCTAATGTTGAGATATGTTGTTCTTGAACTGTTCGTGTATTTGTTCATTAAGTTGTTCAACAAGTGGCGGACATTCCCTCATCCTTGCTTGTGACCAACTGAGCCTTTCAGGGATGCTCCTTTTATACCCGATTCTGACATTCACCTTCCAGTTGGTGTCCAGTAGGGTGTAAAGCAGCTGAGATGAGAATTAACACCTTCAAGTCCTTAACGATGGTTTTCTGCTGTCAAACTGTGAATTCCTCTCTCTCTCTCTCTCTGTGGTTGGGGGGTGAGTTTTTTCCTCAGATGAAGGGGTTTAGGTACACCAGAATGATGGTAAAATGAATCAGAAGACTGGCAGGTGGACTGGTGCTTTGTCAGCAGTACCATGGTGGTCAGAGTGAAGAGGGAGCTGAGCTGATAGACAGAGCTTTTTATCTACCAGTCTAGAAATGAGGTTCTTTTACAAGGCAGAGGGCTTTGGAGCTTAGACATCCAGAAAAAGCTTGAAGTAGAGCTGTTTCTCCTTAGCCTTGGAAGCCACTTGAGGTAGTTTAGGCATTTGATAACAGTGCCTGTGAGATGCCTCCCTGTAGAGTTGTTACAGGTGTGTCTAACTGGAAGAAGGCCTGGGGTAGACCCTGAGTTCACTGGTGAGATTGTTAATCCTATCTAACTGGGGACACTTCAGGATCCCCCCAGGCATGTCCAAACTATTCCACAAAGGGCTGGTGTGGCTGCAGGTTTTTCTTCCAACCAAGCAGCAGCACACCAGACTTGATTCATTTCATCAGCTGATCTCAGTCTTCAGACAGCTGATTGGTCAGACTGTGTGATCTTGATTGGTTGGAAGAAAAACCTGCAGCCACTGGGGCCCCAGTGGAATAGTTTGGACATGCCTGCCCCAGATAGAGCTGAAAACCTTGTTGGCGAGAGGGATGTCTGAGTTGACTTTGACTGCTGGAAGAATGTGGATGGACGGATGAATGGTTGGATGGATGGATAAATGAATGGTTGGATGAATGGATGGATGGATGGACGGATGGGTTGATTGATGGATCATCTCTCAATGTTCTACTTTGGAGGAAGAAGTTAATTGTTTTCGTCACCTCTTTAAGTAATGAAGGCATTGTTTTAATTTAACTTTATATTCAGTTTTTAGATATGTCGTACAACATTTGAAAAATACTGTATTTTTCAGGCGATAGGGCACAACGGATTATACAGCTCACTGTGAATTAACATGTCTATGTTCACGTATAAGGCGCACCGGACTGTAAGGCGCATTTGGCATTGATTGGTTTATTGTTGCTAGCCTGTACTCTGGGCCTTGGCTGCCTTACATGAATGCACTTCTAATTTCGACGTTACAGTCAGGCAGTCTTGTAGACTGCCCAGGAGTCCTGTTATGGGGCCAATCAGGTAGCGACACAGCGTACTGTAATGCTTCGAATATCCATTAAGCGAAGTGGCTTAATTGCTTACCAAAGTCATACTTACACATTTCGACTGATTTTTGAGCGCTTGGTACCACATAAAATCAGTCAGTAAGCACAACAAGTAATCATACATAAAGCGTGCTGGATTATAAGGTGCACTGTCAATTTTTGAGAAAATTTAAGAATTTTAAGCGCGCCTTATGGTTCAAAAAATATGGTAAAAGGACATGCATCCCCTCTGGCATGTTAGGGGCTTTCCTATGTGGCTACAGCTGAGCAGTAACGGGATACTATGGCAACACAGACTGGATAAAACTGAGATAGCGACTCCACCCATTGATCTCTGAAGCTATGATTTGACGCCTATCTTCGCTGTGGCTGTGTTAGAATACTCACTCATCACAACCTTGTTTGACATAGAAAGAGGCAAAGGAGTGGAGTTGCTAATGTTTGCCAACTGCTCCGACTCTGGGTCAAGTCAGCTTTGACCTGGGAACTGCAAAACTCACATCAACACCTCCAGAACCATTAAGTTATAAAACATGTTACCTGTTTCACTGTGAGTGTGGATGGAGAAATGAGTTCATAATACCAAAAACCTTTTCTAAATCAAGCTGTAAACATGTGTCCACATGCTCGGAAACTTTTTGGAGTAGGTGTGGACTCTTGAGACTAACAGGCAGCCTCAAGAGGGCACTGTATGTGTTGCAGTTTTTAGCCCTATACCACACTATGTGGTAGAGCTGCTACTTGCCTCTCAAGACCAGAGGTTTTCATTTGTACAGCAACTGGCTGAGCATAATAAACCAACTCTGAGTCACACTTACATATTATGATGTGAGTATTCAGCGAGATCTACACTCTCATTTTTGCTGGATACACTTACTGCCCATAGCAGATCAAACAGACCCTCAGGCCACAGGAAAATATTCTGGTACAACACCTGCACCTGAAAGTGTGTCTGTCTACCTTGTGTTTATTTCACATCTTTGTTGACTGTCTTCAAGTTTTTTCATTTTAAACTACAAATAAAGGGATGCCGAAGATTTTCATTTACTGGCACTTCAGGGGGAGCAAACAAATTTTTGGAAGACGATTTTTATTTATATGAGCCTTTGCTACCCATGCTAATCTCCCAACCAGCCACCCACCCACACATATATACGCACATAAACACATGAATGCATGATGACATGTACTCATTGGCATTTACCATTCTGTTTTTGCAAAAACATTCATTTTTATCCCTCTGCACCCTTTCCATTGCTTCCCTTGGATTACTTCCTGTGAGATTCAACATACTGTTATGAGTCAAATTTGTGAAAATACTGAACACTGTACTTATCCACCCACTCGTTTATGCAGAACGCTGACTTCATGCCCTTACTTATTATTCGAGGTAAACCATACATACAGTACACAATAAACAATACAGCCCAATAACCTAACCAATCTGCACTTCTGCACAAAACAGAGTAGAATATAAATAATCATAATCAAAGAATACGGTCAAAGTTTATGAAGCAGAGCCCCAGAAATAATCACACTCCACTTGCGTCTATTTGCAGATCACAAGAGTCACACCAAACCTGCAAATTTACACAGCCCTTATACTCCAGCTGGAGAGTTCTCACACAAATCTGCACACATAAACAGACACGCACATGCATATGCAGATGCTCTTCTCAACAGTCATTGTAGATAGCTCTTGTCAGCAGCCAATAACAGCACGGGAACAATTCTGCTATTTCAGTTCCCCAGAAAACAAGTGAAATCATTACCTTGGCTCTCCCTTATACACTGGGTTGAACATCTTGGGTGGATGGTGCAGCAGTAGCAAAACACCAGCTGCAAGAGCAGGAGAGGTTGAGTGAATGTGTATGATAGAAAAAGAGAGAGGAGGGGACAGAGAGGGGAGAAAGAGAGAGTGTGCATATAGGGGGAGGGTACAGTGATACAGCCTGGGGTAGAGCTGAATTATGAGATGAGAGACAGCGAGAAACTGTGTGAGAACAGCAGTTGGTGTTACCATGGAGAGGGCTACGCATAAACTCCTTTAAAGCCTTTGAAGACCAAAGGATAAAAAGAAAAAAAACAGCAGAGAGGGAAAGTCTGGCTGAAAAAAAGCTGCAGGTTGAGGTGAAAAAAGATAAAAAGACGGAGGGTTCAAAGGAAATAGCTGGTAATTTAACTAAGGAGAAAAATAAAGAGAAGGCAAGGACACCAAAAAGATCCTGAGGTAGATCCATGGGCTCTTACCCATCATTAGATTTGTAGCACCATGATGTCCTTGACAAAAGTCAGACAAAGATCAAAGTCCAATTTCTTTGGCTGTGTATAAGAACAAGATGTACTTTAAGGTGATAAAAAAGGGTTTCTCTCCTACTGAATATTGTGGAGCAGAGACATTGAAATAAATCAGAAGCTGAGGCAAATAAGTTTTAAACACTTTTTTAAACCTCATTTAGTGCTAAGTACTTAATTAAAAGTATTGGGCATAAGGTGTTATTCTTTTAACTTGTACTGACCATAGACTGTATGTCTATTCTATACGTGGTCCATGGTATTGACACACTAGAAATCTCTACCATCCCCCGTTACTTCATCCCTCATTATTTTCAATAAATGAAAATTGATACAAAGAAATTATAACATCTATAAGACACAGGTTTCAGATGTTATCAAGTTTAAAATCTTTGAGAAAAAAAAATGTCACCAAAAATAAAAAAATAGTTATCATTTGCTTCCTTGGTTATTCTCCAAAAGATTTCACAATGACTCTTTCTCCTGAAATGACGGGTGCACCTCTAGGTTCAGATGCTATTTTTAGATATTCTCCCATTTACATGTTAGTAAGAGATTTTTGCTACTTTAATGTGGGCTCAGGGTGAAAAACTGGCCTAAACTTTTTATGATATATAATGGTGTAAGGCTGTGAGTCATATAAACCTTGATAATTTGACTAACTGTGGTTATTGAAGATTAGATGAAGGGTTTTACTGTAAACGTCAAAGATTTAAACGGTTGATTTAAAAAAAAAAAAAAAACTATCAATCAATCAATTATATATACATAATCAAATATACTACATATACATAGATCCAACAAAAAGATGGAATAAGTTTCGGTTCCATCTGTTTAGTTTAGACCCACTCATCTTAATCCACCATGAGTGTAATACTTTGCAGCATTAAACAAGTTACTGAAGCAAGGAAAAATTTCCTTTCAACAGACAGACCTTGAGCCGACCCAGACTAATGTCAGACAGCCAGACTGCTGAGGCTGTGTTAGGATTAGAGAGCGGGTATATGACATATACAATCACACAATGAATACTGCAAGATCCTGGGTGTAACATATTCAATAGAGTGGGTCACAATCAGAGGTATAGAGGTATAAAGATTGTAAGATCAATCAATCTCAGAGAGAGAGAGATAGAGAGAGAGAGAGAGAGAGAGAGAGAGCTTATGACGGGTGGTTCCACTGACTTTAATGAAAAGAAAACAGTAATACAAAAAAAATGATTGCCACCCAACAATCCTGTAGAAAGAGCAACAGAGGAAGGAAAGAAAACATAGTTTGATTTTATAAAACCTTCTACCATAAATAAATAAAGGACCAGTCACAATGCAGCTCACAGGAGTATGGTCATGTAAAGCCATCATATCTGTGGCTTCCCCTGAGACATGGAAACAAGAGTTAAAAATGGACAGAGAGACCGAGACGATGACACTGATGAGGAGAGAGGCAAACGGATAATAGCACCCTTTTATTTGTTGCTGTTACATTTTTATTTCTACTAATCCCAAGACAGTTTAGTTCTGGGGGATCCTGTGATTTTATCAGTTCTAATGGTTGTGGTTGCCAAGGAAACCATCTTAGAACGTGGTGGTCGGAAGTCTTCCAAAGCTTTGAGGAGACTGACTTCATTAGACTCCTGTGGCTGACACTGTATCAATAACTGCTGTAGACATGGGCTAAAGTAATAATAATGATAATTATTATAATAATAATAATAATAATAATAATAATAATAATGAGAAGAAGAAGAAGCAGGAGGAGGAGGAGGAGAAGAAACTCACCTTACATGACACAGTGCTAACTTATATTCAGTTAATAAAGTATTGTGTCTTGGGCCAACTGTCTCTCTCTGGAAATACATTCTAGTTTTATTGTATTCCCTGACATACCTCTGTTGAACTTGTTAACTTGTTTCATGAAAACAAAAATGTAACCGCAAATAAAAAGTACAAAAAATCTTACATCATAGATTACCAACCTGAAAATAATCCATTTGATGTTAAATTTGCAGTTTCATTTAATCTGAAATGTAAGGGACTGCTTAAGCATTGCATAGTTTACAATGTTAAGTGTCAATAAAACAGATCATCTGTTAAAGTTACAAGTCCCCCTGCCCTGGCCTCAATTGACCTCCATGAGCTCCAGTAAAAACAGTATGTTTGAAGCTTTGATTGTGGAGAGTTAGTGTCATTTGCCTTATGCTTACTGCAAGTAAATAAAAATTGATGTCTGGTCTGAAAGACTTTTTGCTTGATGCATTATTACACAAAGAAATGCAGATGCAACAAGCTTGGAGGATTTAACATATTTCCAAAACTGATCCCATTGTTTCCAAGGTTTGGAGAGGACGGTTGGTTCTCCACTCTAAAAGTTAAAAAACAGTCAAATCTTGTTCCCAAATATTTCTTTAACCCCAAGGGTCTTACAGACAGGGATAGCCTTCAGAATCAGTATGATGCAGCATTGTACTAATGCAAAATGATGTGCAGCATCATGAGTGCTATCAGGTAATATGATCAAACATGCGTAAATGCTTCTGTGCCTGTAAGATCTTGGTTTGCCAAAACTACCAAGGACCTCATTTCACTTGTTTGAACTCATCACTGTATTCTTAACATGACCAAAATTATCTTAAAACTTCAGTGACATAAATCTGTTGCTGCTGCTGTTTTTATTGAGCAACGTCTGCAGTGGCGTGCACAGATAGACACTAGGTGGTGCTAGAACACCTGCCCTTTGCCCTCTGGACCAAGCAAGTGCCCTTTTATTTTTATCTTTCTAAAACTCAATCTTCCCTCACCAGCCTTAACAATCTTCATTGGGAGAAACATGCTGCAAATGCAGATATGACATAATAGCCCGAAGGAAGTGATAAAAATGTGGCATATATAGCTAGATGCATTGAATACCTTGTCATTGAATATGCTGTTTTAGAGGAAACTTTTTAGGTTTTTTACAACTCAACTGATTGAAAAGAAGTAGTTTCAGATGATCAAGTTTGTCTTTGATTGCTTACAGTCCTACTTTTTATATTGTATATTTTTAAATAATAAAAACACAAAGTACAGTCTTTTTCCTCGGTGTATTCAGATATTTTTCAATGAACTGGTGCCATATAATTCAAGACTGATCAATGTTAAATCCAAACAAGCCTTCACAGAATTCACACTTTGCTGACTTCTCTCTGTTATTGTCCATTCTTTATGTTTCACACAAGAATCCACAATATCAGGCTTATCTTTGATTTATTATGCCCAAAGGTTAACTTTGCATATGGCCTTAATCATCACAAAAACCCCTGCAATACTCTTATAATAGGTGACAGCTTTTACCCATAAAATCTCATCTTAGTGTTATTGATCATTGGTAGTCTTAATTTGAGCTGCAGCATCCGCTAAGGCTTTATCTGTATCTAGTGTATTCCTTCATAAGTTTTTTGTTTTGTTTTGTTTTTTAGATGAAATATGTCCATTTTCCCATCTTACACCACCAATGCACTCTCTGTTTTCTAGGAAGTATGAGTCAATCCAGGAGGGGGCACTGTGAGCTTGTTCAAGCAGCAATCTTCTCATTATATTGATTTTTATCAACACAAATTTCTGCTCAAACATAAATCCTTTCTGTAAGTACTTTATAGCACAGGTACGCCAAAACAGTTATCAAAACGTCAGAGCCCCAGGAAGTCTTTCTGTACTTTACAACTCCAGAGTGTGTTCCCAGCTTCCACACACTCATTCTGACACAATATAACTGGGGATGGGGGTGGGGGGTGTAAATTAGAGGACCAAATGTGGATAGATGATGTGACGGAGCGCCGTTAAGCGCCGTCTTTCCCGACTGGCACGGGTCTCTCTCTCGGGGTCTGAGAGTATCGGTGCCAGGAGTGCGCATGGAGCGATCTCGCTCTCCGCCAAACTGTTTCACTGTTTCCCCGCACCTGTGTCCCGCAGTTCTGCACTCTAACCAACTGTTTCCCTTGTTATCTGGACTCTTTCCTCCCCGCTTTAAGCGTTTGAGTGTGCAAACTCGACAACTACACGACACACACACACAAACACACCCACTTACCTGCTGCCATCTTACAAGTCAAACCAGGGTGCTTTCTGCTCTGTCAGTAAATAGCGCAAGGTGGCGCCCTTTTGGGGGTCATGTGACCGCCGGACCATACCAGTTTAGTTTATTTGTGATATTTTGTCTGATTTATGGTATGTTCAAGGGTTAAGGTCATAGCTGTATGGAGGGCGATTCATGCCCTTTTGTCTGTGGTGAAATGTCTAATTTGTTGAGGAGTTTGTGTTGTACTTTAAATATGGTATCGTGAACCCCCATAATTTGTGTATGGATATTCCCAGGGGGAGGGGCTAGGGGAGTTTAAAAGAAGGCTGCCTAGGCTACTCTTTAAGTGTGGAGTTGGTTAGTGGTGGGCAAAACCGGTCATTTCAATGAACCGGATCATTCAGTAAAAAGACCCGTTCATTTCGTTCTTTTCGGTCATTTCGGTCAATCGGTCATTAGTCAGCCCCCCGTGTGTGTGTGACTGTCCCGCTCGCTCCGGCTCGGCTGTCGGGCCTCGTGCGGCGGCCACTCAACTCGGTCTTTCAGTCAACTCGTTCACCGTCTGGATCTTTCGTTCACTCGGTCTCTCGTTCAACTCGTTCATCCGTCTGGGTCTTTCGTTCACTCGGTCTTTCGTTCAACTCGTTCATCCGTCTGGATCTTTCGTTCACTCGGTCTTTCGTTCAACTCGTTCATCGGTCTGGGTCTTTCGTTCAACTCGGTCTTTCGTTCACTCGGTCTTTCGTTCAACTCGTTCAACTCGTTCATCGGTCTGGGTCTTTCGTTCACTCGGTCTTTCGTTCAACTCGTTCATCGGTCTGGGTCTTTCGTTCAACTCGGTCTTTCGTTCATTTGACCCGTTCTTTCAGTCAACTAGGTCTTTCGTTCATTTGACCCGTTCTTTCAGTCAACTAGGTCTTTCGTTCATTTGACCCGTTCTTTCAGTCAACTCGGTCATTCCGGTCTTTCAGTCAGCTCAGTAGTACTGCTGCTGCTTCTCTAAGCCCCACCCACACACAGAACGAGGCGTGACGATAGGATAAGACAGGCAAGCAGTCCCTCTTCAGCCAATCAAAAGAACTGTACGGATTGAACGGGTCATTTAGGGGGGGAGAACTAGTTCATTTCGTTATCAAAAAGAACTAGTTCTTTTGATCCGTTCGTTCAAGACCGACACACCACTAGAGTTGGTGGCAAAGAAGAGAACTGCAGAACTATTTTTTTTTTTTTATTGCTGCTGTGTTGCTGAATCACGAGTCATTGAGGAACTTTTGCCTTGCTGGCCTTGTTTTTTTTTTTGTCTTTGCCTCGTACATTGTTGTAAATGTATTTGACCCTATTTTTTCACCTTTTTGTAAATAGTTTTGCACTGCACCTTGAAGCTGGCCCAGACCAAGTTTGAGGTCTAACAAGAGATGTATCGTCAGCAGTTCTGGTCCATGACAGTTCCTCCTGGAGAGACCTACCACCGCTTAAAGGGTCTCTACCAACAGTGGACTTGAACAGAGCAGCATAAAAAGGAGCAGATCAGGGAACAGACCATTTTGGAGCAGCTTCTACAGGTCTTCCCTGCAGACATTTGCACCTGGGTGAAGGAGCACAAGCCAATAGAGGGGCTAGCTGCAGCCAAGCAAGCACTGCAGTACCTCACTGCACGAAGAGGCAGCTGCGTATCCAGGTGGTCCCGGTCATCAGCCTTCTTCACAGCTGAGACCAGCAGCCAGAGCCAACCCACAACCCAGCCCTGCACCCAGCCAGCGTGGCCCCGGTAAGGAGCTTGTCTGTTTGTCAGGCAGGCCACAAAGCTTCTCTTTGCCCCATCAGAAAAGCTTAACTTACGGGGGTGTGCTACACCCCCAGGGTTGAAGGTGTAAATGTTGGGGGGAGGCAGCAGCATTTCAAAGATGTCATCATTAACAGTGAACCTGTGACTGCTCTGATGGAGTCTGGTAGCTTCCTGATGCTGGTCCGAACGTAGTTAGTGCCAATAGGCATGCTGGATTTTGGCAGTCAGGAGAACATTTTGTGTGTGCATGGTGACAGCCGTGCCTATCCTATGGTTGACTAGACTGTGATGGTGGATGAGCAACCCTATTTGCTGATTGTGAGGGTGGTGGAAAAGCTGCCTGTAGCTGCCATCTTGGGGTGGGACTTACCTGTGCTCTCTGATGCGCTGCTGGAAGAGATGGGAGGTGACAGTGACTGTAGGTGGGGTTTGTCAGGGCCGGTAATCACCTGCGCCCAGGCCCAAGCGGGGATGACATCTGTCCCAGGGCAGGAAAAAGGGGGGCCAGAGCCGGAACTCTTCTCAACCCTGGACAGCAGTTTGTTTGAGAGGGGCACCAGGGGCTCGAGGAAGTCTCACCACCAGCAACGGAATGCAAGGAGGGGCTGACAAAGGACATGTGGGAGGTGCTAGTGGACATTGGGACCTTGCAAAAGGAGGATGGGGCTTTGAAGCCGCTGTTTGCCCAAGTGATTTGAGGGCTGGATAGGGCAAAGAGGGACAAAGAATGCTTTGCTATGGACAGTGATGTTCTGTATGCAGTGGCTGATGGGGTCACGCGCCTGGTGGTTCCTATGTCATGTCGGCTGATGATATTACACCTGGCACACACCTTGCCTTGGGCTGATCAATCAGACCATGTCTACCTCAAACCTCTGCCTATGATCTCTACTCCATTTCATAGACATAATCATCGTTGGCCTATTAGTGCAAAGCAGTAGAGGGCACCAGTACATTCTGGTGGTCTGCGACTACGCGACAAGGTTTTCTGAGGCTTTCTCCTTGTGCACTGCCACTACATTCTCTTGTCCAATTGTTTTCTAGGGTTTGTGTTCAAGACAAGATTGTGATGGACCAAGGGACCCACTTAACCTCCAGACTCCTGCAGCTCTTCCACCGGCGGTTAGGAGTGAGTATCCGTGTGAGGAGTGTTAAAGGGGCGTGGAATGACATGATCTACATATTTATTAAATATTTAGATTTAAACTTGGCAAAAGATTTAGATTTAGAAAATGATCTAAATGTGCAGAAAATGAGCTAAATGTGGAAAATATGTGTTAAAAGATTACAATCAACTTTTTACAATTGGCGTCCCATAGGGACAGACCTACATGTCCCAATGTCTTTTTCATTGACAAAGAGTTTCTTGATCTTTGATTCATTACCCCCCCCCCCCCAAAATGTTGTTCTCCTTTAGGCTGCATGGGGTGATGGGGTGACGCGCATGCATACTTGACCTACTTATGAGGTTAAATCAATGCCCAATAGTTAAGGGAGGCTGCATACAAACAGTTTTCTATGTAATGAATACTCTTTGCTCTCAGAAAATGTTGTTTTAGATGACATTAAAAACACAGGGTATCAGGGGCACAGGATGACATTTCCAATCTATGATGTTACCTTTCTGCTTTTGTTTGTTTATTTGTTTTTGTTTTCAGAGAACTGACAAAAACGGCCCATTATCACAAAGCAATAAGCTCAGAAAATGTTGAAAAAAAAGTTTAAAATCTTAAAAAAAAAAAATAAAAAAAAAGGTCAAATACATTTACCATTAGACCATTAAAATTGTATGTAAGAATTTGGACATGCAAGTAAAATTACCATTTATTTATTTTATTTTTATCATTCTTTTTTATGTTGCCTTTGTCCAGACAAGTCAATAATAATATCTTACAAAAGAATAGAAACTGATATTTACTGTTTCTATGTTTTAATAATGGGTGACCAAGATTCCCAAAATTTTCAGTTAAAAAAAAACGTGTTTTATGGTCTTGTGAGAATAAGAGAGTGATTTGTGGAAGGCAGGGGGTTGGGGAATGCCTGATTTGAACACCCCGACTGGTAATATATGCAGCCCTATTGTGGTGAATCAATGCACCGTGCAATAATGGGGGCAGAAGAGTTGCACAAGGCTGTAGTGGAGCCATGACAAGTCTTTTGCGCCTTGTGGTGTGCCCCATCACTGAGGAACACATGTGGGACACAGTATCAACCAGACTCTGGAGCTAAGTGCCTCTTGCCATTTAAATTTGGTATATTTTGTTTTTTTTTATGCCGTGGAGTTGGTACGAGACAACAATCCAAGGACAGGCAAACTTGAAAGACTCAATAACTTTGTTTCTTGGACTGGAATACTTTGGTAATGGACCCACTTTACCCTGCTGACAGGTTGTGAAGAAAGTCTCTGCTGTTGTATGAACTTTCAAATAGGGTTTTTTTTTTTTTTATGAACCCACAGGATTATAATTTATTTGCTTTATGCTGTGGTCTCTCAGCAGAATTTAGACACAAAAAAAGTCAACCAAGAAGAATTAAGGTGAGAAATTTTCATTCAGCCAGAAAATTCAGTTTTAGTTGCTCTTCAAAATTAGTTGACAGCAGTCATCTGGTAAAGAACTAGTTTAAAAACAAAACAATACTGCATGTGAATCTTAATTTCATTTATTTATTGGAAGAAAGGAAAGTTTGTTTTAGAATATTACAGCTTTTTGATGAGAAGAAAACATGCAATGTGACGAAAAGATTCAGTTAATAGTGTTTTTGCACAACTTGGGGAGTTGTTAAAAGCGAACCAAAGTGAAAAAAGAAGTGAAACAAATGTCAGAGCATCTTGTGCTCTCATTCTAAGAGACATTGACCAACAGACAAAACGAATGAAGATGCCGACAAAGGGCTGGGCAGTAGTTTAGGAGCCTCATGCTTTGTTTTAGCCCCCCCAGCCCCCTCTGTGTAGAGGGGAGTCTCAGAAAAATGTGAGAGAGGATAGTGTGGTTGTGTGTGTGTGGGAAAGGGGTTGGAAATAACAGTAAATGACACATGGGTAACTGGCACATAATGGCCAAACTAGCCCATTTAATGCATGTCACAATCGGCATAGGCAAGAAGACACATTTTTAGATGATAGACTATATGATCATTACAAACTCTAAATAATCAGTAGCTTTTAATAATATTATTACTTTTATTATTTTAGCTCAAATGAATATCTTTTGTTATTGGGGTTGGAATACATCCAGTAGGACTAGCAGCAACAATGAAATCTTTAAACGAGTGTAAAAAAGATTAACATGAAAAATGACTGAATCAGCTGTAATCACTTTCCTTTAACAGTGAGTCACACTACTGTCTCTGGACTCTGTGGTTCCCCTTCATACTATTTTTAACACTGTAGCATATTTTATAAAAAAAGTTTTGATTTAATGGCCACAAAAAAAAAAACGAGAAAGACAAAAAAATTAGCAGAGTACAGGAAAACAAAAGCTGATGAACTGTTAAAATCAAAGATATCAAAATACAAAATAATACCAATGGAGCCGAGTATATGCCCTGAAGTTATCTGGGTTTAATATAGCAGAGGGAAGTTACTGTATTGATTTGTGAGGTGTCCACAACCACAACTCCAAATGAATGTTGTTGCTCTGTGTCGGCTGGATAAATAACTTTGGATATTTTCAATTTTCTACGCAGGTAGGATGTGACCGACCAAATATATGTCCAGGACATAATGGCTCAGGGGAGGGGTAGAATTTGGGAAGGCACTGGGAGACAGATGCACTGGTTTATCCTCACTTATCTTGTCCTTTTGGCTTCACCATGCACTGGCTTCCTCCCTAACTTTTGGTCTCGAGTTTTAACTTTGTCCTGGGACTCGAAAACTCACCAGTACATCACTGAGCAGGCCATTCTCAATGTCACCATGGAGACTTTGAAGGAAATCCAAAAACATCAGGAAAACCATGCAGAGGAGCAGGTGAGACTATTTCTGTGGTTAATCTCTTCAAAATGACTATATCAGACAGATCAAATTTAGGAGGCAAAATGAGATGGCATCTGTACTTTCACAAAGAGATTCATTTTTCTTTTTTTTCCAATATATTTTTAGCTAAAGGAACAGATCTGATCGCACTGCTTTATGATAGCGGAGAACAGAAGTGCAGTTTTCTCTCAGTATGTCAAATATCAACATGTGTGTCCCTTCCAGACCAGACTGGGCCGTGGCTTCTGGAGGGCTGTTGGAGAAGTGGTGAAATCCAATGCAGCCATGGATTTCCTGAGCTCCACTAGAGCCGACCCAGTGTATCACTTTGATTCAGAGCGTGTGAACAGTTCGGTTGTGATGTTGCGACAGTTCTGGGCTCAGACTCTTCTCTCAGTTCGGGCCAAAGAGTACCAAAGTGCACGTCACAGCTTGGGCCAGCTATTTCATTCCCTGCAGGTATATATTGCACTTTTATATGGGCACAGACACCAAAAACATCTTCTGATCCAGAGTGCTATGAATAGAGTATAGAATTTATAAGGAATTTCTTTTGCCAGGACTTCTACAGCCACAGCAATTGGGTTGAGATGGGCCAGCATTTAATTTACCGTCACCTGCTGCAGCCAGAGGAGCCTGCCATCCCTGTGGCAAAAGGTAGTTACTATCATTACTATCTTACATTACTATGAGCACATCATGCATCCATCCACTCTATAACATTCTGAGTAGCCATACTGACAGTACTAATGCAGAGATCAACAATCCTAATATGTTCTTGGGTATCACAATGACCAGTACTGGCCCTATAGTCACTGTTCTGTGAGGGGAGACACTTTTGTGATTCAGTTTCTGTCAGAGGACCCAGATGCAAACACAGTAGCAAGGGAGGATGACTAATGATAAGATAACAAGAGTAGAGGTCTGTCATAATTTGTCAGTGGAAAGACAGTTAGCACAAAGCTCAATATGCATGTTACTAGGGAGAGAAAGGACAGCAACCATACCTGACAACACGTACAGTCTTGCAAATAAGCATGATACCATACAGCATGAACAATGGAGGAGAGATGAAAAGCTAGTTTATCAGGTAATGGAAAGAGGTGAAGAAACACTAAAAGCATTTCATAGTCATTCATAGGTGGTCTTGGAAGCTCCAACCCTAACAGTTTGAAATGTAAGACAAAATGTTAACCTTTGTAATTTGTAAATGAATCTCTGATTTTTAAACAGATTTTTGAAAATTATAATAATTATTTTAGTAATATTTTTTGACATATTTTTACTGATTTTTAAACAGATTTTTTAACATTATAGTAATAATTTTATTAAAATTTTTTACATATTTTGACTCATTTTTAAACTGATTTAAAAAAGATTAGAACAATGTTTTTTACACATCTAATCACCTTATTGATTTAACCATTTTCAAACCTAATTCTCAAGACTATGGCTCAGCCTGTCAATCATAAACTCTACTACTCTACTTTCCAACACAAAAGTTTTGAAAGTTTGCCGTGTGCAGCTTCTTGTCACAAGGTGTCATAAGTACAATGTTACAGTATTAGTATATGCAGCTGAATATTTGTTTAAGGTGTTATTTTGTCTCTGCCATTACTACCATTATATTATGTGTACCATGTCACTTCTATGAAGCACAATTATTTAAATACTATTTGGATACCTAAAACTATTTATATGCCATGGTAGTTAGAAAAATGTCATATCAGCATTGGTGCATGAATGTGAAACTGAACAGAAATTTGAACCTAAAATCAGATTACTTGTAAAATACCCTAGATCCCCATATCAAACCAATCCAAACAGTCCCTGAACCAAACCAATCCAAAAGTCTCATTAAATTTAATTGTTTTAATGTTTATTTAATTAAGTGTGTACATTTGCAGTACTAAACTGTTCCTTTTGGATATCATGGCACTAACAGACTTCAACCCTCTCATTTCATCCACAGACAAAACTCCCACCTGTATGGAGTGTTTCAGTGTGACTTGTCGGGATAACCTTCTGCCTGGACTGAGAAGCACACAGCAAGACTCCCAGCTACTCACTACTGGCTACTTTGGCACTTCCCCTCTGAAACCTCAGGGTGTGTAAATGCAACTGTGGTCACCAGAAGCTGCAATCCTTACAATAATATAGTGAATTACACTCCATTAAAGAGCTTTTCTATGTTTAAAGTTTTAAGGCTTTTCCCTTTTCAAACTCATCTTTTACAGGCAAGTGCAGTCATGGAGGTATTCTGGACAGTAGCCGCTACATGGGTGCCAAAGGGGGAATCAACAAAGACAGTACCTCACCTATCTTCTCCCCCCACCATTACCTCCATGTGCGAGCAGCCACTTTGGCCAGTGAGGCCACTCTAAGTGTACTGAGAGACCTCAGGGATACTGTGGGACACAAAACCTTCCTGAGGTTTGTTTTGAGTATCGATCAACATGTTACAATTGTATCAAATACTGTAAGTACTTTTTTTAATCAGAACATCTCCTGACAGGCTCTTCAGTGTAGAGCAGGTCCCTGCATTGGTATTTGTCATGGACACCACAGGGAGCATGTTTGAGGAGATCACCGCAGCTCGCCTACAGGCCCATTCCATCATCCAAAGCCGGGCCCATAACCCTGGACACCCTGGCACCTTTATCCTTGTGCCTTTCCATGATCCAGGTGATATTATCGTTCCTAAATTTGAAGTCCAGTGTGCTAAGCTAGAAAGCTCCGCTGCCACAACTGGGAAAAATCCATGTCGTCTTTCAAACACTTACAAGAACTTCCTATAAATGAATGCATTTTGTGTAGCATTTTTTTTAATCCAGAAATATTGATTTACATTGATAATGGGACAAAAGCACCCAGGATCCCAAGGTCCAAACATTAGATGTCATCACCATCTTGATTACATGACTAAAACTGTGTGTGCTTGGTGAGCTGTGGTGATGCACAGACTGTAAAATGCAATATCGCTCTTAGTTTTCTTATGATATGTCCTCTAGCATGAAAAAAATGCATTATGAACATGTAGACGACAAGAAAAACATTTTCATTGGAGTGGGTCTTTAAAAAGTTGTCAAAAATGACAAAATACTGATTTAAGTTACAATAAGGACAAGGATGTTGCTAATGTCGAACATGGTAGCCACAGTGATTATAACACTAGTGACAACATCAGTGCTACTAATGAAAATAACAATGATGACAATGACGACAATGATGATGATGAGGGTAAAAAAGTATCTGCCTTTACAAACCTTGTGCATTATTATCCTGTGCTTCCTGTCATCACCTGTATCTGTAGCTTCCCGCTCTTATGTGGCGCTTACTTTAGTTACCCTCATATTTGGGTAACTTGCTCATGTTGGTCCCACTCTCAGATGTGTTTCAAACAAAGCCAAAGCTATGGTATTGACAGTCACTCTGCTACTTCTTTGGCAACATCATAATTGCAAGTTAGAGCATTTTATCAACAATGGCAGAGTATATAACCTGTAGAAACAGGAGCTGTTTCCCCTACCTTCACTTTTTGCACTTGAGCTGCCAAGCTTAGCCCTGAAGTTAAAAAAAATATAGATCTTTTTTCTCTAAACACAATGTCAGTACCTTTGTATTTTTTCATTTTCTTTGTTTCAAATTACAGTGTCACGGTTATCACACTGAGACTAAATCTGTTGTTATTTCTGCTTAATGGCATTGCTCTTGTTTATCAGTAATCATTTCTTTGAACTTTGCTCTGCAGAGGTTGGACCAGTGTTTGAAACTGATGACTCAGACCAATTTATGATGCACATGGAAAATCTGATAGCACTTGGAGGAGGTGATGAACCAGAGATGTGCCTGTCGGCTATTCTGGTAAATTACAGCGCTGTTTCTTTTTGACATTGGAGATTAGATGTGTGAGTTTGTGTAGAAATTTATAACAGCTAGAGGAATTATCATCATGCTCTGTTTTCAGCTGGCACTCACTCACAGCCCACCGTTGTCGGACATATTTGTTTTCACTGATGCTTCCCCTAAAGATGCCCACTTGTTTGATGCAGTAAAGGCCCTTGCACTTGAGAAACAAAGCAAGGTAGGTTTAAAATATGGTTAGATCTGTTCAAATATATATTTTTTGTTTTACACATCATGTTCTCACATATTTTTCTGACTCTTCAATCTTGTTCTGCATTATTTTCCCCTCAGATTACTTTTCTGCTCACCGAAGACCCAAGCTACTACAAAGAAAGCAGAAGTAGGAGGAAGAGAAGAAGAAGAAGAAAAAGAGAGCCTTTGCCATCTGATCGTTTTTCCCTCTACTCTTCACTGTCATCCCTGTCAGGAGGACTGACGATATTCACAACCAACTCTGACATTCACAAAGTCTCTACGATAGTGGAGGATATCACAGCTGTTAACAAGGTGCAGAAGTTACATCTCTTGGAGGACCAAACCAAACCAGCTCTGAAGAGAAAGAAGGGAGTCATATGACCAATATATAGCTTTTAACTTTTTTTGTGATTCAACAGTTTGCATAAACACACTGCTCATTGCGGTTATAACACAGTTAAACATCAAAGTTTTATAACGGAGAGCCTGCAGTTGTAGGTGTGAGTGGTGAGACCAGCTGTAAGTTAAAATAACAACACTGTGTGAAGTTGTGAATTGTGAACCAGTCAGTGAACAGTCAATTAATTTACTTTCTGTCAAACATTATACACCAGTGACAGCATTATGAACACCTGGCAATCACATGCAATTCAACACAACAGCGCTACCACAAAGTCTACTCTCAGGAAGCGTGAGGGCTGGAGGGATTCGTTTGCACCTTCCTGAATACTACACCTTTCTTGTGTTGTTCCAATTATTCTGATGAGAGCGATGAAAGACAATCAAGATTTTAGAGTTCAAAATTTGTGTAGAGTTTAACAGTAACCATTTATGCTATTGTAAGATTTGTCAACAAATTTGAGTATGAAAGTACAGATTTACCTTTTGATATCTTTTAAAGACAACACAAGCACATTTCTCCTGACCCACAGGTGACCCTCCTCCATGTGGACAGTGATCCAGAGCTGATGTCCTCCCATTTCTTCAGAGTTGACAGCTCAGTAAAAAACATCACACTTCACATCACTGGCATTCTGACTGAATGTGTCCTTACCGACCCATCAGGTAAACGGGGGCAGTCAAAAACCATTAATGCACAAGCTTTTGATGGATGCTTTGTCCTGGAATCTCTGTCTTTAACACTTATTGTTCACAACCTTCAACCCCATTGCGGTTCTTTGCGTTTATTAAATAATCAATTAAACAATCTTTCTGTTTTTGTCAGACCAAAGCCAGTCTTTGTTGAGAGAAAAGGGACCTCTGGCAGAACTGCAGCATTTTGAGGGTCTCTATCGCATTACCTTGCTCTCTCCTATAGAGCCAGGTCAGTGGGAACTTCAAGCCAAGAGTGAGGGACACCTCACATTCAGTGTGATAGGTAAGAAAAGTTTAACACTTAGCAAGTTCGGTTTCTATAAAGTCATTGTGTGACTTAAAAAAACAAGACTTGTCTTTACTTCTGCAGGGGACAGCAGTGTAGATTTCCTTTATTATTTTGCCGCTGTTACAAATGAGACACATCCAGGTCTAGCAAGAGTGGAGGGTAGTCCAGTGGCTGGTAAGCAATGGTGACTTTGGTATTCTATAGTAATATAATTCATATGAAGTCAATGATATAACTTGTGACTAGCTTATTTACAATTTCTCAACCAACTTCTCCCCTTCTTTGAGTTCTCAGGTGTCCCCACATTTCTGGTGTTGGCTGTGACAGGCCTTGCTCCAGATGAGGAGGTGTCATTTAGTCATGTGATGCTGACAGGAGCTGAGGGGGAGAATATCCAGCAGGTGAAGCTGAATTCCTCCTCCTCCCCATCATCCTACTCGGTGGAGGAGCTGGTGGGCTGGGTGGAGTCTGTCCCTAGAGTACCCTTCAAAATACGGCTGGTGGGCCAGGACAGCAGGGGAGATAAGGTGGAGCGGGTTTCCACTGAGATAATTCAGCCCACTCGTGTTCAGATACAGGTTAGCCATCTGTTGTACATAAATAAAGAAGTATACTTGTGCTTTACATTGAGAATGAATGCTTAAAAAAACCCTTTAAGTTTGCACCCAACATACTACACAAAACACAACACACAGCAATCAAATATTAAAGCCAAAAGATGATAAAAACTTTGAGACCACACGACTCATAATATTAAAACAACAACTCATATTTGAACACAGTGGAGATGTACAAATCTTAAAACTTAATAGCTAGATATATTTCTTCACAATATTGTGGTGTTTGAGACAGAAAAAAGAAGAGATACCAAAGACACAACTCCAAATAATTGGATTATCGCTCTATATCTGTCAAATAAACATTGGTTGCAGCTTTATCAGTATCAATAGAGCACTCACTCAGCCATCTCCTTGTTTTGCTCTTTTTTTCGACATGGAGATGTAACTTTATTACTTGTTCTTTTTTAAAGTTGTAAAACTCTGAGGATTTTCTTCTTTAAATAATTTTACTCGTTCATTGTTCTTTAAATCCACTGGATCTAGTAGGATAATCTGTCATAGTTTATTTATCTTTATATCCCCAGGTATTGTCTCTTCGCCATCTGGTGCCAGGTCACAGCACAAAAGTGGACTTTGAAGTCATGAACCATGGCCTAGCTCGTCTCTTCACTCTGAGTGGTGATGACAACCATGGCTATTTTCATAAGAAAGGCCATCACAGGTAGAGCTAATTGAAAAGCAAGGATCTTTAATTTCTCAGACCTTTGATAACTTGATAGTGCTGTGTGGTATGAATGTGATTTCTGGACATCCTCTCCCTCAGGTTTCATGTTGCAGCACAAGAGTCTTTCCGTGGTCAGGTGGAGCTCCACACACCTGCCACAGCTCAGGCAGGAACGACTGTTGCCCTCACTCTCACTGTCCGTGCTCATGACTCTCCAGACTCAAATTATGCAGTGGCCTACTTGACTGTGGTCCCACCAGTTAGTAACATGGTTTTCTTAGATCTGCTAATTAATCGATTTCAAAATGATTGCTGAGTTTTTCTTTATTCGCTCTTACTGTCCTTCCTCTTTCACTTTGCAGGATTCGGACATTTCTCCACCGTCCTGCTCAATAGCACATACAGTGTCAACCTGCTCATCCGTTTGCAGCCAGTCTAACTGGACTGTAACTCTGGTAGTGTCTGACAATGGGCGTTCTGGTCTTGCCGCCGTACAACTACAAAAGGGTGAAGGCTTTCTTACCTTATTTCAAATCCCCTCACCCAGTGAGAGCAGTAGAGGGGAGACAAAGCCCAGCCTGAACCAACAAAAAAACAGGAACGAAACAACTGCTGACAGCCACCACTACAACTATCACCAAAACGTTCGATTAGAGAGAGGAGCCCCTCCTTTTAATGTATCTGAATGGGCATTGGGGCCATCTCAGACACTGTGGGTGAGGTACAATTCCAGTTGCTGCTCTGCCAAAGCAGAGTTTCTGGTTTGGGATACAGCTGGAAACATGAAACGTTGCCATCTGACATCTGGCCAGAAGGGGCAGCTAAGAGATGTGAGCACGGTTGTCAGTAGAGCCGAACAGAATACTCTCACTTGGATTTTTTATTTTGTTATTGGGTCTGCTCTAGTTTTTTATGCTTTGGTTTGATGCAATGACGCACGTTGTATGGCTTAAACCATTATTTGAGTAAATCGCTGGAATTATGTGACCTAACAAAGAGTAACAATGAAAAAAAAAATCCAATTTGGAAGACAGAGCCTGATAAAATCAGAAAAAAGGAGTGCTGAATGAGTGCACTTATTCAAATCAATCTTTGTTTATTCTTCATTTTTGTTGGATGAATTAATTTTTGAAGAAGGCCCAAAAAAATGAATAAATTATTTTTCAATGGCTGGAATTTTTTTCTCTTATTTTTTTTTTTTTTGCACATCAGAGATTACACAAAATAAATCACTAGGCAACATTAACCTCTGAAACAAATTTATTTATATTGTTGACCATGAAACACTCAACACATGAAAAGTTGAAAGAAATGTAATCTCAATGCTTGAAAACCTAACAAATTACACTGTGCCATGACTCAATAGAAAGACAGCAAACACACATGCATGTACATATTCTATACATATATACAGACATACACACAGAGGCCTTTTTTGTCCTACACAGTTTAGTCATAGTGTTATTTTAAGTGACATCAGAGGCTCCTGTCTTAGTATGTGTATTACCTCCAGTGGATGCCAGTCAGCCCTATAAGTATGTTTACATGATCAAAACACACTGTCTTAGCTGTTGAACGTGAAGACATTACTGTGTTAGCTGGATAATATTTAGCATTTTTAAAGTAAGATATATAACACACACTTACACTCTCACCAGTTTTTCAGCTGAACGCTTTAAATCATCATCTTGGTTGTCTAGCCATTTCTTGACAAAGCCGACTGGTACCCCATGAGGGTAACACACTGACTCAATGACAAGTAGCCTACTTCTTACAACAGCACAGCACATGACTACACAAATAAATAAAGAAAAATAAAAAAAATACTCTTATGTGAATGAAAAAAAAACAGTCCTCTGAAACTTTGACTTACCACACCAGCATTTTAAGAAATAGGCTGTGTGTTGGGAAGACAGCAGCACAGCTATTGCAGATTGAGCAGAGACAGAAAACTGAGATGGGTGTTTAAAATGGCAAAATCGCTTTTTATATAGAAGAATAAGAAGAAAGACACAACTGACATTGTGAGTCTTTTACGGAGTGAAAATTCAGAGAAACACTCTTCAGAAGGTAGTCATGAATTGAGCCCAATAAAATATGCTTGGAGCCAAAAAGTCTTTGTATAAACTAAGTCAGGCTAACAACCGTGTTTCTCAGTTGTTTAATGGTATAATGGTACAACTGGTTCAAGCAAAAGATTTGTGAAATCGTGTGCAAATAAAAAGAAAAACATTGAAAAATTAAAACTTGTCAAAAGTCAAAACAAACGTGTCTTATTGTGTGCATTCCTTAAATTTAACATACGTTGAGGAAGCAGACACCTTGAAATGCTCAATCAGTTGTGTTTATAGTGATTTCTATTGACAACCTAGAGATAATTAACACTTCCACTGAGAATTGATTTACTGCCTGGAAGTGAATCATTACATGACTCAGGGAAAGTGGAGAATATAAAGGCATCGGAATCTTGAACATTGGTTAAAAAGGTAAATTTGATCGACACCAAGCTTTTGAAAATGTTGAGTAAAAAAAGTGCAGGCAAAGTGGAGGAGAGAGGACACTGGGGCAATAAGGTGGAGTTTCTCCTGGCTGTGGCGGGCAACGTTGTTGGTCTGGGCAATGTTTGGAGATTTCCTTACCTATGCTACAAAAATGGAGGGGGTAAGCAAAAAACAAAGCTTATGAAATGTTACCTAAAGTCTGTACTTGGTATGCAGCTTTTAATTTTTGTTTAAGGTGCATTTCTGGTGCCATATCTCGTGTTTGTTGTGACCTGTGGGGTACCTCTGTTCCTCCTGGAGACAACCATCGGTCAGTTCACTCAGGAGGGAGGCATCACCTGCTGGAGGAAACTGTGCCCACTGGCAGAAGGTATATTGATTTGACTGAAGCCTTTCAAAACAAAAAAAAACATATTTAACGTACAAATCTGGAAAAAAAAAATTAATAACCAGAATGTCTCTAAACACTAGTGGTATCTTTACCTCCGTGAGACAGTTTCTTCCCCTTTTTGAAGGGAAAGTGCATGTTAGTGAACCATTTACATTCTGTAACTAGGGCTGACACAAATCCTAACACAAAAACCAATACACCCATTTTCCATCCCTGTCAGTCATCTAGATAAATATTGACAAAGGCAGCAACTGCATGGCCTCACTGACCTTCAATTCAATCCCATTTCTAATATTCTGTTTATCGATTTTGTCACACTAAGAATACAGTACATGCATATCAATGAGGTGCCTTACTTTTAACGTCTTGGGGAATATTGCTGTAAAAACACTGAATCATTCATGGCTGGTCGAGGGAACTATGCAAAATCTGATGTCATCTTGAGTGCTGTGCCATGAGCCAAGAATGAAGACTGACAGTCTGAATTTTAACAAAATAAATAAATAAATAAAAAAACACACACAAGCACTACAAAATAGTGAAAATTCTGGAGTTTGTCATGCTTGTCAATAACAGTATAAATACCCACCCCACAGGTATTGGTTATGGCGGACAGCTGATTCTCTTCTACAGCTGTATGACCTACATCATTATTCTGTCCTGGGCTCTTCTGTTCCTGGTGTTCTCCTTCAGCCCTCAGCTCCCATGGGCCAGCTGCAGCAACTACTGGAACACAGGTTAAATGGCAACAGTCACATTCATGGAGGTTGACTTGCAAAACAGAGTACATATAATCAATAGACTGACATTGTGATGCTGATTTTGCACAGAATTTTTTATGTATGTTTAGAGAACATTCAAGTGTTTTATTTCCATAGAAAAGACTATTTTTGACGGCTGAATGAAATGCAACAGAGGTCCTGATTTTCAGATCCTGGATTTCTGGCTAAACTGTCAATCATCTCTGAAAGTTTGTCATGAAGACTAAAAGAAAAAAAATAGAGGACTTATGCCTCAAACTATGTCCTCAGACTATTTAAGTTTTGCATGTTTCACTTCCCACTGAGCATTTTTTGGTCTAAAAGAGGTTTAAAAGACGTCTAAATGTAGCCTAGACGACTGGTCTAAAATCAGGGTACTACAGGTCTAAAAATAAAAGGTTTTTGGACATCTAAATTTAGACCAATTTTAGACTAGCTGGAAAACAGAGGTATAACTGTATATTTCTCAACGGCTATCATAATTATTGGAGAGTTATCAAATAATGGGTTAAAGCGCAACGCCTGAATTCCGTCTAAAAATATACAGAATCTAGACGGTTGACATCCAATAGCCGTCTCTTGCTAAGTGGGTTCACTTTCACAAATATAGTAAAAATTTGAATTAAACTGACTTGATCATGAATGGATGATTATTATTATTGATCTCTTATTGTACTTTCAGATGACTGTGTAGACTTCTCATCACATAACAAGTCCTTTGAATGGACCAACCAAACAAACACAACATCTGCTGCCACTGAGTTCTGGGAGTATGTTGATTTTTCGTCTCAGTTTTCTGGGCTCCATTAAAAGGAGTGAGAGTTGTTAAATCTTGTTACAATAGTTGTTCTTATTGTTTTGTGGCAGGCGGCGAGTGCTTGCAATTACAGGAGGAATTGAAGAGGTAGGCAGCATCAGGTGGGAGATACTACTGTGTTTGATTGCCATGTGGATCACCTGTTACTTTTGTATCTGGAAAGGAGTCAAGTCTACTGGAAAGGTACTTGTATCATCCCCTCACCACGCTGAATGTTTAATCACCATATTTATGAATTCCTGAGCAGTCATCTTTATTTCCAGGTGGTGTATTTTACCGCCACTTTCCCCTACGTGATGTTGTTAATTCTTTTGATTCGTGGGCTTTCACTACCGGGGGCTCAAGAAGGCGTCTTATTTTATCTACTGCCTGAACCCTCACGGCTAAAAGACCCTCAGGTGAAAGCTAAATGATATACATTAACAGTTGGGTGGGAAAATGTACTGACCACAGTTTGTTCATAATAGGTTTGGATGGAGGCTGGGGCTCAGATTTTCTTTTCATACAGTGTGGGTGTGGGCTCCTTGACCGTCCTGGGCAGCTACAACAAGTACAACAACAACTGTTATAAGTGAGTGTCTGTCAATCTGTGCTTTCTGGCAGAATTGTGACTTAGGCTTGGAGCTCACAGTATGTGTTGATGAGTTACACAGTATGAAGTCGTGAAACACCCTAATATATTTTCTATATTCCACAGGGACTGTCTGTGGCTGTGTTTACTCAACAGTGGCACCAGCATGGTGGCAGGATTTGCAGTCTTCTCTGTGCTGGGGTTCATGGCTCATGAGCAGGGTGTTCCAATAAGTGAGGTGGCTGAGTCAGGTAAAGTCTCCTAATTGAGGAGTTGTGATCTTGTCTACCTTGATCCATTGTTTCAAAATGACACTATTAGAGCATCTTGTAATCATATCACACTGTGGCCCTGTGGAGGTCTCTGGTATAGGCATTGGCTAGAGACAGTAACAATAAGTCAAATAGAAAAGGCTATCATATTATAACCACCAAGATTAAATTACATACTGTATACCTCTAGAATATACAAGTTTGGGGGTTAAAAAGTCGAGGATTTGATCTCCCCTCAGTGTTTTTTTTACTCTTGTTATCCTTTTTCCTTTTCTTTAGTCACTTGTCTCAGATCAAGGCGAAAAAATCACTGCATCTCACATTTCTCTTTCTCTCTTGGCTCCCCTGAGGATAAAAAAGTCAACAATATGTTTGTATACAGGATTAAATCCAGTTACCATTGATCAGCGACAGCGGTAAACTGATTATTACACTTATAAATCAGTGTTTCAGTTCCAAAGAGTTAAACACGATGAGATGAGAGTACTTTTCTTACTTTAAGGAAATGTGATGACAGCTGATGATACCTTTATATATCCTCTAATTTTTAAGCATTTATTGTTATTATGATTATGATTATGACTATGATTATGATTATTATTGTTATCTTATCAGGATATAATGAAGCAAATCTTTTCTGGTTTATTGGGAAATGTGAAAATCATTGACCTGGTCCTTCTTCGTAGAGGATCCCAATAGTTCTTCCCCCATTAGTTAGGGATGGAAAACTATTTGCTGCCATCTTGAGGATAAAGACAGACATGAAGAGTAAAGGCAGTTTTCGTCAATAGTGAGAAACTTGTCTTAAGCAGAACCATACAGCACAGCTTCCAGTTGCCTCTGGCTCTGTTAAACATGTGTTGATTCTCTGGCATTTCTAAACATCTAATAGAATATCAAAGTTTGGGTTTTTTAGGGGACTGAATGTGCTTTCAATCTCAATGTTCACCTCCTATTACAAATGTATTCTACACTTAATTACAATCTGACCCCATTTGCTTTCATAAGGTTAAAGCTATCTGAGGGATGTTTCCAGCAGCAAACACCTTTGCCTGGCATTCAGTTTTCAACATTTACTCTTTGTATCTAATGCTAACACACAGTATGTTCTTGGTGTCTCCTCCTTTCTCATCTTCCCTGTGCATTGTCAACTGACTTGAGTCTTCTAATGACTTCCCTTCATCTTGAAAGACTGGGGATATTCATTGCATCTGGTCATGTTACCTCGACTTTGCAAAAAGATCATTCTCATGTTGTCTTCCAGGTCCAGGCTTGGCGTTTATTGCGTACCCTCAGGCTGTGGCCATGATGCCTCTGCCCCAACTGTGGTCCATCTGTTTCTTCATCATGCTTATTCTACTGGGTCTCGACACTCAAGTAAGATGTACATGAGCTATCTTTGAATGAACATGTTTTGATTTAGAAATTCATTGACTCTGCCTCCCTCTTTCTCTCTACAGTTTGTTGCCATGGAGGTGGTGATGACATCAATTATGGACATGTTTCCCACTATGATGCGTAGGACAGGCAGACGAGAGCTTCTCCTTTTTTTCTTCTGCATTACATGTTTCTTCTCTCAGCTTGTTATGATTACTGAGGTCAGTGTTTAGTTACTATATTCATTAATCCATCATGACAGAGTTCTGCAAAATGTATGTATCATGACTTTGTATTTAAACAATGTGAAAATGTGACAGGAATATGTTCTTTACTGCTGAGGTTAAAATAACCACTTTAATACATGAAGTGATGCTGCATATATGTCTTAATTGTGTCTCCAGGGAGGGATGTATGTGTTCCAGTTGTTTGACTACTATGCTTGTAATGGAGCCTGTATCCTCTTTCTCTGTGTGTTTGAGACCCTGGCACTGGGATGGGTATTTGGTAGGTATTTTTGTCTGTTTTTGGAATGGAAATTCTGACAATATCATTCTGTACTTTAATAAAGAATAAATACGAGGGACTCAAAATTAAATATAAAAAAACACAAAGAAAAAAAATGATGTCGTCATAAATGTCGTATATATCTGATTCTTTCTGTTATACAGGGGCAGAGCGGTTATACAGCATCATAAAGGACATGACAGATGTGAATGCCAACCCGTTTTTTAAAATCTGCTGGCTTTATCTCACACCCCTGGTCTCACTGGTAAGTAGAACTATAAATGCTCAATATATGGATTAGAGTTGGTCACGACTATGACTTGGATTTCTGAGTGAAGAGACTGTCTGAGTTACTGACCACTAACAAGGCAAGTGAGATGTAGACATTTCTTTAACACACACAGATTTAATGATCCAGGAGTGAGTATTTAAGGCCCAGGTACACACAGATCTGGCTAACTTTCTACTTGATGACCAGAGATAGTTTCAGTGTTGTATCAAGACAACCCCTCCTCTGAGTTAAATATTCCATTTGTACAGAATCTTTTATGACACACTGTGAGGAAACATGTGAATTTGTCTCCTCAAAGTGTCTATAGGGAACTGCATGTTGTTGGTAATAGAAGAGGACATCATTACCCTTAGATGATGTGATCTGTCAGCACACCCGGCTTGGTGCCTTAATATGACAGGCTCCACTAGAGACCGAGATTGGGCCCACAGGGCAGTCCATTCAGGCAGCTTAACCATCACAAACTAATTTGGCTGGGAAATTTAATCCCCCTTGACTGGGGTCTGTCGGTATACAGGAATAGTGGCCTTCTCTATCATGAAGCACTCATTCCTTAAAGGAAAAAGGTGGTGGCAAATTTAACCAATGTAGCACGGCAAAAACAGTCAAACATGAACATGAAGCAGCTGTACAAAACTGTGACAGAGTCAGGCCCTACCACAAGGTCACTATATCCCGTGTTTAAGATCCAGCTCCTTTGTTAGCTCACTGGATTATGTAACCGGAGAAACAGTCTGGGTTTGACATTGATTGGCCAAGGCACTTTTGGCTTGAAGAAAATCTGATAGTGTTGAGGCGTACAACAGGCCACATTGCCAAAGGGCAAGAAAGAGGATTGTCTCTCCCCATCAAACATTACAGAAGGCAGTGAGCCAGTCAGCTATGGTAGCTGTATAAACCACAGCAGTGCAGATCACTTTCTTGATCCAGAGTAAGAACTATACGAATTTGAAGCAAGTGAAACTGAAGCAAAATCGCTCTCTCAGTTAAAGGATGAAATGCTGCACTCCTGTTGTTGCTCACACATCAAACAATTTGAGAACATGAATAAGTAAAGCACTTTGGGTACCATTTGGGATATTGTAAAGTGCTATATAAATAAAATTTGATTTGATTTGATTTGATTTGAAGTCAGTCCATACACTGTGTCTTAATTAATCCCTCACATGAGCCATGTGGTCATTTCATGTCTTATAGAAATATGTTTGTCAAATGCTCTGTGAGAAAGTCTTGATACTAGGAAGAATGCCATATCTTTTATCACCCTGTTTTAAGTGTTCATGTCAGGTGAATTCTCTGTGAATGTTTTGTTTAATATAAAATAAATCCAACAGAATTTCTCTTTCTGTTGTACCTCAGGGTTCTTTTATATCTTCATTGGTTTGGTACCAACCTTTGACCTTTAATCGCTGGTATGTATACCCAGACTGGGCATATGTGTTGGGTTGGATAATGGCTCTCTCCTCCATTCTGCTTGTGCCAGGATGGGCTTTATATAAAGTCAGCACTGGGACTGGAAACCTTTATCAGGTACAAAAAATCAATGAAAGACAAAATACTTTAGGAAATAGCAAAGAGTACATGGCATTTCGGATCATTTGAATTTTGTCAGATTCTTGTCAGTGTTGTCTTTGTTTTTTCATGCTTCATTCTGTGCTCCCCTTAAGGGACAGTAAAAATAACCTGAATTGGAAATATGAAACTGAATCTAAATATAAAATGTGTCATGCTTGAATATTAAAAGCTACAGTATTACTGACCAGAGACAGGATCTCAAGATCAGCTGCAATAAAAAAAGTGCTTGATAGAATTCAGAGTTCATTTACTTCATTGATTGTAATAAATGAGCTAAAATACATCGGTTCCATCAAACATTGTCTTTAACATTTTTCTTCAGGCAGTGTAAATTTTTTGTTCACTTTGGTTAAAAATTGTTGAATATTTGTCTCCATTTTAGCGCCTCCTTCATCTGTGCCAACCCAACCCTGAGTACTCACAAACCAGAAAGTGTGAAACCGAGCTTCAGTCCATTAAAGGGGAAGTTGTCGAGGAGTTTGTCAGCTGATATTAAACTATTTCATTCTGACATTTTCTTGACTGCTTTTTTGTGTCCTCCGTGATTCAGGTTTAAGCTCACTTGGTTGGATGCATTTAGAGTTTTCTTGTTTTTTTTGCGTGTGTCTTGAAATCCACGGTGTGGTGCTCCACAGAACTGCATCTGTTTTTCATGCTGTGCTGTCTAGGGACCCAAAAATCATGACCAGAAAATATTGATTTTTCAGCCTTGTGCACAGAGATTTCCTAAATGTCTTAATATTGTGTACTACAGATTGTATAATGTTGTGATTCTATTGCAGCTTTATACTGGCATGAATCCTTAAATTGCTGAAGTATTTACTCTCACAGTATTTGAGAATGATGAACCCCTGCACATCTCCACTAAACAAAGACAGAGCCCATTTACAGTTCTTCTCTTTGTACCTAACTATTGCAGATTTTCCACCCAATGTTAGCTTCCAGCATTTCACAACTTTTACTGTCTTTTACAGAAACATCAACACTGAAATAAGCATAATTTTCCCAAATCAGTTACATTTTCAGTTTTAATATGTTTAGCCATGTTCAAGTTAATCTTTGACACCATCATGCTCTTTTTCTACACATTCTTAATAGGGGTGGGAGAAAGAATCGATGCAGCATAGTAATATGATATTTTGTCTGGTGATATATCGTATCATCTCATTTACCAAGTATCTATTTTTTCAAATTAACTCTTAATATGAAGTCAAATCTATGATAACGGAAAAAAATAAAATTAACTGTTTGTCCAGTGAGGTTGGCAGAGGTGACATCATAGAGCAGCAGAAAGTTAGTACAACAAATATAGTTGTTTGCAAGATGTGCTACATTAAAATAAAACACCATGTAAATAAGAAACAAAAAGGAATGACAAATGCTAAATTAGCTAGACAGTTGAAAAAATTGTATAAATCGCAATAAATGGTATTGCAATACTCTCTGTATTGCAAAACGTTGAAAATCATGATATCATATTGTGGCCCAAGTATCGTAATAATATCGTATCGTGGGGCCACTAGTGATTCCCACCCCTAATTCTTAACATACTCCCACTTTTTTGGGTCAAGGGTTAAAAATCTGTTAAGATAAAACATATTTTTTTTTTGTCTTGAAAAATGTGTGATCACCTTCAGCTCTATTGTAGTACATTTTCACTGAAGTTGAAAAATAAAATATCCATTACTTTTCCAAACTGCTTTAAAAAACTTATATTGAAATACACTTCAAGAAAATATCAGTCAATAGCAGCTGATAAATACACAGATTTTTCTACAGTTAGCCTTTGGCACCAAACCTCTTTCTACTTAGTGGAATCAAAGCTTATACATAAAAAACACAACAGAGACCGATATCTTAAGTTAAACTCTCAAAAAGAACATCTATTTATTTTACTTTCTGGACAGATTGATGCATTCATAAACTAATGTAATAAAATCAGGTTTGTGTTTCCTATTTTTATCTGCAATGCAGCCAGTCATGCAGACCTTAAGTCCCACCCCACCGGACAGATAAACTGTAGGAATCAGATTCTTCGCCGAAAGGGCAACTGGACTTGTTTGAGGTTCTAAAGTGACAGGGGGCCAAAGTTTAAATGTTGGTTTCTTCACTTTAGAAGTGTAGAGGCCTTTTGGATGAGAGGCGAAACATCTTCAAGAACCTCAAACAAGGCCAGTTTCCCTCTCATTGAAGAATTAGATAACTATGACCTGGATGAATGAGAACCTACACAGGCAAACTGTAGGACTATTGAAATAGACAGCTGGTACCCAAATGTTGCAGCAGACACTTTATTTTACATTAAAATACAGAAAGAACTTGACAGCCCACATCCTCTTCAAAAACTGACAAGACAAGGACATCAACACAATTCAAATATTTTCAAAATCAGCTGCATGATAAGAGCATAAAACATTGTTTGCTTTAAAGTCAATCACATAGATGCATAACTTGTGCAAAATTATCTGTATTTGGCATTTAATTCATCAGTTCCTCAATCATTTCAATGATAATTCCTTAGGATCTTTAGCTCATCATATACAGTCCTGGAGCACACTAAGAGTGTAAAGGTTCAGTGTTTCTCCCTTGAAGCTGTGGTATAAATAAGTTCATGGAAGTTAACAATATCATGTGCATATGCCTAGCAGACTGGGGGCATTACTTAACTCTGGGTGCCTGCTAACATTCATGGTCTCTGGAGAGGAGAATTTCAGAAAAGTAGCACAGGTTTCTCGACTATGAGCCTTGGCCGCAGCAGTGGCCAAAATGTGCATGATCCTCAGCAGAGCAGTTTCACTAAAAAGTACAAACAAATATCAATTACACAACAGAATAAATGTAGACATCCAAAGTAGCAACTCAAATGCTAGGACCACTTAGTAAATGTATTCTGGTGTGGAAAAGGGCCAGCATACACACCTGCCAACATTGATGCTGGAGGCCAAACACCAGGCCGCTTCCCCTTCGGGCGTCGGGGGCTCCTTCAAAAGTCGGCGGGACAAGCAGAGGGCTGCTCCTGCCAGCTGCACGGGAAGAAACGCCACGCACTCGCCTTCAAGCAGAGACAACTCCAGTAGATAACGTGCCATCCACACCACCTGATAGCAAAAGGTGAGACTTCAGGTTGAAAGAAACTGGAAAATAACCACATTGATTTTAAAACTCAGAACCAAAACACACTGTATGTTCAAGACCTTAGCACTGCAGCGAGCAATAGAGGCAAGCAGGATGAGGAAATGCAGCGGAGAACAGTGGGTTAAATTAAACTCCAGTCCGCAGAGGACTTTACGCTCCATTCGCAGCAGCTGATGCTTAGTGTAGGTGTGGTCCATCAAGTAGCACAGAGCAGACACCTGCAAAGCATGTGGAATAATGACAATTGGGAAACGGGAATTCATCGTAATGAATTGGTAAAAACATTCAAAGTAAAATCAATTTATATCGGCTCTTATCAGATCAAAATTGACATGCAATGTGCTATTAATGTGCTTTGCGTTTCTATCCGTGGAGAACACATCCAATCAAGTGACTTCAATATATCATGTATAAAGCTACAGTGAGTCTGTACCTCAGGGAGAAGGCATTCCTCCTTTTTTGCTGCAATAAAGAGGCAAACCATGCCCAGGAGCTGTAGGTTGGCTGTGGCCACTTTAATATGATGCAGGGAGCGGTTAAGAAGGTGAATAGTCAGGTAAAGGGTCTCTTCTTGAAAACTCATCAACTCCTGATTGAGATTAAACAGGGTATGTGTAAATTGGAAACAGAAAAATATCATAAAAATCAGTATTTTAAATAGTGTTTGGGAGAGCAGAACATCAGAAGATTGAGACACAGCTTGCAGCAAGTTTGCTTTAGTTAGTTATAAAATAGGGTTTGGAGATGCCCTGTCTGAAATAAAAAGGGCACAAGAACATGGATGGCACCCAACCCTGTATACAACCACAACCTATAAAACACAAAAATGAACTATTCAGTTTTAATTCTGAGCTTTAGATGTGCTCTTTTGTTATAACCTCTTAGAGCAACTTCTTAGTGGTCACCCTGAACAATGGGGAACACCTTACACCTTTGCTGAGCTTGACCAAGAATATCCTTCTTGCCTTCTGACAGTCAAATTTCTGAGCAGTGAATCTTCTTCCGTGGAAAATGTAGACAAAGTCATATCTAGTTTTAGTGCTGTACGTTGCTTTGTCTGAAACCGACCCTTTGACAGCAGTAGCAAGCGTTAAAAATTAACCAACAAAATAGTCAACGTTGTTGCTGATGGTCTCATACATCTGTTAGCAGGTCACATAGAGGCACCAGTTTTAGTTCCAATCCCTTTACAACCAGCTACAAAACAAAGACTGTTAGGGTAACGTGTTTGCGATTTTGATCAATTTTTCAGCATTTTACTTGGAAACTAGATAGAAAGCCACAGGCTCACACTATCTGTACCTCTGCAAAATATACACCCTCTTTTTATGCTCTTTATACTCTTCATCCACAGACACTTACATGGACTTGAATGAGCCAGTCTACTAGTATGGCACGAGTGGCATCAGTAAAATGCCGGGGCAGGTCAGCATTAGGAAAAGAGTTTTGAGTCTGAGTCCTCTGTAAATAGACAAAACAACACAAGGGGTGTCCAATTATTATACAAAGAGCTATAGTCAGTGAGTGATCTACCACGGTATAAAGCCAACCGTATATTATGAGAATAATGTTCAATAACTCATGGAGCAGTCTGGTGACTCCAGTAAACAATATCTTACCATCATTTCCAAGAATATATCCCAGGCATATGTTCGGTCCCATATGAGGTCCAGCTTCTCCAATGCCAACTCTACTTCATGGCGCAGCAGGCCGGGTACCAGAGCCTGCAGGCTGTGAAGGCCCTGCAGACTAAAAGGGTGAAGAAGCACGGGCTCCTCCACACAGCCTGCTGCTGTTCATGATGGCCGAAGGAAATCAGGACAAGACAGACAGAGCATTGTTCAGAGTTTAATCAATGTCGGATTAGATGGTAAATTGGTATGTTGTTTGAAATCACCCACAAGCACCACCACTACCACACACACTCCTATATTAAGTGCTTTATGTTACCAAGTTTGAAGGCCATAACTACCAGCTGAACGTGTTCGACTGTCTTCATGGATCCCCAGTAGGATGCCTTCATTTTTTTGCGCGGATAACCTCCTTTCCTTCAAATAGATAATGCATTACACGTTACAGTATGTGGGACTGATGCAGAAGGTAATCAGTGTGCCAAATTTAGCCTACACAGAATACAGCAAAGTTACCAACATAAGAGTTGAGAAGACAGAAGACATGGCCTAGATGCTGTTTTTCTAACCAACAAGTCATGAACAAAGAGAAAGATTTTGGAGACTTTTAAAAAAAGAGAAAAACAAGCAGGACAGGGAGCATACCCATCTGTGATCTGTCTCCATTTTGACTGAAGTTATCCTGGTTTCTTGTAGGCCTACATCTACGGGCTGCCAACGATCTACCGGCCCGTAGACATTGGCCAAACTTCTAAAAGGGGCTCTTCTCTCATCCGCCTGTGTGACAAAGACATTTACCTCGGTATGACTAAGGAAACATACAAAATACATGCCACATTATTCGTATCAGGGGGGCTTCTTGGCAGCAGTTTCTACTCTAATGGGAATTCCACAAAGTTAGAGCTCAGACAATAGTTCACCCATCATATATCACCGGGCCCCAGTCATCTAGTCAGGGACTGCCGGACACCTGTGACCAGACCAGCTGAAAGCAATTCTTCTGAAACAAAACTAGGCAGACCTGTTAGAGAAATAGTTACCCTAGTTCTGGAGAAAAGAATATAGGCCTTTATTTGGAATACATAGAGTAGGGTGATAGGTGGGTTTGATTTTTTTTCATTGTTCTCAAGAAAAAAAATATTTTCCATCTACCATCTACCACCAAGAGCTTAGATCTGTCTTCATTTTGGATGAAGTTATCTTGGTTTCTTGTGGACCTACATCTACAGGCTGCCAACGATCTACCAGCCCATAGACACTGGCCAAACTTCTTAAAGGGCCTCGTCTCTCATCCGCCATTTACCTCGGTGTGATCAAGAAAATATAAAAATATATGCCATATTCGTATCAGAAAAAGAGACAAAAACTATGTAAGGGGGATTCTTGGCAGCAGTTTTTACTCTGTTCACCCATCATATCACCGGAATCACCCAGGCCGTCTAATCAAGGACTCCCTGACACCTGTGACCAAACCAGCTGAAAGCAATTCTTCTGAAACCAAACTAGGCAAAACCAAGAACTTTTTATTTCTAGACTTTTCTTTGAGCTGGTGTTCACCTTCTTATGTAAGTCCAGCAGGGGCTTGGAGTCGCAGAAACTAGTCCTGGCCATCGTCTCAGCCGTAGACAGAGTTCCCGTGCCGGGCCGCTGCAGCTACTTACCCACGGATTCTGCGGAGAGTTGGAGCAGAGACACCACTGTGCTGCCTGCTTGGACAGCGGCTGATAAAGACAGGCGGACCGTAGTGATTGGGGTGGGGGCGGGAAAGAAACGGGACTTCCTGTCGGGCGTTTAAAAAAAATATTTTTTTGCTCCGTGACTGTGGCGCAAACAAAATTTTCTTGATTGTGTTTCAGGGCTACGGTGGCCGAGAACCGCCACTGCCGCAAAAAAAATAAAAAAATAAAATAAAAATAATAAATAAATAAATAAATAAAAATAAAAAAAACATAACATTGCCACAACATGATGATTGAGTTCACTACATAGTCAACTATATAGTAAAATCCCATATGGGGGTTAGGGGTTAGGGATTGAGTGATTCATTTTGGACACAGCCATAGACTGTATAAAGAATGGACAGAGTCTGCCTCCTCGCTGGGTGAAGCCACTCCGAGAACAGCATCCTCTGGTGACGGGCTGCAGTATAGGTCATAAATCCCGCCTCCTCCAATAAAGCTTATGAGACTGTGGACAAACTTTAGAAATTTATTACACAGAACAAAAGTAAGACAGGTTTGTGTCCAAGTCCTCTTTTTTCTGTACAGCTCCGTTTTTAAAAGTTAATAGGGGGTTCATGTTTTCTGTGATTGACACCTGATACAGCCTATGGGCGTTCAGGGATTGGGTAGCTCTCCAGGAGGATACGCTGTTTGAGCCGAGCGTCATCACAGTGACTCTCGGCAACTGCATGCCCAAATGCGCGCATCGCTACTGCGCAGCGCTGGTTTCAGGAAATGAAGAAAAATCCCAGAAATACCGAGAGCTTAGCTTCAAATCCATATACAGGCGGTAGGCGGAACCAAGTTGTCCATAGTATATACAGTCTATGTTAGTGACACACAAAAAAAGTGGCGATGCAAAATAAAAAAAAAGAAAAAAGGTTACTTATTGCAGAAGTAAAAGGATGCAAATAAAAAAGCCACAACGGAAGTGAGCTGCCGGGGACCAATAATGAAACATAGCGAGGGATCTGCGTACTTATTTCTATGAGTAAACCGACTACCGCACTTGGTTTTCCTCACACTTCATATCAACTCAGGTGCAACATGGTCTAACTGAATGACACATTGAAAAGCACATGAGGCAAAATTAAACAATAACCTTTTCACTTACTTCTTTGTTTGTCTTCTCGTTGTCGTCTTCTGCAGCTAGATCATTCAACATTAGTGCATCATCATGATTGGTCCCCGGAAGCTCACTTCCATTGTGGCTTTTTAAATTTGCATCCTTTTATTTTCGCAGTAAGTAACTATTTTTTTTTTTTGTGTTAACTTCCGTCATGGCTTTTTTTCTTTTTATCTGCACAATCTCTTTTTTTTATTATTTGCAGCGGGCTTCAGTTTTGTTTGTTTGTTATTTTTTTGCATTGGTAACGTTTGTTGTGGCTTCTTTTTCTTTTTGGCATTCTTTTTTTATTTGCAGCAGTGGCGGTTCTCGGCCACCGCACAGGTCACATAGTAACAAAGCTATTGCTGTGAAGAGTGTGTTAAGTAAAAAGAAAAGAAGACACGCACACACACGCAGCTTTATTTATTAAAAAGTTTACTGGCACATTTTAGTTGCAAATGTTATAAGCTACCATTTTGTAGCAGGTTTCACCCGTTACATAGTAAATTCTTGCAAAAGGGGGTCTGACACTTTCTGATCTCCCCTTAAAGATTGCTTTTTAGGCCCCTCTGAGCCTCGGCTAACAGCAGCGAGCATTATAAATTTTTGTTGCAACAGCATCTGGTGTGACATTCGTGACTGTTGATCACATTCAAATTTACACAGAAGCAAGTTAAACTTAATAAAGCTGCAAATCAAATCCTACTACAAAGCTGCTGACCTTCCCTTCTACTAATGCACTAATGCTGAATTTATCATCAAGCTTTTTTTTTTTTTTTTTTTTTTTTTTTGGTATTTACAAAATAGTGAGGAGGCACTTACTGTGCCTGCGTATACCTACAGGAGAGGTAAGGGGTATTAACTTGCATGTTAAGCTGTGAAGCATAAGTTAAAGCGTGGCCAGCAGTGAGGTTCAGAGTATGGCTTCACAAGCAATATTTTAAAAAGTTCAGCAGCACCCCCTAATGGCCATAGTGTCAATGAAGGCAAATCCACAGTGACGTCCATCAGTACAGTGGTTCTGATGTCTGCTTCTTCAGTTTTCACAGCAGAACAATAGGCGAGAGTGTGATGGCTGTGCCTGGGCTAGTGAAAAATGTTGCAGTAGTTGTGGGCAGCAAACCAATCATCTCATCATTAGCAAACCACCTGATCACTCATCATCTAACGATATGGGGGCCATCTGCTGCCTACTGAAAGTCATACACGTGCTGCTTTTCAGTGTCATAAACACCACGTTCACCCAAAATCACTGTCACCCTCCAGCACTTGGTCACTCATCCAAAACATAAATGGAATAAAACAAAATGGAATTAAAATGTGAAATGAAGGGTGTCCGAGAAAATGCTGGGATTGTTTGACATTGCTACAAAACTGGTGCTCTGTAGAGTAAAAATAACAAAGTCATAAACCATTTATCTCATCACTATTCAAAATAGGAATTAAAGAATAGCTCATGTTAACTTTGTTTAGTGGTTGTTAGGAAAATAAGCTCAAATTATAAAATGAGTTCTGCAAAATATAAACAAGTTAAAGGGATATTCTGGTGTAAAATTAATGAGTTAGACACCCCCTCGAGAGATCAATGTTGCCGACCATTTGCTTTTCTAGTTATACAAACTTTAGTAATGACCGCAGGATAGCAATACAGAGAGCCAGACACTCAACCAAAAAGCCACTTTATAGCCACAAATAATTCTCAGAACAGCACCTAACTTCATCAACAGTACATATAGGGTCCCAGCCACAGCACTAGACACCAAACATCTTTCTAACTTTACCTGATTTCTTTAGCAAAGAGATCAAACACAACTCACCTACTCTCTTCCAGCAGCTGCTTGTTTGTAGCGAGACTTTGGGCGGGTCCATCGACTGCAGCGGGGTGAAGCAGCTCAAGGAAGAACATTTATGATCATTTCTTTATCATTTCCTTAAAGTAATAATCATCATATTAATTATTTTGCACTGCAGACATGGTAGTTCTTCTGCCTTAGCATCTCGTCTGATTGTATTACCATGAGGAAATGATCATAAATGTTCTTCCTTGAGCTGTGTCACCCCGCAGCAGTCCGTAATGGACTGGCCCAAAGTCTCGCTACAAACAAGCGGCTGCTGGAAGAGAGTAGGTGAGTTGAATTAGTCTCTTTGCTAAAGAAATTAGGCAAAGCTTAAAAGATGTTTGGTGGCTAGTGCTACGGCTAGGACCCTATATGTACTGTTGATGAAGTTAGGTGCTGTTCTGAGCTTTATTTGTGGCTATAGAGTGGCTTTTTGGTTGAGCGCGTGGCTCTCGGTCCTGCTATTGTGTGGTCGTTACTAAAGGTGGTATAACTAGAGAAGCGAGTGGTCGGCAATAGTCATCTCTCAACGGGGTGTCTAGCTCAGTGTGATTGACCCCAAATTAATTTTACGCCGGAACAGCCCTTTAAACATTTAAGCCTAAGAGACTAGTCAGCTGATATTGATGTCAAAATTTGGCCTATCCTGATATCCTTAGTCATGAGATAATGTAGACATTTTTGAATCTTACTACCCACGTAATATCAAAATAAAAGCATCTTCATTACAGCAAACAATCCCAAATGGAAACCCCTTGAAATGAAGAACTTAACCAAAAAGAAGATAGTTTAAAAACTTTTAATATTTATACTTTATATACTGTATACTTTAACAAGAAAATGTGTCTTCCAAGGTTTGAGAAATAGGTGAATGATAAAGAGGGGGGAATAAAAAAAAAACAAATGACAAACAGAAAGATCTTGATGTTCCTTTAGTGAAGCTGACCGACATCTCTTCCAGCATTATGGAATACAAAATGCCTGTGAAAATATGAGCTCTTATAAAAACAACTGTCCAGAACTCTCAGTCATGTGCCCTCAAAATTCAACTGTGCGGATGTTCATCTACAAAAGACAATGCAATAGATGTGTTGTTAAATTATTCACAAAGTTCAAGGTTGATTGACCAGAGAAGGCAGAGTTCACTTGCTGCAGATACTAAAACATATGACAAAAAGTTGATTTAAGTGCCATAACAAATTATTAAAAGACAACACAAATTAAAAGCTCTAAACAAAAATGTGGAATCATTTGAAGTGTTGAACGTCCACCATGTCAGTCAATTTTTGGCCTCAGTATCAAGACTTCACACAACAAATCAACTCATATTCTTTAAATACAGGAAGCATTTTTAAAAAAAAAGTTTTAAACTTACACTATGAATAGGAAATGAACAAAAGATTGGTGCCTACTTCATCAGCTAGGGCATGAGAATCACTGGACAGTGAATGGCTGTGTGCGTCTACATTGGTCTCTCTTTAAAAGGTTGTGGGAACAGCTGGGGCAAGCATCTGGCATAGAAACTACTTTTTTGTCTTCCCAAAAAGTCTGTCCTAAGCACTGAAAACGTACTTCTAAACCTCTTTCCAGCAGATCAGTCAGGACAAAGTGACATAGACAACGCACTGGCGCATCACTATAAGTTGAGTATAAGCAGCTTTTAAAGCAAAGATTAAGTCATGCAAGAGATCCTAGTTTGTATTCCTGACTGAGCCAATTTAGCGCCAAGCAGGTCACAGCGATCATTAATTACATACTTGCTCCCTTTAAAAAAGGCCATCAAGTGTGCTGTGTAGGGTCCTTGTGTTGATTTCCAGCAAAAGTTTAAAGACATGCATAAAAACTGACACGAATGGATGGATGGGAATCAAAATAGATATTCATACATTCTCCTGCACTTCTATGCACACACCCAGAACATTTACACATCCGCTCGCCCATTTGCTCTCACAAACACGTGCAGTGCAAAACACAGAAATGGCAACCCTCCCCCTCTCCCCTTTCCCCTCACTGTAGGAACAGTCCCACACTTGATTTGTAACAGCAAGTTCCAGAAAGAGCACTTGTTAAAAAAAGGAATGAGGGAAAATAATCTGAAAATGCAGAAATATGGCTTTACATTTAAAACATTAACAACGGATTAAATAAAAATCTGTCTTTTTCCCAAAAACAAACAAAAAAAATGTTTTCAATTTCCTAATTTTCATGATTATGCTATTTAAAATTCTATCAAGTACATTTGTGTCTGTATATTTATGCAGTCTATGCATGGACAGATGACTATGTCAGTGTGTGAAGCATGGGCGCAGCTGGTAGAATGATGGTGCTTCCTGGCATAACCTGGTTTTCAAAGTGTCAAGGCTTTGATGTGGTACCCAGTGTAGTGCATCAGAGGTCCCGCAGGGAAGCCTAGAGCAAGCCCTGAGAGAATGTACACAGACAAAGCTGCCAGTCGATCCACACAAACCTGCTGAGGTCAGTCGTTCTCAGCCAGTGTGTTTGTTTCACACTTTATGATCCCAGTCTTGTCTGATTCTCTGTTTTCGATGTATATGTGTGAGTGTGTGTGCGCGTGTGTGTGTTTACGTGATATTATGTGCATCGAAGATCAAATGAAAGTGTGTCTTGTGCCAGTTTTCGATGGTGTTGTTCAAAATTCCCCTGCAGTGCAAGAGTGAATGTGGAATTGTGATAGTGTGTAAGCCTGCCTGCTTGTTCATAGTCTGATCATTCCCGTATGCTTGCAGAGTAGGAAAATTGAGGGAAGTGCGTACGCTGATCTGAATCCTCTGCATCTAAACTGTCATCTGCAATATGAACAACAAGGGAGAAATACATCCACAAATTACAAACGGACTTAAATGTGTCAAAAAAAAAAAAAAAACAATAAAGGTCCTTTCACACCAGGGCCGTTTTTGTCGTGCGATCAGTTCGGATGACGTTTTCCCGTTCTGCGATATTTCGGCATTTATTTTTTTTGGATCATGGTCGATTTTTTAAAGTTTCGCATACTGTGTGTCCACTTCTGACCAATCAGATTGCGTGTTGTTACGACGTCAGATTCACCGGTATATCCATCATGGCCGACCGGCTGATTGTTTACGTGTCGGAGAACAGAGTGCTTTCTGACAAAAGACACAAATATTACAAATATAATGACCTGAAGGACAACTTGTGGAGAGTCATAGTGTCAGATTTCTCATATGACGACAGTTTGTGTGCTTTAACAGTTTGCCAAACGTCTTTGTTGTAACTTTCATCTGTGCTAACGTAAGCTAACGGTTGTTACCATAGTTTCATGTGCTTATCTTATCGCCTCTGATTGGCTATAAGTGCGCTGCAAAATTCACCTCTGAATATTTCGAACTTTCACGTTCTATATTCTTGTCGGCCCCGGTGTGTAACGACCTTAGGCATTCGCATCAGAATTACTTACACTTGTCAGGGGGAGTTATTGTTATGGTTTGTGCTGTGAACTCATCATCAAAGTAGCGTGTGTCTGTTTCTGATGTTACTTGGGGCTTGAAAGGTGGAATAAGCTGAAAAAAAAAAACAGATACTTGTCACATAAAATACACATTAAATAATCCATACTAACCTGTAATCATTTCAACCGGCAGCTCACCTTCTTTTCGAGTACATCTTGCCAGTTAATGGAGATGAAGAACTTGTGGCCCATCACATCTTTGGCATCATCAGGTCCTCCACCAAGCCTGAAAACAAACCATTACCATCAGGATTTACTCACCAGATTCTCTCTTCTCTCTGTGTAGATCAAATCTCTTAGGAAACATACAACAAACAATGATCATGTTGTTCCATTCTGAACAACAGGACCATTATTTTCTGCACTCTCTATTTCCTTATTGCTTCCAGGTACTTGTAGAGAAAGCCTGCAGGCGATGCTCAATGTGCTAATATTAGCAGTTCTTCGACTCTTCTCAGAAACAGTGGAAGCAACTTGACCAAAACAACAATTGATTATGTCTCCTGTTTGACCATTGCTCTAACTAAACTAATCAAGAAGGAACACAGGCTTCAAATGTCTGTGCTCAGGTTAGAGGTGAAGTGGTGCCCCTGAGCAAAGTAGATAGGTGCAAAACCACCGGAAGGACATGTTTTTTTTAAAGCTTTATCTTCAGGGGCTAATTATTCAACTGACACTCCTGTTTTTACAGCTGAAGCTTAGATACTAGAATTAGTGTTATGTTTTTTTTTTAAGAGATGAGTGCTGTTAGAGACACCTTTTGCTTTAAAGTTTTACGATTTTGCAAAAAAACTACTGAATATCCCAAGCTAGCCTGTTCACTAAACTCTAAAATATAGTTGGTGGTTTAAAATAGTGATTAAACTGTGACACAGTGGAATATTTCATCTGTTAAATTGATCAAATAAATTTTATCTAATAAATCAACACATAACTTAACTTATCATGTATTGAAATAAAAAAAATTATATGCATGGGCCAGTGCAAAAAGCAGAAATATCTGTTTCATGGTATCCCAGTATTGCAATCACAGCTCTAAAATGTGATACTTTGAAATGTCTGGGACCCTCGGTACAAAATAACTTTTTTTTTTGAACAAACACAACCTATTGTGTTTTTAAGCAACACATAAAATATTTAGAACATTAAGCATAAAGTATATTAAGTTAAAATATGAAATAAATAAATTGAAACCCAAGCTTCTGAAATTGTTCAATATTTGTTAACATTTTATGGGTCATTATACCTCTAAGCCTAAAAGTGATGAAAATGTGTTGACTGATACAGAACAGAGGCCGCCGCTGTTTTCCTATCTTGTGCAAATGTTGATCCTTACGATCACCACATAAGATTTATGTGACACAAATAATGATTTATTTATCCAATTAATGCTTGATCAAAATAAAAATGTAGATTGCGGAAACATCAAACTGCTAACCTTTGTTTGGGGTCTTTTTTCAACAGACCAGCCAGCAAGGCCTTGGCTTCAGGAGCCAGGTTCTTGGGGAAACGGATCTCCTCCATTAGGATTAGCTCAAAGAGACGCTCATGGTCCTGGTTGTAGAAGGGCAACCGACCACACATCATCTCATACATGACCACACCAAGACCCCACCAGTCCACTGCTCGTCCGTAGTCATTGTCCTCTAGAACCTAAAACACGAGCAGAAAAGGTGTTGAAAGAAAGAAAGAAAGAAAGAAAGAAAGAAATGGAGAGAGAAAACAACAATTTTCTGCATTTTTTAAACAAACTAAATCAGAGAGAAGTTCAGGGGAGAATGCCTCTGTATCCTTTGGATATATTTTTCCTAAATACAAGTTAACCAAAATTTTAAGAGCAAACTTTCCAATCTCAGAAACCTGCTGCTTCTAAATATTCGCTACACCAGCTTCTTTGCTTTTGCAGTTTGTTGGTGTTTCAGTTGTAAGCTTTTTAAGAACTGATTAAGTCTGGGACTAACACCAAACCATCTCACAACAAAAGCCAAAAGCATTTATGGGGACCCTAGATCATAGTCATTATTTCACTTGACAGACTGACTGGCAACTTAAGATATGAGAATAGATTTGGAGTTTTGTCACAACAAAATTGCTTAACTTATATCTTAACTTGGATACAGATGTTTGTTGATAGAGATTAATTAAAAAAAAACATCTTATTTTGAAATAATATAAGATGGGTTATAGAACTGCATAATGGCGCAGACCAGTTAGACCATTTTGCGCTCCAACAACCTGCTGTTGTCCTTCATAATGTCAAAGCATGCAACAAAAGGCCATAATACTCAAGACTGAAAACAGAAACCAAAATACTATACTCGTTATCTCTGAGACTGTAAACTCAATCTCCCCTGACTTGTTTGTAATCGAAAAAGAAAGTCCTCAGTGTGCATCTCCCAGCACAAAGTTATGTCATATCTGAAGGGTAAGATAACGGTAAATAATTCATAGACTTCCTCAACCCAGAACAGAATAAGCACACACTGGGGTGGTCATGGTTCAAACCCATTGGTCTGCAGACATCTATGAACCAAGCAGGCAGAGTAATTTATGGAATGTACTACACTGGTTGAAGTTGTATGAGTGTCAATTAGTCACATGCATGTAGACCCACGATTTATAATTGTGTTGCTCTGTCAGAAAGAGATTCAGATCTAGTGTAAAGGACCTTTTGGCTTGAGCTCTGGAAGTCAGTGCTGGTACTAGCCAATGCACCAACACTATCAAATACAAACCAGCAGAACTACCTTGATTTTCACATGTTTCCATTTGGTCTGTAAATAATACAAACAACTTTAAACTCATAAATGTGGTCTTACGATACATTAATGACGCTGTAGATTTACCTCCGGTGCCAAGTACTCTGGGGTCCCGCAGAAGGTTTTCATGGTGGCACCATCTGTGATGCCCTCTTTGCACAGCCCAAAGTCTGTTATCTTTATATGGCCATCTTTGTCTAACATAAGGTTCTCCAGCTGTGAGGAGAAAGGTTTAAATTAGGACCAAAACTGTAGGCAGTTATTAGGGCAAAAGGAACAGAAAAATGGCAGCACTCTTCGGTACAATACACTCATTTCTCCCACAGTTATTGACAAAAGCGACAAAGATAAGTGATGATACATAATTACTCCCCAAGGAAATCGCGTCTTGTATGCCCCTTATTGCTGAACAATCCAAGCATTTCTAAAAAATGTCTTTACTGTAAGAGATGGATGCCACCTTACCTTTAAATCCCTGTAAACAACATTGCGCGAGTGTAGGTATTCCAGTGCTGACACTATTTCTGCACCATAGAATCTTGCTCTGTCTTCTGTGAACACTCTGTCCCGTGATAAGTGAAAGAAAAGCTGAAAAGGACAAAAAAAAAAAGGAATGACAACAGCTACAGGGACATGAATTGTGCTTCTTGATATACTTGGATTAGCGGTGAAGATCGATTTGAGCACATTGCTGGAGTCTAAGTGCTGTTTATGGTCTTTTTCAGTATTGGCTTGGTCAGTATAGATGGGTTAAGTAAACCTATATATGCAACCATTTTTAAAATAATCATATAAAGTGATGCTCTCTATAACTGATTCAAAAAAAGGGAAAATTTCCCCCTGATCAAGACTTTACTAATCTGTTCATTCTGCTGTTGCAGGGTGAACGATGCAGGTGTATAGGGTTGAAAAGTAAGGTGAACAATAAAATCTAAAATTTTTAAAATACACAAAACCTAATTTTTTAAAATATTTTTATGACACAAAGGAGACCCTGACATACCTTGACTCTTAGAAACCAAAATGGACAACTAAAACTCCCGTGGACGTGGTGTCTTGGAAAATATAAGTAAAGGTTCTCATTCATCCAGGTCATGGTTATCCAATTTTTTTTTTTTGAAGGGCAACTGGATTTGTTTGAGGTTCAAGAACTCCAAGCAAGTCCAGCTGCACTTGTGAGGGATTGGGTCTCTTGGTAAATATTTGTATCATATTATGGGTGGATTTGTTCGACCCTCAAACTTGTTAACTTTCAGTTTTATAGAGCACAATTTTATTGTTTCTCGAAAAAACCCAAAAGCAATGCACAAACACAGGTTTGTAATTTAAGATTCCTCATCAGTACGGTATCTTTCAGAAACGTTGTTGGTCTATTAACAAATGTGTCACAGTTCAAGGTCAAATGAGAAAGAAAACAACTTACTTCTCCTCCATTTGCATACTCCATTACAAAGCATAGTCGATCATGCGTTTGAAATGCATATTTTAGTGTCTGTTGAAGAGAGCAAACAATAGAGAGGATACACTGGTTAAATTTTGCGTTTACATTGGAAAAGAAAAGAGTAAACAGCAAAGACAACTCAGGCACTGGTAACTCACTGTGAGAAAGGGATGTCGCGTATTTTGGAGTACTCGGCTTTCTGTGACTGTGTGCGCCACCTCATCCTAGCAGAAGATACGAACACGTCACACATTGGTAATAAATAGCTTAACTGCAACAAAACAATTTGATAAGACTTTGAAGTTGAAGTGTTCAAAACTTACTTTAGCGATGATGACTTCCTTGCGGAGGATTTTCATGGCATAGTACATCCCTGTGGCCTTCTCCTTCACCAGGATCACTTTACCAAAGGTCCCTTTCCCCAGCAGCTTCAGGTAGTCAAAATCACTCATGGTCTGTTGGAACAAAGGTTAAAGGTCAACCTTGATATAGGCGAATATTAATGCTAGTGCACTCACACCAGAGTGAGTCCAAACTGAGTTTTCCTCAAAGAAAGTAAGTGTGATTCATCAGTGGCTCCTCACCACAGTAATGCTGGTGTTGTCTGCCCTATCTTCTCTAACTCACACATCAAACTCTAGCACGGCATACAAGAAAGAACACTTAGCCTTTCAATTAACATCTTAGAAACAGCAGCATGATAGTTAACTTGTCTATTGCAAATTTATTGCAATGTATAGAAGTAGGAATTATCAAAGCACACTGATATTTTTTGCTAAAGGTGTAGTAATTCATTCATTCAACAGATTATGATTAAACAGTCAAACTGCATTGCGACACAAACGGCCACAGAACTTTGCCATATGACGTAAACTGATTCAAAATCATTTAACAAAGCAAATCAGCAATTGAATCGATACAAAGACACTTTGCTGTATATTTAGCACGACAAATGTAACTCTGTAGTTTTAATAAAAAGTGAATCTTCACTGTTCATCTGTGTCATCCTCTCTTTTGGTGACATTCTGGACATGTGCTGGTTAGCACTGTGATTGCTGATAGCAAATAGAAGCAAGACAAATAAGACGAATGAAAAATTTTGGCTTCTGTAAAGCAGGAGGCGTCCTTAGTAATTAGGCAAGAAAGGAAGAGATAAAGTTAAATGAACACGCAACTTGATCAATCTTGCCATTTTATTAGCATCAAATGCCAAACTCCACTCCCACAGCAACAGCCGAGCTAGCAGCCTATAAAAACTCTCAGGCAGCACCAGTGTTTCGACTTAAACTCATTGAGGGCTAAAGCTATCTGAGGTTTCAACACTGAGATTTATCTGTCGAGATTTGCAAGTTTAAGTTGACTCAACATGATCAATAGACAATGAATAATCAGTGATTTTGGGTGACACAAATTATTAACCAATGTAACCCGCCATCTGTTTAAAGGTTGCTTTAAAAAAGAGGCTTTAAATTGAACAATTTGCCCAATAAAGATGAGCTGAACGGTAAAAAAAACAGCAAACACTACGATGCCAGGCACTGCTTACACAAATACTGACCACTTTTGAGCGGGATTTGGATATAGCAATCTCCATCTCCTCTGCGCCGCTGCTGTCACTTGGTGAGCCAAACTTAATCTCCATTGGCTCCTCATCCTGCTGCTGACACTTCAGGCTATTTGCCACTGCCTGGATCGATCGCATCCATTCCTCCCTGACCCAGAAAAAAAAAAAAAAAAAAAAAAAAAACAACACTCATTACCTCTGTGAAATCTAGAAAAAAGTTTCGCCTTCTGTTTCACTGTATTTATCCTTCAAATAAATCTAAATGCTGTGTTTTGGCAAATCTTTGCATTCAGACAGATGGTGCAGATTTTTAGCCAAAAATTTACAGACAGTCGCGTTGGAAGCTTAGTTTGGAAGGTAGATTATAATCTGGGGGGGGCTGTTGGGATTTGGTACATGGCAGAGTCAATGTAAATGAGATTAAATGATGATTGCTGAAGTGAATAGATCAGGTTTAATCTAACAGTGTCTTCCATTGTCAGAATGGATTTTACTGCTGATAGTTGTAGATATTTTGAATGATAAAATTGATATAAATTATTACTCAGCCGTTCAGTACAAACTTCATCGTTCATTTTACTTCAGAAAAAAATACCTAGAAGATGATTTGTTTACTTCGGTGTTATGGTGCAATTTACAAAAACATTTTTCCAAGAAGTATATTTTTTTGCAATATCATCTGGTCTAAAACAACATCTAGTATAATTGGCTCTAAGATCACTAACAAACTAAACTAAACCAAAATAAACAAAGATATTTTCATACTGTTTTGATGTTTTAGTGTTATTGGTATATTAAGAAAAAAAATTGCGAGAGAATAAAAGTAACTGTGACATTTAAGTTGAATTTTCCATCCAAGACAAAATAGTAACACAACTTAAAGAACCCCTTAGAAGTGAGTGAACTTTACCTCTCCTCATTGCTGTCTACATGAAAGGTGCGCTCAATAACAGAGGTCCACTGCAGGCATCGAATGACAAATGTATTGGGCTTGGGTCGCTCTGTCTTCATTAGCTGGCATTCTACAACACATAAACACATCAGCTTCAACTTAACAAATAAAAGCTTACTTTAGAGAACATAATACCAAATCTCCTGCCAAACAAAAAGGATAACTGACCTGCAACTGAAAAGTTGTTTAATGGTGGGAGATTGTGGTCGCTGGACACCTCAGGCTTTTCTTTGTAACCGATGAAAGAGCCATCGCTCTTCAGGATGAAATACCGAGGCCGCCATGTTTTAATGTATTCACCTGGATCGAAACAAGAGGGATTTTTTTACCAGTTCAATTTGATACTCTGTTGAAAGACTAACTAAACGGACATCCACAACTGTTGTCTGCCTGAAAATCTACTGAGGAATTACTTTAATCTCAAAGATAAAGACAGACTATATCATAGATTTAGTCTGAGTGATGATGCACTGTGAGTAAAAATGGTTTGGTTACCTCTCTTGTGGAGCCATCCTTCTCTCACAACACTGACTTCATTCATGCTGGGGCAGAACACTCTCTGAGTTGGGAAGGGGGCTGCAGACAAGCTGGTCAAAATTATACAATGGCTCTGGCCGTGGCTCAAGTAATAAAAAACTTTGTTGTGGAATACCTGGAGAAAAAGAAAACAAACAAACAATCAACACTATTAATGCAGAAATTTGTTTCCATTACCATGACTAAACTAAGCATAGCAGGCTGTAGCTTTAGCATGTTATTACAACTTGTGAAGACCTTTCACATCAAAGAGGGCTATAAACCAAGCAGTTGTGAGCCTATAGACTAGGGGTGGGAGAAAAAATTGATACAGCATAGTATCACAATATTTTTTCGGGTGATATATCGTATCATCTCATTTACCAAGTATCGTTTTTTTTTTTTTTTCAAATAAATTGCTAATATAAAGTCAAATCTATGATAACTGAAAAATAAAATCAACGGTTTGTCCAGTGAGGTTGACAGAGGTGACATCATAAAGCTACATGACAAAAAAAAAATAAAACAGGTGTAAATTGGACAAACATAAAAGAAAGTTAAAAGGCTAAATTAGCTAAACAGTTGAAAAAATTGTATAAATCGCAATATATTGTATCGCAATACTCACTGTATTGCAAAATGTTTAAAATAGCAATAATATTGTATCGTGGGGCCACTAGTGATTCTCAACCCTTCTATAGACAGTAAGATTTTAATTGCACATCAGGAACACTGGAAAATAATGGGGAAATGCATTTGTACGGAAGGTTATACAATTTTGACAAGTGAGGTTAATGGTGCAATAGTACGGTGGCCCAGAACTGCCACTGCTGCAAATAAAATAGAATAGAATAGAATAGAATAGAATATTCCTTTATTGATTCCCAATGGGGGAAATTTTTTTGTCGCAAGGCAAAGAACGCAAAAAAAAAAAGAAGTCACAACGGAAGTTACTGATGCAAAAAAAAAGAAAGAAAGAAAGAAACTGAAGCCCGCAGCAAATAAAAAAAACTTCCACAACGGGAGTTGACCACGCAAAAAAAAAGTGGTGATAGAAAGAAAAAGTTACTTACTGCAAAAATAAAATGATGCAAATAAAAAAAGCCACAATGGAAGTGAGCTGCCGGGGACCAATACTGATGACACACCTGTGTTTTACAATCTAGGCACAGAACACGACAGTGAGAAGACGAGCAAAGAATTGGTTAGACCACGTAGTACCTGAGTCGATATTTTTTATTTGCATCCATTTATTTTCGCAGTAAGTACCTTTTTTTTTTTTTTTTTGCATTGCCACATTTTTTTGGATCATTAAGTTCTGTTGCGGCTTTTTTGTTTTATTTTATTTTATCTGCACCGCCTATTTTTTATTTGCAGCATGCTTTGTTTTTTTTTTTTCATCAGTAACTTCCATTGTGGCTTTTTTTTTTTTTTTTTTTTTTAAGCATTCTTTTTTATTTTCAGCAGTGGCGGTTCTCGGTCACCATACAATAGGAAAGATAATTCCAAATGCAAGAAACTTTCTGCAAGGCAATCATGATGCCTGTCACTGGTGTTGTGCTTGAGCAAATTTCCCACCCTCTAAGGTTATTTTGCTGCCTTGAAACTCGACTCCACAACAAAGAAAACTGCTGAAATCTGCAGCATGCTCACCACCTCATATATGATTACCTGACACTTCGGCTGTCACATTAAGAATGACACTTCCACAATGGCAACCATACAAACAAGCTGGATAAAACCCATGGCAATGTTTGTACAAATATAAAACAATATATATTTTCAATCTATTTTCCAAAAGCCCTTCATACGAGATATCCTCCCAAAGCTCTTGCTGAATGTTTGTGGAGAAGCCTTGGCGATTCAGGGTCAGCACTAAATCAACAGCTTATGTTAGATAATAGGTTTAACAGAATTTCACAGTATTTCAGTGAAACTGCAGGGGTTGGATAATACAGTGCATACAGTCACCACAACACAAAGACTGTTTGAACTGCTTTGTTTACAAAGTTCAAAACAGATAAGGCTTCAACGACTTCGGACTTTGTTATATTTATGGTTGCTCGCTTTGATATTATTATTATTATTATTTTAATAGCTGGGGTATTAGTGCCTGTTTTTCACAACGTAAAAGCCTAAACACGACATGTCACTGAAACTATGCAAGTTAAAGGCTAAGTGATTTAGCCAGGTATTAAAGCTCTCGGCTCAGTTGCAGCACCGCCAGAGTTAATAATTAAGAGAACATAGAAAAATACTTTACAAGGCCACTCCATAGAGCTAGTTCAAGACATTTAATTCATAACGGACTGTGGCCACAACCACGAGCAGCACAACATAAACATTAACGTGAGGCATCCTGATCCTTTCATCACTGTCTTACACCTAACCTAGCAAAGCCGAGGCAAAGTCAATAAACTTACACTCCTATTGCACTGTACGCGGTGACTTTTCTATTTAAGTTGTTAGAGAGTTAACGTGTCACCATGACTCTACAGTCGTTGGCTTGTTTACAAAGTGGAGACTCAGTCAGACACCAAACAAGGCAGCTAGCAATAATAGCTTTAGAGCTAACAAGTAGTTAGCATCTCTGTTAGCCACTTGCGCTAATTCTCGTCACACCGGCTGTTCTTACCTCGACTTCAGCACCAAAATACCCCCGGCTGATGGTTCTTCAAGAGGCTCAGAGATACCACACCTAAAGGTTTCCACTAGTTATCTCATGGAGCCCGTGTGTACTGAACTCTGTCAATGATCACACAGCTTTAGCGGACTGCTCACTGAGCCTGTTTTCTTCTCTCAAAACAACAGCAGCGGCGGCGGCGGCGTGCTGGTCTGCTGCTGCTGCTGCAGCACTTCACTGAGGCGTGAGGCTCAGCAGAATAGTCCTCATTAAAAACAACTTCATGTATAACCGCTTTTTTGGTGCCTCCAATAACCTCAAGTCTCTACAGAGATAAAATGCCCTATGCTGGTTGAATGCAGTTAGTCGCCTGTTCAGCCTGGAAGCCCTCCTTCCCAGACAGACACTACGGCAGCCCCGCAAACGCACACAGAAAGGAAGTGACGTTAAGAGGCTACAGAGAGGGTCCACTGCACCTGAGCAGTCGGTGTGAAAGTACATCAAGTACTGTAGAGGAACCTTAGACCTCACCCGAACAACTCAAAGCTGTATTATGACTATGTGAGAAGTAAACTGTCTTAAAAAACTATGTTTGTAGGAGTCAGGGTCTTCTAAGTGTCTGTTTTTACCTCCTTCTTGTGTCCCATCTCACTTTGTAAGAGGAATGCACCATTCAAGACAAACTTTATTAATTCAATTGTCTTTAGTGTCATTTGTCATGTCTCTGAAAGTCATCTACTATTTACAGAAGAGTTGTAAAGTCTGATGGATGTTGGTACAAAACATCTTCTGAATCTTTCTGTCCTTCAGCGAAGAGAGAGGAGCCGTCCACCACCATTGGCCCTTTGGTCCATTAGGGTGATGTGAAGTAGGTGATCCATGTTCTTTAGAATAGTCTCCACCAGCCTTTTTTTAACTAGTTTGTTCAGACAAAGTAAGCTTTATGTAAACCTTGTAAATTTAAACCAGTTTAAAAGTACTGCTTACAACACTGCATAAAATGGAGGATACATTAAGAGCCAGTTTAAAAGATATCAAATGTTTATTACTCAAATAACCTTAAATACAGTCTGCACAACTCTCTACAGAAGGGATTTGCCTTTCTGTTTTTGTTGCTTTCTTTGCAGGTAGCGAGCACGAGCATCGTTGACGGTGGCTTCATTGTTCCTTTTTTCCAGCTTCTTCATGACATCCACAGTAGAAACCTCTGAAATAAAATAAAAGTAATCAGCAATTTTGTTATGACACAGCCAAACATTTTGTTCTTTGTTCATCTGTAACATCTTTTCCATCCATTTTCTACCGCTTTTTCCCGTTGGGGGTCACAGGGGGGGCTGGAGCCTATCCCAGCATCTTCAGGCGAAGGCAGGGGACACCCTTGACAAGTCGCCAGTTCATTGCAGGGCTGACATATAGAGACGAACAACCATCCACGCTCACATTCACAACTATGGGCAATATGAAAGTGGCCAATTAACCTAACCCCACTTCTGCATGTTTTTGGGATGTGGAAGGAAACCCGGAGTAAACCCACGCAGACACAGGGAGAACATGCAAACTCCACACAGAGACGCCCTGACCCGTATTCGAACCCAGAACCTTCTTGCTGTGAGGCGACAGTGCTATCCACTACACCACTGTGCCGCCCGTAACACATTTTCATGAGCTTTAATTTTGTGCATTACTATCATGTTAAATTACCCAAGTTTTGATATCAATCTAATCAATCATTCTGATTACCTGGTCGTCTCTTGGCTGCTTCTCTGCTCTCCCATTTTTTCACCTCCTCATCCGTCACCTCTTTTCTTGCCACACTGCTCAGTTCGTAGACATCCACCTCATGGAGTTTAGGTAGCAAGTCCTTCACCCACTCGTACTGAATGGGACACACTGTCCTGATGTAAACTCTTGAGGTCACCAGCACATCGTGGAAGAGGACCCAGTTCAGTTCAGCCTCTTGGTCAAACAGCTTTGTGAGATTTGAGAGGAAAGAAAGTATAAGGTCAGAGTATATTGGATCTCCTATGATGGACAAAAAAGATCCATAGATTGATTGATTTTCAATTGATTCCGCAATCAACTTACAGATGATGATGGATGGATTTGGACGATGGATCCATGGCCATCCATTGTGCAAAAAGCTTTTCCAACAGATCTGTATGGATTGAATGAAAAATCACTAAAAAAAAATCCTGACTTTTTAAGTTTATAACTGAAGAATTTAGTAAAGGCCTCCAAATGGACAATTTAATTCTGATCATTTAAGTGAGACTTTGTAATACCTCCTGGCAACATTGGTGAAGTATCCTGCGCATAGGCATCTTCTGAAGAGTTCATTCTTCTGTCCATCAAATGTTTCCACAGGGAAATCTCTCTTCTAAAAGACAACAGGATAGAAAACAAATTACCACAACAATATGTCTGCAAAAAGAATTCTTGATTAATCAATGACAGTGCATTGTTGTACCCGTTGGAGGTGAGCAACAATCTCTTGCAGTTGAGTCTCGACAGCAAATGCTGATTTCAGCGCCCTCCAGTGGATCCAATTATCTTTACACCACCCTGAGGGTCTGTCACTGCAAAATGCAAGAGATAGGATGTCCTGATGATGGCCTGGATAGTGCTGATATGACTAAAATCTATGATGGCTGTTAATGGACTAACATTTATTTGAATACACAAGTAATTTATGACAGAATTTTAGACAATTATTGCCGTTTACCTGGATTTACATGCCTGAAACACAGTGAGGAGTGTGGCAAAGTCATTCATGCTGCCACTCCTGGTAGCCAGCGCTCTGTGCTTTATATCTGCCTCTTTCTGCTTGTTAGGATGGCCTGTAGGATTAAAGAGAACAGTCAGTAAATCCACTCATTAAAAGAGCAATAACAAAAATATATGCATTAATTTAGGATAGCTGCCTTCATACATGGGACAAGATCAAGGCAGCGCCCTTGTGAAGGGGAAGTTGGGAAAATAATACCCAAAGACACCTGGAAAAATACCATACAGCGTATCTTCTCTCTGCATCAGACAAGGCTTGATTCAGTTTAAGGTTGTCCACAGGTTGCTTGACTCTAATGACAGACTGTCTAAATTATACCCTAATGTTGTACCAAATTATCTTAGATGTCAACATTTTCTATTTCTTTGAGAGACACATTTTGGTCATGTCCATCTTTGTATGGTTTCTGGTCTTCAATCTTCCATTCACTCTAAGCCAGACCTGGCAAAACACTGCAATCCGCTCCTTTGATCACTATATTCAGAGTAGTTACTGATGACAACTTTTGTAAGAAATGTCCAACTAATGATGTCAATGTTTTTGATATGGAAAAAGTGGTAAAGTTGCATTAAAAAAAAAAAAAAAAGTCAAAGCTGAAGTTGACAAACACTTCTCTACATGTACCATTTCCTGACACATTTGATCAGCCAATCAAAATACAAACTTACCAACAGATTACACATTTCTATAGCAATACAGAGAGCCGTTACTAAAGTTGGTATAACTAGAGAAGCAAGCGGTCGGCAACATTCATCTCTTGAGGGGGTCTCGAACTTGGTGTTACGTTGTGTTTGACCCTAAATTAGTTTTACGCCAGAATATCCCTTTAAGCACATGCTTTTATTCTACTCTCTCAAGTTGCTGACCTGGCCTGATGAATATGTTCTCTACTGACAACATGGCCGCCACAGGGAGAAGCAGGTCCTGACAGCCGAGTGAGGCTGCTTTGAGCACGGCCCTGGCAAGACCTGGTGGCAAAGGGAGCTCCACCATCAGTTCCCCAAGCTGGGTCACTCTACCTCTCCTTAAGCCAAAACACAGAAGAGATCAAAGTTTAAGACTTTTACGGAAAATTAAATAGACCTCTAAATGCTTTGCTTCGAAAACCAAAATTTTGCTCACCTGTCTATGGCATCAAATTGGTAGAGCTGTTTTAATGCCTCAAGAATAAACCTTTCTTCTGGACAGTCGAGATAAGGGAACCTTAGAGCGAAAAAAAAAAAGCTATTATTGCAGGCCAGAGATCATGTATGGCTTAGCGGACCCTATGAGATCACAAAGAACTGGAGGACATGTAAATGTACCTAATGACATCATGAATCCCCAGACACTTGAGTGTGAGTACCACTGAAGTTAAACTTGTCCTCTGGATTTCTGGAACTGTGAATTCAGGCATTTTCTTCTCCCAGAATTCCTTGGTGTAGATGCGAAAGCACTTGCCAGCTGAGGTTCTTCCAGCTCGCCCTGCTCTCTGCTGAGCCTCACTCCTAAAATATGGAAAAGACAAGAGTCAAATCTAAATTGCTGTCAGTAGGCTTAATTGAGATGGCATGGGTGAAAGTCAGGAAATTACTTAAAGAAACCTATTTTAAGTTAGAAATGTCAAGTGAATTATTCAACTCACTTTGAAATGGGCACTACTTCCAAGATATCCATGCCCACCCTCGAGTTGTGGTTAAGCTGCTTCACAAACCCACTGTCCACGATATACCTTTGAAGAATTATGAATTAAATGATTATTATAGTGAGTATTCTTTGGCTAATCAGTAAGAAAGTGACCCCGTGTCTCACTTACTTTATGCCATTGATAGTGAGAGATGTTGCAGCAATGTTGGTGGCTACAACACACTTCCTTATTCTTGGCGGGGCAGGCTGGAAGATCTGCCTCTGTTGATCTACGATAATAGTTTTTTCGTTAAATAGTTTTCTTCTGCATCATCATCACAAAGAAATACATCCAAAAAAAATATTCAAACTTTACAAAAAGTTAAATGAAATTGGTGTTTAATTTTTACCAGTGGGCATGGATCCATACAGGGGTAGGATAAGGAGTCCCTCCACTGTTTGGTCATATACATCATAGCGGTAGTCTATAGACTCGGCTTTCTCATACAACAAGTCACAAGCTTGCTCTATCTCTGACTGACCTGTCAAACAGAGAGTCAGTGCAGCAAAAATACTTCAGGCTTTACAAATTTTTGTAATCATAGAGCTTGATCATTAGGACTTACCTGTCAAAAACACCAGAATGTCCCCAGCCATTTCAGTTGTGTGCACATTGAGGGCAACTTTGACTACCTAAGAAACAAACAAAAAAGCTTCAAGTTAAAGAAACAAATCTAAACTTTATCTAACAGTACAAAGTTGTAGGGTCAAGAGCGAGAACATATTTTCTTGTTGTAAACAGAACAGAAATCTGACTCAAGCAAAAAAACTTAGTACCTCTTTTACATAATTGGTGCTCTCTATGTCTTTGGGTCCCACAGCAGAGCCAAAGGTGCAGGTGACAGGAAAAGTTCTTCCAGGAATAGCAAAAACAGGGCAGTCACCAAGAAATGCTGAAAGTTTATCAGTATCAAGCGTGGCAGACATTACCACCACTTTCAAAGGGACGGATCGACCACTGGTAGCCTTTGCTGGATCAGAGAAGATTTTTTTCAATAAACCCAGAAGAATATCCTGCAAAACATACCAACAATTAATTCGAGACTGCACTGAAAGAGCTATGGAAACAAGAAAAACAGGATGTATCTCTAAGAGTCAGGCATAATACAGCATAGATAAACATTTGTGTTAAATACCCACTCACCGTACTAAGACTGCGCTCGTGGACTTCATCTAGGATAACAACTCTGTACTGAGAGAGTAAAGAATCTGCCAGGATCTCTCTTAGCAGGCAGCCATCCGTCATGTACTTCACCACTGTGTCCTGCAACAAAGGCATAATTTCATACATGCACGGCAAATACTTCATTTCACAGGGGCAGGGCCATTTTTGTTGCTCACCTGTGTTGTACAGTCATCGAAGCGTACTTGGTAGCCAACCTCCCTGCCAAGAGTGCACTGCATCTCCTGGGCGACTCTCTGGGCCACTGTGATGGCAGCCACTCGACGAGGCTGGGTAATGCCGATTTTGCCATCTTTACAAATACCTACATTGACAGAATAGGAAACAACTTTGAATGACTGGGTATGTATTTAAAAAGCATTGTTACAGTATAAACCATACAATTGATACAAATGTAGCTGTATTAATGAAACAAAATAGTTTTTGCTTGTAAAACTATTTTGTGCACATGCAAATATAGCACATATAAAACATGCGATATAGCACGTGCATAAAAAGTGGTCTCCTATGGTCAACTTATCCCGTGTATGGGGTAAGTTGACCATGGGAGCGGGGTAAGTTGAGCCGTATCCCTACTAAAGTTCATCACATCTCACAAAACGGTGAAAATGTGGTCAGAACACTTTAAAACGCAGAAAGCCGTGGTTTACTCAGGGACAGCAAGGTTCAGTGTTTCAGTATTACCCACCTGTACAACATTTTCAATGAGACAAAACACTTTCAAGTCAGGGCAGGTGTTTAAGTTTGTCTGGATCTATTTACATGTCGCCGGGTTAACTTCATCTTTACTTCAGCATAATAAATGACAGCTTACCTGCTTGGTACAAATACTGTGGAAGTTGAGTTGTTTTCCCGCTGCCAGTTTCACCAGTGACAACCAGAAAGTTGCTGTTTTTGACAGCCTGTATCAGCTCAGCTTTGTGTCGGTAAATCGGAAGATGTTTTGACTCCGACATGGTCGACACCTTCAACTACCTCAGTTTTAACACACTAAGTAAATACAGCCCGCAGTTAGTCACCGCGTTATAACCGTCTCTTTGCCCGTAGGCAATATCTGATAAAATCACACATTATGAAAAGCGTTCATTGTTTACTGGCCTCCTCTCTCCTTCTCTCGTTTCAGACACGGCACGTTTAAGACTTCCGCAAACTCTCCATCTATGCGTTTCTATTGGCTATCCCGTGGGCACGTGACCGAAGCGCGCCTGTTAAGGAAAGAGCTGCTTGCTGTACGTCCTCGTGAACGTGCTGTTGACGCAATAACGCTTCGATAAGAGCAAATGTGTCGATTTGTGTATGTACCCAAAAGGCTGTTTTTCCATTAAAGCAAACAAATTAAATACTACTTCATTAAGGATTGTAGGATGACTATTTTAAGTGCCATGTCTCTTGAATGTGCCAGAAAAGTCCGGGGTATCGTCGAGAAATTCTACAGAAACACGGCCTGACCAACGGACGTCTTCTGCCCATAATATTGTATATAGAATGGGCGCCGTCTGCCTCCTTGCCGGGTGAAGCCACCTCCAGCAATCCGTATGGGGCTGTGGACAAACTTTAGAAATTTATTACACAGAAAATAAAATTTTTCTCCCCCCTGGTTGTGATGTTGACATGTAGTTACTGTCAGACTGGTTTGTGTTCAAGTCCTCTATTTTCTGTACAGCTCCATTTCTAAAAGTTATTAGGGGGTTAATGTTTTCTATGATTGACACTTGATACAGCTATGGGCGTACGAAGATTGCGCAGCTCACCTGTGTGCAACATTTTTTGTAGGATGGTATGGAAAGGTCCTGCTCTCCTTCGCCTCTGACTGCTGGAAAGGCTGAGCTCCGATTGGTTATTCCTTATGGCTGTGAAAAGTCATCATCTGTCGGGTTGCGGTTGGGGTTACAGTTAGGAAATTCAGAAGTGTGATAATGCGCTGTTCGATGTACAGAGCCGACAGCCTGCGTTTGGCTTGAGCGTGTGATGACATTTCCAGCTTTTCTAGCCAATCAGAGGCAAAGGAGGCGGGATCTTCCCGTGCCATCCTACAAAAAAAAAAAAAATTGCACCCGGGGGATATGCTGTTTGAGCCGAGCGTCCTCACAGCGACTCGCATTGACTCTCCCGCTAATTGTGCACAATTATAAAACTTATCACTCTTGTCACCACTTGTCTTGATTGCCTTTGGGTATCATGAAAATGCATCAAATGTAAGTCTACTTCATGGGTGTCAAAAAACTCCTCATAGGAGCTTTAACGTCTTATCTGATTAATGAAGACATGGAAGGACTGCAAAGCTTTTGTTTTCCATTTTGATCTTTTATTCACAAATGTCTCAGGAAGTTGTCAAAAGGCACTTTACAGTAGATAAAAAAAGAGGGCCACCAGAGACGACACTATGGAGAAGCTTCTGCCCAAGCCGTGGTGTAATCCACCTTGATGTACGCCGTTCTGAACCAAGAAATAAAACTCAATTTTTTAATTTTATGCAAAAAGTTTGTACCATATTAATCGTGTCAAGATGGCAAGTATTAGTTCTTCTCACCATTGTTGCAGGACTGTGAGCACTCTTTTCCTTTACAGATCTTTATGTCACAGTGGAAATATATCTGTAAGGGTTATTTGACTGTTTTAGAAAACACCTGAGATCCAAAAGCACTACAAAGCATGTATATATCTATTTATTGATAATTATTTGTTTTCTTATTTTGTATTTCTCTATTTCTCTTACGTACCAGGTTTTCAGTTGATTGGGACTCAACAAACGAGAACAGCTTGACAGCCATCCACTTATGGAGATGGGGAAACTTAATCTCTTTACTGGAAACAACTGGTAACACATTAGTTTTGTGGCTATCACCACTGAAAGGACATCTGTTTAAAAAATAAAAAGGGTATAGTTGATTAAAGTTCATGTGGAGATATTTACATGAGTGATGTACACAAACACACCCCAAGAATCCCTTTTAATTTTATGTGAATTTACCCTTTAACAAGAAGGTCCCATCTTTGGGTATCCTGAGGATTTGGGGTTGGAGTTGCCCAGCAGTCCTCCAGCACCAGAACCAAGTCTCGGTCCTCATGTTTGAGCACAAAGACCTCTACATACACTGGCAAGCCAAGCTTAACCACAGGAGGGTCATGAGAGGAATAAAAAGATCTGTAATTTGAATCTGTGGATTTATGATAATTCAAGTAAAAACACTTTAAAAGCATTTGCTACAAATATACAAACAGATTACGTTATGAAACAACTATTTTCATTAGCAGGTAAAGAAGAAAATCTAATGAAAATATGCATGAAAAATATAAAAATGAAAGTGTGTACACTTGACCTTTAGCAAACCTCATATCAGCCCTCAGCATTCCTTCACTCCTCAATATGAAGAGGTCCTGCTGTCTTTTCTGTTGAATGTTGAAGCCCAGTCGGACAGTTTGGCCTAGCATAAAGCTACAATGCACTGTAAGACTACAAAAAATAGTGATGATATACGTGTCCCACTGTCTTCACAAAGTAGGAAAAGCAAAAAATGTAGTTTCTTACTTGAAGGGAGTGTTACGAAATACAGGGCTTTTTTGTGGATGTTGTTTTACCTCTATATTAACCCAGTAGGTTATGATCCCATTTTCTGCCTGTCAGAAAAAAAAAACAAAATCATTTTTTTTCTTCCAAAAACAAAATCATCATCTGATGAGATGCTGAGAGCTGTCCATCTTATTAATTACATTTACCATGGACTGAGTCCCACAGTCAGTGAACAGAAAGCTGAAGGTGACATCTTCTTTGGATCTTTTTTGGGGTTTACAATTTGCACTTTTGCTAGAGGGGATCCAGACTGCATCCAGGTTGAGAGGCGGGACTGTTGCGTTCTGAGAAATTGTAATTTTGAACCCATCTTTGCTGCAGAAAAGATTTCTTGATAACAGTGGATACTGGTATTTGGCCATCTCTATAGGAAACACATAGATAACTACTATTTAAACAACAGTCTGAATGTATGTCATGCCGTCAAGCTGTTCAGAATTACCACCTTTGATTTTCCTCTCACAGGTGACATGTATTGTTTTCACAATTTCAAGTCTGCCCTTTTCTGCATGTTTCATGATAACAACAGTCAAACTGGTGAGGTATTTCTAGATGGAAAAAAAAAAGTAAAAGACGATAAGAAGACTGTCAAGAAATAAGTCTTTGAGGCAAATATGACACACATGGTTCAGGGGACTCGGATGCTTACTTGTCTTCTCACAAAACACCCATGAGAGGCGACTGTCAAGTTAAAAAAGGTTTCAGCTTCTATCAGGAGGTAGTGGCACTGTGTTGCTACAGCAATGGCTTGATAATATCCACTGTGCTCATCTGTATAAAGTAAGGCACAAACAAGAGCCAACACAAACATTGTACAAAGCAATGTGTCATCATCAATTCATCGATTATTGACTTACCTTGAACATAAATGGTGAAAGGAAGATCTGCAAATTTTTCCTTTGGTATGTGAACAGACATGAACCCATCACGACAAATGGGTTCATAACGACTGATATTGTGATGAACTGTTGATTGAGCTTCACATCTCATGTAGGGGAGTGAAAGTGTAATGAATGTAATCAAAATGGAGTCCGTAATGTGGGCCATCATCTTTGGATGTTGTGATGAGGAGAGTAGCAGCTGTTCCTCATTTGACTTAATTGGGACAATATTGAAGAGAAACAAGCTCACACCAACACCAGAGGTCTAAGGAGTATTTGAACCTCCTCCTGTGTTAGGGTCTGCACCGACCCGTTTTTGTTTTTAAATGCTTAAAAGAACCTCTTAAATTTTTTGACTTTGTCAGGAACCTCTATTTCAACAAAATAAAAATAAAAAAATTAAATAGACTTAATTGTAAAATGCTCTTATTAAAATTATGGCACTTGTCGTGTTAGGGTTGCTGTTGACCTGATTAGATTAATATCTAATAATTAGAGCAAAAACTAAAATCACAAGTGCACTGGCAGGCACCACACTAACAGTCAGATCCTCTTCCAATCATGTGAAATTAAGGAAATTCTTAATTTGCCATGTTTTCCCTGCACAAAAAACAATGTTGGGCATGTCCAGACATGTGAGATCAGTTCAGTATAGACGTCTCTGTGAGGGGTATACTGACAATAAAAGGCCCAGAGGCACACTACAAAAACTATTATAAGCAACATTTTCATGAATAATGAAGCCTAACAAGGGAACCTGGAGATGAAAACCAAATTGGATGATAGAGAATTGTTTTTTAGTGAAATTTACAGCTGATTTAAGACACGGGTTGAAACAGACCTTTAACACAGTGGTTGCGTAGTAAAAGCTAACACAGGAGGAAGGGTAAACCAACCGTTTTTCTATTTTAACACAGACGACTTCTTGACTTTTTGATTTTATTTGCATTCATTCTCTTTATTTAACCACCCATTACATTTTACATTTTACATATAGCGACAAAAGTTGAAAGAGTCATCAAATCAAATGAGAGTGTGTGGATCAAGTTCAATCTGTTCCTGTCAAATAAACGATAAGAACATTTTATTGTGAAACTAAACAGAAAACTGTTGAAGCCGTTAAAGCTGAGCCAGCATCCTCTACATTTGGTTAAGGCGGTCTGTGCTTCTGTTGTAAATTGGGTTTTTGTATTCACAGTCTAACAGGGAAACAGAGATAGGAGAGCAAGTCAGGGCACAGTATGCAATGCACAATATCAGTCTAAACAAGGGGACGAAGTAAGTCAGGACTCACTCTCTTTGACTCCTCCCTTCCCCAAACCTGGTGCAAAATAAACGAATAGAAGTAAATAATCAAAGTTAAGGCAAATAATTAATTCTGACGGATCATGGAGTGAAGATGAAATTCAGATACCTCTTTTGGGGTGCTCTGCCTGAGCTGCTTGTTGATTGCTGAGTTCACGCTGGTTAACTGTGAATAAAAATAATCAAGTTAAATTTATGTTGGCACTGAAAGTATGCTAAAAGTATTATGTCAAAGAGGTAATGTTACCATAATAACGTTGACTGAAGCTTGCTTGTCGTAATCTGTTGAAAAGCTCTGGAGAAGAGAGAGAACATTTTTTTTTACTTTGGTTCCTCTTCATAAAATGACAAAAGTCACCTGTTCTGCACCGACTCCTCTGAAATATTCAGCACCTGTATGAAATCTCCGTTTCGTGCTCTGATTTTCCATCCTCACAAACTTAAACTGGTCTGAGTTTGGATGAATTCCACTTGTGCTTTGGCTGGGCTGAGCCATTTCAGGATCAGGCAGAGCTGCTGCTGGTGGGCACTGATTTCTGTTTTTCTCATGCTGGTTGGCTGGGTCGTGGTCATCATTTTCTAATTTTGAGAAAAAGACAGTAAAATGCTGGCAGAGGCATTTGTGACGCTAAGCAATGTAACAGAACTAAGGATCAAAAGAAAAGCCTTACAAACGCACCATAGACAAGGTCATTAATGTATATTCCTGTAGAGACAGAAGATTAGATTATTTGTGGTTCTCAACAAATGCATACTGAAATGTAGACCACACTCTACCATTTGAACAATGTTTTATGTGACTGTGCTGTTTGATGGATTACCTCTCTGCTGCACATGCACTCTGCCTCGTCCTGCAGGTGGAGCACTAGCAACTACTGTGAAGACCCCACAGAAATACACTTGATTAATTTTTTGACAAGAGGTGACTTAGAGGATAAATAATATAAGGTATCTTACGACTACTGATCATGGATTCTTCAAACTACATAAACAAAAAAATCTCAACTCAAGTTTTAAACAACTAAAAGGTCTTTGCTAGACTATAGAAGTAATAAACTAACAAAATCATGGGCCATATCTAATGTAAATACTCAATTTTAAGATGATTCCTTACCCTCAGCAGCTGCAGAGTTATCGGTACTGTCCTGGAGTGTTTTATGACAGTTACCTGAATTAAAAAAAAAAAAAAACTGAATAGATACTAATACATTCGCCAATCCTTTTATATTTTAAATAAATTTTGAAACTTAAGTGTCTCTCCTTCAAGACTGCCAGACTCACATTTGTGTTTGACGCAGAAGTAACAGCCAATACATATCAGGAGGAAAACAGCCCCACTAACACAGGCGTAAATCAGAAGCGTCAAGTTAAGTGTACCTGCACAGAAAGTTGTGGTTAAACTATGTGGTTCACAGGAAACTCTTGCTCAATTTTTTCCGCTCTTGTGTGTTTAGTAAAGTGAAAGAGAACACATGAATGTGCAAGATTCTTACTCAGACTTTAGAGAGCATCACCTTACAGTTTATAAACTACAGTCATACTCGCTTACCTTCGTCACCAGCCAAAGTCACCTGAATACAATTCTTTTCCCACTTGCAGAGGTAACACCCCAGATCGGAGTCTTTCAGCTTATCGATACGGATGGAGAAGTTTCCCTCCGAGCCCTGATTTGGAAATGCTTTCACTCGCCCGTGTCTGGGGTTTGGAAACTGAATACGACCTTCAGATGAGAGGACAACCAGGTCCCCCTCAGAGTTTTGGGCCCATGACACCGAGGTGATGTTACTTCTTCTCAGATCGCAAGGGAGGAGTACAGAGGAATCAATTGTAGCTCTAAGTCTGTGCATTTCACAGCCCTTTGAATACTGCTCACAGGCATTCTGATCTGAACAGTAAGAGAAGAAAACAAAGAGTTCAGAGCTTAGATCCTTCATCAGAACACGACAGTAGAAACTCTTCTCCCCAATTATAAGAAATATTCACTTTCGCTTTTTACAAAAACACAAAACGTATGATGCTGTTACTGATAAAATGCTTTAAGGTGTCCAATAAAAGAAAAACTGCCGACACATTGCTTTAAAATCAAAAATTCATAGTCAGAGTATTTGAAAAGGGAATATATATAAGGAAAAATAAGATCCTCATCATATTAACCACACTAGCATTAAATAAATTCATTTGATAGTTCGGTACAATGCGAGCACACAATCTTAAAGGAAAATCAAATAAATATAATAATGTAAAAAATTGATCGCGTGAGAAACCCTTAGCTATACAACGGTAATCTAAATATATTTATCTACTAATTTTACAAAATGACTTACCATTCAGAGATACACATACAGAGCACAGAGATAAAAGGAAAATCACCCCTTTACTGTTCATTGTCAGCACCTGCTCTCACCACCGGCAATGTGGTAATGCTGTTCTGTATCTTAGCATCATGGGGACAAAACCACAAGACCATCGCTTCATCTAGATAGCTGAGAAAGAGCGTTTTTTTTTTTTCCCCCTTCTTTCACACAACCAAGAGCCTCAGTTTGTGTCAATATCTGGTGATTGGGTCAAACATCAAATCCAATTTCAAAATATTAATATGTGTGTCTTTTGAAGAATGTCCACGTGCTATGCAATATATAGATACTTCTATAGATACTTCCTGCTCTTGACCACATCCTGTTGACAAGAAAAAATAGAAGTCAACACAAAAGTTTTCAATCACAAAAGCAAAAGGAGCTCACATTTAACAACCAATTTAGTTTGAAGCCAACATCAAATTTGCATTTTGAAAGAAAACTTGAAATAGATGTGATACAGTTCAAATGCATTTACTTGCTGGTTTCAAAGTGCAAGAAAGTGGAAAAGGGAGAAGAGAGACTACCCACCTACCTACATATATAAAGATCTGTCTCTCTGTGTATTTGGATGATTTTCTCATGACCTCCAACTTTTCTGTTTCTCTTTGACATTTTGTCATGCACAATAGAACTGGTCCTGGCCAGTCAAAAATAATAGACAGTGGCTAACCTGAATATTAGAAAATTCAATCCAGTTATAAAGTCTTTCAAACCTCTGATACCCTAAGTGTATGATTTATTTAAACATAATATGGCAAAAAAAATGAGAAAGGGTTCTGGGGGTCCTCCCTCTAAAAATTGTTTGAGTTGCAAACTCTAAATTCCCTTGATTCTGGTAAATATTCATACAAAAGTAAGTAAACTGAGTTTAAAAAAAAAGTACAAAATAACTAAACTGACACATCATAAACAGAAATATATGCTTCTTCCTGCCAAAAGCTGTCATTCTTGAAAAAAGATCTGTTAATTTTCTGTAATGTAAATCGAATCAAAGAATAAACTCCTCTGATTTCTAGTTTTAACTCCTGTTTTTCAAAAAAGCTTTGTAGTTTTACCTATCCCACAAATTTTGCATGTCAATTTCACAGTAAAATATGTGGTTCAATTATCCAAAGGGCACCATATCACATCTGATCCACCAGAGAGGAATTTAAGGACCATTTTACTGTAATTCTACTGGAGAGACATTCCCGTAAATGGGCATCCAAGCGGACATTTTTTATGTTTCATTTTATTGAAAAGCAGCTCATTAGATTTAGAAAAAGATTAGAAAAGTAGATTTCATTGAGACAGCAGCAGAAAGGTCAATTTGGATTTTTTTTTTATGTACTTCAGATGCAACTGCGGTGGCCGAGAACCACCACTGCTGAATAAAAAAGAATGCAAAATGAAAATAAAAAATAAGTCGCAAAGAAGGTACGATGCAAAAAAAAAAAAAAAAAAAAGTGGTGAAATGGTGCAGTTAAAGAAAAAAAGCCCCAACGAAAAAAAATAAAATAGTGATGGAAAAAAAGTTCCTCACTGTGAAAATAAAAGGATGCAAATTAAAAAAGCCACAACAGAACTGAAGCTAGCATCCGCCAGTTCAACTTCAAATCGACTCAGGCCCAAAATGGCTTAACCAAATGACACATTGAAAAGCACACAAAGCAAAATTAAACAATAACCTTTTTCACTTACTTCTTTGCTCATCTTCTCGTCGGCGTTTTCTGTGCCGAAATCGTAAAAGACTGGTGCATCATCATTATTGGTCCCCAATGTGTTTTTTTCAGTTTGCATTCTTCTATTTTTTGCAGGGAATTTTTTTTTTTTTTTGCATCACCACATTTTTTTCACCCCATTAACTTCCATTCTGTTTTTTTATTAATCAGCACCGCTTCTTTCTTTCTTTTCTTTTTTTTTTTTGTTTGCATTCTTTTTTATTGGCAGCCGTGGCGGTTCTCGGCCACCGTACTTCCCTGAGGGCTTTTTCTTTGACTTGGGCATAAGTTCACCTGTGGAGGAATCGCCCCCACCCCCTCACCTCTAAGTATAACCTACCCTTTTTTCATATACCTGCGCTCAGTGTTATTACGGGACTTTACGTTATTTCCTGTTCTGTTGATAGATGATGATTTGACGTCACTGAGCAGCAATGGTGTTTACTGGGTGGGAGTAACGAGGGCCTCGCAGTACATGGAGCGTGTGTCCACCTCCCACAGGCTGTTTATGGTGAGCGCCTGTCCTGAATCCCTCCGTACCTTCTTTGTGAGTGGATCCTCGAGCCACTCATTCTGTGCTGACACTCAGAGTCTGCATGCAGCTGCAGGATGGCCGGGAACTGTTTCCTCTCCTTATTTGACTACAAAACGGAAAAGTACATCGTTGCCAAAAATAAGCGAGTTGGAGTTTTGTACAGACTTATTCAGTTATCTATAATCGGCTACATTATTGGGTAAGTATAGTATTTCCTTTTTCCTCTAGCCTATGTAATTTTCGTAACCCATATCAAGTTACCAAATTAGCTTATATATGGAAAATGTATACCTGACAACGTTGGCATTTGACATTTCAAACTTCAATAGGTGAGCCATTATGCAGTATTATCACTGATTATTATGATTCACTGCATAATGTGCAACATCTATATTATTGACAACACTTCTGCAAATTGCAGACCATGTTTTTTTTAACATCAAAATGACTCATTTCCTGATGGTTTTTAAGTGATGTTGTACTGAATCACAAATAATAAGAAAAATAACTAAAAAACATACTTCTTTCAACCTGTAAATGTTTGCTCTCACTCACAGGTGGGTTTTCCTAAGCAAGAAAGGCTACCAGGAGACAGATGAGGCAATCCAGAGTTCAGTCATAACAAAACTAAAGGGAGTCTCAGTGACAAACACCTCTGAGTCTGGTCTGCTGGTGTGGGGACCGGAGGACTATGTCATCCCACCACAGGTTTAAATGAATATTGAAGCAGCTATGTCTATGACTTCACAGGGAATGATCACATCTGTCAGTGCACCATACCATGCTATTTAAAATATTTCAGACAGCGTTATGAAATGCACATACTGGTGGCTTTTTTCATGTTTGTTGCTGACACCCACTTGAACAACAGGCTGTAGCAGAGTCATGAGAGAGTGGTTTGACACCATCGGAAAAGTTAGACGACAGGATTTATCACCTCTGTGTAGTTAGAGACCACTGTCAGATGCAGGTCAGACAAACAGAGGTTACTGGCAGAAGGTAGGAAAAGCTGCTAACACTTTCTGATAGCTAAGAAAATGTACCAAAAAAGTGGGTGTGGAAGAAATTTTGAGGTTAACCTAGCTCAGCAGGGATGTAGGGTCAGATCACTATCATCATAATGCCACCACCATGGGAGACTGTCAGGATGAAGACTAATTTCTCGTGTTTTCTCGTCATATAGGGGGAAGCTGTTCTGTTTGTAGTAACCAATTTCTTGGAGACGCCTAACCAGAAGCTAGGATACTGTGCTGAGGTGAGACTAGTTTTTTTATTTTATTTATCTATTACAGATTTTTTTAAGCTTCTGTTGTTGTTTTTTTTTGGTTCATCTCATTTTCAGTGAAGAGCTAATAGTATCAGCAATTATTGTCTGTTAAAACCCAAATTCACTTTCACTTTAGACCGTGACAGTTGAAGAAACTTTGCTGCTTTAATTTTGGAAACAACCACATGATTAATTCAGTGAAGTTTAATCTTTGTCCTCATTTGACTTTATTACAGTATTTGTGACTTACTCAAGGCTGGATAGTCTTTTCTCTTTGAAGCCAATAAGCTGAAACTGAAAGTATGGATGAATTTTCACATTTTGAATACGCTGATGCCTTTATAAAAAATATAATGGCAATACATGGACCATCAACTGAAGTTACACTTGTTTTCAAGATAAGATTAGAGAAGATGAGATAAAGGTTTTAAAATGTACATAAAAGAGGATTAAACTCTGGCTGCTTTACTGATAATTGTAATTATTGTGTTCATTTACTGTTGCTGTTATTTGTCCCTTAATTCTTCCACTCTTTTGTTTCATTTATTGCCACAACTATGTCCTACTCTGAATTTGGAGACAAACTTGTTTGTTAACCTTGAGGTAACTAGTGCGTTTTCTGCTGTTAGTATTAGCTGGCTTGAAGGCATGCTGTGTTGAGTAGACACCATGTTTTCTTTTAGATTCAGACCAATTGAGTTTGTCCTAGGAAAACTTTATTTACTCTTCTTGTTTGAGGTTTGACTTTGTGTGACTATGGTAATAGGTTGGACTAGTAAAAGCCCTGAGCAGTGTTTAAAGTGTAAGGATAAACACAATAACAATACTTTTTTTATCACTTGTGTAACTTGATCTTAATTATTTTTCCTATAATGAAATGCAGTTTCAAGTATGCTGTCTTTGTTATCTATCACTTAAAGCTCCTGTAGGGAACTTTCAGCTCACCCCCTGTAAACACAGCAGTCTTTGCTTACCTTGTTCATTACATGCTGAAGTTGTAATTTATGACAAAAGTATCATCTTTGTCACCATTGACAGTCAAATGTAAAATATATATTGTGAATATTTTAAGTGAAATTTTAAATATAGGGGGGGTTCTTCAGCCGTCTGGTTGGCACCTACCTTCTCACACCAGTTTCAGGCATTACAGCGAAAAGCTTGTTAATCTTGTCACTAATGGTCTTGTATGCTTTTGACTCTTATAGAAAGGCAGTAACTTGAATGTGAGTCTGTTTCATAAACAGGAAAAAGCTTTAAACCAGTTGGACACCAGTAGAATCAGATATTTGTGCATATTTGAAAAATAGCAAGGTGGCAAAGATTTCTGTTGAATATGAGTTTAACAAATCAGACACATCAACAGCTTGACAGAAACACACTGTGAGGATCTTTTAAAGTTGTTATAGATCCTTTAAATCCCTTAAGTTTCTAGTGAGGAGATGTATTGTGTTTGAAAATCCGATGTAAAGGGGTGTATTTTATAAACTATTTAGAGTGCTCTCAATGGTCTTTAAATTGTGATTATGAACTTTTTAGCCCAAATCATGTTATCTGTGTCATTTTCAAAAGTTTTTCTTCTGCAGAGCTCCAGTAGTTCATTAGCAATTCGCCTCTAAGTCCTGGGTAGAGGCGGCACTGCCTACAATGTTAGGCTAGCTTGTAGCCTAACATTGCCAGTACAGCAGAAGTAGCAGGTAACAGCTCTCGGACACTGATGTCTTTGTGGACATGATGTACAATTAGCATGCTTACGAGCATTGCAATCTGCTACACCATACACTTGTTCCGCCATCGTCCTCATAATATGTCCTCTAGCATCAGAAAAATGCCGTATGAACATGTAGACAACAAGAAAACCATAATATTCATTGGAGTGGGTCTTTAATGGAGCTCGGCTAACTAGTAAACAACAACAACAACAAAAGATAATGGTGTACTGGGCATGGTAGTTAGAGCCAAAGGAACCTACCATGCACTTTCTTTAGCTCGCTTCTTTATTGTAGCGAAACACCCTCCCTGAGTGTAGTGGCCTATCACTTTGTTCATCTTTGTCTACATTATATCTGTAACAACAGAATGTCAGATGGTCACTGGTATGTAAACTCAGTCTCTTTGGTCTCATACCTCGCTGCAACTGCCAAGAGGAATGACTCAGACAAGAGCTGCACAGCCATTAAAAAATTAAAATAAACTTTTGTGTATATTCTGGTTCTCAGTGCCCCTGCGTCCAAAAGCCATCAGCCCTTGAGAGGGGCCCTTTAACAGTCCTGGGACATAAGTCAATCTGGCAGGCAACATGTAAACTGTTAAGCTGCAGGTCATCACTATTGATCCTAGCTGCTGACAAATCTGCATTTTACATGACTTTAAAACATCTCTATCACGTGTTAAAGATGATTCCTGCGTCATTATCATTCAACTGTCGATTTTTCTGTGGATGAATCTCAGGGCAATCATAAAGTTGACTCAATACAAATTACAGTCTATTCTTCTTGCTTTTTACATCTTTTTAATCTCTTTTACCCAGATATTTGCATCAGGTGTAAATATCAAAATGTCACTTTAAGAACCACGCGCTCGCTATCTGTGATGTTTGCTTCCAGAGTCCTAAAGTCCTGGATGGCCACTGCAGAAACGATGATGCGTGTGAAGAGGGAAAGATGGTGGTGGCTGGAAACGGTGAAAGAAATACGTTTTTTCTTAAAGTTGTATGCTTAGGCTTTCCATTCCTTTATCCATAGAGGATCAGAAAGAGGACGGCATAGGAAACCTGGAGAGGGAACAGGAAATGACATACAGGAAATTGAGCAAGAATCACAAGAACAGCACCTCCTGGAGACTGGTTGCAGTACAGGTCATAAATCCCGCCTCCTCCAGCAAACTTGAATGGAGCTGCGGACAAACTATAGAAATTTATTACACAGATTATAAAATTTTCTCCCCCCTGGTTGTGATGTTGACGTAGTTATTCTAAGACTGGTTTGTGCTCAAGTCCTCTTTTTATCTGTGCAGCTCCATTTTTAAAAGTTCCTAAGCGTTCATGTTTTCTATGATTGACACTTGATACAGCCTATGGGCGTATGAAGATTACATAGATCATCCAGGGGATTCGCTGAACGCTGCTGCAAAAATGCCAGTTTCAGAAAATGGATATCCCAAGAACAGTTTGACTACAATGACAGGAGGCGTAGCCACTTTATTCATACCATATACAGTCTATGATTTTAAACACACTGATTTGGAAAAATTGATGCAATATGTGTAACTGAAACTATTAAGTGCCTGAACTATTAGAAATAAAAAACAATCCAAGTATACTTCATTGAGAATTCATCTCTCAGTCTTAAATCTGTTCCAAATTTCACTGAAAAAAGGAAATATTCACAGAATGATCATGTTTTTCTAATGTAGATGAACCATGTTATTGCAAAAGAAATATTCAAGTCTTTTTTCTTGTCACTTGTGATGACATGGTTTTCCTTTCTCTCCTTTTTTGTAGGAATTATGAGCGGCCGATGCCTGAGAAAAGATAAAAATTCCACTGGTACCTGTGAAATCTACGGCTGGTGTCCTATTGAAAGAGATTTCAAACCCCGGTAACTATGTTTACTGATGGATTTCATAAATACACTAGTACAAAGGTGAAACCATGTTGGAAGCGGTTTAGTTTGGAAAATACATCACTACCAGAGGTCAGCCACCAACAAGTAATTTCTTCTTTCACAGAGAACCTCAGCTGGCAAATGCTGAAAACTTTACAATCTACATCAAGAATTTCATTCTTTTCCCAAAATTTGCATTTTCAAAGTAAGTCAGCACTCACGATAACCTCTCTATATACTGATTCACTGGAAACAGATGAGTAAGATGAGCAGTGCATGCATACAAACTCTGCTGTGCTCCTTTACTCCAAGGTCAAATGTTCTTGAAACAACTGATGGCTCCTATTTGAAGAAATGCCGCCATGATGAGGAGCTCCACCCTTACTGCCCCATCTTTCGCCTGAGAGACATCACCAGGCGAGCTGGTTACAACTTCCAGGACATGGCAACGTTTGTCAGTATACATTTTTCTTATTCTGAGTCATTAGTTGGTAAAGAGAAACTGATCTTAGAAGCCCAGGTGAAGGTTTTGGATTGGTTATGAAACTAACGTCTATCACCAGAGATGCCTCTTTATGAGTTATAAAAGCGAACAATATTATTAGCAGAAAAGGTAAAAACTGTGTTGCCCAAAGTTACTGCAGCTGTTAGACTACACAACTGACACTGCACTGAATTTATCCACAGCAAATATTCACAATGAGTGAAAAGACAGTCTGTTAATAAACAGCAAAAGGAGATTTTTTTGTCTACAAACACATGACGTTAGTAAAAAAAGGAGATTTATCCATTTGTCAACAAGGGGGCAACAATCTACAACAGAAAGTTTCTCACAGGAGCTTCAAATTTAAACCTTGTCACCATTTAATCATTTAAAGTCAAAACATGCAAAGAGACTCATCTGAGCTGGTAAAAGAATCTAATCCCAGCATCCTCAGTCATACTAGAAACTGTAGAAATCAGCAGCACTAACTGCTGCAACTGTTTGTACAAATTATGATAAAATCATTATGACATCTGGAGATGTTGTGGATCCGTGCATGGTGTTTAAATTGCAGTGATTGACTACACATTAGTTGTCTTAGTTAGTCTTACAATATTATGAGATTCTGACACTGGCAGTAAGGACATTAGAAATACTGTTTTTAGGAAGCCTGTCATACTTTGGTTAAATTTTGATTTTATTGCAAAGTTGATAAGTATTGCTCAGAAATCCATCTCAGTCAATGTTAGGGCCTGGTATGAGGAGCTATGGCAGTAAGCTGTATACCATGATAAAATGATATGTTTTAGGTTTTAGGAGTAATGTCTGTTATGATCAAATGTTGATTCTGTTTTTTTCAGGGCGGCTCCATTGGCATAATGATACAGTGGGACTGTGACCTTGATAAAGGGTACTCTAACTGCAATCCAGTTTATCATTTCACTCGTCTTGACATCAGTGTCTCCAACACAACCATTGCAAGGGGCTTTAACTTCAGGTGACACTCACTGTGAGCCCTGTCTGTCACTCTCATTTCAATCAATCAATCATCATCATCATCGTCATCATCATCTTTTTGTTATTTTTCTGTTGTCTTATTTTCTCTACAGACACACTCGATACTTCAAAAATGCTGCTGGTGAGAGCTACCGATCTCTTTACAAAGTCTATGGTATTCGATTTAACATCATGGTGCATGGAAAGGTAAATGCACTAGAAATTATTAACAATGATTAACAATTAACAAAGTAATATGCTGCATTCCTAGTAATATTTTAACAGTGCTTAGTAGTGTTTTTTAAGCAATTTGTTTTCTAGTTTGCTTAAGAAATTGATTTAAAGATGTCCAGTATGAAACCCTTGTTGATTTACATTGAATGAGGAATGGTGTGGTGTGGATTCATGTCAGCTCTTTGCTCTGTTTTGTGAAACACTGTAACTGCACATGTTCAGAATACACAAACAAGAGACATGATTTTAGTACTAGAAGTTTTTTGGTCCATTTTTAGTCCAAAAGGTTTTCACTGACAGTCAAAAGCCATGGACTGTAGGAAAATGGTCCATGTGGAAGCAGAAGGGATGCATAGCATTGGCCAAAATGCAATCCCAGAACTCTTTGGCTTTTATTCAGAGACAATCTATTTTTTATTGAACTACACAAACGGGTGTAGAAACAATTTCTAATGTCTCCAATCAAGTTGCTTGTCTTCTTGAAAGATGTCCAAGTTTGACTCTGCCAAAGTCTTTAATGTGACATTTTTTTCAATGATGAATGTGATTTAGCAGTGTAACTAAAGAAAGGTCATGCATTTGGGTATTAATCATTTGATGTGCTATTTCATATCAAAGTTGAAGTTGAGCATCCTTTGATTCTAATGCTGATAATGTCTAATACACATAGGCCGGGAGGTTCAGTATCGTCCCAACAGCCATCAATGTTGCAGCAGGTCTTGCACTGATGGGTGCTGTAAGTATCATAATTGAAATACTTTTTCTTTTTGTAAAAAACAAAACAAACTTTTTTATATTTAATAATTTTAAAACATGCATCAGTCAAATGACTATAAATCCTCATTTAACAGGGAGCTTTCTTCTGTGACATGGTCCTCCTCTACCTGATGAAGAAGGGCGACTCTTATAGAGAAAGGAAGTTTGAAGGATTCAGGGAAGAGAGGTAATACACAAGTACAGGTGCTGAATTTTTGGATATGAAATTGTAACGGGGATATTAGACCTCATGTCAGCCATTGAATTAAGAGAGTAACAAGACCTGAACAGGCCCAATAGTGTTTTTTCTGTCCAAGTATGGTGTAAGATGAGCGTAAAATAATTAACCTGCATTAGTCTGTCATTTCAGCCACATAAAATGAAACACTGTTGATGTGTTTTATGTTGACATGATAGATCAGGAATGTGGGAACAGCACTGGAAGTAGTTTTATGGCTGAGATCCTTGATAACAGCTGAGATTTAACTGTGCCTGAACAGAGCTATGTCATTAAAATACCCAGAACAACTTCCAGCTGCAAGTTAGAATATTAACCTCTCAAAGTTTGTTCACTTTATACTGTAAAAAGTTTGTAAAAAGACACACACAAAAAAACTTTTGCCTGCGTTATGTTAGAACAAAGTAGAGGTCCCTCCCCACTGCACATGCACTTGCTGTGTGCAGTTTTTGCAGGTCCAACACCCTACAACTGTGGAATCAAGACTAAAACTGTGCTCAAATCTTGTTGTCTGACATGCATAAATTACTTGCACAAACCTTAAGCCTATTTTGGTGATTGAATTTAGTATTTGGCTTCTCTATGACAAGCTTTCGATGTTCAAAATTTTCACTTATTTCTTTCTAAAACCTGTCTTTGTTCCACAGCAATAGGAAATCGTTGTCTGAAGACACATCTGACAGAAAAGATGTAGAGGAGCAAGAGAATCTCAAATCTTAGACTATTCGAAACTTGAACTTGGTTTTTAAACAATGAGTAGAATCTTGCTGTATTGATAAATCTTTTTTAAGAACCTAACTTGGTTAGTAAAATTTGTGAGGTAATGTACTTGTTTGGCCTTGTAAAGTAAAAGAAAATATTCGCTCAGAGCATGTCCTCTAAAACTGAATGTTTAGCTAAAGCTTTATGATGTGTCAAGTTCGTTTTAAAAAATAACAGTTGTTTTAGAGGCTTTTTTAAAAATAATATGTTTTATATCTTTGATGTATTGAGTTGTAAAATTTGTTGGAGATATTAAGAATAAAAATGTAATATTTCAAGTTTGTGTCATGATTAATTGACTGCACGGATTTTTAAGAAGAAACTTTTTAATGGTCTTTGTAATGTTTGAGTCAAGATAGTAATTCTAAGATGAATACAGAGATGCCATCACTATTGTATACTATTTCAGTGTTTATTTAGACAACTGCATACTGTTAAATTGTGTATATCTATTTTGACCTTTATTGTTTGTACTTATTGTCAAATATATGAATAACATCTCTCACATCTCTGAATCAAGTTAAAGGGTAAAATTTTTAGTTTTAGTTTTTTAAGTTTTTATAGGGATGGTTCAATATCAATGACAACATGAAGTATTAAATCATTGCATGACTAGAAAAGTAAAAAAACAACCGCATTGTCTTGTAATTCCCTATTGTTGACAACAGATGTCAGGAAAAGACAACTTCATCTGTAATCCAGAAAAAAGGGCCTCTGCTCAGGCTGTTTATCCACATATGTTTTCCATTTAAACCTGAACTTTAGAGTTCAGATTTATTTAATATTGTTTTATTATGACATGGCGGACCAACTATTACTGAAAGCAAAAATGACTGGATAAGCCTTAAGTTTTGAATCTGTACAGTACTTGATGTTGTGAGGCTAAAATGAAGTAAGAACATCCTAGAATATTTTACTTCTCTTCCAAGAGGTCATAATCTGGAGTAGATGCAGAGGACCACAACAAAGTGCAAGTGTCTGACAGTGTGGGGATGAAAAACAGCTCTGATATACAAATGGTTCATACTTAAGTTTGTTGAGATTTTACTTTCATTTCAGATTTTGTAGCCTCATGCAGTGTTCGAACTGAGGTGAAGATATTTTTTCAATTTATACAGATGCAAAAGTGAACAACATTCATTTCTGAGGTTTTGTATGGTGAGCATGTTAAGTCCATTCTCTTGATAATAAAACTAGATAAACGTGCAAGCGCTTGGCAACAGTGACAGGGGAAAAAATCTCTTTAAATGGTCAGAAACCTCCAGTGCCAAACCTGATTACTGTCTTAAGTTGAAATAAACAGGTCGAGCAGGCAGAAGATAGATGTTTTTTTTTTACCTGTAGAAAGCAAACACCGTAAACTTTATGAACACAGAATCTTGTACTGAAACTCCTGTACTCAAACTTGCTGAGTGCAATTCCTTCTCTACCAGTAACAGAGATCAGTATGAGTACAGAGCTGATGTTATTTTAAGCATTGAGGAAGCTGTGCGTCACTTTCATGAATGCTGTATCTGTGCCACGATGTACGGTAGATTCTGACGATTCTCCTGAAATATCCAACTGTTTTTAGAGAGACGAGAGGGAGTTAACTGTGGATGTATAGTTGGCTAAAGTGCCTCAGTCAAGCATAGTCTTTTTTAGTAAGAGGCTCAGATACAGATCGTTCAACTGACCAAAACCCTATTGCTGGGATAGATTGAATATATGTGGTAAAGAATTGCTAAAATTTTCCATTTCTGGCGCCACATAGAGGGACGCCAATTACAGCAGCTGTCATTCATTCGGGGGTCTTTTCCACTTTTTACCTTTTGAGTTCAGTGATACTTCTATCTATGACAGACTATCTATTACACTTGCAATGCCCACATTTTTCCTCAAGTAATCATTCAAATGATGTGCAGTAATAAGTCCAATTCTTTTTTGTTGTTGTCAGAGCCGGCCTAAGCCTCAATGGGGCCTTAAGCAAAATTAGATTTTTGGGCCCTCTATTTCTGCCAATAATATTGATTGTTAATCATTCACACACCTTCACAAATCTCTTTGGTTATTATTCCATGACATGCAAACATACCTTTATCTTGGCATTTTTTCTCTTATTCCTCTCTCTTCCTCTTTCTTTTCTCTGCTTCTGTAGGATACGTCCGTACGACATTGTTTTGCACCACAACTACCTGCGCTTTGAATGCTCAGATATATCGGCAGTAAAAATCATAGGCCTACATCAGCAGCAGCACTGAAATGTTTTTACTTTATATGCTTTTTACAATACTATATTACTATATACAATTTTATTTATTTATTTTTTATTTTTTTAATTGCTCTTGGGGGCCCCCTGTTGGCCGGGGGCCCTAAGCAGGCACTAAGTTTGCTTATGCCTTGGGCCGGCTCTGGTTGTTGTTGCTGTTGTTTTTAGTTTTGTAGCTGCTTGCATTTTTTCTGTTTTTTGTTTGGGTCCAAGTCAACTTTTGTATTATTATCTGTGCACTGTGTGCATGACGAAGGTACTATTTCTTCTATATTTGCTGTGCTGATCATTTGCTGCTGTTAACACTGCAAATTTACCCACCATGGGATGAATAAAAGTTGATCTTATCTTAAACTGCCTTTGTCCTAGATGAGATTGTGTTTAAATTGATGGTGTTTTTGATGAAGAAACTATTGTAGTTCTGAAAAGGAGCTATGATGGGAGAAATTTTTTCTGTTTCTAAAATCCCAGTTTCCCTTTCTCAATGAAAGACAACAGTCTTAAAATCTGTGTGAAATATTTATCACTTGCGTGAGCTGGTGTGCCATTGTGTATCATTAAAAAGCCTTTTAAAGTCATGACAAGGCGATATCAGAAAACATGAATCAACCCAGCCTGTCTGTGTATTCAGAAAGAGGAACTTTTTGTCAACAATCAAAAGAAAAACGTTTGGTTCAACTTGCTCAAATTGATAGGGAGATGTCTCAGAATCTATGTTTGTGTTACGTGTTAAGCTCTTCGTCACAGCATTGTTTTTGTAGTTCATAGAGATGCAGTAGAAAGGGCAAATGGTTAATGGGTGGCACACAGGGCAAGCTACTTATAAATAACTCTATCCAACCAAACAAGCTTTGTTGTTGTCTTGTTATGGGAGCTGTATTTCCTTGATGGTTTTACCTGCCAAAACTTAGACTTGCTTATTCAGAACCAGTTTTAAATCATGCAGCTGACCTTGTGAAGTCTGTAATATGGTCAGACGCTATGTGATTCATATTGCAAGCCCAAAGTTTATTTGCACTTTAGAGTAACAAATAAAATTGTCAATATTTAACAGGCGATGGTGAAAAACTATTTGCTGATCTACCTGTCATGCCACATTCCATACTTTTGTTGACCCACATACGAATGTATGAACCAGGTAGGTTTGGTAGGTGTTGCCTTCTCTTAAGGGATAATGGACTTACCGGAATATCTGACAACAAAGAATTATAGACTTACCGGAATATCTGAGTACAAGGAAGTACACAACTTACTTTCATAGGATGGCCAATGGTGTGTTTTCCCAACTGCAAGTATAAAAGCGCATTTCGGAGTGAGACCACACATCCGCCATCATGAAGGTCCTGCTGCTCACACTGCTGCTCCTGCTTTGTTGCACTCAAGGTAAGAGAACTTTGGCTAGCATTAAGTTTTTATGAACAAAAGTAAAAGTAAAAATACCTTAAAGCAAATATTTTTCTAAAATAAAAGCTTTAATTGATTACTTGCATTTTACACAAATGGAAAAACAACGTTTCTTTGGCAGTAGAAAGGGAACTGTTTCTCTTAACGTTTTTGATCTGTTACCTCATAACCCTTTAATGCCTTTTGTATCATATTTGATACTTTTATATACTTGTAGCAAATCAATATAATCAACAAATTACTAAAAAAACACCTGAATACAGTCTGATAAATGATTAAAAAAATCTTGTAGTTTATAAGTTCCCAAAAACCTCTAATTTATCAAACAAGATAAATAAATATATTTATTAAATTTTAAGGACATTTTGATTTCTGGGGTTTTCAGTAGTAAGTGAAATAAACATTTCAGCTCCAAAAAAATTTGGATTTTCTGACAGTAATTTGTGGTGTCAGGCATTAAAGGGATGATGCTGTTTTAAATGTAAACTCATTTTTGTGTTTTCTCATCAGCGTTCAGCATACAATGCTTCAGCTGCACCGGTGCAGATGACACCTGTACACAAACAGTATCCTGTGATTACTCATGCAAAGTTGAAAGGACAAACGGTATGTAGAAGGTTATTTTGTTCTTTTTTTTCCCACAGAGACTTTAATATTGGAAAGGTGTAGTCATAGCATCTCTTTGTTTATTACAGGTGGTAGTGTTCGGCGTTCCTGTGCTCAAAACTGTGTGGAAGACGGGGATCGCATAACCTGCTGCAATGAAAGTCTCTGCAATTCACCTTAGGCACCCTTTGGCTTTCTGACAATAAGAAAATAATCAAATATAATCTTAACATTACAGAGATTCTTCGTTGATTCGACAGATTTAAATCCTGTGTTTGATTTGTCTTGCTGTAATGCAGTTCTTGCATCAAAATCTACAAATGTTGAATTGTCAACCATGATAGTCACAGCAATGAATTTTGTAATGACATAGTGCTGGGCAGCGGGGCAACTACACACATGCACACAAACACACACTTAATCCAGTCATGATGTCACTTAGTGGGTCACTGCGACAGCCTCATATGTGGGTCGCTCACTGTCTCTGCCGCAATGTAAAGCTGGGAGTCATCTGTATTGAAATCATTCTTGTAAATAAATAAATCTTTTAAAGCTCAACACTTCGCTTCTGCTGTCTTTTGTTGCTGATGATAGAATTGATAATAAAAATCTCTCTCATTTCAAGAGTTGAGGGGCTGACTTTGTTCGGCACAACTAAAGACCAGCTTACTGACGCTCACATGGTTTAATAATAATAATAATAATAATAGAAAGAATAATAATAATAAGATTATCTTATGGCTTATTTAACAAAATGTGTGTTTACAAAGTGCGTTGACACACAAGCATGCATATACATTAGAGCAATTAGAGTCCTGTGCATGTATGGACAGGACTGGCAGAGGTGTGGTCAGGGGTGTGTCCAAGCGGACTTGGCTAAATTGGTGAGCAGCGCGGCCCTGCGCAAATACACCCCCTTCCCATCTCAGCCCTTCCGTGCCTCGGTGCGTTTGCCCCGTGGCCCTAATTATGACATCACATAAAAGCAAATCTATAAAAGAAGTGACTGAAAAGTTTCAACTTATTCTACAAGCCGTATCTCATCAGGCAGATCATTACAGAGTCAAGGGGTCCTCATGGAAAAGGTATATGGTAACCTTTAATTTTAACCCTGGAATAGCCAAGAAGGCGCTACGTGAGGATCTAGGGTGATGAAACAAATATCCAGTGTTATAATCACCATAAAAGCCCCACTTTCTGATGAAGGGATTGTATATTACATTGTTGTGATCCACTTGTACATAAAAATATTTTGAAGCACTTAATGAGACCCAAAAAAGAATTTTACTTACAGACATATTCAAAGTTGTCGTAGTCATATAGATACAGGCTGATGAAGTATGCATCTTGCCTGACAACATTCATTGGCCCATGAGGGAGGGACTTGGTTACACCTTGTCACTGGCAGGTTACTGGCAGCCTGATCCCATGCCAGGAATCGAAACACATACAGAGCACATGAATGGAATGTTGCGAAGAACTTGTTCTCACTTCAAAACTTGCGGTTTGTTTTGACTTAAATGACAAAGGCACAGATAAACATCACAATAATGAATAGACTGGGCTTCAACCTGCAGTCAAACGAAACAAAACAAAGTGTGAGGCATTATGGAGGAAATGGGAAGTACTTGTAGAGTTTAAGTGTTGTATTTAAACTTGACTTTTATCTGGGGGGTTTTGGTGCGACATCGTGTTTGAGCAGGAAGTAACTCCTACTCATCTATCTCCAAAGAACTATCAAAGATTTTTGTGTGTTGAGAACTGTAGTTGCAACAAGGATCCTTGGATTGATGCAGATGTATGATTCACTGACCTACCCACAGAGCAATAGACGGCTATTAGACATCTGGTTCTTGTTAGACCTAATTTCAACCATCTAGATTCTGTATATTTTTAGACAGAATTTAGACGTTGCACTTTAACCCATTATTCAATAACTATTTATTTCAAAAAGCAACTGTGAGTTGCATAACTGATCTCCAAGCACTTGACCAAAATAATTATGATAGCCGTTGAGCAATACGCAGTTGGACCTCTGTTAGCTGGTTAGTCCAAACTTTGTCTAAATTTAGACGTCTAAAAAACTTTCATTTTTAGACCTGTGGTAGCCTGATTTTAGACCAGTCGTCTAGGCTACATTTAGATGTCTATTAGACCTCTTTTAGACCCAAAAATACTCAGTGGGTACACTGAAGGGTTGAAATTTAATTGGGCGGATTTTTTTTTATGACAACTATTTCATGCTTAAAATTGTGTTAACTTAAATTTATCTGGCATTCTTAAAGTTAGTCAGATAAACCATACAATATTACATGTATGCGCCTAAGAGGAACTTTCTGTCAGTGTTGATTTTGGCGCCCCCTGTGGACAGAGTAGGAACAGCTACTTATTTTGCTTTGTCCCTTATGAACGCGTTATTAATTGACAAAAAAACGCCTCTCTCTGTATTTGAACAGTGAAATTTATCGCTCACTATGAACATTTGCTGTGAAAAAAAGTCACAAAAGCTGCTTCTTTCCTCTCATGGCAGTTACAGACGCTAAACACTACCATGTAGAAACTGTCTGTTTCATCGTCAACAGGTTTATTTACTTCTGCATTGAGTATAACTCTAAACCTCGTGAATCACTACACTCATAACAAATCATACTGTTATGTCAGTGTAAAAATATAGGTCATATGTGTTAATCTCTCCATCTGTTTCTTCCTTACATTAGAGCAGCTCAGACATTAGAAGTGGAAGATTTGTGGATTAAAAGATCATAACCTTTTACGCATTATTTGTTATTGGTTTAAACACTTATTTTTAAAAATATCACAGAAACTGAACAGATGACTTCTGGCTAACTGTTAAAACTGAATATATGCATCAAAATCTGATATTTTCAAATCATTTTTTACTGATTTCTAAAAAAAGAAATGTCATGATCTGGATTTTTTGTGGCTGTGTACACAAAGAGCTGCGGCTTTAAAATACAAAAAGAAGCCTGCTCAGTGTTTGGTGTCTATATGAGGAGCTGACTGCATGGTAGATTCTTAGAAGTGGATTCTTCACATCCTGTCTGACATCTTCTTGTCTGCCTTATCAGATACAAACAAAATTCATCCCCTTTCTTCCATTACAGTAAGGATTTTGATTTCCATTTTTGTGAACCTACTCCTTTAACTGGTGGAACTTATGTGGTTTTTTTTTCTATTTCTTTCAGTTTTGATCTGTCCAATTTAGTGAGAAAATTTTTAAAATAGTGCAAGCTTGAGGTCATAGTCAGACTTAACTTTTGTTGTCAGAGTATCATCTTCAGGATAGGGAAGAGTGAGATCTTTCTGTTTAAGTATTGCATTTCAGGATAGTGCTTTTAGCTTAAAACTTATATTTTATGCTACTTTCTCTCTCCAGTTATGTTCATGTCCACTGGTTTTATTTTAGCTTAAAGGTTTACAGTATAGAAGCATACAGTTATTTCACATGGCATCCTATCCAGCAGTATTGATGCGTTTGACTCAAAGTTCAGCTAACATGAGGGAGAACTGTCTGTATTTCTTTGTCGCCCCTTAATCATCCCAACTCGGACTGAATTATCTTTCCACTGACCCCGACCCAAAGCCTGATTTCCAGACCAGAGACCACTGGTTTAAAGCAGAAGTAATTAAAGGAGAGAATTGTTTCCCCAGTATTCAAAAGATCCTCTTGCTGAAGCAGCTGTTTACATTTGCTTACAAACTGATGGATTTAGACTAACACTGAAATTAGACAGGACATTTGGTCTTTTCTCTGGAAACATGTTTTTGAGCATTTTGGTTATATCAATTCAGAAATTCTCCTGAAGTAATATTTTGTCAGCAGGACTCTTACTTGTAATTGACTTCTTCAAAGTGAAGGTTTCTTCTGAGTGATGGTTTACATCAAACATACAGTGTCTGTGAGGCATCCCCGCCCCTCAAATAAAGATTTAAAACAAAGAGTTATCCTTTTGCTCAACCAACGATGGCCCTGTAAGTTCTGATCTAGCTGCTGGTAGAGTAATGGTGGTCCATCTATTGGATTAGTGGAGGGATTTCACTGTGGTATTAATCTGAGAAGACAGCAGGCGGCCCAGGCTGGGCTCACACTCAGCTGTTGTGTCTCTCAGTCTCTGGCTGTCACTCAGCGTGCTTCATCAGACTCACAAACACAACCAGGACACCTCTCGGTCGAGATGAACCTTTTCTGCTTTTCACTGGTAAGACTCACTTTAATTCTGGCGTGTGTCGCTCTGTTACAGAACAGCAATCCTCACCCTGAGATACAAATGTGAGCTTGGTCTCAGGCAGAACATTTGTTTCTGTAAATCAAAAGATGCTGTGGAAGGAGGTGTAGAGTGAGATGATGTATGGGATGGGATGATGTATATGATAGTTAGCACATTATTTCATTCTTGGATTAGAATATTAATCATAATAATGAGTTAGTGAACCTTTGAAGTGACTTGTTGTTGTTGACTGTCAGATTATGAGCTGTGATATGAAGTAAATTTCTGCTTCTTTTGGACAAATCGCATCTCATCTGTTTCAAAATATAGCAATTTGAGCTTAACTCACCCGCCTTATTTGGATTTATCATGTTAGACATATGTTATTTTAAAAGAGATACAAGAGAGTAGAAGAATAAATGAAAACAAAAAAAAGGGGGTTTGTTTATGGATGTTGATAATCAAGCTTGCAGCAGCGCATGTACGCACATGCTCCACTCACGCATATGGTTCCTCAGATGCTGCTGCAGCTGTCACACTACACGTGGACATGTAGGACATGTATAAGGACACTTGATTTTAGACAGATGCTGACCAGTAATCAGGATTATTAACTCACATCTTGCTGCAGGAAACAGAGAGTTGAATAGCGGTTACATTTTTTGTCCTTTTCTGATCTTCTCTGTTTCATTTCACATTGACAAGAAGTGTCTTTACAAACTCATTTTTTTAAAAGTCAGAATTGTTTCGGGTGCGTACATAACAAGAGAGACGGATAAGAGAGCAGGTTTGTTCAACAGATGGTGATTGTTTGCAAAAAAAGACCCTCGTTTGTTGTGGCTGAAATGACTGTCAGAGCAGAAATAAAAGATCACACAACAACAAGAGATGGATGAAAAGAGAAATAGAAATGCTTTCCAAGAAGAAATCCAAACAAGCTCAACATATTTTAATCTGCAATGAAATCTGTTCAGAGGAATTTCAATTCACCGTAGGTTACATGTGTCCCCTGTTAGTTGTGTTTTTTCTTTTTTGGGGGGACCAAGCAACACATGAAAACATTTCCTGACACAGATACAGAGTGTCTGCAATCTGCTTGACATGCACACACCACTGTGTATTTCATCATAAGTACACATAAGACTTAATCCATCAAGATAGATTACACTCATTCATAAATCATGTCTGCTGCTAAATGTGCTCACAGTGCTATCTAACACGTCTATCTGACTGTTCCTGTCACATCAGGAGGGCTCTATGGACAGCCTGTATGAGGTGGTGCAGAACTCCGGTGATGGTCCACCTCTGCCAATCCCCAGCCGATCCTCCAGCCGCTCATGCAGCCGTTCCTGTAGCCCAGCAGTCCTTCTAGATGATAACACCAAGTGGCGAGGGTCTGGGAGATCCATTTCTATGGTGGGAATAGCAGAACCTGAAACACCAGACACCTGTTGTACATTTTAATCATGTTAAAGTGGGCCTGAATGACTCCAAGACACCAGCACTTATCAGACAGTACTGTTTAAGCCTGTTTAAGGAAGTCAGGGTTTTAATCGTAAAGTTAAATTATGACATATTTGACTTGAGTCGATGAAAGATTTATTTTGATCAGTCTAGTTCAAAGTGAGAGAAACATATCCATTTTTTTCTACATAAGCACTTACTGAAATCTGACTGTTTTCCTCAGGAAATACCACAAACACAAGGGATCAGCTCTAAAAAGAAGAAAAGACGGTAAGACCCTCACAGAATGGATTATTTACATTTTTACTATAGGTGCTCCTTAAAAAAAGACTAACGAATAGCAGGAAAGGCCTTGTGATCCTGCCAGGAATTAAGGATGGAGCTGTTTTGTCTGCTTCTTGATTCTTTTTACCGGGTCTGGGTGCAAAAATCTACCGTGCAAGTGAAAGGGCTTGACTAGATACGACTTTAAAGGCTTCCTGTTTATTTTCACAGAGGGTTAATACTTTAAACCCTTCCTGCAGCAGAGCAGGCTGGCTTTTCATCCTTTCCTTTTTATACAATACTTGGGGAGGGGGGTTGACAGCCCATTTGAAGATATGACTATCTATATAGGAAGAGACACAAATTCTCAAGTATGATTGGAAGTTATTTGTTTTTGAAAAGCAGGGCCCTGTAGACTTTTTAGCTACCAGAAGGCAGCTTATGGCCATGGGCTTGTTGAACTAAGCAGATTTAAGGCCCACCTACTTAAAGTCTGCGGTCTTTTTACCACCTTTACTTACCTGACGTCATTTGAAAGAAACAACTTTGGTGTCACATGATGCCCCCTCAATCCATAGGATTATTGTAGGTTTTATTGTAGGATTTGTATGTCTTCTTGAAGCCAGTTTCTATTTCTCTTTTTTCATCAATTAGACAATCATAACTTTGAGGAGCTTCAGATTAATATCTGTCTGTTTGTTTGCTTTTCCTTCAGAACACACGTAAGAAAATCGGTATCAGATAATGAAACCCTTGGTAAGCAGAAACAATTTTCTCGTTTTGTTTGTGTTGTATTGATTTGAGGGTTGCTTGGCTATGAAATGTAGTCTGACAGCTGGATCAAAATGAAAGGTTATTTATTTCATCTGTGTTTTATTGTAATAGTAACATAGTTGCCAAACTCTGGAAGAAAAGACATCCTGACACCTTCACCTTGATTCATAACCCAGAGAGACTGCAGTAAAGTCCCTCAACTTTATAAAAGCTTCAAAATCCTTTTGTGTATGATTTAGATTTAAACCTCCCGTCCTAATCTACAAGCTGCATGTCCATGACTTAGAAAACAATTTCTGTGACCTCCATTCGCTCCGACTTTTCACTTAAAAACCCTCAATGATTGTGATTGGTCTCCGTTTACAGCAGATAACCCCGGCTGTAATACTGCAGTTTGGCAGCCCGCCAAGAGCCAAGAAGATTTAGTCCACATCACCAACAATCACAATGAAGGTAAATGGGAAATAAGTAGGTCAAGCTCATCTATATGCCAATGTTCATTTTGACTCTCAGCGGGACGTCTGAGGTCATGACTTTGCCTTTCAAACACCAGCATTACGTCTCAAACTATAAAGTGTTTCGTGGCCTGCAAAGACGGTTTATAGTATAACAGAAAAAGCAGTGGTAGACCTTTTTCTTAACCCTAGAACACGATCGCTAAAATTAGTAACACCATCACTATTGCCGATGATTTTTACCCGAAAAAATATACCCAAGAAAAAGTACTTGTCATCAAAATATATCAAATTAGGACGATAGATGACAAACTAAAGTAGTTTTCTTTTATTTTTAACTGTTCAGTGTCCAAAGGGAGGAAAATAAGTGCCATGAGGGGACCATAGCAACAAAATAGCTGAAATTAGGAATTTATGAACAAACAGTTCCTAAAAAAAATTTGTATATAAACTGTAAACTTAGTTTCTTTCCACCTGTTCCTGGTGAATGTGAGTCTTCCCTGGTGAAGACTCAGGGTCCTTGGCACAATAACAGCTGCAGGAGAGAGAACCAGAATATGTCATATTTTAAGTGAGTAAAAATGACTAAAATATTTCTTATCACCATATGAATTCCCTTGAAAATCACCACTTTGTGATAGTTATTTACAACCACTGCACTAAATAAAGGTAGCATGCAAATTCAAGGACCACTCTTACTGACTTATTCCCACTTATTCCCTACATGCAGCTATCAAATCTACCTAAACCTGCTCTACCCTCTATCACTATTGCTGGGTGAAAATCACTTGTAGGAGAAAGCAGGTCTTGGATCAGGGAAACAAACATGCCCTCAAAGATGTCAAAGGCAATGCTGAAGCTACCCAGGGACCCATGAAACTCAGACAAATGCAACATAATGAAAATCACGTAACATGTTTGGTCGGGCGATAGTGTTCTCGGGTTAATATTCTTAGGAATTCATACTTATATAACCTTTCAAAATGTGTACAACGCTTCACAAAACTGTTATAAATTGCAGTTTGACAGGATAAGTTAAAAGATAGTCATGGTAAAAGGGTAATGTGACCTTGCAGTATATACAAGCCTCATATTTTCTTCAGCGGTACGAATGGGAGCAAACGAAAACATGTTTCAGTGTTCATGTGACACTTGTATTTGTTTGACAACAGGTTTAAAAATAGCAAACCTTTCCTTTAATCCGCAGCATTACAGCATACATGAACAACCAGGCCCTTCTTTTTAAGGTTTGGTTCTGGGTGTTGGTTTTCACTCACCTAATGAGATAAATACTTTACATCTTTGTGTCTCCCTAGAGACAAGGAGAGCAAAAAACAGAACAGAAACCAAAGAGAGGAAAGGAGCTCATCACCCTGGCACAAAGAAAAAGGAGAAACCACCACCAAGTCAGGTCTGGATAAAATTTTACCCTCCAAAATCATTGGATGGATATTTTCTCTCTGCCGTAACTATCATGTGACAACACAGGGGTATTCCAACCTCTTCTTCTGGCTCTTGTTCGTGATTGGCATGGGTGTGGAGTAATTATCATTAATAAGTCATTAACAGTTGACACAAGAGATGTGGAAGAACACGTTTCGGTCCTTGGTGTTGTTATTGACGTTTGAACAATCTGTGCCAAGAGGGTCAGTCCTCAATCATGGTTGACTCATCTGCGCTAACGTAATTAAAATTGACTATTAGCGGTATTGTGGCAGTAAGCTTGCTTGTCACGTGACACATGAGGCCATTTTGTGTCAACCTGAGCTTTAAGCTCTCACCTGCTCACCTTGGTGAAAATAGCATGACAAACTATTGACAGGCTGCCACTTGCTTGTCACGTCTAGGGATCTGCTGGTGGCCGTGATGTTGCAGTTATTTAACGCAAATGCTGATTGGGTCTTAATACGTGGCAGATGTTCCAAAGAAGGGTCTGCCCTTTCTCTGTATAATCTCAAAACCGCATGACAGAGAGTAATGGAAAAGCAAAATACTGTAAGGACTATTGTTGTGTATTAGGTGGGGAAGGTTTAGAGATCTGATGCCAGGCTTCTGACTAATGCCTTTTCATCGTAATGGATCAACAGTAGTTCTCTATGTGGTTGTTCTGGTACAAGGAGTGGTGACCCAAATTGCATCAGTATTATTTTTTTCCAGTATTTGGCATAGACTGTATATAGAATGGACGCCGTCTGCCTCCTCGCTGGGTAAAGCCACCCTGAGAACAGCACCCTCTGGTGACAGGCTGCAGTATAGGTCATAAATCCCACCTCCACCAGCCATCTGTATCGGGCTGTGGACAAACTTATGAAATTTATTACACAGAATATAATCTTTTTTCTGTACAGCTCTGTTTTTAAAAGTTATTAAGGGGTTCATTTTTTCTTCGATTGACACTGGATACAGCCTATGGGCATATGATGATTGTGTAGGTCACCTGGGGAATACGCTGTTTAAGCCGAGTGTCATCCCAGTGACTCCCGCCAAATATGTACATTGCTACTGCACAATGTTGGTTTCAGGAAGTGGAGAAAAAAACGCAGAATTAACGAGAGCTTTTCGGCTTCAAATCTGTATACAGGCGGAAGGTGGAACCAAGTTGTCCGTAGTATATACAGTCTATGGTATTTTGTCAAAAACCAAAGTTGTGGAACAGTTTGAGTTTTAACTGGTGATTGTTCTGATCGTGTCCACACACCATTGTCCTTTGGCAAGACACCTAACCTTTCTTTTACTTCCATTAGTGGCTGCACACAGTGGTGTGTGAATGGGATTAATCTGTACTGATAGGTGCTTTAGTGACCTCTGTGTTCAGTGTATGAATGTGGTGTTAATGTGTGAATGTGACACTTAATTTAAACGCATTAAAAATGGTCAGAGGACTAGAGGAAGCAAGCAGCCTTTTGACCATTTACTGTAGTATTGTAAAAGTTATCTGCAAGTGATATAGGGAAATGAGGAGCTTTGTATCAATTCTTATGACACTCCATCTGAAGGTAGCTAAGTTTGTTCAATGAAACCAGAAATGCCATATTCAGGACAGAGCTAGAGAGGGCAAGATTTCGAGGAAAATATGAAAAGAGACAATACAATATAAAGGAAATAATATGAATATAGTTTCTGTGTTGACAATTTTCCAGAGCACAGCTGGTGTGACAACAGAGTTGAAACCTACTGTCAAAAGAACCCAAAAGCCTGCAAAGAAACCAGCTGGAAAGGGAGGAAAAGAAGCACCAAAGAAAACTCACAACTCCACGGGTAAGAGTGTTTTTCCGGGACTTCTCTTCTTCAGGGTATTGTCCTTTCTGAACTTTCTGTGATCAGTAATCCTGAGTGACCAAACTATGACTAGCTCAAGCTTATGCTTACACCAGCAGAAGAGGCCCATGTACAATTTGTCAAAATATACCAACTTAAGTTCATGACTTTCCTGCTCTAAAGATAGCTGAGTCATACTTCTGCTTTTACATATTACAACATAGATTTCTGTGGTATTTCTATAGGAGAAGTACAAAAAAAGAGGGTTTTAAACAAGAAAGTGTTAAAACCACATTCAGGTGATAAAGACAAGAGTCCCTACAAACTCCAATTGGCCTAGTTGGCTATTTTTAAGTTTTAATCAAGTGTCTTTTGATTCATTCAGCCAACTGAACAAAGTTTAGTGAAGATCTATAACATTTCAATTTGGCAAATGAATAACTTTGCATGATTTACTGCTCAAAAACTTATTATTTATCTTATTTTACTTATCTTTCCCATGCCCAACCAGTGCCTGGAAATGATTTCTTTTTGCTGCTCAATGTAGCTTGCGGGTGTTTCTTTTCTCACAAGACACTCCTCAAAGTCACGCCTTAAAATATCTGAGGCTACTCATTGCTGCAGTGTTACTTACAGCTTACAGGTCCAAGCTGTCATCTGAGCTCTTTACAGATGAAATAGTCCTAGCTTTCACTGACTTTGTTTACAAAGCGCATCTGTGAAATGACGAGTACAAACAGCATCAATGTGGCTGTTGTTGTCCAGAAACATAAAAACTTGCCACCAAAAGGAGACCTTTAAGCAGTTTTCCTAGACAACAAACTGCAAAGAAGAGTAAAAAACTGAGCTGTGAAATTGACCTTTTAAGTTCCTCGAGGCATGTCTTCGACAGAGCTGCAGGGAGGATGATCCTTTCACATTATCTTAGCAGGACAGCAGAGTTTGACGTCAGGTTAATGTCTTGTAATGCCTTGCGAAATTACTAGAAAAAGCTGTTCAGAGAAGTTTGAGTCAAGGCTGGAATGATTAATCGATGACAACTTTGCATGAGGTTTAACATGGACATCCTACATTCTGTTTATGTAGTATCATATCAGATTAATCATTCTGCTTTTAGTAATAGATACGGCCAGGATGGTGACCCATTGAGCCTATAGTTCTCACTTGCATTTGCTGAGAAGACTGCACCAGTAGATGATGTTTTCAATGCACTCAGTGGACCCAGCTCTGATGTTGACTGCAGGCTCAGTCAGTTGCATGTTTGCCAAGAACAGCAGGGCTAGGGTTGCAGTTTCTTTTGTAATAAGGAGTTTTAAACATTCAGTGTTTAATTTCCCTCATAGAGAAAATTTACTGAAAATGAGAGAATTCCAAAAACTTGCAAAATGTAATTGAGAATAGTGCATCTCTGAGTCCCTCAGTTCAGATGAGAAAAGGTTCATCACTCTATGAGAGACTGAATGGGGAAATAGTTCAATATTTTCTGAATTGATATACTGTACTGGTATAAAGTTGAATGAAAATTTGGGATTCATAATCTAGAGAACATAATATATTTGAAAGATTCAGGGGGTCTAGAGGAATCTCTGCACAAAAGAGACAAAGCCCTAAACCAGTTCTGAATGGCTGTGGTCGTATGGGCCCCTTTAATGCTTAAAAAACTGACGTGATTTTAGTAGAAACCATCTAATGCAAATTACTTCCAAAAAACATCCTCTGTGTACACAGTTTGTCTGTGCATCCACTAATACAGGTTAAAACTGTACTATGTGGAGAGAAAACTGCAGAAATACAAAAACGATCCAGAAACTCTGGAGACCTCTCTGAGCCCAAACCCTTGAAGAACTGAGCTGGAAAACTGCAGTCTGACATTTTTAAAATCTGACACTCTTTTTTTGAAAATGATGGATGCTGCATCCTTTGCTCTGATGATGAGAGGAACCACTAGTTTTTCATCAGCACACAGTTAGAAAGCTTTTATCTGTGATGGTACCATTAAAAATGTGGCAAGTCATGAGACCAAACATATTCCATAAAAAGAGGCACCAAACTGTTGATCAGCTGAAATCCTTTATAAGGCAAGAATGGGACCAAGTTTCACTTTCAAAACCCTAAATATTAGTCATCTTGATTCTCCAGTGTTTAGAGAGTACTGTTAAAGAGGAGGTGATTCAACTTTGTGGTAAACATCCTCCTGCCCCAAATGTTATAAAATGAGTTAGTGGCATCAAAGAAGTTTCAGTTTCAACTCTTGCTGTGTTTGCTTTGCACTATTTTCAATTAAATCTGGTGTTATTATGATTTGCAAACCATCAACATTATTTATTATCCTGATTATGAGAGCAGTGCATACATTTTTAAGTGCACAGTAAAATGATTTATCTCCTTCCATGTTCTTTCAGTGCATTCCCCATCATGTGTGATGAGCCAACAAATGGGAACCCAGTTTCTAGATGTGCCCTTCAGGTCAGACAGAAGGCCCTACCAAGGCAAGTCATCCACCCTCCCTGCTCAAGAGAATACAACCCCTGGTAGATGCACGGAAATGGCCACCCTTCCTGGTGGAGCGACTCCCACCCACACCCACCACCAGCGTTGGAGCAACCCAGGTGATGGAAGTCCTGCATGGGGGGCCATCCAGCATACGTGCCGCAGGCCACTCACGGAGTACCGTGTGTACTCCCATGATTTTTCCACACCCCATGGGAAGGAGTGGGAGGGAAACCAGGACGGCAATCAAAAACAGGACTGTAAACCCCAGATTCCCCCTAAAGTGTCGCGGTCTATCACAGACTTGGATCTATCAAAGCAAAATGTAAGTTTTGATACTAACTGTTCTGCTAATTATTATTTTTTAACCCTTCCTCCTGTGTTAGCTTTTACTACACACCCACTATCATCATGACTTGTAAACAAGTTCATTTTTACAAACCTTTTTGCCAAAGCAACACAGCCACAACACTCTCATCTCCTGCTCCCAGAATATTGGGGAAAAAATTGGAGTAAAATGACAGATTTTTATTAGATTTATTTTCTACCATATCAGTGACATTATGTTTTGAATGGACCCTCAAAGGGTTTAAAAAATGTTGTTAAATGAAAAATTTACTAGTTTTGATCAAAGCAGAAGTTAATTAAGAGATATATGAAAAAAAAGGAAAAAAATATTAACCTAATATGTTTTTACAGCAGTCAAAGTTAGTGGCTGTTTTTAGCCACTGAGCGTTAACAACGGATGAAAATTTGCCCAGCGCGTATTTTTGACCTGGTGAAAATTTTGAAGTCATATTCTCAAAGTGTCCATCAATATAAGCATCTGCACAAAAAATCATCCCATTTGCTGCAGTAAAAAAAAGTTACGTGGAAATTAGTGGCTAAATTTTGCCCCTAGTGGCTGATTTTAGCCATATCGTTACACAAGGAATAGCATGTCCAACAGTTACTCAGAGCTCACCACCTAACTGTGTCGGGTGACCACACAGGACAGTGTCTCTGCGTGCTCTTAAAGTATAAGACCTCTACTGATACCCTGTGAACACGTGCAGCATTTGACATGTGTGACACAAAGCAGTTTGTAAAGCTTAGCATGACTTGGGAGAAAATTAGTAGGATGGAAAGGATGATCTAGTTGACAGATTACAAGATCCCTATGGATCCATAGTAAAGTGTTTCTGGTTCTTAGGAACAAAATGACATTTCAGTGACTGTGAAGCCTCTTAGGAGTATAGCGCAAGATGATTCAGAGGTTAAGATCCTATCTTTGTTCTACCCTCGCGGCTTAAAAGGACATGACACAGATAATCAGAGTCTGTGTTGCTCTTCTCTCTTAGATGTGAGCACTCATTTTTATCTGTGAGATTTTTAGCACGATAGAGATTTAAAACATGTGCTGTTGTGAATCTACTGCAAGTGAGATGCTGTATTCCAGATTAAAAACCAAGCCTGAGTTATAAATCTGTTCATATTTCAAGAGGACCTCTCTCACAGTGGTTCATGGTGTTTAAACAGAGGTCAGGTAACTTTTTCAGATTCTGGATATCTCGTTTAAAACTCTGCAGATGAACAACTGCTTCTCCTGGGGGCTTCTGAAGTAATAGATTAGAGGCTTTAATCTGGATTGACATGAGTTTACAGCTGATTGCAAGCAGCAGGATTAGGCAATGGCTTTGTCTTTAGAATTCCCACTTCCACAACAGACTGACTGAGACCCACTGATGTAAACACAGCAGCAAATCCCCCCGCATGAAATCGTCCGAGCAACAATGAACAACAAGAAAGGCCTCTTTTGAGCCTCCCTGAGTCCTGTTCTCAGATTGAACTGTGCTTTATTTTGTCGAGAGTTTATGGGTTGTAGTTGATGTTTGACATTGAGCTTGGTTTTCTTGTTTTAGCGTAACATTAAAAGAGAGGAAAAATATACTGAGAGGTAAAAACTGTGAAGTGTTGCAACACAAGAAAACCTCCATTTTGAGATGTTCCTCTGACATCAGTGACACTTCCTCAAATGTATGAACCCCATATTAAGAAATAAAAAGGAATTTTTAACATAATCAAGTTCCTCCTTTGCTCTTTAAGGGAAATTTCGTAATAATAAAGTAATAATAGTGTGGACAACTGAGCATCATCTAGCATTAAAGTGTTAATTTAACAGAGTTTTTAAACAAGCCCACGCTCATTCCCATCGAGTTATTTCACAGCTAACAAAAACAGATGATTACCACGATTCTATAACCCCAAATTCGTCTGTTCCTGGAAGTGGTTGTCTTTTTTTTTTCTTCAAGTAGGCCACAAAATGCATACTCAAGCACTTGTTTTTTCCCTTCCAAAGCGATACTGCACCAAGAGACGGCGCTTATTGCCTCACATCCTGTGTTTGTGAGGAAGTGGGCCAGTCAGCCTATCAAGACAGGCAACCTTAGTGTTAGTTAACACTTCACTGTGAGGAAAGTAGGGTTGAGAAAAGAGAAGAACAAGGAGAGAGATTTGACAAATACTTAAAGAGAGGAGAAAATGTTAACGAGAGCGGCATCCAATGTGTCAGACAAAGCAAAGAGCAGCAAGCCAAAGGTAGGTGAAAAAATGAAAATTAAATGAAAATTAAATGACAGATTTTAAGTGTAATGTAGGAGTGATGAAAGCAAGTTATGCTGTTTTAAAGGAGGCAATGTCCTAACCAACTAACCAGTGAAAAAGTGAAAAAAAATCTGAGATGAAACAGTCATAACTGAATAAATGTGGGGCTTTAAAGGTCAATTATATTTTGAAAAATAGTGTTTGGTGTGGTTTTGTTTAAATATATATGATAACCTCCCATTTCTTGTGATTTTTCATTGTGGAAAACAAACACACAACAACTATTTTTTAATCACAATAATGCACAAACAGAAAATTGGGGTTGGATTAGGCTTTAAATGAAACCCTTCATCTCTGCCTTTTATTCTGTCACTCTATGTGACAGATGACTGCGTCAAATGTGGGCCTGTTAGACAACACTCCATAAAAATCAATCTACAGAGGGCTGTCTAGGTCTACGGAGCTCATATTTAAACAGGATTTCAAGGGATTATTCATTTATGTAATTATTTTGGAGCTCCTCTGTGCAGCATGTGGGGGAATTGGGGGAGATTATAATGACTTTCAGTTTATGAACATTTGGGAAAAAGAAGAGAACAAAAACTGAGGCAGAGTACAATGTTCATGAGTGCAAATCACCAGTTTTGTAAGGACACATTGTATTTATTTATGTGATTATTTCTACTAAAAGTCTGCTAGTTTATCTGTTCATGGACAAATAGTCCCTACTGCCACAGAAATGCTGATTTAACTCATCGTCGCAAATGCACTACAAACTCCACCAGGTCTTATCTTGGCTTTGCAAAATGAACAATATTTTGTAAAACAGCAAAGACTGCACCAGATTCTTAAAGGACTTTTTAAAATTGAGACCTGAGACACCATAAAGAGGACAAAGACGGACGCAATGACTTGTGTTCTGTTTTCCTTCACTGTCAGCTTCAAGCGTCACATGTACTCTCTTTTTGTCTTTGAATTCTACTCACAGCGCTCCACCAGCTTTGGCAAGTTTGAGGGTCTTCGACATCACTCATCACAAGCTAAACCAGAAGAGAATGGGACAACTGTGGTATATTAAATTGCTTGTTCTTCTTATATTTGTGTGTACTCAGTTGCAAAATAATATATATATATGATAATATAAAGGTATTACATTACAGGACACATTTGATTTGAACGGATGGAAAAACATGGTGGATGCTTTGTTTTAATAAAAACATGGCATAACAAAACCAGGTCATTTCTGTCAAAGCAATCTATTTAATGGTATGCTTATAGGACAGAAAAGACAGAAAGGCAAGACAAGAGGCAAATTTGAGATTTTTTTTTTAAACGAATCACTGTACTACAGTTTAACCAGTACACTATAATAGTACACTGATTTTTCTCCACAGCTTACTGAGGAATGTGAGAGTTTAGACCCAAATAAATCAGCTGGAATTGGAAAGAAGATGAAGGCGATTTCACTGACCATGCGCAGGAAAATGGGAAAAAAACACGCCAAGTCTTTTTCAGAGGAGATGGTAAGTCGCTTTAACACCTGCAGCTCTGTTTCTTTTGTAGAATAGTTCTCAAATTCACAAATCAAAGCTTTTGATGAACGATGCACACAGATTTATTCAAGGACTCAGATCATTACTTTGTAGGACATAATCATCGACATATACAGACACCTTTTTTTTTTTTCACAACAACAGTCCAGACTTGCTGCCGCTTACCAGCGTCACTTGAAGCAAACCTGTTTTTCTCAAGAGTCTTATCACTTTCATCTTTCTCTAAACCCACATCCTTAGACGTGACGCTTGTTGCTGGTAACTATTACATGGAATGCTTCTCTGTAACTTACAGCCAAAGATGTCTTATTGCAGTTTTGAGTATTACTGTAACACAAATGGAGAAACACAACGAAACTTTGAGTCACTTTGAAACTTTTTGCAACCCACGTCTCCATCCAAAGTTTCCTTTGAGAGTATTGTGGATTTTTAACTTTGTAGATAATTTGAGTGTCATTTGCCCTTTTTTTTGACATTATATCATTAATTGATTACAATCTCTTAAAGGCTGTATATATTCTTTGACATGGGTGCATATTATTACTCTTCAGGGAGATGACACAGATAAAGACCCAGAGGCAGAGACGGAAAGTGGCGCTCCAGCTGAGAAACACTCTGCCAAGTCAAGCAACTCTTTAGAGAGTCTCCACAGTGGCCAGAGCTCCTCCAGTGAGTATCTGCATATTCTGCAAACACTGCAAGGTTGGGTACTGGGTTATTTGCCTGCCCTAACCCTAACCATCCACTGACAAATATATCATTGTTGTGCTCAGGTGGAGTGACCAGTGAGTCCAATGGATCTGGTCAGAGGGACAGTCTGAGACTGGAGGAGGATGGTTCCTATCAGGGACAGTTCTGTGGTAAAGCACGTGTTCATACAGACTTTGTTCCGAGCCCGTATGACACAGATTCCCTCAAACTCAAGGTGAGATACGACACAGTACATCAACAGCAACATCCTTAGGCCTCCATACAAATGATCCCTTTGTTGGATGATGGTTTCTGTAGTACAGATCTAGAAGAAGGTGATCAGAATTTGAAGTGAACAAAACCCAATTAACATTAAATATATGTTTTAAAATACTATATTATTCCTCCAGGTTGGTGACATCATTCATATCATTAGTAAGCCTCCAATGGGAATCTGGACGGGCATGCTAAACAACAAAGTGGGAAACTTCAAGTTTATCTATGTGGACATTTTGGTGGAGAAAGAGGAAGAACAGGAAGCTCCTAAAGTCAGACAACAGAAGCTGTGCAAAAGACCTCGGCCTAAAACATTACTGGAGCTTCTGGAGCGGCTGAATCTCGAGGTGAGGATGAGAACCAATCACATCAAAAGATGCTTTTGGTTGTTAGATGATCATAATCCTCCTCAAGATGGAGGGGAATGTTTTTTACTCTGTACGTCATGTGTGCTAAAGATTCTGGTCTCGTTGTTTTAGGAATATGCATCTGCTTTGCTGCTAAATGGATATCAGACAGTGGAGGACCTGCTACACTTACAGGAGAAACACCTAATAGAGTTAAATGTCAAAGACCCAGAGCACAGACGCCAACTTTTAGCTGCTGCTGAATGCCGCTACACAGAAGGTGAGAAATATACAAACGATGATAAAATGTGTTACTGAAAAACTTTGAGTCCTTTTTCCTCATACATCCTGTCTGCACAGCTCTCAGGCCTCTCTCGTATCAGGTGTTATTGCCTCTCAGCATCCAAACAGTAATATTACTCCCAGAGCACTTTATTGCACTGACCAGTGACAGTTTAAGATTACATTTAAACCTGCCACCACCTATTCACCCAATCAACCTCTGATTTTCTCCAGCCAATGAGGAATAAGCACTCAACAAACCACTCTGTGTTAAGTGAAACAACAAAGAAGACCTGAGTAGGCACATCTCTCATCTTCTGTGTGGGAGATGCTTGTCACTGACTTCCTGTTACTCATAAAGAAAGTGCTTAAAGAGGCAGAAGGTGTTCCTGTAAATGAGTGTGTTGAAGCAGAGGGCCTATAATCACATTCCCGCAAGAATGAAAACAAAACAACTTTTGAACATTAAGAGGGAGAACTAGGTCACATTCGGTCAGTGGATATTTTATTGCAGTCTGGTGCGCGGCTAATAAAAGGTCATTGTACGATTTCTGTTGGGGTTGCAGCGTGACCAAACAGATGGCATCACCAATCCTGCCAAGCTTATTGACTCACACTAGATGCCGGGAATTTAATCAACTCCATTAGGTTAGTGGTTTGGCAGCCGAGACAGTAGGATTAGTAGCTCTCGCAAGTGGAGTCTAAATATTAAAGAAGGATAGAATATTGGTCCACTGAAAGGTAAATTAAGGTGAATTTGGTTTTTTAAGTGTTGTTTCCAAAAGAGGAAATACCTTATTGAAACAAATCCAGAAAGATATGCAACTGTGGGGCACCAAGAGTAAGCTGTCAACACATGGTCTGGTTTTTATCACAAGTTTAATCTTCAATCTTACAGATAGTGTATCGTGCAGTTGCAATTGCAGAAATGTAAATAAGATTTCCTGTGACTCAAGCATATATGACACAGATAACAAGATAGTTAGCAACAGAAATTTGTAAGATCCTAACATTTGGTTTTATTCCATTTGGTTTGTTGCAGCCGGTGATGATGCCAGAGAGGGTGAAGAGCACAAATCCAACTCCCACAGTCCACTGGAGGAAGACAGCGACTGTCCCCGAGACTCAGGCTGCTTCATTCCCTCTGAATGTTCAGACATTAAAGAAGAAACAGAACAGCTCACAGAGACCGTGGACTCTTGAAGTGTGATCACAAGCTTGATAGATGATTGACACAGGCTTTTGACTGATGACTCATACTCTTATCATTGTCTGATTCATTTGTCACTCTATTGGGACAATTACCAAGCAGGAAGTTACGACATTTGGAGTTTTGTATTTTCTTGAAAAGTGGTATTTCAGTGATCAAATATCACCTTTCTTTCCCCGTTCTGTATATTTTTGTGTTTTGCCATGTCAAGCCTTTATTTATCACATCTGCATCGCATTGACCTTCTCTCTTAAACCCTGTCTCCATTCAACATTCAGTGTTTCTTTTTGCTATGACTGAGGGGATCTCGGTAAACTTGTGTATAAAAATATAAAGTTATGATTATAGCAATGCATTGTAAAATATAGCCAAAATGTATATGGTATAAAGGAAATATGTAAGTTGTTGGAGGTGGCTGTATCTATCAATCAGTACATCAAGTGTTATCCCAAGATGCCTAATGAAAAGCCGGTCTAGATCATACTCTATTTACAAAGACCCAATGTAAAGATGAGATAAAATTGAGCTCAGTCTTGTAAGATCGGACCCACTTCCATCCCATCTTCAACCACATGAGTTTGACACTTGGCAGCATTTAGCAAGTTACATGTATGTATGAAGGAGCCTTTGTATGTATTCATGTAAAAATCAGAAGCCATTTTCATAACTTTTTATTAAATAAAGTTTTAAAGAACTTAAAATTTTGCTTTGTTGGGACAGAATTATTGAATTTGAGTAGTTTGATTAACAGACTTTGTTCTTGGCTAATAATGCATCATTAAATATAATATATATATATATTTTTAAGAATTACAAACACAAAAGTACTATTACTTTTACATTTTCCTCATCTTAATATGTTTAAATAAATTATATACTATTTTGTTACCAACACATTTTCTCAACTGCCTCTCCATTTCAATCACAATGGACTTCTTTTTTCTCAACACGAGGCTATATGCCCATACTTAACGCAATTGGACAGAGAGGGAAAGATGATGTAGAGCAGCTGTTCTCAACTGGTCTCACTCTGGAACCCACATTTTCCCAGGGTCCTGAAGTCGCGACCCACTTTTATAAAATTCAAACCAAGCAAATTTATTTCTTGTAAAAACAACAACAACAACAAAACCCTCAAAGTCTCTATTCTTTAACATAAATCCACTTGTTTTGTTGAGTAAAGTGCATTTCAGAGCACATGAAGGGGACAACATGAGGACGGCAACTACTGAAGTCCCGTACACAGAAAATATCAAAGCGTAAATATCGAAGTAAATATTTACTTTTTTGACCAGCTGTCCTTGACCCACTTTTGGGTCGGGACCCACCAGTGGAGAACCACTGACGCAGAGAAAGGGGGATTGCGCGTAGACATAATATACGTGTATTATGTCTATGGATTTAAGCGTCCAGGGCAGCTGAACTCCAACACGGCCCTCTGTAGTTAAATACAGTCGTCATCTGCTAGACCCGTAGCTCCGATTGGTTGGTGGTCTCTATCCGTCATGAACTTCCGTTCTACGTAGCGAAATTGCTAGCTGTGGTGGGTAGTGTAGTACATTGCAGACATCCCCCTTAACAGCGTGTCCGCTACACGACTCGTAAGAACTACATTACCCAGCATTCATAGGCTGCTAACAGAGTCGACGTGTATTATGTTGGTGCTCGAAAAACTTCCTGTTTCATGTATACCAGCTTTCAAAACCGAGCGTAATTTAAACAACATTTCAGCGACATTTTAGGGAATATCAGGTGTTGTGTGCCCCAGGAACAGAGTGTGACAATGTCAGGAGAAATTTCCATGATTGGTAAGCTGACTGTCTTTTATTGTCTGTTAATAACCGGTGTCTAGATGCTCACACATTGACAGCTTTGGTCCACCTGTGATAAGCGTGTTCTTACCATGCCATAGGTTCGGTTATCCTGGCCCTGTTTCTGGCCGGTTATCTGGGCCAGCAGTACCTACCACCCCCCAAACCAAAGGTGATCGGACTGGACCTGGGGACCACCTTCTGCTCTGTGGCAGTTTTTCACCCGGGCAGCGGGGAGGTAGAGGTTATAGAGGATGAGGAGGGGAGGAAGAGCATCCCGAGCGCTGTCTCCTTCACCAACGACGCAGTGCTGGCTGGACACGAAGCCGTGGACCTGGCCGACAGTAACCCTCAGAACACCATCTATGACGCCAAGAGGTTCATAGGGAAGATATTTGAGGATGAGGACTTGGAGAAGGAGAGTGTTAGGTACCCATTTCAGGTAAGTCGTGGAGGTAGGGCTGGGCGATATGGGTAAAAGTTTATCAGATACATTTTCTTCATACATATTACGATATTAAAATGAAATATAACAGTACTTATTGGTAGCATTTCTTTTACAGTACAATAAGCTGCTGCATCTGTGACGTCTTTGTGTCTCTTCGACGTTTTGTTGTACAGCGTTGCGCTAGAGAAAGCGGACTGAATGGTACCTGCGTGAAGCTGGCCCCCACCCCACGCAAAATGTCAGGAAAATAGTCTGCTTCTTTTGTGCTGATTTGTGCCGTTATAATTTCTGTTTGTGCTGCTATGGTTTTTACGTTATTAAGTACTGTTTTATAGGTCACCCAGAGGTCACCCAGGCCCCCATTTGTTCCGAATCGACCCGAAATGGTGCCATTCGTTAGTGCTTCGTTTGTGCCATTCAAGTTTTTGTTTGTGTTGCTTTGGTTTTAAAGTTATTCCACATTTTTATTTTCGGCGATGACATCACCCAGCCCCCATTTGCTTTAAATGGACCCGAAATGGTGCCGATCATTAGTGCTTCGTTTGTGCCGCTGTTGCAGAGAAGTATGCACCTTGCAGAAACGCGCACCGCTTATAATATAGTAGCAATAACTTAAAAACTGTAGCAGCACAAATGTACATTTTAACGGTACAAACTAGCACAAAATAAGCACAAACGAAGCAGACTATATTCCCGACATTCTTCTTGGGGTGGGGGGCCAGCTTCACACAGGTCTGTATGGTCGGCTGTTTCGGCTGCACAGGTGCCATGGGATCCTCGCTCTGGACTTGTAACCTTTTGCGTTGTGCGTGCTCTTGCCACGTGGCACTGCTTCAGGTGGTGAAAAAGATTTGAGGTATTTCGGGACTGTGCAAGAACATGTACTCGGCATAATTGGCAGTGCGCAGTGCAGTTGCGTGTAGCTACAGCCTGTTACTATGCAGCTGTTTGCAACTTGGTTCTAATTCAGCACGATTGGTGCAGAGCAAAGCGGACCTGGAGCAGTTCCCCTTTTTATAGGCTGTTCGTATAGTTTACAAAAACATGGCAGAATGCCGGCTATTGAAAAGCATATTGACCATGTTTTATTTTGATATTGAGGGAAATTAATTTTCGATATATCGTTATTGTTTTATTGCCCAGCCCTACATGAAAGTCTGTTTGACCGTAGAACAATTTAGTCTACGATGTGTTTACTTGTAGAAATGTATGTAAACAATTCCCCTTTTTAATTGGATTGTTTCTTTCTCTCTTCTCAGGTGGTTAATAGTAACGGGAGTGCAGAGTTTGTCATCTCCACCAACGGTACCTTCACTGTGAGCCCAGAGTTCATCGGCTCGAGGCTGCTTCTGAAAATGAAGAAGATGGCAGAGAGACAGCTCGATGTGTTTATTCAGAAAGCTGTCATCTCAGTTCCTGCAGACTTTGACGAGAGACAGAGGAACTACACTGTCAGGGCTGCCAACCTCGCCGGTCAGTTTTAATAATGATAATATCACAATAAGTTTATTTATATAGCACTTTTCAAAACAGATTTACAAAGTGCTTCACAACAAACAAACAGTTCCACTTGCTGAAAGTTTGAGCAGCACATTTGACGAAGCTACACATCAGGAGCATTTGTGTAAAAGCTCTGTGAGATGATTGCTGTATTTAATCTTCATCCGTGGGTAGATAGATTTCATGAAATAGTGCAGTTACACATATAAGATATAAAAACAAAAACCCTACACAACAAGACTTTTTTGAATTATTGTAATTTTGAGTTTTTACAGGTCATCATCACCAACTTAATGTATTTGTGCTGACTCACACAAACACGCATCTATATTCACACAATCAAATACAGAAATTGTGTATAAACGGTTTTAAATGATCTCTAAATGTACTCTATATCTTTTAATAAATCCTTGTACATCAGTTTGTCCTTTAAGATACATGCATTACAAATATTTGATCTCTCCCGTTGTCTTGCAGGCTTGGAGATCCTGCGTGTGATTAATGAGCCCACAGCAGCAGCAATGGCCTACGGTCTGCACAAGGTGGATGTGTTCAATGTGCTGGTGGTAGACCTGGGGGGAGGAACCCTAGATGTTTCTTTGCTCAACAAACAGGGAGGCATGTTTCTCACCAGAGCCATGGCAGGTAAAGTGTTTACCCACTTCAGTGTTCAGTAACGCAGTGAGGCAGTAGAAAATGTAGCTTTTGTTACAGGGTTAAAGTCCAAATGAAATGAAAGAAATATGCCGCCAAAACTTTTAGCTGAATTTATCAAGAGAACAATGTGGGATCAGCTAAATTGGGAACTTATGAAAGCAAATCAGATAGGTCAATAGATAAAAAGTCTAAATAATAATTGGAAATATTCTAAAAGGTTTTACTGCTGCAGGGACCTGTGTGACTGTCATATTTCTCTGCAGGGAATAACAAGCTGGGAGGTCAAGATTTCAGCCAGAGGTTGCTCCAGTACACCACAGAGCGAGTCCAACAGGAGTTTGGCGTCCTACCCACTCTGAAAGAGGACATCCACCGTCTTCGACAGGCTGTGGAAACAGCCAAACTTAACCTCACCCTCCAACCTTACACCACCATCAGGGTACCTCTGCATATTCACACCCATGAAAGCTCTGATTCCTCCAAGGGTTCTGCTCCTGCCCCAGTCCTCTTTCAGACTGTGATCACACGTGAACTCTTTGAAGAGCTCAATGAGGATCTTTTTCAGAAAATTTTGGCTCCCGTTGAGACTGTGTTGTCTGAAGGCCACCTAGAGAAGGAGGAAGTTGATGAGATTGTTCTGGTCGGAGGGTCCACCAGGATACCCCGGATAAGGAGACTTATCAGCGAGTACTTTGGGAAGGAACCTAATACGTCTGTAGACCCTGATCTTGCGGTGGTTACTGGTGTGGCTATCCAGGCTGGGATCATGGGCGGTTCTTGGCCTTTACAAGTGAGCGCCATAGAAATTCCCAACAGACACCTGCGCAAGACAAACTTCATCTGATTTTTTTCCAGGGTTATTTATTCCATTTAAAGGGACGCCACAGAGACTTGCCAGTAGTTTGTGACTGCTCCATGCTTATCTTTTACGCATAATTTTAAATGAGCTAAAGTCACAAAATAACATCTGAATGAAGACATGCAAAGTATTCAAGTTGTCCTTTTTATCTCATGCGTTGGTGTGTGAAGGGCAACTCAAGCAGAACAATGTGAGGCTGTTATCTACCACATACTTACATTCCTTTTTCCTTCAAAGCTGAAACCATCTGTCAAAGTGTACAAACCGGTTTGAAAGTGAAAGATTCTCTGTAGCACAAAGGCTGTTCGTTGTTTCTGCGTCAGTGGAAAGAACATTTTAATTTACTTCTCAAGACTGAAGTCATCTCTCACTTATGTTCTGGCACTTTCAGCTTCTTTTTTGACGTTTGTTCTCATTAGATCCTCTAATGGTTTTCAAATCAGGGAGCCGCCTTTATTATTTTTTTTTCAAAATACTTAAAGGATGAGTGCAGCCGCATCGATTTATTTATTTAATTATTTATTCATTCCCATGTGACCTCTATGTCTGGTTTATTTGTATGTGAGATAGAGAGAGTGTGTGTGTGAATATTGGTTCAGTTGTTTTGTTGTTCTTTAACACATTTTTACATCTTTCCATCAAAGGTTTACACACTGTTCAAGGTACTCGCTTTTCAACAGTTGAAACTGACCTGTTTCTGTTTTCAAAACTAACTTCGAAACATTCAGGAAGTCAAGTATTTTGTGGTTCTATTAGGGAACTGTTGTCGAGATCCTCATGAGGCTCAGCAGAGAGGATTTATTTTCAGATAGAAGTCATTGACATGTCAGTGAAAACATCTAGTCATCCATTAACCATTTCAAGGTTCTCTACTTTACAGATGACTCACTTCATGGCCAGAGTCGAGTGGAAAGGTGCACTTTTCGTAAAGCCTTTGAACAATGCAATCTGTTTGGAGAAATAGAGATTGCATTATTCGTGAGTGAAAGAGGAGTTATACTCAGTGACGCACTTTGAGATTGGCCAACTTTACTTTTTTTTTTTTTGTTTAATTCTTCATACTGTGTTTAAACGGCCATGTCTGCCTCTTTCTTTAAACTGTAACTTTTTGTGTTGATCATCATAATGAAGTATAACAATCTGCTTTTTGCTGCTGTAGGTAAACAGGTCAGCTCTGGTAATCTCATAGAAGGACCAAAGCATTGCTTTACTAGTGCCTTGTGGACTTGATCATGAGAAATGTGTTACTGTCAAAGAATGTTTAATAGACTTGAACATTGTGGTTGCCCAGGTTGCCTAAAGTTTGACAAAACTCTAGACTAATTTTGAGTGAACAATGTTTCTTCTGCTCGTTTGCTGGCTCACAGCAGGACTTTTTGTGCATCCAGTATGAAAAAAAAAAAAAAAAGATTTATAAGACATAAAACTTGGAAATCTATATTTCTAAATTATCTGTCACAGTGAATTGCAAGCTGCCTACATTCCTTTAAGGGTGTTTCTCAACTTGTTGCTGCCAAATAAATGTTTATCTGATGTTATTGTCATCTGTGTCACAGAGTTGTGATTAAATAACACCAACTTGGTTGACCTTAACTGTTCCATTTAATCTATTTACTTTTATTAAATATTGAAGAACTACCTCATGTTTAGGATCTACTTTCTATTCACACACCAGTCAAGACACCTTAAAGCAGTGGTTCTCAATCCAGTCCTCGAGCCCCCTCTGTCCTACTCCAGCACACCTGATTCAAATGATCAGCTCGTTATCAAGCTCTGTAATGGCTCCCTGCTCCAGCACACCTGATTCAAATGATTAACTCGTTATTAAGCCATTACAGAGCTTGATAACGAGCTGATCATTTGAATCAGGTGTGTTGGAGCAGGGAAACATCCAAAATATGCAGGACAGTGGGCCTCAAGGACTGGATTGAAAACCACTGCCTTAAAGACAAACTTGTTTCAGTTTTCAAATAAAACTGAATTTGTCAACTTCTCCACTGTTACTTCAAGTCCTGTCAAATGTAATAAATCTGTGGGTTGTGCATATTTGTGCCGCCTGTATAAAGTGCATCTCCTGCTCATTACATTAAGTAACATGTAACGTTGGTGTTGGGAATGACCTGCTGCTTTTTAGGACTTATCCAAAGCTCATACTAAGGTTTTGCATGAATATCTGTTTCCAGTTTTGAAAAGAAAGCAATCAAAACACAAACTCAGAACACAACACAAAACTCCCGTATGAGAAGATTTTAAATGTTTACTTCCGAGGCACAGTAATACTAGAAGAAAAAAATAACACAATAGGCAATATCAAATCCTTGATCCTGTGCTGCCTGTTGTGATACCTGTAGCATCCCTTCAATAGGCTAAGAGCTTTATTTTCACATTTAGCACCCACTTCAGTTACCTTTTAGCATTCAGCTTTACACCAGACACCGACATTTAGATGCATTGTGTATGTCAACACTTAAATACCACAGACCTGCTAACAGCAGTTCAAGAAAGTGGTCTGACATCTATCTTGACTTAACTATTGCTATCATACTTACTGAACAGTTTAACTGTCACATAGATCAGATGTCATTCTTAGATGGCTGAATTCTCTTGGTTTCCCTTTATGGACTATAAAACCCAGCATAGCACTGCACACAAGATTAAAAAATACATACCAGCCAGGTGTACACATAATACATTATACACATCTTTAAAAAAAAATACAGCAAATCATTCAAAACACATTCACATTAACCATGAAAGACTGCACAGATGTCGATCCCCAACCCATTTACACCACTTCTGATTACACATACACATGCAAACACACACGCTCACACACACATACACATGCACACACCAGTTGGTAGGATGACCATAGCTATCATTTACATGCCTTGGTCAAAAGTAGGGAAATGGGGGACATTCAATCACTATCAAAATAATAAAATTATCTTCATGCACCATGTGAATATTTCACTAGGAATAGAAGGCAGGACTTTTGTAAACTGCTTTTCTGACTTTTTTAGTTTTTTCTTTCTTTAAATATAAATATGTGGTTTTGTGAACAACAGCACAGCTGTGTGTCGACAGAAGGCAAGAGCAGGATGAGCTGTTACTGTAATGGTTTCATTTTGCATTGAGTCTTAAAAGACAGCTTTGACAAAAAAAAAAAATAATGAAATGTATCAGTTGAGACAATAAAATCATTTTAAAAACAAAGAAACTGCTTTACAGTTTCAGCTGAAAACAATATGAAATGACATCTTCACAAAGAAGCAGACATTGGTAACCTATAGAGGGCCTCTCTGACATTGAAATATGAGAGAGAAGGCCATAGAGTCTATTTATAAAAGTGCATTTATTCCTGTGTATATTACAGTATCTCTGACAGGCAAAAAAATACAACTATTTACAGAGTGTACAAGAAGCGACTGGGTGGTTTTTTTCCTCCCTCAGGTAGAGCGATCAGTAGGGAGAGGAGACCTCATAGTGGTTAAGAAGGAATGGTTTCAACACCAGTGTTTTCTCCTCCCTTCAGCAGACTCACAAAGATGAGACCCAATCACTGGCTTATGCCCTGATTGGTGTAGTAGTCGTAGTCATTATCTCCATACAGCTCCTCCGCACTGCCAACTCCATTTCCCACCTCTAGAGGGTGCCAACGGATAAGAAAAAAATCAGTGCACTGTCAGCTCATCATTGTTAAAAAACAGCAGATGGAAAACTTTCAAAAATCAAAGAGATAACAGGAACACTTTACTTGAGGCCTATCTCTATAACACATTATAAATATATGTATAATAAGTTTTAATCATGTTATAGCACTGTATATAAACACTCATAAATGATCATAATGCTTTATTGTAATAATTTTAACACATTATAAATGTAAGTTATACCCGTTTACCTGTGTATACCTGTGAAGTCAGGTATTATAATGTGTTATAACTGTTAACAACTCACTGACAATGCCCACATACAGAGTGCATTATACATACATTAATGATGTGTTATAGTTTGCTTATATAAGTATCACTATAAACACTCATTAATTAACATAAGGCTTTATAACAATAAGTGTAACACATTATAATACCTGACCTGGTATGTCATGATAGAATGTTTTATAATGTGTTCTGATTATTGCTAAAAGTATGATGATCATTTATGAGTATTTATAACTATAGTTATACAGTACTATAACGTGATTATAAAGCATTATACGTACATTTATTAGAGGTAGTTAGTGGATGAAGATTGTCATGAGGTCGCTGCGCCATCTACAGGATAGGTTGGGGAACTTTTCAAATGGCGGAACATTTTTGAAGTGAAACCGAATCTTATTCTCCGCATTTTATTTCTGAAAATATCGGCGAAAATCCGCGAGTTTTGGCCGATTACCGATTTGTCTCAAACGGGCTAAAATTGGCCGATTTAATCAACCCGCCGATAAATCGCGTTATAGAGATAGGCGTCAAGTAAAGTATTACAGAGATAACGGGTAAAAATCAAAGTAGAAGCTGGTGAATTTGTTACTGGTTTAACTTACCTTTGCCCCCAGCACTAGATGATTTCTAAGACTAAACGGGCCGTGTATAAGCCCACAGCGGTGAGAATTATGGGGTAGGTTTGATGCATAAGGAACAGGTGAATGGATGAATGGATGGATGGATGGATGGATGAAGGGAAGAAGGGCACAGGAGACAGAAGTTGCAGGCAACCAGGGATGCAATGAGTGCATGGAATAAAGACAGAAGTCGAACAGGTGGTAGCATGAACAGGAGGTGTTGCACATCACAGGCTGCTACTGGGGTTGGCCTTCAACGAGGAAGAGAGAGAGAAAGGCAAAAACATTCACAGACACTCAGAGGTGCATGCTGGGATGGAGTGACATGCTAGCTGGGAACCTGAAACTCATTAAAAGGTTTGAACTTTCGTTTAAGTTAACTTCAAAAAGAAATAAAGTATATCTAAATTGATTTGACAAAGTGAAGAATTTCTTTCTGAGTTCAGGAGCCCAGACGTCTGGTAACAAGACCACAACAAACAATGCAAGAGTAATAAAGACCTTTTCTTCCCCCTTGTGTCAGTGTGAGGATCTTACCAGAGAAGATGAGTTTCTCTTTCATTACACTGATGTCTCTGCTGGACCTCCTGACTGCAGCGCTCAGCATGATCTGTTCAGGATTGTAGCTGTGCATACCGCTCACACGATACCTGTGGGGATCGTACTTCAATTCAGATATTTGCTCAAAGGTAAAACAATCACTCTGTCGTAATTATGCACACGGTCAAGTCAGATCCACTGAAGCTACTTAGTAAAGGTTAGTGCTTGAATGATCAAATCAGTGCTGGAATTTGGCTTATGAATAAACCACAGAGTGAAAGAAAATCTCTGTTAAAACAAAAATGTAAATTAATTAGCGAGTGGTTCAAAAGAAAAATCCCTGAGCTGGATTTTGGGTATCAGCCATGTCAGAGGGAGTCTCTTCCTGTCAGTGGGAACAGCATCCTGTCTTCAATAAAAAACAGTTTTACTTTCAATTTAATTAACCGGAGAGCATTAGTCACAATAAACTGCAACTAATGCAGGAAAACAGAAAAGCAAGCAAGCGAGCTTTTTCATCATCAGCATCAATGAGAGCCAATATTGAGGCACTTCCCCTGAAGAATGCAGTCGTAGTTCAGTTCAGACATTTAGTTGTTTGGATGGACAAAAATGCCAATTTTTCAAGTTATTTATTAACCTATTTATGAATTAACCTAATTCACTGTGCTCTCTGTGTGAAAAAAATAATTCACTGAGTCCACAAGGACGAGGATAAAAGAGCTGAGGGGCCTCTCTCCCACAGGTCGGTAAAGTGGCAGCAGAGCAGCACATGGATTCAGGTAAATCACAGAGAAGTGAGATAGCGGAAATACAGGCAGTAAAAGTAAAGTGGATAGAAAATTTAGATCGAGATTGATGTGATTACACGGAGTGTCAAAAATAAAACAGTATTGAGGTAAAGACTAAAAGAGGAGAGAAAAGAATTCAATAAACTAAAAGGACGGCTGATAAAAGTAGTGAAAGACAAAGACGGTGAAAGAGGAGAAGACTTTGGTTCCCAAGAGGTGACCCAGTTACCTGATCATGTGATAGCTGAGAAGAGATGCCAGAATGCAGCAGAGGAGGAGGAGGAGGAGGAGGAGGAGAGCATGCACATCAGGCATAGAAGAGAGGACGGAGAAGAGGCAGAAGGACAAAAAAGGACAAGAGAAGGCGGGAGACAAGAGAGGTCAGTTTAGAAGCTAGCAAAAGCTACTGAAGCTCAGCTAAGCAGAGCTTAGGCAGGCAGGACCGTAACGAGCAAAGATAACTGTCCTCCTTATCATAAAAGACAGGAGGGAGGTCCATCTGTCTCTGAAGTGATCATAGAAAAGAATCAAAAACAGAGAACCACCAAAACCAGGGGAGGAGCGACACAGTCAAACTTCTTCTCTGCTTGACACTAATTTGTTCAAACACTGAGATGTAAAGGAAGCTAAAATCTATTGGACACTGAAGCAGCTTAAAGCACAAACAAAAACAAAATTAGTAGAATCTAAATATTGATCTCTTGAAAGCACTTTCTTTATAGACTAAATCATTAAAAAATGACAATATCTAAAGGAGCTGCACTGATATGAACTGTTTTAGTGCCCCAGACACAGAGATAAAGTGAGATACATCAAATTTATTACATTTTAATTTGTCATTATAATTATAGAATCTCATGTTTTCAATACCAATCAAAAGAATATTGAAGTCTATATCAAAAAAGGTACAGCAAGTTGATTTGGGAATCAAATAAATGCAGTCAGTCGGCAGCCAGAAATCACTGCAGCTACTAGTGTTGGTACGGTGGATATTTGGGTCTTGTTTGGCACAAAGTCATAATATTTTTGACTTTTTTTTACTGTGCTCTCTTTTTGAGGAAAACATGCCATTCAAAAGAGCAGCAGCAGATTTTTCAACAGCATCTTTACTGTGTGTGTAAAGAGGCAAAACAGCATGTAACTAAGAATAATTAATCTGTTTATGTCAGACCTTAATCACATTGTGATTAACATATTTAATGCGTGACCCAGTTACATGTTATTGGTTGTTCTCATTTAGGTCATGTTTGTCAAATAAGGGTGAACAGTGAATGGTAACCTAGGTCTGAGTGTAAAAGAACTAAAATAGAAAGGTATTTACTGGTCTCGTCATACAGCAGTATAGATAAAAAAGGAAACTTCTGTCTAGTGTGAGAACTCACTTGAGTGATTGGACCACAGTGATGTCGCAGAGAGACCGTACTTACCTCTGGAAAAAGAATATCCCTATGACTATGGCAAAGGAGATGAGGTCTGCAGACACCCACATCAGGCAGTATTCATCTGGTCTCTGAAAACACAATATTACACTGTGATGTCATGTAGTTTGCACGTTGCAGGATACAGCATCTTCACACACATACACATATCTTCTACCCATGCAAAACACACACCACAGGTTCTACTAATTTCCACACCTCACACTTGAAATATTCTAATTTTGTCAAAATTTAGTTTGATCTGGTTTAATAAAGAGTTATTTTGAACTTGGTACATGGTGTCTGTCTCCCTTTTTTGTCCTGATCTTTAGTTTTTGTGATCATCACAACACACAGAAAGTAGGTATAAGTTTTTCACCTTCAACTTTCCAGAGATAACCACTGGGTGGAGCTAAAAATCAATAATCCTCTCGTGAAACAAAAAACCCAAATAGTCTGGGAGATTATTTGATTAATAATATCTAATATTGAATAAAAACAATGTAATGCTAATTTGCCTAGACATTGCAGTGATTTAGCATTTCTTCTGTGTGGTATTATTAAATGTTGTATGTTCCCTTTAACACAACTCTTAACATAGACATACAAAATAAAACAGAGCAAGAAATCCTGCATCAATTATTGACTTCAAACACCAAAGCAACACCTGTGGTGACTGTGGTGTAAGAAAAAAGGGAGAGGAGAAGGTCAAACTTCATTTGAATAATTAATTCTGTAAAGAAACATGTTTAATAATAAAATGATAGCTGAGAAGAATAAAGCTGTACAGCATGTGATAGATGCTTACCATGAGCCAGATGGGGTAAGGCACCTTTTTAAGGATTTGTGGGGCCTCTGAGGAGACTGCAGAAACCCCACTGCACCAGAGCACCGAGTACAGCCAGGGCTCATTCACCGTGTAGAGGGTGAGGTTGATATTGCTCTGGGAGAAGTCTCTGAAAGAAAAAAATTCAGTTAAGTCTTTGAAAATTGAGGTTGGTTATTATCATGCTGGCTAGGTTTCCAACATGATAACACTTGAGCGTTGTGTATTCCTACCTGATTTCCTGCGTGCTGGCCTGGTTGTATCTGAGCAACAGAGCGCTGATGCCAGAGAGCTCGAGACTTTGAGGACTTCGTTTCTCCAGTGAGGTCTGGATAAGGCCGGGTGCGAGCTGTTTCACCACTGCTCTGTCTTCATCTGGAGTCCACATCACCTAAACACAGCGTGATACACAGAACTACAGTTACACTTCTTTTTCTCATAGAAACTCATTATTTCTGTGGTAGGACTAGAACATTTTAAAATAAAGTAGGGAATTTCCATACTTTTCCACTCCCTACTTTTGAGAATTATTTTTGGAAATCCCTACTTTTCTATTTTAAAAAACAGTATTTTAAAACTGTGGTAATAGTCTGGAAACATCAATATTTTTCCCACTTTATTTTTTATTTTCCATACTTTTTAAGACATGGAAATTGATCAAATTTATTTCCATACTATTCCTTACTTTCTGCACTTGCATAGAAACCCTGGACTAATGAGCCAAAGAGTGAAACAACAAGATCTATCCGTTGATTATTTGTTGTTTCACATTCTATAAAAGATGGACCAGGACTTAACGCTGTGCATAAAGCCCTCAGCTCCAATATACTTACTAGGCTCTGAGGAATTCCAGATTGCTGCACAGCCTCTAGTGTATCATTGATCCAGCTGTGATAGCAGGGGTGCTCTGGAGGAGGTCTCCTCAGTCTAAACACCACTGTGGTGTTGTGATAGGAAGCCAGTTTTAGAAGCTGCTCCAGGCTGCACACACTCTGGTTGCTAATCAGATTCTTCTCGTGGGGTGACATTGTGTGCACTGTCCAAAAAGGGTCGCTCTGAAACACACAAACCAAACAGTGTGAGTAGGATGATCACAGATGTGCATTACTTTCACCTTTTTTATTATTTATGCAGGATGATCAAATCTCTGCTGCAAATATCCAATCAGACTCGTCAGTTTTCTATCAAGAAGTCAAGTTCTGGCTTTTCATTCATTCATCAATCCAAATGTTGTGTAGTGTTGGGATAACAGCAGGGGGAAATAAAGAGTTTTAACATTTCATTCATTCCAGAGTTATATTTTAAATTAGAGGATTAGATGATCTGATCATGTAAGTCTTTCAATATGTGGATTAGTTTAATGTGCAGACTGAAAACACCTTCGCTTTGTTAAGTTAATGTTACCACAGATTTTGACATGTGTGTTGAAAAAAAAAAAAAATAACAGACAAGAAAAAAAATCTTATCCATATTACTGCATCTAGCACCAAATTTACAGTAACATGCTTTTATTCTGAAATAAAAGGTGGTTTACATGCAGAAGCAAAACACATGGAAGGCAATGCGCATCACTTGTACGCAGACGTCTTTGATTTTTCTGCAGATGTTGAACCTGATCCATTCTGCATATATGAGAGTATCATCTCAACATATTAATGGATCTCATTACTTGGAAGAAGTAGGCGAAGGAATGAAAGCAATATTAGGATATGAGCTTCCCATGACCTCTGAGGTAATATACCTGGGTAATCAAACACTGGAAAACATACAAATCAAAGACGAATACTTGGTTGAATTACTTCTTGCAGCATCAAAGAAGGTCATTACAAGGAACTGGTGTAAGGAGAACCCTGCCAATCAGAAAAACTGGATAGAGAAGGTGGAAGAAATATACAATATAGAGAAATCAACACATGCTTTATGACGCCAGCAAGAATCAAACACCAGAAAGTGGGAAAATTGAACAAATTTAATCTGTACACAGCACACGAAAAGAATGGACAACTTTGATGGAGGCTATATGAACAATTTTTTTTTCCCTCTTTCTGGCACCATGATTTTTCAGTTTGACTGTATGCTTTGTTGTCAAAGTTATAATTACAGTTATCAAAAATTTTTGAACAATGCCATGCTGTCACACACTTCTCTCTCAACAAACAAAAAACAGTACCTTAAGAAACCAGTGTCCAGCATTGAGCTGCTGCAGATCTGTCCAGTTGAAGAAGGAAGCATCGTTCATGTGCCGATCAGGGAAAACTTTCTGGACATCAGTAGTCCTCTGCAGGGTGCGGTCGTGCATCAGGAAAGGTACTCCATCCACACTGGTGATCAGAGGAGAGGTAGTCCAGCATTATGTAGAAATTACAGTGAAATACTTGACTCTCAGGTTGGATGTTCTATTTTTGTGTTTAAGGTTGGCATTTTTCTTAAATTTAACCTCACTGACCACATCTAATGATCTACCACTGGTTCACATTCTCATAATAGTTGAAACAAAGAAGAAATTTGTGCTCCAAAAGGACTCAAACTTATCAGCAATTATATCGTCATCTTTAGGCTTGCTCAAAATGAGGAAAAGGACTCTCAAAGGAGCTTCAGATAAGACCACAAAGGACAGCAGCTGGTTCGATAATGAACGCTTGAGAAGATGTCAAACAAATAGAAAAAAGGAAAACAAAGAAAAAAGGATATTACAAAATTTGTCTCATTTGTTTGTTTCTCCTTTTTTGAAAATGTTGCCTCCCAACATTTGTTTATACTGAATGTCTATTTTCAAGTTTACACCGGCTAATTATCAGATGGGAAAAGGACAAAACCATTAACTGTGTAAATGTCTGTGTGTGTGTGTGTCTGAAAGAGTCTGTGTTGACTCTTAAAATTCTATGTACCTTTGCAATAAACATAAAAAAACCCTCCTTTATATGATATACATTACATTAACACATGGTGTCTTTCAGTAAAACAAAAAATCAAAAACTAATAAATAACATTAAGATAATAAACCTGCTAAATTCTGCCAAAAATATATTGCTATGTGTTTGTGTGTGTTGGCATATGTTTGCATTTGTTGACCATCTCCTCCACTGTGAATGCATTATGCGGATGATTTCCAGTGTGTAATTTCCATTCGAGTGTGTGTGTTTGTGTGTGCGTGTGTGTGTGTGTGTGTGTGTGTGTGTGTGTGTGTGTGTGTGTGTGTGTGTGTATGTGTGTGTTTGTGTGTTTGTGTGTCTGGTTTATTGCAGTTGTGGAGTCTCACTGATGCTCTGGCTGTCGTCAAGTCTAATTACTCAGCACAGTCCAGAGCTCACCTGTCAGCAGCCTGCACCAACTTCACTCACAAACTCTATTAGGAAACACACACTCCATGCGCATACTCTCTCTCTCACACAGACACAGTTTGTTGCTTTTTAAGATGCAAGGATAATTGGAAATTATTCCATAATAGCACGAAATCAGGCCTAAACCCACGCTGCGGCAGCGGAACAAATCTCATCATGTTGCACACCTATCTTCAATAACTGCATATGCATGAGAAGACATGCACACTCTCTATCCATCATACTCTGCAGCCACTATACTATCCGCCCACCCACTTCTTCTTTCTTTCTCCAAGTGCGTCTCTCGAAGCCTGTCAGCTCCCATTATACTGTTGATATCAAGCCCCTCTCTAGTGCCTGCTGATGGACTGATCTGTTGTTGCACTGCTGTAGCTGTGTGTATTGCCTGGTCCTGTGACTGCTGTAGTAAGTGTTTTAAGTACGTGGTCATTTACTTTTTCATGTTGAAAGAATGGTAAGCACGTTTTTCATTTACAAAGCAGCACATTTGGTGTTGAAGTTCAGTGTGGGCTCATTTTCGTGCCACTGTTAAAATGCTGTTGATACATGTTTTGAAAGCCAACAAAAGAATCCAAATGGCAAAGCGGAATCAAAGCGTGGACAAAGTAACCTTTCAGTCATTTGGCTTCGTCACTCTGCCGTATTGATTGAGTGTGTGTGTGTGTGTGTATACCTGATAGTAACATCAGCCTCAAATCCAGTGACGTTCATCTGCAGAGCTCGCTGGAAGGACCAGAGCGTGTTCTCAGGGGCAAGCTAGAAACGCATTTTATATAGTCACATAAAAAACATCTAAATTGGTATTTTAACTGGAAAAACGTGTAATAGTTATCAGAAAATAGCAAAGATGTGCTTGATGAACAAAAACAAGCTTTGTGACAATGAACAAATAAACACAACTGTGTTTTTGCATAATGTTTATGTAATCCTCCTGCATACAAAGAGCTGTTGTGAAATGAAAACAAGCAACATTTGCGAATTGCTCTTTAACCATCCGTGCCAAGGTTCTAATCAATACCCAGCCAATAGGTTAAACATGACTAACTAGAAAAGCTTCCTCCTGAGAGACCCTCTGAGTCAATGACTGGGAACTAAGCTGAATGAATAATGCTGTGATCAATACAGAGCATTTCTGGGAAACAGAATCAGGTCACGTGTTTTTTTTCCCAGCTGAGTTTCTCACAGCCTCACAGAGGTACTCCTAAGCTGAAATTCCACTTCACACACTGTCACTAGGTTCATTTGGGAACCTGTGAGTGGCTATCACAAGTGATCCGCGTTCACCTTTCTCTCCTTTCAAGTATTGCACAATCGAAGTTTCATACCAAGCTCATAAATCCTTCAGCAGGTAACATGCAGATGCTGAATCATTATTACCAGAGCATAAATCAAACATAGAAAAACAAAGTGTGATTTGGTTTGGATTAATCAGGTCTTGGATGGCTTTTTGATGCATACTTAACAAGCAGGCTCTAACAGGCTCTTAGATGGAGTTAGATGGAATTCCATTATCTCTCCCATATGATGATCCATGGGAGAGATAATGGAATTAAAAAGGCTAAACAGACAGAGGTGAGCATGGTTAAAGCTGTCTTTCATTTGTTTTTCTTTAATGTGAAACTCCTATTTATTATCTCTTTATTTGTCTTGACCAGAGAAAAAATCTTAATTTTCATGAGTCATGTTTATTTTTTAGTTTCAACAACACCAGGGTCATAAATATACCAGAGCTGCACTGGAAAAAATGATCAAAATTTTGACTAGTTAGACAAATACCAATAGGAGAAACACAGTTCTCCCAGTACATCCTCCATATATGGTTGTTATATAAGTCCATAAGTGTATGTGGGTGTAACAGCGATGGTTTCTTTGAGCTGACCTGTTTAGTATTCCTACATTGGAAGTGGTTGAGAAGAGGTCATTTGACTTACCATGGGGGCTCCCTGGTGGCCGATCACATAAGGGCGTTGCTTCAGGGAGTTGGGATCCATTATGCAGGGGGAGGTGATGTAGAGGGGTACCACATAGAGTCCCAGTGACACAGTGAGATAAAGCAGCAAGACCACCACCTGAAACACTGAGTGGAGACAAAACAGTTCAGCCTTTTTCTTTTATAAATGTGCTCATTACTGACAGTCGTGTCTGTGAGCTAGCTTTAGCTAAACCCAAGGACAGAGGACTTGCAAAAATAGGAAGCTGCATCCAGACATAACTACCAGTCCATGTACCAGCACTTCAGACACTCACAAATTACCATATTTTATTTGATCTTTAAAGTGTATGTTAAATAACAACAGTAAAATCAACAAAAACTATAAACACAGCAAATAAAGATCTTGATAAATACTTAAACATAACATGGTTCCTGGAAAAAAAAGAATATTTTGCATGTATTTCATCGTATGCTCCTGTTGTGTGAACATTGAATAATGCTATATTATATACATAGTTGGGAAAAAATCACTACTTTCACAGTGCAGGTTGTGATGCACATTTCAGATTTTTTGTTAAATCCGATCTTTTTGTGCGGTCGTTCACATTACAACAACAAATGCAGCATCTAATGTGAATGGAATGCGTCTGTGAAGTGACAAGCACAAATTGCTTTCCGCTCCTGTTTGTTTTGTCGAACAATGGTGACGTTTGTCGCATATTGACGACGTATAGGTTCGATGAACGCCTGAGCGTCCACACTGTAGTCACATCAGATACATATCTGATTGATATCCACATACAAAAGAGGCCTGGGTCGGATTTGAGAAAATCAGAATTGCACTGTTCACACTTACATGAAAAAATCAGATATGTGTCACATATGGTTGAAAAATTGGAATTGACCTGCAGTGTGAACATAGACTATGAGTGAGTGGGTAGGGGTGATGTTTTTGCCATATGCAGCTAAAGAGTGAGAGGTGTGATCGTTAGACACTAATGAAGATTCTTCATAATCTTTTCTACTCCTCCTTTGTTGATACTGTTAATATGTCTGTTTACTTGTCGCATTAAAATCAGGTAAATAAAACTCCTGATACAACTTTTTTACGTCCCATTCGATACCCCTATTGTAGCCTTCAGTATTGGCAGATACCGATATTGATCCAACATTAGTACAAACTTGTTCATGACCAGTTTTGCATTCAGCTGCAACGTCTTTTTAGGACTTGAATGAAAAATACTGCCACATTGCCGACATCACTTCTACTCCTTGCTTCTTTGTTAGTACCTTAGTACACATAGTTGCTTACACAGGCTTTACATGCTGGATCAGGGCGCTGCTAGATAGAGGTGTGGGAGCAGAGTCTGGAATGGACTGCTTGTATCAGAGTGCTGTTATCAGAGACTTTTGGATGCAGGCCGATATAATCAGATATTTGTTTTATTGCAGATATCGGATTATCCAATATCAATATCGGATCAGGACATCCCTAGTTGTATTTTGTAAACACAGTATCTTCTTATGTGTTCCTTTTATAACATTTCTTGCCTGTCAAACAGAGAACACTTCATGCTGTTTAGGGATTCATGCAGTTTTAACTTTGCCATGAGCATAAAGATGAGTTAATCAGTTTAAACCACAGCACTGGCATTCATGAAGCAGCGGTAATTCAGATTCTTCATGCCTTCATTATCACTTGGGTGAGGTCTGAGGAGTCCTTTTAAGTCTCCCAAAGCAGATGTGACACCTAGCTGTGATTGTAGGATGAGATCGGCAGTTCTATTAACTACTTCACACAATGGCTGGGAACATTCACATCAGTGGCAAAAGAGACACTCTCCCATGCATCTACCTCAGTGCGAGTACAATGTGAGCCATGAGCTGTGGTGTGTGCGTGTGTGTGTGTGCATGTGTGTGTCTTAGTAGACAAATAGACGCACAGACTTGGGGGAATGTATTTGTTTCAAGGTCAGCTCCTGAGCGAGGTTGAGAAGACAACTCTTGTTACACACAGGAGACTCAACGCTTTCATTGATGCACACAAACATATGCAAGCCCACACACACGAGCACACACACATGCATACGCACACATTCTCTCATAGGTGTTGAGACAAGGACTGCCTGAATGATGATTAAATACAGTATTCCTTGTGTATATTCAGTTGTATTAAAATAAGAGAATTACAGAAACCAGCTACCATCAGATTTTTAGTCTAAGGCTTCCACAAGCAGATGTAGTGTAGTGCCTTAAACTGTGAATGAAAAGTGGGCGGGAAAAAAACTAAGAATAACAGAAATTAAACTGTATTATGCTGCTGTTTTAGCGTGTTATTTTCTTTCTTTGAGAGAACAGAGAAAGTCCACTCCTCATCAAAACCCTGCAGAAGGTTGTTAGTACACGGCCAAAGTTAGCTTTTATTGTGCTGGCTGCATGTGCCCTTATTCAGAGACTGAATAGTACCAGCTCTTTGTCACTGGCTTTTTATACAGTTACACACGGTTCTCATCGGCTAAAGATGGAGCAGAGGAGAGTTATAGTGAATGCACTATGACCTAATCTGTATTTGTCAGCTTTTATACGAAACTTTTCCCCAAATTGATCATATTTTGATGGTTCAGTTTATACAGATTGATAGTTATGCTGTGAAAGTCACTGATCGTTGGGGTAGAGTAATCTGGCTGTGTCCTTTTTACTTACCATGTCTCTCCCAAGGTCGGAGGAAAAATGTATGGACAAACAAACCCTCTCTTTTCATTTTCACAGCGGCCTTGCAGTACAAAGCACACAGTTATGCGACTCACTGAAGGACACGTCTTTGAACGAATCTCAAGATTAATAGCTGGTTGCGTTCACCATTATAACACCGCCAATGGCAGTTTCTTCAGACTAAATTCAGAGACCAATATCAGTGACAGTTTTGGTAATTTGAACACAAAGGAATGCTTATTGGAGATAAAAAAAAAATAATCAAAGGTTTCCTGGCTGGAAAACATCACATGCACCTTTAGGAATGTTCTTTATCTATGACACCCTGGTGGAAGTCCTGGCCTCTGTCGACAAAGTGTTAACCATTCACCACTCTTCCTCTATTTGTGAGTGTGTGTGTGTGTGTGTGTTTGTGTAGCATATGGTTACAACAGATACAAGTAAATTCTGTGCTGCAGTGTTCAACATACTTGTCTTTTCTGAGCGCGCCACTTGTCCAGCCACGATCCAAGACAGTGCAGTGACTGCAGCAAGAGCCCCGATGTGCAGGAATGGCCCTGTGGCCTGGGCAGAGATATGAGGCAGAGTAGAGAGGATAAGGAAGGACATTATTAAGAAGGGAGGATTCAGAAAAATGGAAAGAAGAGATGGAGGATCAGGGTTTATGGGAGATGTTTGCAAGCAGGGGAGAAAAAGACAAAGAAAGTCTGAGAAGCCTGGAATTATAGGCATTCTTTTTGGTAAAGTACTTTTTAGAGATAATAGCTATAATATATAAATGCCTTTAATGTTAATAGCACTTTATGTGCAGTCAAGCTATGCCTCCACTTCAAAAATCTCACACAGAAACAGTACACAAGAGCCTCCCTAAGCTCCTTAAATATTGTTTTGCTGTTAGTTGTTAGTAATAATAATATGGATCAGGTATAATGTGACTTCTGTTTATGCGGTTTTTACTATAAAGCTTTCTCCCCCAGCCACTTTATTTATTTACGACTACTCCTGTAATAATAATAATGACAATAACAATAATAATAAAAGATAAAATATACGAATAAATAAATAAATAAATAAATAAATAAGTGAATAAATAAATAAATAAAATAAATATAATAATAACAATAACAATTACAACGACAATAATAATAATAATAATAATAACCTAGAGATAGACCTTTTTATTATAGAGCTTTCTCCCCCAGCCACTATTTTATATCTACTACTACTCCTGTTATAATAAAAATAATAATGACAATAACAATAATAACAAAAATAAAATATATTAATTAATAAATAAATAAATAAAATATAATAACAACAACAACAAAAACAATAATAATAATAATAATAATAATAATAATAATAATAATAATAATAATAATAATAATAATAATAATAATGAAAAAATTAGAATCAGAATAGAAAAAATAAAATAAATAACTAACAAAATAAATAACATACATAAAAATAATAAAAATAATGGTGGACCTCTAAACTGTGCAGAATTACATTTATACTGTGTCTGAAACAGGTCAAAGACTGGGTAAGTATTTTTATTCACCAATAATTATTTTGTCATTTCAATCAATAGGCTGCCCAAATATTATGTAACACATCACTGGCTTGACTAAAACCTGGCATTAGTTCTGATGGCAAGCAGTCAAAAGTCTGTCTATTATTTTCAGTGTTTTAGTGTCCTGACCTGGAGTGAGATAGGAATGATGTCCCACTCTTGCCTCCATGCTTGATTGACAGATATAACCCCAACAATGGTAGTGAGCAGAGCAGCAGTAACTCCTATCTGTAAAGACAAAGAGAACTGAGAACCAGAGTGACTGTCACGACAGGTTAATACATGTACACAACCATGCACACACAGACACACACTCACAAAACAACCTCAAATAGCCCTGAGCCCTTTCACACCCTAGAGTGTGTTCAGTTCTTGTATTTGGTTTGCTGATAGCATTTCCAAAGAGGTCATTTACTGAGCTTTCACAACCCTGCTAGGACACCACGATCCAAACAGTAAGTTCAGGACGAGTTCAGCTGATCAGCGATGAATAAACACACATGCAGGCAGCAGGCAAACACTAGGGAGGGCAAACCAACCAACCAACACAAGACTGAAAAAGATACATGATGTGTTACACTCATTTCTCTCACAATTAAAACCAGCTACACATACAGCTTCCCAAATGCCGTGTCTGCTTACCTTATGGAGCCAGTGCAAATTCAACTGCTGCCCAAGTGCAATGTGGCAAAGTGCTAAAACCTTAGAACAAAGAAAAATACAAAAGACACCTGCAAGAGTTAGACTTTAAAAAACAAGTACGAATTCAACTTTACTACATAACTGGTCACATATGGCAACATGTGAACTGTTCAGAATCTGCTGCTACTTTTTTTTTTACTAAAAAGTTTGCTATCATGGTGATCACATCCTGTTAAAAACTTTATGGGGCAATATGATATAGAACTGACCATTAAAAATGAAATGTAGGTGAAGCCAGCAGCAGTGGTGGCCAGGATGGGCACAGTCCCATCACTCCACTCCCCAGAGCGGTTGTAGAGGAACCTGCAGGGACAGAAATATGTTTCACATCTGGGAGCTTCCTGGAAATATCATATTGCTCCCTTCTGTAACAAACACTTTAGTTTGACATTTTTTATTGTTATTTTTTTTTATAATCATTGTAAGTAAAATTTTATTAGTTTGAGGTAAAACCAAAAGGACTACAAAAGGGTCTATTGTTATAAAAATGTTATATTAACTGCATTTAGTTTCTGATCAATCACATCCATCTAAAAAGGATATGTCTCAGTCAGTCTTCAAGTGAAAAACATATTTGCTTTAGATTAAGTAATTTCATTCAGTTTTGTAGGTTTTATAGAAATTCTCTCTTTTTTTATTTCAGTTTAAAATCATTCTGACAAACAAATTTTTGTTATTTCATCAGTTTCTGCTACTGACTACAACAGTTCATCACAGGTTTGAGTGCAAAGCAGATTGCAAACACTTGTTTTATGTTATTCCCTCGTTTCTTTCCCATACCTTCACTGTAATTATTGTGCCTGTCTCTGTCTGAAATAAAAATGCAAATAAAAAAATGCATGTGAATGGAAGTTCATCAGCCTAAAACACTTTAAGTTTCATGTATCTGTACAAGAAAAACAGGAAGAAGGGTTTTAAAAAAGAGAGGCACATAATGTTCCACCATCACAGGATAAGCCAACCTCACAGTACTGCTCCAACCACACCTCTATTCTGCTAATGGCCCATTGAAAGCTTATACTCACTGTAACTTTGCTAGTTAAACAGATAAGGTGGAATACTGAGTTTCTCTCATATCTCTCCATCCCTCTTAATATGTAAAAACAGTCAAGTTTTTCTGTCAAGCACACACCTTTAATGTCTTAAAACAGGGCTGGGCAATTAATTTTTACATGGGGCCACATGAGAAACCTGAACTGCGTTGGAGGGCTGAACCAACAATAATTTCAACTTCAAAAAAAGGAGGGTGGGGGTGGGGGGTCACATGTACAGAAAAGCAAGCCCAAATAAGCAACTACTAGTCCAAAACAAGCCCAAAAAAAGCGCACCTGCAACTCATGAGTTTTACAAGTGACTTCTGAGAAAAACAAGCCTAAAGTCGTTTATAATGAGGGGACTTGGCAACTATAAGACATCTAGGTATGTTTTGCCGATGTTTAAACTTGTCTCTGTTCACGAAGGCAGATCTAGGATGTACGCACGTGCATCCAAACAGAAATAAAACAACAGATAGTTTTTCAAAATAAAAGCAACACACTTGTATAGCATGTTGATGATTTGATTGACGGACCTCACGAAGGGCCGGGCAGGGACATCCAAGGGGCCGGATGTAAAATGCCCAGGTCTGCCTTAAAATATGATAAAATGTGATTTTTACTTGTGGCATTTACAACACACAAACAACCTTTTTCCCCACTGTGACGCCCATGCACATAGGGCTGGGCGATAAACCAAAATTTACCAATACTGAAATTTACTACACTAACCGACGTCATTTTGCCAATATCAGTATATTCAGTGTCAAAAAAATAAATTAAAGTTGGTTTTGGATGTGTGTAGGTAGGCTATGGTCTCATGTCCCTTTAAAACGCTGTATAGACGAGAACTACATAGTAGACCACAGCTTAGATAAGGAAAGACAGCTGACTTATCAAAATTGTTTTCTTCAAACACATTAATCAGGATATAATGTCAACTTGCATGGACCAACATACACATGCAAAACTATTGAAACAGCAAAGACATAATTGTGAGCACATGTGTGTTTTTTTATCATGTGACAGCTAAGTCCTATAGCACTCATTTCTTCTAAAACCTTATCAGCGATTCAACTGGCACAGAGCCACAGTCAGGTCACTTAAAGCTGATGCTCCGTGCCCCTTGAGTATACATTTACAAAAGGGGGGGGTGGACCAACACTCTCCCTGCTGTTAAATCACAACGACACAAAAGGGCAGAGATGTCACCTCTGTGATTATCTGCACAATCCCCACAAATAGCAGGAAGGAAAGCAGGAAATGTGTTCATGTTATATCAAGAGGAGGCAAATGTCTGCCGACCAAAGCTGAACTCAAGAGGTAAATCAACGCTGGCAATATTGCTGAGAAAAAGGGGGAAGGGTTTCAATTTAAGTATTAAAAAAAGAGGAGCCCGATAGAATAAAACAGGAAGTGAGATAATAAAGAAAAACTAGAGAGGAAGATATTTTCATGTTGACATATTAAGAGGTTCCTGAGAGCAGGAGAAGAGGGGGAGGGGAGAGGCAACTGAAGAGCAAAACATCCTTATGTCCTGTAGCGTGTTATAGACCATGTCAAACATTTACTAAGTACATTTAAAAAGTACAGTTTATCAGACTTTGCAGCCAGAATATACTGACTATAATTATAATGGATAATAAGGAAGGATGTCTGAGTGGTGATCTAACCCAGGGTTACTTAGAGGACACTAAAATGTTGTCCATTAACATTTGTTCATCAGTTGATGTTGTTTTTTTATGTTTCACAGTTACAAAAAAAAACCTTAAAAAACAAATTATCTTTGGTTGAAAATACACTAGGATCAGGTTTGGCATTGAAATATACAGATGGGCTGAGCCATTAACCAAACCAGAAATGTTGGATTAGCGATCTCTGTTATATAATGATACCGTCAGTGTGTGATGGCACGGCGGTATCTGCTCAGATTAAGGCAGAAGACAGAGTCGAGTGATGATTCAGGAAACAACAACTATCCTCCAGGTATGGATAGAATTTATTTTCTGACTGAACAACACAATGACATGTCTCTGGCTATACTTGAGTGCATACTTACCAGTTGAACTCATTGTAGTCATTATGTGCTTCCCACCAGAAGTAGAACCAGACCAGCAGCAGACAGAAGGTGAAGAGCAGGATGAGTGACCACAGCAGCTCCCACTGCACGCAAAACAAACACAGAGAAACATTTTTATTTTCTTTATTGAACTTTGATGACCTCAAAGATATATTGACTTCTCTTAAATGCAGTTGCATTTGAAGCAGAACAGCTCTAACTGCCAGAACGCAAAAAAGCATTACTTCTAAGGAAATTATGCTTTATGTGTATTGGATGATTAACTTGTTCCTTTACATGAGGAACTTTCCAGATGATGTTAATTGGAAGTAAGCTTGGGGCGACATGGTGTGAACCTGCCAGCCAACCTTTGCAGACAGTCCTCCCTAATTCCCCAATTCACTTAGCTCATTATCCAGGAAGCACTTTAATAAAAGCCGACTCACTCTTGTCTTCTTCTTATTTATAGTTTTATATTACGTCAAATATCAAATTTGAAGGATGAGAAATGGAAACACACCCGAGGCCATACTCAGGAGAATATGTGGATGCAAACACACCCAACTCTGTAACTTTCAGTGTACTTTAAAAATGTCCAGAAGTTTAGTATAAGTCTGACAGAACCTGTCCGACTCATCATAGCACTGGATATTGCTTTTTATCCAAAAAAAAAAAAAAAAAAAAAAAAAAACTCATCCACTGGAATAACCCTGAGAGCAGCAGTGATAGCTGATTTAATGACACAAATACACAGACACAGCAGACAATCTTAGTAATCAAAGATGTAAGGAGTAGAAATACATTTTAAGTGTAACCCGATTTATTTAAAATTATATGTAACAAATATATGAAATCCAAGTCAGTGATTGAATGTGAAAAGTTGAGTTGAAAACAAATGAATCTGAAAAAAAAAATCCTGATTGCAGCACTTCAAGTGAGATGCTTTCCCCCTCCTGCTGTATAGTGTTAAATGTATCTTGAGACTAAAGGTCCATACATACCAGGAGCGTTTTTTCGTGCGATTATTTCGGACGTCTTTTTTTATGGATTATAGTTTAATGTGCTTATCTTGTACTGTCCCCAACTCAGTTCATGCTATCATGACAGACAGCCATCTCAACATTAGTGTCTAATCAGAACTGAAAAACAGTCAGTCTGCTGTTGTGTCAGTCTTCTCGCTTCCACCCGGGACGTGTCCTTCTTCCTCCCGGAAAGTCGCAAAACCGCATTGCCCTTAATGTGTATTGTCAGGCACGTCAAAATTCGCCTCCGGATATTTTGTAATTTCGCAATGTATATTTGCGTCGTTCTGGGTGTGTAAGGACCTTAATACTTAAGCAAAACAAGTAACTCAATAAATAATTGATTGAGACAGGGCGTGTGAATGTGTAGATTAATATTTCAACAAAATCTCTATATGTTGTGTACACATCAAGACTTAACATAGCAGTACATGACCTTGACTCAAAAGTGCTGTTTTTGCCAGGGATAGTTATTATTCCCCTCGCCAGCAGACACGACAAGTAAGACAATCTCTCTGATCCTGTTTACCTAGTTTCATTCCCACTTTGCCACTCAGGCTAAATATGGACGTTCAGCATCATGCTGCGATCATAATCCTCATCCAAATCTAGAGGTCACGCATTGACCTCCAACTTGTTTTAAAAGCTTTCCCACATTTTAACAGAGACCCAGGGTCAGACTTAATATGGAAAGCATGCTGGTAGAAAGATGTATTATTTAATTTCTGAGCATGGTTTCAAGGTATAATAGAGGATGGTTTGTACAAAAAAGGCAAACAAGCCTGGGGGAGGTTGATTCGATCCCCTCTCATATTTGGGCACGGCTGAAGAAATTTTTGAAGAAGTGCAATCAAAATTGTTTCATTATGTAAGAAGGTGCTCTCCCATCAGATAATATGCGTAGTGAATCATTCTGGCAGTACAAGTCTGTTTCTTCACTAAACAGACCTTCAAAGAAAAACAAAGGCGTTTCAAGAAATGAATCATACCCTGACTTTTTCAGAGAATCAACACTTTACGCCTTTCAGTGTCTTTCTCTTCGACTGCAAAAGATAACTAACAAACAGGGAACAAAAGGTATCAACATCTAAATATCTATTTCTACAAGGAGACAGATTAAAACGATTCTCCTGACAATGGATCCTGGTCTATGATGAGTTCAGCTCTCTGTGGAAAAGGCTCCTCTGCTCATTGATGAGAGAGCTCTGACTCTGGTTCCCATGGTCCATAACGACCACCTGGAAACACCTGGGATGTCACCTACCATGCTCCTCAGGGGGGACATTGTTAACCCCTTGCCCTAACCCTCCATGCTTTGCTGCCAGCCTTCCACCCCTCCTCTGTGGATCGATGCATGCAAGCTGAGACACATCCGACAAAGCCGTGACGGTGATCAAACAGACAACTGCAAGCAATAAAGATCTCAAACTAAATGTGGAATTTCTAGAGCTCTAAAATTCTACGAAATAACGTGTCAAAGCAGAGCTGCTCTGTGTCTGTCTTTACAGCTCTGCAGTTCCCATGACCTCTTGCATCTGAATGGCAGTCATCACCTTCATCAATAACAAAGGGTTAAACATTTGTCTTACAAGAAGGTATAAACTTTAAAGCTTAGTGGTTCTTTGTTTAAATGTTTATTTTACATCTTACATCTTACCATATGTTTAATGTACCTCGAGCTAAACAAACCAGCTGGGATTTGCCGAGCTAAAACATGACTCGGCTTGCCTTTAGTGACATCACATTACCATTCTGCGTGGCTTGCATTTTGTTTAGGCCCAACACCCCATCGCGCTGACTGATGGGAGGAGAAATCTCTCAAAACACTCCGAGAATCTAGTGTTTGAAAGGCAGCGTATGGTAAGAATCATCCGTGCTTTGTTCCAGTAATTACGGGTTAGCAGTCGGGTGCTCCCCTCTGGAGAAATCATTCAAGACAAAGGGGACGAGTAAGTCCATGAAAGCTTGAGAGCCACTGAATTAGATTCAATTCTAATGAAACTGTACTGTTATGATTGTTTAAATATCGTCTTAAAAACTCATGCTTTTATGTTACACCCTGCATAATGTAAGGCAACTGCAGTGGCTGGGATTTACAATGAAGTATAAGGGCCACATTAGGAAACAAAATTAAGACTTCAAGATTAAATTAATTACTCAAGAGAATAAAGTCGTGATAGAGTAATAACTCTCAAAACTAAAGGACTAAGGACTAAGCTTTAGGACTATATTTACTTTGTGACTTCATTCTCGTAAGTAATGATTTTATCACGACTTTATTCTCATGAGTATTCACTTTAATCTTGATGGGGTTTTTTTCTTAATGTGGCCTTAATACTCCATCATAGAGATTAGATATACTTTCAAATGGAAAAAAAAAAAAAACTGCCAATTGATCCAATGGTGTAGCCTCAAGGACCACATCTTATTTTTTCCAGACAGAAAAATTAAGAGGATCTTAAGAAATTCTTTGAGTCATATAAACAAGTACTTATCGTGAATACACTCCTTAAAGTTCTCCAATTGGAAGTCATATGCTGTGGACAGAAAGGACTTAAAGGGGTTATCAGCTGCATACAGGATTTATCCTGCTTCAATAATGGACTGCGCCAAAGTTTTGCAATGCCAAAATGATATACCAAGTTCAAGAGAGCAACAGCTAAGTATACACTAATGGTGTGTCCCAAATCACATACTTCCAAACTAAATACTTAGATTTCTCAAATTGAGTGTTCTAAGCATAGCCTACTATGTACTCAATTGCCCAGTGCTTGGGTTTCAGGGTGCAGTGTTGTTCCAAATCGCTTACTGCCGCGCAGGGCACTCACCAGAAATGACGACACAATTTCTTCTACGCCAATTTGTCACCAGCTAGCTCTGCTTTAGCTAAGTACGGCCACCTTTTGTCTGCACTCGTTCATCCACTTTAGAGGTAAAATCAGCAACAAAATAAATGTTCATTGCTCATTTTTACGTCTCAATCGGCGCCGACAACGTGATCTCCTCCTTCTACTGGCTGAAGATCCAGCGGTATTTATAGTTTATTTGTGATCTATTTAGCAAAACATTTGGTGACAAGTCATTTTATTTTTTCAAACCCATGTTCACACACAATTTCAAATTTGTCCCTGTTATTTAACGTTAAGATGGGAATAGAAGAGGTAGGAAACAAGACAGTGGAAAATTTTAGTTTTTGATTAGAAAAGGTGGAAGCCAAGTAGAGGTGCAGAGGAGCTGTGAAAAGGGGGTTCTTTTTAGTCTGATCACAAAAAACAGGAGCTCCAAGCTGTTGTCTGGACTGGAAAGCTTTGTAATAATAAAAACAATTTCAGTCAGAATTCTGCATTTGCCTCGACTTGAAACAAACCCCGGCTGACAGCAAATCGACTACGCAAGGCTGTGATTCTTAAATGAGCTTATTGGATTTCAGAAATCTGTTAAAAGGCCTCACATAAATCTCAACTAAGCAGTGTTTAGAATGATATAAATTAGCAGCAAAGCTCAACACCGGTCCCTTTTATGTGATTTCGCTGAAATTGTGTGCTTTTGTTAATCCATGTACACATCAAGATTTACAAGAGCCCAGTGTCAGACTTTTATATGACAGCATATTCTTTGCCAAAGTGAAACCATGCAGTGATCTAGAATCAAAAGATAATTTGCACCAACTTTGGTAAATATTTCCCTCAGTGTCCAGGAAACTCGCATTTAAGCTGCTTTGTAGAGACTTTCAGGAGCTTTGATGTGGCCTTTTGAGGCACTCTGCTGCCCACTCAGTAACAAAGACGCCAATTTAGACCTGCTGTACAAGGCCAAATTAAAGGAGACATGACAGGTCTTGTATTAGTTTTGATTTGTACTTAATCTCCAAGAAAGGATAAAAGTTCATGACAGCTGTAATGTATGGGTATTAAAGTGGGCTAATCTCCCTTTAATTGACACAGAGAGCTGCTGTCATCAGCTGCTCTTCAACGGAGCGCAAACATGCCTGATCATAGACTTCCTGAGTTTACAGACACACTCAAATACAAAAGAAGAAAAACATGTTCTTACTGTGTGCTTCTTTAAACAACCATGATGGCTATATCATGTGCTCTGATTTGCATCTGATTTGCAATTTAGCCTATATGGTAAACAGGACACTTTATCATTTACACACAGACACAAAACTAACACAACCACATTAAGACAAGTTGTGTTTTGCAATGCATAGTCATAGTCTTCCCCCTTGCAGCAGGTTGATCATGTTTAGCTTGGAGCTGGTTTATTTATGAGTGAAGAAACTGTTGCAGCAACAGTTGAGCTCACCACAACCCAACTTGCACTACTATCAATGCTTTTTGAAAGTTATCTGTCCTGTTACGCAAAAACATCAAAAGATTATGTGACATGGTGTGCTCATGAGATCATGTCTTTGAGCTTAAGTAAACTTAAAAACTTAAGTAAATATAACAGAGCTTTTTTTTCCAGTCACACAAGTCGAAAAAAGACAAACTGGTTTTAGATTCTTTGTTTTGCTTGTTGTGCTCCTTGGAGCACAGGCACAACACAATAATTCTCTGTCCGTGTTACTTTTTATTTCTTAGTCTTTTTTGCCATTTTAGAGAAGCACAACAAATTTCACTGAGCTATGTGCAATGATAACACAGGCATTCAATCATATTCTGTTCTATTTTACCATTAGACACAGGTAACAAAGTAGGGCAATTATAAAAAAAATTCACAGACTTTGGAAATAAAGTCATAAATTTACAAGAGTAAATTCACAAATTTATGAGAATAAAGTCACAAATGTATGAGAATAAAGTCATAAGTTTAGGAGAGTAAAGTCAGAAACTTATGAGAATAAATTCACAATTTTACAAGAATAAAGTCATGAATTTGCGAGAGTAAAGTTGGAAAATTATGAGCTTAAAGTCATGAGTTTATGAGAGCAAATGGAGAAGTTAAAAGATTGAAGTCATGAACTTACAAGAATAAATGCATAAATTTACAAGAACAAAGTCATGGACTTACAAAAATAAAGTCACAAATATACAAGAATAAGGTCACGAGTTTATGAGAAGGATATGAAGGCTATGTTCACTTAAAGAAAGCCAACATGTTTGTAAACAGAGCTGATGAAGAGTCAAAGACTGTGATACGTGTAATTTTACAGTGCAAGAGGTATGTAACCCAAGAGAAGAAAACTTTGCAGAGATCTGGGAGTGGCTGGAGACACTGTTTCTAACATGAACACATTACTTAATCCAAGCTCTCTTTATACTTTGCCTGAAATAACCTTTGTCTTACACCACACAGACAGCTTCAGTAAAATGATAGAGACAGCTTCAGTAGCTTCTGGGAAGAGTTTTATGAACGGTGCACCATTGGAACAACTTTGAAAGTGCCTTTTCTTAGGCATGATTTCAGTGCAGCTACACGGTGAGCAATTAGACAAATTCTTCTGAAAGGATTCCAAGATTATCAATGCGTACCCATCAAGCTAACTCCACCTTTTGTAGAGGAAATGCTTTTGGGGAAGTTCACAGTGATTTAAAGACAAGTTTACTGAAGTTTGTGAGCTGCCAAGAATCAAAAGTCCTGAGACAGGCTTTAGATGATTTTTCATCTGTTGATGTTGATGACCTTCTTGAAGTGCTGACCACCTATGAGTGTAGAAAGAAGGTCTCTGCTGCAGAAACTCATGTTTGTGATTGCCTGCTGGAGGGAGATCACACAGTCACAGTTGAATCAGAACTTTGCAGAACAGATTACAATGTACAGTGACCTCAAACCAAAGAATACTGAACTCTTCTGCAGGGATGACACAGAAAGAAGCAGAGGTGTCCCAGCACCTCAAAAGAAAGTCCCTTGAGAAGAGCCCATGATCTTTGAGGGTCTAAAGTATGTCCATACAAAACTGTACACTCTGTTTACGCAGGACCCCCAATCATGATTTTATCCACTGATTGGCAGCACATGAATTCTTGAAATCTGTGATTTTTTTTCTCAATGTGGCCCTAATACTCGAAGATACACGTCCTTCCATTATCTTGACTGGATTTAACACCACAGTTACTTGTTACATTCCTAAGTGTATCCAGATAAGTCTGTGGCATTTCACACACAGTGTGCCTATTTTCCAAGCAGCTATACAACGAGAGCCACGCTACGTTCAACACTTTGTAGAAGCCTAGAAATGTATTAGAAGAGCCTGATTACCAATCTTTATTTACTCTGTAAAATTTAGAAACAGCTCTTATTGTGCTGTAAGTAAATTCAGATGTAACATAGTCATGTATTTAAAAAGCAAAGTTGTATATTTTCCAATAGCTTTGTACAGATTTTTGAATATTACCACTCCAGCCAACAAGTAGTTAAACTCAGCAGCCAACATGACTGGCTGACCCCATGTTGCCTCTTTTATCTAAGCTCTCTTCAATCTGCTCTGCTGGCAAAGGATCACATTTTTGGTTGCAATATTTGTTGTTGATGTTAAGCTGTCTCACAGAATTTACAGCCTGGCACAAAACTGAACTCAGTATGAGGCTTTCATAGTCACAGGCAGTGCTGCCCAGTCAGAGCGTCCATTAAAGTATCATTAAATATGATTTACATGAAATACATTTTCCACCGCATGTATTTACTTGTTGAAAGCAAATCTCAAACCCTCCATGTGGACCTTATTGAGTCAAATCATGTTTGATTTATAGATGCTTGTAACCTTCCACTCTGTCAGCTACAGGGAAGAAAAACTGACAAGCATGTTGGTTTTTTTTATCCGGCAAAAAATATACAGTAAATATTTTTTTTTCTGATGACAAGATAATGTAAAAATATTACCATTAATATCTATACAACTTATATACAAGAAAGAAAACAGCTTACTTTTAAATCAAACCATGTCCATCCAAATAACTGCAACTAACATGTCTGTCTTTGCTGTTTTATTTTGAAACCACTAACCACTTGTCTCTGTGTTCACATTTACTGCCCTGCCCCTGTCTTGTTACATCTGCATCCTGATTGTCTCTCCCCACCTGTTTCCCATCACCCTCATTATCTCTTGTGTTTAACCTCATGCCTCTCAATAGCTGTGTTTACATGGACACAAATAATCGAAAAAAAGGCCTGATCAGAATAAAAATGCGTCATGTAAGCATGTTGAAGCTTATTATTGTAAACATCGGAAGATTCTGATCCAATTTGGTGCAATCAGAAAGAAACTGTATTCCGATCAAGAGGGGTGGTTTATGCCAATCATTGTTCCGAGACGCGTCCATGTAAACACTTAGACTCTCTGTTGGGGCAATACTAACCTGACTGTGTATGTGTGCCCTACGTCAATGTGACGATAGTTATAGTCACGCCGTGTTTGTACCTTGCCTGCTTTTTTGACCTTACCTTTTGCCTCACATTTTTTGGATACTTCTGCCTAATCTGACTGCCTACCTGTGAACTGACCACTGCCTGTTTGAATAAACTAAGATGAGCGTATTCTGACTTCCCAAAAATAAGACACGACTACAAGGGGGCGGAGTCACAGAATCGTACGAAGTGAATTTTGAGTTTTTCGGGTCGGATTGATCGTCTTTTATGTGCTTCGAACTCAGTAAGTCAACGTGACACAAAATAAACTAAAATGATTATATTCTGATTTCCCAAAAAGGAGACACGACTACAAGGGGGCGGAGTCACAGAGTCGTACAAAGTTCATTTTTGAGTTTTTCGGGTCTGATAGAGTGTCTTTTACACGCTTCTAACTCAGTCAGTCCACATGACACAAAATAAACTAGAATGATTATATTCTGATTTCCAAAAAAGAAGACATCAACAAGGGGGCAGAGTCACGGAGTCACACAAAGTTCATTTTGAGTTTTTTCGGGTCGGATCGAGTGTCTTTTACGCGCTTCTAACTCAGTAAGTTCACGTGATACAAAATCGAAACTTACGTACAAAACTGTGGACGTTTGAAGGATTTCATAAACTTCCCCGGACAGCCCAGACACCCCCCAAAAGAGGACTTGTCTGGGTAAAAGAGGACGCATGGTCACCCTAAATAAACCTTTGCCTATTTTGACCTACTGCTTGGTGCCCTGCAGTTGTATCCTCCCTTTCTGTGCCTCACTTCATGAAGGCAACAAAGCTAATTGCAGTTCTATGTAATCGTGTTTACTCATATTTTCCAGCAGTATCACAGGCCAAGGCTAAGACAGACGACACAATACACTGACAAATGAAGGCAGGGTAGATTTGCTTCTATTTTTAAGTCTTTGTGTGTCTGAATGGTTGAGACTGGCTAAATGGAAACACTTTCAATTATTACTGAGCGCCAGATCAGCTTGCACTGCACATCGTGGACCGTCTTCTAACAAAACACCTTGAATACAGACAGAAAGAGCTTGACAGACAGTCAGCCTGAACAGGTGATTTGATGATTTACGGCTGGATTATGAATGAGCCGTCAGTTGTTTTAACATGAGATCCCTGTCCCCAAGCTCCTGTGATTCCTAAAGGTCTAGTTACATGAAACTGATATAGCTCGTCTTGATTGGTTACAGTTTGTTTACTGGTATCATTAAAGATGCAGAATCATATCACATGCTTGGAGTAAAAAAACAAGTACTCAGCAGAAACACAAGTATAAAGCATAAAATCTAAATTCTTAAAATTACTCGTCTCAATTAACTGCGATGGTAATAGTCTTTGCTTATTCACTCATTACGTAAACAACATAAAATGATGGAATACGCAACATATTATCTGCATTCTCTGTCAGGAAAATGTAATCACCACAGCCTGACAGCTTCTTATACGGTCAAAACAAAAGCGACCCATCACAACACATCTTGACAAAGGAAAAGCACTGTGAACAAAGAGTGCTGACTGTGCGTTATGCTATCATTTGTCCTGCAAGACAACCACTTGCAACAGGAATAGCTACTAGGTGTCCAGTGTCCTGCAAACAGCGGGGCAAAATCTATCTCTTTTTTTTTTTCAGTTCTGCGTTTAGCATGACCGAAAAAAGAAGATAATTATAATTATCCAACCATTTTGTGTTCTGTGTTTCTTCCCTCTTACCTACTGTTGGTTTAAAACAGGCTATAAATTTGCTCAGATGTGTACTGAGTGACATTAGACCATTGTCTGTTTCCTAGGTTTCAGCTCAGCAACAGTATGGCATGCGGGTCTGAGGAGGAGTGTACACAGTTATAAATATTCTTCACAAGTAAAAGTACAACTACTGAAAGACATTATACTTAAATAGAAGAAAAACAACCGGTCTGTCAGTACACTCAGAGCAAATGTAAGAATTAGTTTAATCTGCTTTAAGCGCTGAGAACTAGGGGGGTGAGAAAACACTGATGTACTGAAATAATGACATGACACTGTTTCTAAATTGAAAACGCTGTATCTATATTTTATGTCGCCGGGTATAGATGCAGTGACTTTCACAATCAATCACCTGAAAATGTACCGAGCTCTACAACGTTTTAGCGAGGCAGCTGACATCCAGTGTGGTAAACAGCATAAAGCAGGTTATTTCTATATGTGCATATTAAGAGCACAGTTAATCAAAAATCAAACTCTACAAACTGTTAATCTATTAATCCTGTTCAATATAAACAGAAGTGGAAATTAACATGAGTGTTAAAGTCTGTTGAGAGTCCAACTGTCCATCCCTGCTCCTTTTACACCAGTGAGGGTCCAAACATGTCCATAAAGATCCAGAGGTCGCTTCAAATCTCCAAATGCTCTCGTTCAAGTTGTCTGCTATCCATCTCTCCATGTAGAGTTAAGTTTGAACCTTTCCTTTTTCTCCTTCTGTGTAAATCCCAGGAATAGTAAATATTACTCTGTCAGTGGCTAATGTGGCTCAGCATGATCTATCTCTTCAAACAGCTCTCAACATTTTGGCCTTTTTGAAATCAACCTTTTTTTTTGCAATGTTTTGACAATGATTGATGGATGTGCTGTGCTGTATTTTTCTTAAACTCAAACAGGAGCTGGCTCACATATAGGACAGCTTCATTCACAACCGTTACCAACACAAAATGCTCCCCACTTCAGCACAGATGCTGTCGACTGCCACAATGCTCTATTCCTGCTGTGAAGCCAGATGATGTGGAGATGAAGATGTAAAAGAAAACTGAATTCAATCACTTGATTATTTCATTGGAAAATAAAAACAAATCCCTTTGCTTTAGGATTACAATACATTAAAATTCATTGCATCATCAAATAGTTAGATTTACTGTATTGTATTTGTATTGTCAGATTTTTGCTGATACACAATCCAACATGCAGTCGACAAAACCAACATTTTTTTAGAAGCTACCCAAATGAGCGCAGATACACAAAGTAGTAGTTTCTCTGTAGTAAAAATATTTTTAAAAAAATATTAAAGAAATGCAGAAATTAAGAGTGCTACCATGTATGTGTATATTTTGTTCAGTACATCATTTGACTGTGCTAAATAAAAATTCCACTCAACAAACACATGAATGTACTATAATGAAAATAACCAAACTGAAGGTTAAAATCTTAGATAACATCTATATAAATAGAAAACGTGAACAACATAGCAGGGACAGTCAACTGGGAACAGTGGAGTATTGTAATGTGAAATTAACCGCTACCTGAAGGCTCAAGGTTATTCACTGGGGAAATTGTCCACAAGGGCATTTTTCGGTCAAAGATAATTGTTTTGTTTTTAATCGATGGGGGGAGATAGGGAATCAGACAAAAGGTATAACCCTTGAGACCATGAGGTGTGAGATTCAACTGCTTGGGGGCACACCACATGGTCTGATGGTTTGGCGTGTTTTTTTTTTTTTTTTAATCCCACTAGTCCATTTAAAAAAATAAGCTTCCCACGTGCACCTCTTTGTGTGAAATGATGCACATAAATGTAAAAAGCTTCATAGGAATTCTGCAGCCAGATACAGAGAGAAGTAATTGCTGCTTTAAGACACATGGTTTCCTCAAAAATGACTGGAAGATGCAAAAAAAATAAATAAATAAATAATAATAATAAAATTAAAAAAGAAAAAAAAAAATAGGTATGAAGCTACATACGCATATCCGATTAAATTTCATAATAACTCACCTTTGATTAAAAAAAATAATAATAATTAATTAAACTGTAAAATCATTTTTATTCTAAATAAATTCTTCGTATGAAAGCTGTCCATGCAGCATGCGGTTGTAAGTATGCGCAACAATTTATAGTCATTTTCTCCAAGATAAGTGATTACAGCCTGGTCAGCTTTATTTGTATTTTTCTGACTCTTTCTCAACTTCAACTATCAATCAAACAGTTATTTCCTCTTTTTGCTTCTATAAGAAAAAAAGGTTATCTATCATCCCCGACAAGAAAATTGATGTGGAGCAGTATGAATGAAAAAAATCCGACATAAAAATGCATCAATATTAGTGAAATGTCATTCCACTGCATTAACAGATTGGCTGCTGAATGCACACGACTGGTATGTCTTCTTGAGGTACTTGACATATAGATTTTTATGCTGCTGTATTATGCACTGACTATGTGTCATACAACCCACAGTCACATTAGGTCTTGTATAAATTAAGTGATGATGTCTTTTAGTCAATGGCGGAAAGATGAAATGTTGGTCAGCGTGGTTAAATCAGCTCTTACCTTGGTGGTGTCATCATGGGAACGTTGGTAGCGTTTCCAACGGCAACCATAAATCCCAGTGATACATGACAAACACAGCTGGCGCTCATAGACCTGGAGGGGTTGGTGTTTCACCATGCTCCTTCAGTCAGTCCTGCTTCCAGTGCTTTAACATCCCACTGACTCTGGAGCACCCTGTAAAAAGATTCAAAATGTATATGTATAAATATATTGAATGTTTTGCATGAATATTGACATAATTCAAATGAATTACAATCAAAAAAGACAAGAGTGGAAAATCCATAGCACAAACTGCAGCTTGAGAAAGATATCCGTCACTTTGATTGAAAATGTGCTGAGCCTCAGATTCAGTCATGCTCCCCTGCTCCAGTTTCCAAGGACGAGTGGCACTGCTTTGAGCGTTTATCAATATCAACAAGAAGCAAATAAAAGGAAAACTCAAATGGAAACGGCTTATTGAACCAAACACTTACTGGGCAACACAATAAATTATAGTTACACATTCACTGATTTTCTGAGGCAAAAAAAAATAAACTGTTACAGGAGGTTACGAGTTACGAGATGGCAGATCTTTGCTCCATATAGCAGGTTTAGGAAAGTCCAGCTGGTGAAACAAGGATGGAGATTTTTAGCCGAGCCCTCAGACTTCACTGTGTTAAAGTCAGTGAATTCTGCTGTGAGCTACTTCAACATCAGAAGAACAACAACAAATCTGTCTTGTAGTGATCACAAACATGAGCACAGGGCCTTTCAAGGTCTTCTACTACTTTTTTTGGATCTCCTTATGGACTTCAGCTTGTTGAATTCTTCACCTGAGATTATTTCAGGACAACATCAGTGGGTCAACCTATGATTGTTGATTGCTCCGGCTGATAGATACATTTTTTTCTCAGTGTCGGGGAGCCGCAGGATGACATGAAACTTCAAAAATATCTAGCACTCATGTCGTGCCTGTCTGATGGAGTGGTTTCATCCATGTAAGCAAGTACCAGGCACTGTTGGCTGTGTATACCCACCTATAACTCAGTCCTACAATCCAGTTATAATAATAGTGATATTACAGCAGCACTGGATATCGTCAGAAGTTTAATGACAACCACACATCGAAGTTCAAAGTGGTCTTTTCAGTGTTTACAGTATAATCAAAACATTTAAACACACAAAATAGGTGTCATCATCAAACAAACATGTATTCACAAGTATAGCATGTCAACTTGGGATATCCCCTTTATTCACAGCTATACAGCTACAGTATTTCTGTTCCTTAACAACACTCTTCCCACTCTGATATCTGGCTGTCTAAGGCTCTGGAAAGGCACAGATTGGTATCTGCAATGGCAGCCATGTTTCCTGCTCTGGAGAAAAGCATGCAAAACACAAGATAAAAAGGAGCCTGGCCTGTGAGGGGACTTAAAACTACAACAGGCTGTTTGCCAATAGCGATAAATGTTACATCCACTTCAGTTTACGGTAAATCACAGTCTCGATTTGCCAACATTATACAGCAAGTTTTGAAGAGTGGTAACAATAAGAATCAAGCCTCAGAGACAGGCATGGTTGATGTTGAGATGCAAAGAGCTCTGCGTTCATCTAAACTATGTCTGGTTTTGTTTGACCCAATATTAAATTTCTTGCTAACTGTCTTAGTGTCTTATAATAGATGCCCATCATACTGGAGTTTCCACAGCTGTGTTGTTTCATCTTCAAGCTGTCCAGAAGCCAACCTAACTGAGCCGCTCCACGGCTGTGTGATAAATGAAGAACTTAATCATATCAGGAACTGCTTGTCTACAGGCTGAGCAATTATGCTGGTCTGATAGTTGTTTTCTGTCATAAATGTTGAATGACAGATACTGCAGATGGAGAGCACAGCTTTGTTTGAAGGTCTGAGTCTTCAGAGGGTTCAAATCAGCAAGTTAAAAAATACGTGAAGTGAAAAGTAGCTTGATTTTGCAGTGCAAGCAATTAGTCAAAAAAATTAAGGGGCTTGACATACAACAAGAATACAGAAGAAGATTAAGGCCACTGAGGACAAAAAGTTGAATATTTATATTGTTATTATTTTCTAAGAAAAAAGTCAGAATTCTGAGATTTAAGTCAGAGTCCCAAGAAAAACGTCAAAATTCAGATTTTTTATTCTGACCTTATCCTGAGAATTTTCACTCTTTTCTTGGAATTCTGACACTTTTTTTTTTTAATTTTGACTTTTTTCCCTAACTTCTTAATTTTAAATTTTTGGGGAATTCTGACTAAAATTGTGAAATTCTGACTTTTTTCTAGGAATTCGGCCTTTTTTTTGGACTTTTTTTTTTTCAGATATTGCCTGAGAAATACTGGCCCCAATTCTCTTCCGTACAAGAAAAACTAAGTCATCAGTAAGTTTAATTTCTTGTAGATTTTAAAAGAATAAAAATCAAGACAATATTCATGTTTAATAATTTGGTTAATGTTTTTTTATTTTGCTTTTACAGTGTTATAACTCCTCATACCAATGCGAAGGCCATTTGCTTCAAATTCCATTTATTTTAAGCCAAAAAAAAAAGAAAAAGTCCAATTTGAACCATTAATCTAGCGCTAATTTTTTGTAAAACTTCCAGAACATTAGTCACTAAGCCACTTTTTTTTCCACCTGAAATGAACACACCCAAAAAACATGAAATATTGCTTTAACTTTTCATCTATTCACACCACAGATTTGTAATTTATAATTTGCACTATACACTATCTTTAGTAATTCCATCATCAAATAAACAAGTTCTGTTTTTCTTGGTCTGATTATGTTCTTAAAAATTCTATTTTAATCCAATTACCTCACTAGATTATAATTTCTCTGATGGTTGACAAGGATGAACCGCTCCTCTGAAAGCAAACAAAGAAAAACGTGTATGTGTGTCTGGGCATGTTGACCGTGCAGGTCTCTAAAGCACTAATAAAATACTGCAGTTGACTCAGCAAAGCCGAACTGGTGTACAGGCGAAGTAACAACTGGCTTTCAGCCGTGTCGTGTTGTCACTTGTTGATAAATTACAATGTTCAAACCTGTACACACAGCAGTTCTTCTGCCATGTTGTCACAGTCAAGTAGTTTGTGCAGTTTATGTTGAAACCCCCCTGGGGATAAATCAAGTATTCTGATTCTGAAACATGTTAACCCCCTAAAAGCTCCTTATCACTCAAGTGTTGAAGCCTCTTATATTCTCTCATGTTGGGAGAAGGAAATTTCCCTTTAATAGAGCTGCACATTAAACGGTTCCTTAATAGCAGATATCTGAAGAAGGATATTATCATAATTGGGTATAGCAGCACTGACAGCACAGATTTATCACCTCACATCCATTTTTTATTTCACAGTCAAAGGGCCTCAACCCTCCTCCCAGCTGAATAAAGACTGACGGTAAAGCACTGCAAATAAATCCCTCTATCAGCATGTCTTACCAGGAACTCATCAGCTAAAAAGGGCCCAGAGGAGACAATCTATTTTTTAATGAACTGCTTTGACTTGTCAAAGCCCGGTTGAATACAGCATGAGTGGTGTTCTGAGTCTCACAGAGAAAAAGCTAGATTCATCCCCGACTCTGTGCTTACACCATCAGTTTGCCATCATGGTCGTGACACCTCAGATCACACTGTCGCAGAGGTGTGAGCACCATGTGGGCTGTGTGGTCACAATGATTCAGTGTGTCACAGACACAACAGCTGAGTCAAACATGCTAAATGAATGAGAAAAACAACTGAATGAGTAAATAAAATCAGGGAAAGTAGTTTTCTAACTTTTCTAACTTGCATTTTGCCAATTATCTAGAAAGAAGTTTTAGTGCATTGTGGCAGAAACACTGACTTTCCTGTGACAAAACATGTTCAACAATTAAACTCAACAAAAAATTAAAAAATTAAAGCTGAAACGTTTACTTGTCTGGTCACGCATGAACACGAGAAGACATAAGGGGTGTATGGAAACCCCTAAACAGCTGTTTTCATCTCCTTTTCTGCTGCCTCATTTCCTTCAATCATCGGCACAGTGAGGGAAAACAGTCTGCAGGCGAGGAAATGCTTCAGCAATTTCCCATCAGAAAGCAGTTTCTGCTCCTAACCAACAAGCTGAGTTGGAAGTGAAGCGACAGACGAGTTTGAGATCCAAAGAAAATCCATGAATGAAAAGGAAGAGATCCTCAAAGAAATGGCTTTATGAATCTCTCTTTTAGAATTACTCCAAGTTACCAAGATCGCTACAGTAACACAAAAAGGAACTCATTTCAATTGTTGTTTAATGTTACTTAATCTCATCAGCATTTGCACCCAAGTCAGTTAAAACCTTAAGGTTAGTCCTGTATTTTAGAGGTCCTAGATTTTAAGCGCAAGTGCTATTCTCACATTGGATTTTGTTACACCAGTATCTCAACGATGAAAAAAAAGTGCACTTTTCATTTCAATTATTTCATTTCTTTAGAAAGACAGAGCAGAAGAGTTTTTTTTAAAAGTAAATTAAAGCCAAGGGGTTTTCCTTGAAAAAACAAGAACCTATAGGCGTGGTCTTATTTGCCCAACGCATCATTTATATTGTGTGGAGGCTCAGGTGACGCAACGGGAAACTACTGTTACAGGAGTAATTTTCATTAATATTATTTATTTATTAATCTTGTGTATGTGTGTGCCTGGAGATCTATAGATGGAGAGGAAGGATAAGTCTGTGTAAAAATAATTAAACCTGAGCTTGGATTGGATTGGAAAGTTCAAGCCCATCGCTCCTGCATCCTTCTTTATAAAACTTTAATATTGTCTCAAAATTACCTTTGGTGTGCCCTACTCAATAAAATAGACAAATTAGAACCCATATTATTATTTTCCAAAGTCTCAGCCAAAGACCTACATCATTTACTAATGTAATTTACAACTGTGCAGACAGCCAATGGCGTCAATCAAAACAGCGCTCTTTATCCCACAGTTCAAAGGTGATTGAGTTGACATTGACACAGAGTGAGTTGATTTTTTGATTCAGTCCATTAGTGTGTTCACATTAAATTGCATCTTTGGCTCTCAAAGCAAATCTAATTTGCTTTGCTTTGATTTTGCTGTTTACTGATCATAATAATAATTAGTGGTCGATCAGTATTCAGTTCAGTGCTGATGCTGGTTGGTTGATGGCCAATATATAATGCTGATAGCACCTTGCTGTTATTTGTTTGCATCTGATAAGATACATGTTAATTCATACTAAGAAATATAGATCAATTGATTCGCTTGACTGAAGATTTTTTTTAAATAAATGTCTGTAAAATCTTCAAAAATAAAATATATAAAAAATACAAAATATAAATTAAAAAATGGCTCCATAAAATACTGCCACAAGGGATTTCTGGATTTCTGTCGAGTCATTTTTAATTTATTAAAATGAAAACAAGGTAAATATTTGGGTAATTTTTTTTTTTTTAAAGTCACTTATCATTTTATTATTTCATGCAAGTTGTAATGAATATACATGGTTATATTTTCCAGTACTATTTTTTAAATTGTCCTTGTTTAAACAGTAGGTTTTGGAATATCACTGGTATTTATGCCGGAAGCAATATTATGCTGCATAATTACATACATTTAACAGAATTTATAATGAACACTTACAACTAAACATTTTAGGTTGAAGATGCTGTCATTTAAGATGGAAAAAAATGTTATTGTTTAGGAAAAATTTCAGTGACAGTGGCCTTATGGGCCCAGTCACAATGGGCAAATGTTTCTTTTTTTATTTGTTGTTGTTTTTTTACATCCACTATGACTACGACTTTTACTACAGCTTCTACGACTGATCAAAATTATCTAATCATAATCATTATAATAATCACAATCAGGAATCAATATAAGAGACGGCAGGTTCACATTTGGGCATACAACATACTTGGTAGTTTTACACTATTGTGACATTTGACTGAAAATATGATGATGTAGGTGATGGTAATGAATTAGTTTTTGTATGCATGCATAGCTCTAAGACTAAAAAACGTAGAGGGGATACAGCATCATGTTCTGAGCAATTGACAAGAAGCCACGATATTAATGACTTGAGACTAAGACCAGGTTGAGTTTTGTATCTTAAAAAACATGTAAAAGTATAAGTACGTTGTTGTTTTTTAGTTGCGCATGTTATAATGAAAGCCTTCAAATCACACAGGAAAAACTTGGCATGTTTGGCATTTTACCATCTAATCCAACCTCAACAATTAACAATGAAGGCATAATTTATCAACATGACCAGTTTCAACTTTCGTGAACCACTGTGGTTGAAGGAAACAATTTACAGCCACAGCCTGTTGCCCACAGTTCCCGCTCATCCCTCATCATCTTATATCGGGTTCAACCACAAACAACTCAGCAACTGTCCAGTCAGCTTTAGCAGATGTTGCACATTAATGGGAGGGTGATTTGTAATCATAATGAACATCATCATGAGCCTTTCAATCTGGGGTCAACAGAGTGAGAACAAAAGATTTCAGAGCAACTTTTAGTTTCCTGCATGAGCTCAGAGATTCTTTTTTAATTTTTCATCCTCTCCACCAAGTCATCTGTCATTTGTGTAAACTGGGTAATATACAGTACATGTATGTCTTTTGGGGGAAGCAATCTGAGTCATTAGACTAATCTGGCATAAACTGCTAATCATTTCTGGACAGACATCCAGTTCCTAAAATTTCCACTGTTGCCAGTCCTACATACAGAAAAAGGCTCTCTGTAACAGACATGCTCTCTCAACACTAAATTCATGGTTGGGTTTAGAAAGGGAGTTGCCCAACACAAGCAGGAGGATGACTTTTCTGCAGTGGAGTGTTTCCCGAGTTGGCATGTATCAGGTCATTTCCAAATATAACATGAAAATATAGAGGCAACTGAGGCAGCAAGTACAGATAATACAACAGCAAAACTACTAAATGTCAACAACATTATCAACCTGTCCACATACTCAATTACAATGAAATATTCACGCTAGGGCTGGGCGATATAACCTCAAATCAATATCATGATATTGAGCAGTTCAACTCAACAACGATAAATGGACAAAAATGACTCCACAAGCTGCTCACCACTTCCCACACTGACTTTGTCTACTTCAGCTGCCGCTCCAGCTGCTACAACTTTTGAACCATCACCTCACCTGTCTTTCCCTCTTTGTTATGGACTGGATGGGGTGGAGTCACGTCTCTGATGTCGGACAGCATCTTAAAGGGACATGAGACCATAGCCTACCTACACACATCCAAAACCAACTTTTGTTTATTTATTGTTTTAATAATACCAATATGGGCAAAATTACATCAGTTATTGACGTAAATTATAAGTAAATTTTCAGTCTATCTCCCAGTTCAAATCCACACACCCACTATCCTGGACTTATTGCATACTTTTTACTTGGGGGATTTGCAGGAGACTTCCTATTTCAAGTTAGAGTTAACAGATTCTGACATTTGGGTTCACATTTTAACAAACACAGTCTTTCATGAGCTGTCTCAAAGCAATGGCAGCCACTCTTAGAAGTCATTGTGATCTTAAAACAGTCAACTGCATATTTATGAAAAGATGTTATTTTCAAGCACACAGTACCTCTGGCACAATGAATAAGTTATAAATGAGTTGTTTTTCAAGTTTCTCTTGCTCTCTAAAGCTTATGACTTCATGGTGAAAGAAAAGATTTGAGTTTTATTCACATACTTTTTGAGAAGCCCCTTTGTGAGAACATTCTGGCCTGACAAACGGAGATAGATGGGTACTTTAAAAGCTCTAACAGAAGGACTCTTCAGTGTTAATGTCCTCCCAGCACAGGTTATTGGAAAGGTCATGATTTTCATTTCAAAATTCTTTAACACCATAAATGATTATTTCAGATGTGGTCACCATGACATAAACAAAGCTCTAGGGCTGTATCAAAGACAGATAGAGCATTCAAATGGGTGCTATTATGCTTTTCCACATTAACAATAAAAAATGCAAAGTTACAATGTTTGGTGTCGACACTACAGGTATGCAACTCCTACTCCCGCGAAAACTGCTTCCGTAATTTCTCTGGACCAACCACAATCTTCTACATCGTCCAACCAACTTCCAGCCAATAATATGGCGTGACGTCATTGACAGACCTGAGTCAATCTGACCACCTGAGCACATCTGGTACCTAGGCTGGCAAAGCAAAGCAGCCTGCCTCCAACAGCATGTGAGGGAACACCTACAGCGGAGCAAGGTAATGCTACTTGGCTCCTCTACTGATTGACCACATTAGAGGGGGCCGGGCCAAAACATCAAGCTCTGCCCTCAAGAGAGCCTATGGAGGCTTGTGGAGAGGAGGGGGGGAGGTGGCTTAAAAAGACAGCAGCTAAGACAAAGTGTTTTAGATGGTGGCTTAAATGATGATATTTTAACACACCCAAATGAGAAATTTGAGGCTTTTTGATCTGGAAATCATGTAAAATGATGAAGAAGGTATCAGTAAGGAAGTGTAGATCCTAAAAAAATGCATAATACTCCCTCTTTAAACAGGGCTTCTAGTGATTGATTGGTGTATCAGTCCAAGTAAGCTACACAGTCTGAACAGAAGCTTACAACTTTTAAGTCAGATGTTATATCTATTAAAAAGCACAAAAACTGGGGTTGTCAATTAGGTAGGATGAAAGAATATCTGAAACTTTTCAATGAGCGAAAGTCAGCTGACTACAGAAAGCAATCAGCAATCACTGGGCAGCAATGTCTACAAGACAACCACTCCATCTGACACACAGCTTATAAAACTGACAGCTCATCAATTAAACAAAGTTAATCTGATATTATCTGAGGAAAAATTTATCAAATCCCTCTCCATTAATGTCTTCCATTCGGAAAATTGATGAGGAGGAGAGGAGCACTACTGTCTGTCACCCATTTCTATTATTAGAGTGCGATAAAATGTAATAACCTGAGAGGAGAAGGAAAACCTCCCACTCATCCTGGTGGGGAAAAACTATAGTAGGCCGAGTGACGTGGAGATATTGCTCTCCCTTGTCATCAGGAGACAAGCAGCTATCTGGTCAAAATTAATTGGGCTCAATACGATACAACACAATCCAATAACTTTATTGATCCCAAAAGGGAAATTCATTTGTCTGCAGTCTCATGTCGATCTTACAATCTCAGTGTTACAATATATGGCCTTCTTCATGCATTACAAAATGTTGCCCCGACCCAATGAAGAACGAGTGCTTATTGGGAGATCAGGGAGTCTTATGGATGGACAGGTTTATCTTCATTTATTCAGGGATAGCAAATGTAGTGCCTCTATCTCGGGTATTAAACCAGTAATCAGTGAAAACATGAATACGGTTTAGACAATAAATTGCACTTTCATATATCAGGTATCAAAGCCAAAGGATGGAGTGTATTCAATGACAAGCATACAAAGGAGAGTGTGAGGTAAGTGGCCCACCCACACGCACGTTTGAAAAACAGAGTGGTAACATCCCTGTCCTTTTAGTGAGGTTTGGAAGTGACAGTGTTAACCTTTGACCTACATTGCCTCTTACTAGGCAGCTGATGGTCTGTGGGTTTGAATAATTATCACCTTAAAGACCAGACGATACTGACTCTTCCGGGCTCAGTGTATAATTGCACCGTGCCACTACATCTGCTTTAATAGTCTGTGATTTTACATGTTCAGAGGGGAAGTGAAGGAAGCCTTCCAACAAAGGAAGTGGATTGTACTGATAAGAGTGGCAGGGCTGTTTAGAGCCTATATGCTGTAGGGCAGACTCAGTATACAGAGGTCTGAGTTTAATGTCCATGCCTACACAAGCTCTGTTGCTAAGCAGAATCCAGACAGCACAGCTAACTGTACTGGCTTCACTTCACATTTTCTCACTGGAGAAACAGATATCATCATGACAATGGTCTAAATAAATGTTTGAATAAATAAAAGTTTTTCCTAAGACCAATGTGTTTTTGCTTGTGGACTTAACCATAGTCATAATAAGACATGATTAACACAAACAAAACTTCAACATGGCAGGTTTAGGACAGAAAAAAATAAAGATAGACAAGTTTATCAATCTGTTTTTTTACATAATCAGCATCACGTTGTCCTCATGCTTTAGGTGGTTCAATGTTTTGCACATCATCACATTCTGTTCACATTTTACATGATATTTTGTGTTGGATGTTTGGGAAATGTGATTGTGGTTTTCACTTATCTTGGAAACACCTAACTTTGTACTATTAGTCAACCAGGGCGAAGCTTCAAGAATCCATATCCTATGACTATGTGTCCTGCTCGCTGCTATGAGTCTCAAAGGTGGGGTGGGCAGGATTTCATAAAAAAGCATCTTTTTTTTTGTGGTGTTTATACAAAAAAGCTTTTAATATCAGTCAATAGCTATTAGTTATTTATGATATTTGGTAACATAAGGATATCCCTTTGTTTTGTCACGTCTGTCTAGTCAACATTTTAAAAAAATTTTTAGCGACGTGCTCTCTCTGACTGTAAGCATAGCCATTCTACGCCAACCTGATTGGTTGTGAGGCGGACGCCGCTCACTCATGTTGTGAGGCACGCTCCACGTCCTCGAATAATGTGCACAAGCAATATTAGACAGTAGAAACCTACCAGAAAGTATGGAAAATTGTCTGAATCCTACTTTGGCCATGACTGCCAACACAAGCAAGAAAACAAAGTAAATATCGGAGACTCTGGCAAAATAAAACGGCGCTTAAAAAGGAGGTAGACCCCCCAGTCAAGAGCTAAAAAGCCGGGTCAACATCAATGAAGCATAAACGATGGGGGACTCTTCAGGATCTTATGGACCCTGCAACCTTTCTGCTGAACAGGTAAACCGCTTTAACAAAGTAAGCCAAGTGTAACAGAAGTGTTTCTTGTCAAACAGGACCTGCTGCATGTTGCAGCGCCGCTAAACTGTTTACCTCAGGTCCTGGAGTATGTCAACTTATCCTAATTGTAGAAGTCCTGCAAACTTTGTGTTTGCTGGTAGTCTGTTGGCATCTACAGTAGCACCAATGCTTTTTACTTTCACGTTGACTGGGCCCCATTTGTAATTATCTGAAGTATTTATCTGCATTATTTCTGAATTTAACTGGAACGATAGGAATGAGCAGGAGCATCTGTTTGTTAGTGGGCGGGGCTTTCTGGAGCAGAGAGGGAGGGGAGAGGAGGAGCTGAGGGGAAAACTGGTTGGGAGGGGTAATCTATTCAAGATTAGAAACCTTTGGAAAAGAAATGAAACCAACAGTATGTGACAAACAAATTGACATCCAGTGCTGTTTTCTCCTTTCAGATTGTAAGGTATACACGATTTCGGGCAGTGGCCATGACAAAACAGGGAAGAATGAAAACAGGTGGACTTTTATGTTTTATCTGCTAACATCACAGCACACAGAGCTCTGTGACTATGACAGTTGTCTGAGGACTGAGATGCCAGACAAGCAGGTACCATCAGGGTAGATCAGGGATGATAATACAAAACCACAAACCTATTTTTTCAGAGCATAAAACCGGTCTTTGTGTGGCCACAATAAAGACAGATCAGGAATTAGCCTGAAAGTAACACTCTTCTCTGATGAAATTATGGTGCAGCAATGAGTCTCACTTATGGCTTTCTCAGTGACAGAAGCTAAAAAACGTACCCTGTCAGTGTGCTCTTCTCATAAGGAATCCACACCAAAAAAAAAGAAACATGAACAAACTTTTTGTTGATAAGAAGGTATTTTCTCAAATTTCTCAAAATAACTGCACCAACCAGTTTGTCATTATATACCATTATTTTGGCACCACCAGTGAAGACAGCAAACCAAACTGGTATTTCTATAATAGTTAAATTTAAAAGTAGCTGGAATACCATCATGTTGGCCAAACATCACATAAAACGGCTCTCTAGGACATGATGAAGCGAGGCGCCTATGGAAAAGTGAATGCAAGTTATTGATGAATGAAAACCCATTTTTATTACTCTGCATATCCATGACACGTCTACACAGATCAATGTTTTATTGAGCTATATTAACCCTATCCAGAGAAGATTGTTGTATTAGTAACATCATCACAGGAGAAACTGTTTGAAATGAATTACCCTCCTGAATCAAGGCTACTTTGTCCAACCTATACTCTGTTTCTTTCATTACTTATGTTAAGTGTTTACTCTAGCTTCACGGGGCGGGAACGTCATAGAAATCAAACATTTTCAAGTAGGTGCATCAGATGGAGACATGATCTTACTATCAATGTACATTATCATTTCTCAGCTCTGGTAAAGGAGGTGAGACTCAATAGGTAGAACATAAAGGACTGGATTTGACCTTTTTGTGTTAGGGCAGCCAATTCAAGTCAGTGTGTACAATTCTGACATGCAGTCTGTCTACAGAATACTGCAAAGCAAAACTGATCTGAGAGGTATTTTCATTCAGTAAATAAAGACAAAAAAAAAACACCCTGACCAAGAGCACAGCTATGCTAAAAGAGCAGTTTTTCAGATAGGATTCATCTATTCCATTGTCCAAATGCACATTGGCAGTTACATGCGTGATGCAAAACAGAGCACTGGAAAGACTGAATCAATACTATATGCAAATACAGGACTCTACATGTCTAATAATTGACACTATTCCCATAACCTGGAGTCTATATGCGTAACAATTGTTTAAGAGCTGAATAACTTATCTACAAGCTGTGCCTGTAAGAGAGTTGGTAACCAGTAAGTGGATTACTGCTGTGTACACAGTGTACCACATTCCTCAGTGTTCTGACCTATTATATCTCCTGCCATTCTCTTTTTGGGCCTGTCTCCTAAACCAATATTTACGGAACAATGCTGATCTTAAGAGACCTTTACAATTAAGCCTAAGTCCTTATCTATTATGACTCTTTATTTTTAATACAAAAAGTTAACTCAAAATCCTCATTCCACTCCACACCAAACAATCTTGAAAAGAAAGCACTCTGTTAACAGCAGTAGCAGTTTCCCAAAGCTAAAAATTCAGCAAAATACTTCTTTTTTCGAATTATTTGTATTCTAATAAGACAGAATGTGTATGTACATACAGTGCATGTCAATATTATAACTTGTAAAAGGATAGTGGTCACTGCCTTGGAGACAGGAGCCTCACTTAGCATGCAGTTTGTACAACACAGTGCTGTACAAGCAAAAAAGAAGACAAGAAATGCAGCATTCACACTTCACTCCAAGGTCCCTCGATCACCTTTGATTGCCAAGAAATAAAGGCCTATCCAGTCTCTTCTTAAGTCTTGATTCAACTATGACAGCCTTGGTCGTGCATCATATATCCCCTGGACATGCAGACATGTCCGGGGGATATTAATAAACATATGTCAACTGAGAGCCTTAGCATAAACAAATGTAAGGGTTAGTTGTTTTTGCTGGAGGCATGGGATGTGTTCATACAGCCCTAAAGGATGTGGCGGTTAGACACGGTCCATGTATTATCCGTCCATCCAATTATTCCATTTAATTTAGTAAACGAAAAAACGAGTCAATATTTTGTTTATTTGTTTTTCTATATAACCAAAAGATAAAAGATTAGTGTTTGTTTTTGTATTTTCAGCTCAAAACAGAATATATAATAGAGAAGCAAACAAAGGCAAAATAAAAATTTTTATTTACAATTGTTGATTTTGTGTGCGCCTGTTTTGAGCATACGTGCTTGGAGGCTACATTGGCCTTTCCATGATCCTCAGTGACAGTTACCATGGTGAAAGATGCGACAGAGCGGTCCAAGCGTAAAAATCTTACATTGTAAAGGTTCTTTCACACAAGGACCGTTTTGTCGCGAGTTTATTTCGGACGTCAATATTTTTTTTCGAACCCGTATCCTGTCAATACAAGCGTTCACATCAGTCACATTTTCCCGTCCTGCGATATTGCGGCATTTATTTTTTCAGATCATGGTTGATTTCTCTAAAGTTTTGCATACTGTGTTTTCACTTCTGACCAATCAGATTGCGTATTGTTGCAATGTCAGATTCACCTGTATATCCAACATGGCCGACCGGCTGATTGTTTACGTGTTGGAGAACAGAGTGCTTTATGATAAAAGACACAAACATTACAAAGATAATGACCTGAAGGTTAACTTATGGAGAGTCACAGCGTCGGATCTCAGTTTGCGAAACGTATTTGTTTTAACTTTCATCTGTGCTAACGTATGCTAACGGTTGTTAACATAGTTTCATGTGCTTATCTTATCGCTGATTGGCTGTAAGTGCTGACCATTTGGCTTGAGCGTGTGATGACGTTTCCAGCTTTTCTAGCCAATCAGAGGTGAAGGAGGCGGGACTTTCCCCCAGAAAAGTCCTCCCCTGGATGCGTGTTTTTCCCCTGGAAAGTCGCAAAATCGCCTCGGGCTTGATTTGTATAGTCAGGCACGTCAAAAGTCGCCTCCGGATATTGCGTGATTTCACGTTCTATATTTGCGTTGGCCCCGGTGTGTAACGACCTTTAATCTTAAAAACTAACTTACATGTGATGTGTATTTTTGGGGGAAATATGGTTCCTGGAATAGTCAGTAGACAATCATAATTATTCAACTGTTTCACTGGTGTTAAGAATGCTGACTGAAAAACAAGAAAATTGACAGTATCGTAGAATCGCAATTTAAATCGAATTGGCATCTAAAAAATCGTATTAGAATCGAATCAGGAGAAAAGCATATCGTCCCAGCCCTAGCTGTTAGACACAATATGAAAAATTGATTCTCTCCTGTGGTAAAAGTTGATTAAACTTCTCAATTTTTTTGCAATGTGAAATCTGAGTTTTACTTAGCACAAGTGTGGTAAGAGATCCCCAAACTCTTAAAAGTTTCTGGAAATATCAATAAAGAAAGGAAAACAATTATAAATCGTTAAGGAAAAATAGTAATGGCATCATGAATTATGCAAGTGGCAAGAGTGCTTGGCACGAGTAAACCCGAAAGCATACAGCCATCAATGAAAGAGACGCTCACTCCCTAAATATTTTAGATAGATAGAATAAACAGGAAAAGGAAAAAATGATTTGAGGATATCTATTATTTTCCATGAAAGTGGATCTTAAGCATTTTACATGAGTCAACATCATGGGCGTGTCTATGTCATTTGGTTCAGGAGACCACCAGTGAGGAGCAGCTGGATGGCTAACCCTGTTACAAAGCAGAAAGCTTGTCATGAATAGAAAACGCACTCAAGTGTTTCAAGGCTTGACAAAAAGTCATTCACGGTATGACATGTACATTTTGAACAAATGTCAGGCTGGTGTAAAAGTGTGTTTTTACAGAGGAGGTTTTCAAATAACTAATTGGAATATTCCGTTGAAAGTAGGCTAACGTCCAGGTAGGCTAGGTGTGAGAACACCTTTAAACCGTTGCACACTCACCTGTCTTAGGGTTTCCGCTTTTCTTTGATTGAAGACGAGCTCCGCGAACACAAGGTGATGTTGAGGCTTATCTTTTTTCTCTCCCCGCGTCAAAAAGCTCCTCGAAAGTCAAACAAGAACGACCCGTGTGAAAGATAACGATAAAGGTGGGTGGCCCGTAGCCTAAATGCTGACAGAGCTGAAGTTTTACACCGATAACAAAGGGAAAAAGAGCCCGGTGAACATGGACCTTTTCGAGGTGGAACTACAAAAAGTGTCGTCTCATGAAAGCGATTCAGTAAGTCCACATTTTGTGTTTTGTGGTCCTGTCAGGAGCCGGAGTAAAGCGTGCCTTTTCGTCTTTTCTGAGTAGCGGCACTTTGGTCCACTGACTAATTCAGTGTAGTGAATAGAGGGAGGAGTGTGTGTCGGTCTTTTTTATCTCCAGCCCTCTTGTTCAGAGGGAGAGAGAGAGCGTCACCGAGCTGACTTTACTCCTGCTCCGCGCGTTCAAGGCTCAGGGAAAATATCACACTGCCTGTGTTGTTGTTGTTGCACCGCGAAACCGTTCGTGTAATTTGAGGTCTCTCACAAGACTAAAATGCTAAAAAAATAAATGAATATTTCTGTTAGGATGTCAAATGTGTCAAAAAGAAAGGCAAAAACTCAATTTGAAGAGAAACTGAATCAAGATCATACTACCAAGGAGGTGCTAGCAGAAAGTCCAATGTAACGTGAATGCAACAACGTGCCAATATAATTTATGCCAAAAGGTATTTTTCAGTCAGTTGACTATCCTAACGGCTTAACTCATGTAAAACCTACTCAGCCATAAACCTATGTTGAATATAAGTCTTAACTTTTCTGTTTAAGGTTCCTTGACTGTCATAGTACTGCTATTTCAATTGTTATTATGTGTTTGTTGTTTTTGTACCAAAAAAAAGGCAAATTCCTTACATGAGTAAAACCTACTCAACGATGTCTTCTTTGAAATTACCTCTGAAAACATTTCTCTATTCAATAGCCTTTTTAAAATTTTATTATTGATTTATTTATCTAGGGTATTTATTGTTTCATTTGTTGTTTCCTCTGTCCAGCCAGTTTTTAATCTCTCTTGGTTCTTGAACTTTTATGATTTTATTATTTCCAATTTTGTTTACTATCCCCGCTGAGCATTTTTGGTCGAAAAGAGGTCTAATAGACGTCTACATGTAGCCTAGACGACTTGAAATAACTAGTTATTGAATAATGGGTTAAAGTGCAACGTCTGAATTCCATCTAAAAATATACAGAATCTAGACGGTTGAAATTAAGTCTAAAAAAAAAACTAGACATCTAAAAGCTGTCTATTGCTCAGTGGGTCTTAACGGCTTACCTCATGAACTTTGCTGGATCTGTCTTAAAAGATGACAAATGTATTTTGGTCAGAAACATGCCATATAAATCTATTTATATAGGTCATGTTACCCAAATCTGTGCTGGAGGTGGAGTGTGTGCAAACAAACATCTTTTTAAACTCATTTTGTTTTTCTCTTGACATTTTCTCCATCTTTGTACTTCTTTTGTAAACTAAAGTGAACTCCTGTTTCAAAACCTAGTTGTCCATTAAAACAAGGGACAAGTTCTACTGATTACATCTGCTGAAGTTTGCTAATATTCAGAGAAATCTCTGTGCAGTGATCAATATGAGCTCTGGTGATGACATGGCCTCTCTCCTTCAGTCATTTTCAAGTTCAGACATGCACCGTCTAGCAAACAGAGGCATAGCTACCGAATGACTCATTGCAGAAAACAGATTTATTGACTCTCTCACAAGATCATGTGCAATCATAATCAGAGACATTATGTAAAGTCAGCAGTCCCCTGTTATTGGCAACTGACACGTGCCTAATTTGTCCTGCTGGCTGTAGAAGTGCCACTTACTGTGACACAGTGGTCGATAATGTCAAATCTGCTATTGACGTTTGCTTTGTGAAATGAAATATAAAAGAAAAATGGCTTATTTATCAAGGTAACGTGGCGATTGGATCATTGTTCAAAAGTGAGACAGTTTTAGCTCATGTGTTGTTGTTTTTAAACCACACTGTGTTCATTACAAATTGCAGCATGGTTCTGGTCTTCATTTTCTTCTTTTTATTTGATTATATGAAAACTCAATTAAATTAATACTTGCATCAAAGCTAGATGGGAATATAATACTTTCATATTTAGTATAGTGAGACTGTGGTATTTATTTAGTCTGTGATGATAGTCCTGGTCATGATAAAGGCTGTGGGTCTCAGGAGAGTGAAGTAACTGATCAAAAAAAACTTATACTATATGTTTGAATACTTCTGCCATTTAACCTGAATTCCACCAACACCCCGTTTCAAATCTCATACACAGACACACAAACACAGGTACATGTCGACGTCGTCCCTCCATGAGCATCTACAGGTGAAAAGAAAAAAAAATGATCTCCCCGGGATGATTTCCTGTGGCATATCTCTGTTTGATGTGGTTGACCCAAGCTTCCCTGTTCCTCTCTCCACAGGTTGATATTAGTCAGCAGCTCCAGCTGTTTCACTTTGTCATGAGCCCCATCCAGTCTTAAATGTCAACCAGCATCCGCGGGCAGGAAGAGTGGGACACCTGGTAGGGGTCTCCTGCAGGGAGGGGTGCATAATTCAGCAGGGTCTGACAGATATTTTACACCTAGTGCTGTCTGAAAGGGTACAGAACACACATTGTGCAAAGAAAAGACATGATTCAAACTCATTGATTTAGGTATCCCAATTTATGTGTCAATTTCCCCACTCATAGAATTTAATTGCAGATTACTGAAGCCATCCCATAATCTCTGCACTTGACAATTTTAAATCATTTAGATATAATTATGTGTTGTTTTGCTACACCAAAAATATAGACACAGAGTAAGTGCCATGATAAATGATCACAAAGTGGATGTGGGTGTGTCTGGAACTTATTGTAGTGGATATCACTACAGAAGATTAGTTGTTTTTTAAGTTATGGATTTATTTGTCATACTGTATTTGCAAATCAAATCAGGTACCTGGATTTGTCAGGATTCACTTTTATTTGCCTAATAATCAAAATAGCTATATCTTATTTGGTTGCCTTTTACGCCATCTAGTGGATTGCGGTGCACAATGCAAACTGCTGAAGGCATAATGTGTGATAATAGTTGCAAGTGATTCCCACTGGCTGGTTGTCGGGAGTGGAGGTTGTAGGGCTTCTCTAAAATTTAAAGAATCGATGGATATCCATAGTTTGTGCAAAACTCTTCTGTGTGTGTATGAGTGTGTGCATATGTGTGTGTGTTTTCACAAGCACACAGAAGAACAAAAAGGTGTCACAAAGTTGAATTTGAGCACCTCTCCTGGGTGAATATCTCAGGCCAACCTTTAATTATAACTTTTAATTACTTTTAAGAAAACTTTGATAGTCTTGGATTAAGCATTAAGTTTTTGTGCCACCGGGGGACATTTGATTTGGAGTTTAAACTATCTGAAAGAGTAACCTGAGTGCTTGACCCAGATTGGATTGGTACTTGCCAAAAATAAAAGAGACAATAAAGAGAAGGAGATAATTATCACCTTGAATATTTATCATCTTTTTAATAAAACTCACTTGCCTGATCAGTCTAAAAGGAAATTATTCATTCTGCTACATGAAATCAGTCATTTATAATTCTAAATTTAATTTGGGGAGGTGGGTTAGATAATTACTTTTATCTGTGAACTGTCTGTTGTCAGTCTGTTGATTTGACAGAGATAGGAGTATCTAATCTTTACCTGAATAATAGAGCTGATGTAACATTTTATCATAGGATTCCAGTTTATTTTCACCTCTTGCCTTCTGTTGAGTCATCCTGTAGATTTAAGTCAAAGGTATGCTGCACGTAGATCGATTTCAAAAAAAGAAAAGAAAGAAAGTTTGTCGACTAGCTCCTGCCTGCCTTCAAAGAATAGAAAGTTCAGGAAGTTACATCATACAGGAAGAGGGAGGCTGAAAGACTTCTCGGGTCTTGCGTCATGGTCCACTTGGCAGCTGCACTCCCCTTCCTTTAGCAGACTGTGCCCAAAATTTCCATAGAGTGTTGTTGTGGCTGTGGCTGTTTGTTTCATGAACTAATACATATATTGAACATAACAACTTTAATCAACAGGAATGATTTGTTTCCCATCCACTTGTTCAATCACAAAGACTTGAAATGGATAGAAAAGAAAAAATATAAACTAAACCTTGACCAGTGAGTTCTCGTCTCTACATTTAGATTTGTCCAAAGACCTTTACACGAGGATGCAACTAATCTAGCCCTGTGCTGAGGTTTATGAAGTTATTTCAGCTTTCATACAACGATTTGTTAAAGAGATATTTGAACACTTTTAAATCATTTGAAATATTGCATCATTCAGTGCTGTGCTTAGCTTTAAAATTCAAAGTCTTAGTGTATTGTAGGTGTTTACACATGGTAGTAGTTTGGAAAGTGCTGAAAGCCTATAAGTGCTGACTCAACTTCAGTGGTGTGAAGGAGGCACTGTGAGGGGAACCCCAAAGAGGGAGGTCATCCCACCCCAGGTTAGCCTCTAAAGTCTTATGCTTACTTTAAGTCACAAGGAGGACACACGATAATATTGTACTCAATGCTGTCTCAGAGTCAGTTAATTTTTTTTGTTTTGGTGATTTTCTTTTTCTATTTAAGGTTCCTTGATTATCATAGTACTGCTATTTCAATTGTTATATGTTTGTTGTTTTTGCACCAAAACAAAAAAGGCAAATTCCTGACATGAGTAAAACCTGCTCAGCCATAAACCCATGTTTAATATGAGTCTTAATTTTAAAGGAACACACAATAAGATGTCTTCTTTAAAATTAACACTGAAAACATTTCTCTATTCGATAGCCTTCTTCTACTTTTGTTATTGATTTAATTATTTAGGGTAATTATTGTTTCATTAGTTGTTTCCTCTGTCCAGCCGGTTTTTAATCACTCTGAGTTCTTGAACTTTGATGATTTATTATTTCCTATTTCTGTGTCATCTTTTATTAATATGTCTTGCTGTTTTATCTCCTTGTTTTATTTATTCATTTATAGTTATAATTATTAATGGCTAGGAGACCTTTGTTTGGATGATATACTGTTTGACATTGCTTTTTAATTACAAGACAGCCTCTTTTTAAATTCCCTGTCCCTTTGGCACTTTTCCCCTCTCCCTCTTAATTACTTTAAAGCTGTTTCATGTCCTGTGTCCCAGGTCAGACAAAGAATGGATTATAAGGTCTAATAGGAATTGCATGTATTTGGAAATTTGACCAGGCTTGCCCTACCCAGAGGTGGTCCTCCGTCTGCACATGCTAGGAATTTCAGCACAAACTGTGACCCCGGGGGCTTATGCAGGATGACAAATAACCCCTGGGAAGAGGAGAGGAGAGGAGAGGAGAGGAGAGGAGAGAAGAGGAGCAGCATGCCTGCTTTTGTGTCAAACCTTTAAAAGTTTAAGGAGTGCTATGAGTGCATTTATCCCATACTTAGAGCTATATAACATTTGAAATTAAATAGAAGCTAGTTTAGAATCTGAATACCATTTTCTCAAAAAACCTTGAGCAGAGCTCTCTGCAATTCTTCTTCGTCTATTTACAAAGACAATTCAGTGTGTTGGCATGTCAGAACAGTTTGCAAAGGGCTGAAATGTGGAGGAATCTGAGGATTCCTTTGTTCATAATACTTTTTTTCAGACAGCATAAATCTATTATACTCTATTTAGAGTACAATGATGTCTCATCTCTCTCTGCTGTCTTCAAATAGGAGCTACTCTGTTGATTCTGGTCAAGACACGGCAGTTTTTTACGACAGTGGTGCTCCCCCATCCCTTAACTATCCTGCAATCAGCTGTGTAGACGTGTCACTGTGGGGGCAGGGCAGAAGAATTTGCAACTCCCTTGAAGCTTGGATCCAACAAAGTGAAGCTTTTGAAGGTCTACAAGTTCCATTTTGGAATTGGACATCTTTGTAAAAACTGTCTAACAAAAATTTTTTTGCCTCAGTTTCATGGCAAACATCTGCAAACGCTTGGCCCATGTGCTGTTAAGTTGCATAATGCAGTGACTCAAGAGTGGTGGTCAAATTTCATCAACTTCAAAACAAACATTCACATGCAGCAATTTATGTGCACCAGAAAAAGTTTGTTGATGTCAATATAAATCTAATCTTAAGCTTTGGCATGTGATGAAATAGATGATGGAGGTTGAATCAGCCAGCAACAGTGGGTATTTGCAGCTAGGAAAAACACGGCAACCAAAACTGACCAAGAATCAGTTTTCTGCCTGTTTCTCTGTTTGCAGCCAGTGGCGGGGGAGTTTTAAAGCTGAACTCAGACCAGTACTAAGATGTTATCCTCAGCCAACCCCTCTTACTGCAGCCTGTAGTTGAAAAGGGGGATGTCCCAGCTCCCAACTTCCTGTGGGATCACAGACACCCTCATTTGAATATTCCATTCCCACTTCCAGAAAGTTCTCCTAGGATTGCTATATAGGGCAGGCGAATGTGTCACAGTTACACTATTCCATCCACAGGACGCACACTCAGAGAAGAAAGAAAGAGAGACATCTGTGCCAGGTAAGGACCAGAACAATAACTGCCTTTGTTTACCCAAAGGGAAGGAATGCAGAGAGTGAATGAGCTACTTTGATTTGATGGTTTAAAGTTACAGTGCAGCACTTTTTGAACAGTGAGTTTTAGACCTTTACTGGTTGTTTGACCTGCACAGATGGTATTTACAATAAAAGATAAAACATATGTCAAGAGTTTTAAGTTGCATATATCCACAGAATGATGATAACATTGTCTTACTCTCAAAATCAGCTCATTTGTCTCCAAGAGCCTGTGTAATGTTTACTGCCTGCTCTATGGAGATTACTACATACACCTCTTGTCTTTCAGAATGAAAATGGCAGACATGAAAACATCTCAAGGTATAAGAACATGATGCAAAGTCCTTTCTGCTGTGTCACAAATGTGTAGCACTTAGGTGCAAACTGAACGATGAGGAGTCGAAGGAAACATTTTAAGACATGCTACTGCAGCTGGTCATTTATACCCCCGTGCATTTGGTCCGAGATTTGGACTAATGATGGGATGAGTTAAATGGAGCCTGTAGACACACACCCGTTTGAAAAACAACAATGGAGCAGACCACATTGCACGTCTTTGCTGTAAAATACTGCGATTGTTGAGGGCCAATGTCATATCACTGAATCTATCAAAGTTCAGAGACATACAGGATTTGTAATTTCTTGAGAAGAGAGCGAGATCGCGTTTCAGTCTGAGCACAACTTCACTCTGAGAAGGCTGCAGCTCCAACAACTGCACAGCTAAGTTGGTGCTGACGTGGCGGGGAACATGTCTGCCTCAGACTGGAGTCTTTCTCAACCCTCTGAGTGGGCTGGGTCAAAGCTGGCCTTCCTCAAGCGGCACATCCCAGCCTGAGCATTGTTCTGGAGTTTTCTATCACTCTGTTGAGTTTAACAGTCTTAAATATACATTTTTTTTCCTTCAGTGTCTCTTCGATGAGATTCAAAGAGAGTGAAACCACATTTTTATTAACTTTTTTTTTTCAGTGTTACTGGCTGAAGTAAAAAGTTGTTAATCCTCTTTTTTCCCCCCTTTTGTCCACTTTTTTACAGGCTGCTTTAGCTGCTGCTTTTGGAGACAGACAGGATGTGGATGACTAATGTTGTAGCTGTTTGTCTGCTGGCCATCCTGGCCTCTGCAGAGGACAAGAAGTTGAGCAGCCATGCAACCACGCTGGCTGATAACAGCGCTGATCTGGCCTTCAGGTCTGAAAGTGTTATCATTATCACTTGTGATATTGATATATGCTTTGATTCAGCATTATAGTCAATTATTTCTGTTGGAAACATAGTCAAATAAACTTCTGATTTTTATTCAGCCTCTACCACAACATGGCAAAGGAGAAGGACACCGAGAACATCCTCATCTCTCCTGTGGTGGTGGCCTCCTCTCTGGGGATGGTGGCTCTTGGAGGCAAAGCCTCGACTGCCTCTCAGGTCAAAACTGTTCTCAGTGCTGACAAACTGAAGGATGAGCATCTGCATTCAGGCCTATCTGAGCTGCTCTCTGAGGTAAGAGCGACAAAACAAATACATTGGGAAGATTTTTATAATTTAAGAGTACATAATTGATACTGTTATGTGAGTGGTTTTCTCCACTGTTTCTTTAAATTCCTATTTTGATACCACATGAAAGATATTGTTGATTGAACAACTTTGTTTACTACTTCTTTTCAGGTGAGTGATGCAAAGACACGCAACACTACCTGGAAGATCAACAACCGTCTCTACGGTCCCAGCTCTGTCTCCTTTGCTGATGATTTTGTCAAAACCAGCAAGAAACACTACAACTACGACCACACAAAAATAAACTTCAGGGACAAGAGGAGTGCAGTGAACTCCATCAACGAGTGGGCAGCCAAGTCAACGGGTGGCAAGCTGCCTGAGATCACCAAGGATGTACAGAACCCAGATGGAGCAATGATTGTTAACGCTATGTTCTTCAAGCGTAAGTAGAAGAAAGTGTGTTCTTATCACATGAGACACACAAAGAGATCCTCACTCACTCCTCTTTGTTTTAACCTACAGCTCACTGGGATGAGAAGTTCCATGATGCAATGGTGGACACACGAGGTTTCCTTGTTAGTCGTTCATTTACCGTTGGAGTTCCCATGATGCATCGCACAGGTAGGCTTTTTTACCATCAATTCAACTTACTGTGTTAAAAAGCCAGAAAGATCAAACAACTGATCTGTGTGCTCTGTGCAGGTCTGTACGACTTCTATGACGACACAGAGAAACGAATCTACCTGCTGAACATGCCTCTTGGCCAGAAGCAGGCCTCTATGATCCTCATCATGCCTTACCAACTGGAGCCTCTGGACCGTCTGGAAAAACTCCTGACTAAGACTCAGATGGACACCTGGATCAGCAAGATGCAGAGCAAAGCTGTCGCTATTTCCCTCCCTAAAATCTCCCTTGAAGTCAGTCACAATTTGCAGGTAAGTTATTGCAATTCCACAGATTGACCATTGGGAAATCAAGGTTGAGGGCGTCAACAAGATCCAGAATCAGCTCTTTATCTTGAATTATCATGTCTTTTCCAGAAACATCTTGCTGAGCTCGGCCTGACTGAGGCTGTGGACAAAGCCAAAGCCGACCTCTCCAACATCTCAGGAAAGAAAGACCTCTACCTCTCCAACGTCTTCCACGCTTCAGCTTTCGAGCTTGACGTGGAGGGAAACCCGTTTGACACCACCATCTTTAGCTCAGAGAAGCTGAGGAACCCCAAACTTTTCTACGTAGATCACCCCTTCATTTTCCTGGTCAGAGACAACAAGACCAAGTCTATCATGTACATCGGCAGAGTAGTTAGACCTAAAGGAGAAAAGATGCGCGATGAGCTCTAATGTTCATGTGTTGGTAGGTAGTTTTTGATACTTGTGAAGAATTGGCAGGGAACAGAGCTTATTTGATATTTGTGTGTGTATTTGGGTTTGACTTTTACCTCTTTTGAGTACAATCCAGTAGACAATACAACTATTTGAGCTTTCTTTTCTTTTTTTTTTTCTTTTGTTGATTTTTTTAAATACAAGATTTTCCAGAGAACCGATTCTGTACCAATGTGGGGTCTCGGCCTTCAAACCCCAGCTATGAATGCATGTTTCTATCACAGATATGTGCCTTAACTGAGACCTCTAAGACCTGTAAACAGCAGTTGGCACAGCAGACAACATGCTTATATTAAGTATGATCTCTTTCTTAACACCCTTTTTTTTGCCAGTTTTGGTTTGGCCACTTGTGTTTTCTTGCATTATCTTTAATGTTTAAAGAAAATAAGATCTTTGCACAAGCATTTACAGATGTTTCTCACACCCTTTCCCCCTTCTTCATAATCTTGTTTGTGCATTTTGCCTCCGATCTGCTCTGAGTCATTCCTCTGCATGAGCTGAGTTTGCAGAGGTTAGGTGTCAAATGTCAGGACCTTTCTTTGTCTTGCTCGCCAACCAAACTGTGCCATGTTGTTGTTGCTGTAGGTATTTTTGACAAAAAAGTGGTTGTGTCATAAAATGTTGATTTTCCAATAAAAAGAAAGAAATTGATCTCTCTTTGTGTGTTCTATTTTTGTCTGATCGATCTGTATTCCATCCAAACACAGTTGATAGTGCCCACTGGAGGGTTGAACAGGACAATGTGAGTGCATTAAAGAGTTAACATCTCAAAGTGAAAGGATAACAGTCTTTCCAGTTGGCTGGAGGTCACACGGTCCTTCCAGGTCAGGAATGTCAGGATTTAACAATGCACACCCTTTTCATCTGAGACAACTATCCAAAGAATGTCGTGGTTCATTTCCACTAACCACCACTTGATGGGAAGTCTTGTATGAGTTAAAAAAGTGTGCTGTGTAAAATCTGGAGTGCAGGGTCACAGTGGTGAACGGGAAACTCAATCTCTGACTTTTTTCTGCAAAACACATTAAAGCTATAAAACAACAGTGTCGAGATGGTGCGTTTGAATCAGTAAGGGGTCTCATGCGGCATTATCTTGAAACTTCTCTTTTAAAAAAATAACTAAATTGAATAAACAGCCTTGAATTCCTCAAAAAACCAACCGCTTTGTAAGTGCAGAAAGCTTTGTTATTTCCTGTGTTAAAGCTTTAGTGCCATCTTCTGGCCACGAAGAGAAAATAGTCTTATTTTTTCCCCAGAGAAAGCTTTGGCATTAAAAGTACTATAAATCATAGATTCAATTCATGACAATCTAGTAATTGTATTCATATGGCATTTAGCAATGTAATCTTTAAACACACATATGGTGCATTTTTTGACTGACTGCAGTTATTCTTTACCCCGAGAATAATCTGAGCTGCTCCTAAAGTTCATGTCAAATGGTTGAGATGCAGGTGATTATTTTTTAAGGGGGACATTATAATTAGGATGATGTTTTTAAAATTACTTCAACTATCACTTTGATCAAAATTTGATAACATTTGTAAGTTTTTTTGCCCTTTCAGAGATTCTCTGTAAAATGTGTCATTACCTCAGGTGTGCCGCTTAGCTTTGCTCTGTCTCAGCATGCTTTTGCTGTCTGCTTTGAATGTCAGACTTTAATAATAGTCATACCAGTCTCTCAATATTAAACTCCAACATCCGACTGATCTACACTAGATGGAGCTGTCTAACCTCTGGACAAACTGCATCTGTGCTCAACTATCGGAAAACAGATGTCTTTCTGTGCTTCATGTTTGAACATGGATGTAGTGCAAACTCAAGCTGAAACCCATAAAACAACAAAGCAGGATATTTAGTTTTTCCTTTAAAAATGTTCTTTAGTGAAATTTTCTGATGAGTTTTGGCTGGTGTTTTTATTAATGTAGTTGATGAATCAACAGAAAATAAACAAAGGGCCATCACATATTCTTATCCTTATAAACTTCCCCTACATTCTCTATAATTTTGTCTTCCTTGACTAAAATTAAAGGGAAACAATCAAAGATTTTTGTATCATTAAAAGACGTAGAACAAAGTACCTGTACATATACATTTATTTTAAACAGTTATCTTGGCTGTAATTTAGTGTTAACCTTCCTCCTGTGTTAGCTTTTTCTATGCATTCACCATGTTAAGGATCGGTTTTGACCCGTGTCTTTACACTGCAATTTACACTAAAAACAATTCTCTATCATCCAATTTGGTTCTTATCTCTAGGTTAACTTGCTAGGTTTCATTATCCATAAAAATATTGCTTGTATTATTTTTTGGTGTGGGCCTCTGGGCCTTTCTTTGTCAGTATACCTCTCACACAGACATCTATACTGAATTGATCTTACATGTCTGGACATGCCCGACGTCTTGTGTGCACGCTAAAACATGGCAAAATTATAATTTCAGTTTTCAGTTTTTGCTCTAATTATTAGATTTTATTCTAACCGAGTCAACAGCGACCCTAACACAATAAATGCCATGATTTTACTAAGAGCATTTTACAATTTAGTCAATTTAACTTATTTTTAAATTATTTTGTTGAAATAGAGGTTCCTGAAAAGTCATAAAGTCTTGATGCAAAAAAAGCTAATTTAAGTGGTTCTTTTAAGCATTTAATAACAGAAACGGGTTGCTGCAAACCCTAACACAGGAGGAGGGTTAAAACAACTTGGAATATATGTATGAATTTTGTCTTACCCATAAATGCAGAAGCTGTTTTTCCTCTTGATATTCAAAATCATTAGCAGCCTTTGCATTAAGATTTTGCGCTCATACAATTCAGTCAAAGCTAAGTAACAGGTTTTATTTTGAAATAGGCAGTTTGATGTTTCATTGTCCTGTAATAGGGGACCACTCAGTGGCCAGTAAGTGCAGAGAGTAGTGAATGAGTGCAGCTCTCATTCAGGAGCCATGCAGCTTCCTTGTGCTACTGGCAGCAGGCACATAGGCAGGTAATGCGCCAACCTTCATTACATTAGCACTGTCATGTTCTGCTGTGCTGGCTGCAGGCAGATTAGCTGGTCGATGGACAATCCTCTTAAACAAGTCTGAAGTAAGCACAGTGAGAGGATGGGGGGTGCTGACCGCTCTCCGCCTGCCCCTCCCTGCTCTCTGTCTCTTCATTCCTCTGGATAAGTCCTCCTCTCATCTGCTGCTCTGGCTTTGCTTCTTGCACGTCTTCCTTTCTTCTCATTCAAGTCTTTTTGTCCAACTGTCTGTTGGCCTTGCGAAAAATGGTCCTGATCTCTTGTGTCACCATCTCCTGCCAGTTTGTCCTAGTGAAATATAAAGAGTGGATCAACAGAAAATAATGTACTTGTCATTTATACCAAGCCGTAAAAAAGACAAAGCGTACCACACAGCATACAAAAACAAATAAAAAGCAGCACGGTCAAATAAATAAAAGTTAATTATGGAAATGCCCCAGCCAGCAACGATAAAAGCGAATGAACTAAACAAAGAGGGCTTTTCCCAATCTCCTTAAGAAGATGTAGAAGGTGATAAGATCAGGAGATTAATGAGACTTATAGATCACAGAGCTATCAATAAGACTCAGTAATCAATGAGACAAATCTGTGCATGTGCACACCCATTGTTGCCTTATAGAACTGACATCCACAGCAGCAGCATCTCTACAACACAACAGCAGCAGCCGGCATGCAGGACTCTACCTCCTGTGTATGGACTAAGGTGGTCAAGCCTTTTTTTCAGCTTTTTTTCTTCTGTACGCAGCTATATCTTCAGGGTTCAGCCCGTGATTGTCTTCCCTGAAGCAATATTCAGAGAGTTGGAATTTGCATGAGCCAAAAGGATACAAATTCAACAGCAACATATAGATAACATTATCAAAATATATCACTCCTGAAAACATGGGAGCTGTGGTATCATATCATATTAGAATAAGATCAAATGGTAGTTCAATAATGTATGCATAATGTTTATTTTTGTCTGCGCTTGTATGTTTGCAAGGCTGTTTCAGAATTGACAACAGGTCAAACAATTTGTCCCCATGATTACTTAAAAATTCAGATATGAATAGAAATGTTAAGCTTACCCTGGTTTGATCTCAGGTGGTTTTGGCAAAGGTTTTGTAAAGTCTGTTTTACCCACAAGCCAGTACGTCTCTTCAATTCCTTTACCCTAAAAATAAAAAAGACACATCATGAGTTGGTTACAGAGTATCTCATCTAGAAGTAGTCCTTGACTGCATATTGTTGAATATTGCATCACCTTCAGCTCTGTCTTGCCTCTAACTTCTATTCTGTAGCCCTCGTTGAGAGAATGAAGGATCTTCACAGTGGTCATATTCACATGGATTCTATAAGCTGACGGTGGATGAGACAAAGAGAAGAGGACAGATCAGATCAAAACAAAACATGAAACAACAGAACCTCTGATGGTTTGGGTATGTACAGGATTCTTACGCAGCCCAGTGGATTCCATGCGAGAGGCAGTGTTGACAGTGTCTCCGAAAAGGCAGTACCGTGGCATCGTCAGACCCACCACCCCAGCAACACAGGGTCCTGGAAATGTAAAAGAAATTTCTGTCAGTTTTAAAGATGACAACAACTGATTGAAGTAAAACTAACATTATTTCAAAAGACAATTTTGACTTGAGTTTTTTCCAAAAATGTGTTTTTTTTTTTTTTTTAATCAACACACCTGATTCAAATGATCAGCTCGTTATCAAGCTCTGTAATGGCTTAATAACGAGCTGATCATTTGAATCAGGTGTGTTGGAGCAGGGAAACATCCAAAACATGCAGGACAGTGGGCCTCGAGGACTGGACTTGAGAACCACTGGCCTAGATGACTGGTCTAAAATCAGGCTACCACAGGTCTAAAAATGAAAGTTTTTTAGACGTCTAAATTTAGACCAAGTTTAGACTAGCCTGCTGTACTATACTACACTGTAGATTGCTCAACCGCTATCATAATTATTATGGTTAAGTAGTTGGAGATGAGTTATGCAACTCACAGTTGCTTTTTGAAATGAATAGTTATTGAATAATGGGTTAAAGTGCAATGTCTAAATTTCATCTAAAAATGTACAGAATCTAGACGGTTCAAACTCGGTCTTAAAAAAACTAGAAGTCTAATAACCGTCTATTGCTCAGTGGGTAAGCACTGTATTCCTCTTAGCCAAAGCCTATCTCAGCATGCATCAGCGTTGTCCATGACAGTAAAATATAGAAATTAATTATTAGAATATCAAGATGGACAAGCTACAAGTCAACCCTTGTTATATCAACTTTAGATTTCAGCTTCCACCCTGTTATTGATTTGTCTGACTTTGACCATGCAGGTAATGTCGGTTATATGTAAAAATTTAACAACACAGATTGAAAATGCAGTCAACATAAGTCTCAGTGACCTCTAGATTTATTATGGCTATGCACAGGTAATAAGAATGGACATGTTTCTAAGCATAAGGTTAATAATGTTAATGTTAGAATATTACAAAGCTTCACCTGAGTGAATTCCTATCCGTATCCTGACAGGTACATCAGGCATGTGCCGCATTCGGAAGGTTCCTACTGAGCTGAGGATGTTCAGAGACATGTTGGCGATCTCAGCGGCGTGCTTGTTGCCGTTTCGCTTTGGTAGACCTGATGCTACCATGTATGCATCCCCAATGGTCTCCACCTGTATGATTCCAACAAATGTATTCAGCTGTGGGCACTTCATTGTGCATTTGAATGGCAGGTACTGTACATGTAGACTGGTAGTTTACAAGAAATACAGTGAGTGTGCTCTCTGACCTTGTAGACATCGTGGTTGCTGAGCACGGCGTCAAACAGGGTGTAGAGATCATTGAGAAGGTCAACCACCTCAATGGGATCGCTGAGCGAGGAGATAGTCGTGAAACCAACAATGTCACTGAAGTAGATAGTGACCTGATCAAAGTACTCTGGCTCCACCGTGGCGCCGGTCTTTAGGGCCTCAGCTACTGAACTGAAAACAAAGGGGGACACGGGTCATGAGGGACAGATACTAAACCATTTATCAAATTATGTGACTAATCTTCCTGCTGGGATGGAAAGATTACAAAAGAAACACACTGGATTGCATTCATGTGAAAAGATTTGATGTTGAGTGGAAACTCACGGCGGCAGCATCTCTGACAGAAGCTTTTCTGTTCTCTGTTTCTCCACTTCCAGCTCCTCTGTTCTCTCTCTGATCAGGTCCTCCAGGTTGGAGCTGTACTGCTCCAGCATTCTCAGCATTGAATCAATAATGTTGGTCTTTTTACCCTTGTTGATTATCTTGAACTAATCATAAACATACAAAATTATTCTTAAACATTTTTGCAATATCACCAAAACATGTTCAGTTGAATTTAATTACTTCAAGACTATAACTTCTGGAATAACTTCTAGTACCCTGTCAAAGATCTCATCAAAAGTTGGTCTGCGGTCAGGTAGTTCACTCCAGCACTGCTTCATCAGCTGGATACACTCCAGAGGAGCCTGGTCTGGGGCCACAGTAGGACGGCACATTGGAGGAGGCTTCTTCACTTTGCGGATAATCTCTGGTGAGGAAACAAATATCAGTCAAAATGTCAAACCAACTATTTCAACATTCGTGTTTCATTACATTGTTGACTGTGTGCACATTTGTATTTTCTTAAAACTACATCTAAAATTCTAAAACATTTCACACATAATCTGTCTGTTTCTGTTTGTTTGTATCACCTTCTCTCTGATCTATACATACCCTCAGGTGGAAGACCCAGCATGCAGTATGGTGGGCCCCTGACCACCACCTCTTGTAGGATGATGGAAAAGCTGTATACATCTCCCTTGTACGTGCCTCTGCGGGAACTTGCTTGATCTCTTAAGAACTCTGGAGCTGTCCAAAACAGATCTGAGAGAGAAAAAAAAAGCAAAGTTTATTGATTTGATCTGGAGCACACTTTTGGCACTTCTGACTGTAAAGAGCAAGAGCCTTTGAGTATGGATTTAGAGCTCATTTTAACATTCATTTGTAAAGCTAAAGTGGAATCATGTAGGATCGAAACCTGGCTGTACAGTCTATAAAATAAAATATAGAGTCACATCTTTGGCCAGAGAAGATACCTTGAGGTCGATGTTCTTCCATTGGGGCTTTCTGAGAGTCCAGCAGCTCATTGAAGCCATAGTCAGTGATCTTGAGGACGAAGCGCCCATCCACCACACAGTTACGAGATTTTAGTCTGCCATGAGGGAAATCTCTGTGATGAAGGTATTTCATACCCTGGGAGCACAACATGTTAAACAATGCAATTAATATCACATTGTTGACTGCGAACATACCACAGTCTATGGAACATACAGGTCACCAAATATAAAGGTAGGACCGAGTGATTCAGCAGTTTCACCTTGATGAGGTCCAGCAAAAGTGAGGACTTGAACATCCAGTCAAGTTTAACATCCTCATTTCTCAGCAGGTCATGCAGACTGCCCCGAGAGCAGTGTTCAGTCACCACTGCAAACATGGAGCAGTCTGCAAAGAAGCCCAGGAATGGATTTACGTTTTCATTTCTCAGGTCTTTCATCTGAAATAAAGGGAACATTCATGGAAAGGTTCAAGGCAATTAGACACAATACTCTCAGTATGTCTTTAAATGAAGAACTCTATTCAATTTTTAGTTTCAACTGTGGCCATAGCTTTTATATAGATTTTTTTCCCCCTGAAAATTTTCTTTACCTTTGTGAAAATCTTTGTTATGCTCTGTTTCATTTCTTTGAACTGCTCCTCCTCAAATTTCTTCAGCCATACCCAGTCACCCTAGAAGAAAAGACACATTGTGACACTTAGAAAAATACCATTTTTAAGAGTTTAAATTCACATTTCAAACTTTGAATAAGCCAATAACCATTAACCTCTACATGATCAGTCACCTACCTGTACTGTTGTAATTCTGTGTTTATTCTATGTTATGTAATAGTTTGGTAACAGAAATACTTGTTAATAGTCTGAACAATAATACCTGTTAATTAAAAGTTAGACTTAAAAATAGAATACCAAAAAGCTATATGAACTGTTCTATTCAAATAAATAACATAAACCATGTGGTATACACCTAAAGGAAAACATGACAAAAAATGTGTTTTCAACTTCTGGCTGTCAAGTGGGCTTCATGGACCCTCCTCTGTTCCTTATCATTATAAAATATTGTTAATTATAAACGAGGGCTGAAGCAACACGTGTAAGGATGCTCCCTCTCTTACCTACCTCGTACACAGCTACATTTGTGGTCTCATGAGTTGCAGTTTGCATGCTGTTGACAGAGTGAGAGTGGTCAGCGGATTTGTCCTCTAGAGCACTCTTGGACTCACTGAGATCCTCTAAGGTGATTTTCTGCAACACCAGGAAAACAAGTAATGAATAAGATCCCTTAATATTTTTTTTTAAATGAAAGTGTACATCATCTTAATCAAATAGCTCACAAAAAATACAGAAATAATAAATTGCTGTTCCAAAAGTTTCATTTAATGACTGAGGGATGGTGTCGCTGCTTACTTTTTTGCTTAGTTGGGGATTGATAAAAGTGAGATCCCCCAAACTTAAAAGGATCCGATTGGGGCCTTTCACCAGTTGGATTTGTTGCAGTCTCCTTCTGCAAGTGGGATGAAAAATAAAATTAAAACAAGATAAGAAAATGGACTAAACCAATGGTAGTTGGGGTCTGTTTCCTTAAACGTAGGGATCATCTTTGAGTAAGTAAGAGTATCACCCTATATGGAAGTCTAGTTTACTGTGAGCATATGGTCAGATGGTAAGATATGAGATTAGGCTCAGGATCAGGCTTTTACTCATATAATGTCAATCAGAGTCACAGACCAAAGAAATCAGTACATCATTAGTTCAATAAATCACTTTACTTTGGTACAACCACAAGAAAGAATTTGATATAATGATCATAAGACCGGGGCACATTCAGTCTTGCAAGTTTGCCCCGTTACCAGGTACAGCCATTGGTTTTTACAGAGGTTTTAGAGACCCGTGTCCACCTGTGTATCCAACTAACTCCAAATGCTACACATATTGATATCACATTATTGGTGTTATTATTGTATTAATTACTAATGTTAGCTTCAAAGCTGCTTGGCACTGAATGTGATAATCAATATTATCAGTCTTCACAAAATCATTTTATAGTTATAAATGATAAAAATAGACCTGCTGGCGTTGACTGTTACAATCATTATCATCACTATTTTCATTTCTACATTAATTTACCTAGGGGGGACTGCTTAGGACTTTTTCATCCAATTGTTTCTAGCATTTACATTGAAGACTCATTATTATGTACACCACAGCTTTAGTATGTGAGCGCATCTTTTCTCCAAACAAAAACCATTTTACTTACGATAAGGGCAACAACTGGAACAGCCGAGCAGAAGAATAATGCACTATTTCACTTGTTGGTACAAAAACCTGAATCTGTTTATATTTAAAGGCTTTACCTGATATAAAGACTTATAGCAAGTCCTCCGAGAGCCAGAACGAAGATGACTGCAATCACCACAATGATGTAAGTGACCTCCACACCTGAGGATGACATGACAGCAGATAACTGAAGATAGGGACGGATTAAGGACAGAATATATAAAGAATACACCATAAAACAATAAGGACTTGAGTAAACATATCCATTTGCACCAGTGATCTCATACCTCCTGTGCAAACAGCTGTCTTATCAAACCAGCAGCTGGAATCTGACGGTGGAGGAGAACCTCCGGGAAAATGAATAGACCTCCCAGCAAAGCGAAGCACTCCAGATGATAAATCCACCTGGTAGGTCTGATACAGCTGCCCTCCTGAGTTGTCAGAGTCCAGGATGACAAAGTTGGTCTTAAGTTCCCCAGCACTGTCCACTGGGATCTTCTGATTAAAGCCATTGAAGGTTATGTTCTTTGTGAAGTAGGCCAGGTTTGAGCCTGACAGCCACATGCCTGCTCTCCTGGCATTGTGGATGGATTTAGCCAGCAGGTAAATACTGTTATAGATGGTCCCAAATAGAGGATGTACCTGCAAAGGGCACAAAAGAAAGCTAACTTTACAATATGAATAAATATCATTCCCGATTTAACTATTAAAGTATAAAATTAAAGTATAAAATGAGTCATTTGTTCTCTAAATTGGGTAGCAAACTATGCAGGGTGTGTTAAGAGTATTAAGACACTAAGTACAGGATGGTTTTAGTGTGAAAAGATGCTGATTAAAGTATGTTTTTAGTGTAACAAAACACTTCATGTAGAATATCTTTCAGTATGAGAGGACACCTACTGTTGGGTGTTGGTAATCTGAACATAGCACGCATTTAGTAAATGAGACATTCAATATGAGATTTCTTGAAATGGATAAGACGATTAAGGTAAGTAAGACAAGAAAAGAAAGAGATCGTATATGAGGTAACTTTGAATTTGTGGGGAATATGAGATGAGATGAACTGAAGATGTAAATCAAACCACTCTCTTTGTGTTGTAAGGAAAATAATACTGATAAATATAACAAAGCAAATGACTGACAACAACGACCATTTCTGATAAGTCAATAAACTTTTCTGAACTGTCTTCCTTCTGCTAGAGGAAAAGAAACAGAACAAAAACCATGAAAGCTTCATTCTAAAAACCTGGTAATCACATTGATTCATGTCAGTTTGGTTAAGCTTTTTCATCAAATGAGAAATGACTTTGAGTCCTACTAAAGGGATACATTTGGGTATTTACTAAAGACTAACACATGACTCTAATTCAAGATTTTTGTGTGGAGCTCGGACTTTATTTTTTTTACCTGTTCTGGCTGCATATCTATCATCAGTTCCTCACTCCTCTGGGCAGCAGTGAAGGCCTCATTAAAAGACAAAGGCTCAGAAGCTACAGTGATGGTGAGCACAGCATCATAGGCCTCCCTCAGACTGCTGTTGTTTTGCAGAGGGAAGTAGGAGATGTTGGTGTATGGTACACTGTACTGGAGGGTGTCGTAGGGCACAAACACATACTGCCCTGACGTCAGGCCCATTTCCTGTGCTTTGAGGAGAAATGAAGCTTGCTGCTCTCCTCCAACCAGGATAGAGTGCATGCACATAATGATGACTGAAACACACAGAAATGAAATGAAAGTAATGAATGAAAGTAGCATGATGACATTATAAGTCAAAATTTGACAGCTGGACAAACAGAAAGCAGGAAGAAAGTTACTGAACTGTCACTCTGGGTTATACTGACATTTACAGGAAACCTACCCAAACGAGGAACTAGAGGAAATAGCAAAGTACAGTATAGTATAGGGCTGGGCGATATGGGAAAAGGTAATCACAATTTTTTTTTTTCATATTAGTTGATATCTATACATATCACATTATAGACAATGAAATTTAACATTGTTTATTGGTATAGTATGTTTTTTGCAATTCAATGAGCTACTGCATCTGTGAGGCCTTCGTGTCTCTTTGACATTTTGTCCAAGGGCATTGAGCAAGAGTAAGTGGACTGAATGGTCGGCTGTTACTCTGCTTCAAGTCCAACCTCAAAAAACCAAAATACCTCCACATCACTGACGTTTTCATGCCAGTGTTGTCAACAATGTCATCATCTGTTGAACCTTCACCTGCATTTCTCCCGGGGGTAGCACTCATTTTCTTGTTTTCTTACCGGCAGTGCTGTCGGCTTCATGTGTTAAAGTGCTATGGTTGTGTGTAGCTACAGCCTGCTAACACACAGTTGTTTGCTACTTGGTTCTAAAGGTCCTTTCACACCGGGACCATTTTCATCGTGCAATTATTCGGACGTCAATATTTTTTTTTCGAACCCATATCCTGTCAATACAAGCATTCAGCAACGTTTTCCCATCCTGCGATATTGCAGCATTTATTTTTTCCTATCACGGTCGAATTTTCTAAAGTTTCGCATACTGTGTGTCCACTTCTGACCAATCGGATTTTGTGTTGTTGTGACGTCAGATTCACTGGTATATCCAACATGGCCGACCAGCTGATTGTTTATGTGTCAGAGAACAGAGTGCTTTTTGATAAAAAAAACACAAACATTACAAAGATAACGACCTGAAGGATGGTTTGTGTGCTTTAACAGTTTGCTAAACGTCTTTGTTTTAACTTTCATCTGTGCTAAGTAACTTTAGCTCGTAAGCTAACCTGTTCAGATACAACATACCATATGTATTTTCACTGTCTCAAACTCAATCGCGTTGCTGTCACAGCACTGTTAGGTCTCGGTTGTTACCTTACGTTTATGGATTACAGTTTAATGTGCTTATCTGGTACTGACCCCGACTCAGTACATGCTATCATGACAGACAGACATCTCAACACTAGTGTCTAATCAGAACTGAAAAACAGTCAGTCTGCTGTTGTGTTAGTCTTCTCACTTTCCCCCGGGACGTGTCTTTTTTCCCCCCGGAAAGTCGCAAAATCACATCGGGCTTGAGGTGTATAGTCTGGTGCGTTAAAATTTGCCTCTGAATATTTCGTAATTTTGCGTCAGATATTTGCGTTGGTGTGTAAGGACCTTAAGTCAGCACATGATTCATTCAGTGCAAAGCGAACCCAGAGCATCTCCCCTTTTCATTGCCTATTCGTATAGTCTACCAAAACATGGCAGAATGCTGTCTATCGAAAAACATATTGACCATGATTTATATTGATATTAAGGGAAATTAATTTTCAATATATATTGTTTTCATTTTATCGCCCAGCCCTATTACAGTACAATAAAGATTGTGGAACAGGTAACGCTTATGAGACATCTATCAGGTCTTACTTCAGATCTAGGTGATTGCCTGATGCTTAGAGGAGAAATTGTGTGCACTTTACTGTCATTTTAAAATCCATCCAAGGACCACCTTAATGTCAGCTCTTTATGCCAAATTGAAGAGCTTATTGTAAAAAGAAAACACTTTTATTTGTTGTCCCAAAAAAGTGAAATTTGCAGATTAAAAATGGCTCCTGTACAGTTTAATAGTGATAAACCTTTACTGAAGGGAATCTGCAAATACAGCCTACCTGTTGTGTAATATTTCTGCCCAAATGATTAAGTTATGGGTGTCAATCTTCTTTGTTGGTGTCTTCAACTCAACTGTATTGACTCACCCCTGATCTCCCCTGCAGCCTGGATCCTCCTCAGTGTGCTCTCGACTTCTGTCTCGTTTGTACCGATGGCTGTAACCATGCCTACCGGAAGCCCCTTATTCCTCATGGCAGATGCGACTCTCCCTGCTGTATCGATCCAAATGTCCTCGTTAGATGAGACCACCACAATACTGGCCCACCTGAAGTGCTTTAACACAATGAACAACACCTCAGATGGAAACGGCACTGTCCTGGAAAAGGTTGGGTATCCTATGACACGGTCCAGCTCGTAGTTAACACAGCCGTATGAGAAGATGGCTTTCTCCCAGTTCTTGGCCAGTAGAGAAGCTGCAACACAGTATCCTGGGTTAGTGGGACCCACAAACGCATCTGCCATCTTCTCATAGTAGATGAAAGCAGTGAGGGCTTGTGAGGTCTCGCAAGGTTCCTGAAGGATGATGTAGTCCATTTTCAGGCCCAGATCCAGATTTAGGTCGTCGTTTATCCTGTTAACAGCGAGCTTGGCTGCCACAGCTGGCAGAGCCCTGTAGTAAACAGGATCGCAGTTCCAAGGCCCAAGAACTCCCACTTTGAATATCAAACAGCGGACGCAACACGGGAATGTCAATACTCCAAGGAGGATCCATAATAGAGAATTGTAAAAAGGTAGAGTATTTAAAGTTGGTCTGCTTTTAATAATGGGCACACATGGATGGCTGGACTCCAAAAGCCCCCCTCTAAAATTAAGTGGAATATTTTGCATCTTCCCTCCAAAAATCCCAAGGTAGTGAATCTTTGTCCTCGCAGTCTAACATAGAGGTCAGATGAAAATTGCAAAACGAGTACAGACAAAAGTCTTGGTTATGTCTGATACAAGTGATGCACAAAATGTCTAAATTCAAGAAAAATAACACTTACCATTTGATTGTTGCCATCTACAGCTACAAAAAACTGCTAAGACTTACAGGTGTCTTCTCGGATCAGCTGGTTAGTCTCCATGTAAACCGTCAGCTAACATGCCCCAAACTTTACCCATTTACCCCCTGAATCCACCTTGTCGCTCCGGAGAAGACACATCCATGTCATGGTGTTTGGATTATGGGCGGAAGGTGACGGGCAGAGCTCTGGCACCGCGTCTGTCGCGTTTGGAGACAACTTCAGTACCCTGGAGAGTTACTTATGTCCCGCAGTCAGCGCCTCTGAAGGCTCCAGTGCGTTTCCACACACACCTCTGTTTAATGGCAGCGCACGGAAAGAAGAATGTCCACTTGTCTCCTTTCTTTTATATGTCTATCTCTAGGAAATAAAGCACGTTTAATATTCCAAAATGCGTCAGAGAAGTCATTTGGCCCAAAAGATGCGCAATTTTCTCCAACAAATACGCACCAATTGGAGAGAGTTCGGATATTTTGTCAATAAAGGAGGCCAGTGTCAGCTTCAGGTCCATTCAGTCAAATCCCTCTGAAGTGACCCTGGGCCGAAACGTCGGTGTTACTCTCTAATCCATTTTCACTGAGGCACAATATAAGAGGATTGACAACAGGCCTTAGGAGACACGTTGTCATGCAGACTGAGGAGGCAGTGGGCCTTTCTCTCTCTGTAATCACATCCATGTCAAAATTGTTAAACATCTATGAAATATTGAGATAGATATTTGGTAAATAAACGTGGTCACTTGTCATGCCATGGGGGACACACGAACCATTTTGCGCAAAGACACCTGAACCGTGTTTTTAATTGGTCTAATATGCCTGCAGTACAAAAGGTACCACAGATTAAATGAATTGAAACCCTGGTGGAGAGGTGTAATTAAAGATAACGAAGGGCTCTCCCTGTGGGTCCCTTGAGCTCTGCAGCGTTTTTCCTGCGTCAGTCTTTTCAGCTCTTTATCCTAAAGACTCTCTGGTGATGTAGCCTGCCTGCCAAATGAGACCTTGAACAGCTGGTTGCCACAACATCAACCAGGGCATGACAGGGCAAACTATGGACTGCATCGATGATTTAACAGGATGATATTGTGCCACGTAGAAGAAGTGATTTGTGAGAATCAGTTGTGTCTTATGCACATTCAAGACTTTGATCAAGTTTTCTATAATCACATAAAAAGTATATGCAAATCACAAACAAAAATACATTTAGGGTTTCGTGTTAAGATCAGGGGAAAAGGTGACAACAAAAGACATATCCTGTTATGTTTGGATTTAGGTCAGGACCTTAAAAAGCTTTAAACTAATTAAGAGAAAACAAACAATCAGAAATGCGACTGACAGCTTCACATGGTGGGAGAACTTGTGTATGAATTCATATATGTGTGTGAGGAAAAAGAGGTCTTCTTGCCCCCTAAATTTGCCTGTCTTTTACTGCATGTGTGTGTATGAGTGATATCACCTCTGTTGACCGTTAACCCACATAAGCTGATGAGCCTCTTAAACCTTGACACCGCTGTCTTGCATCCAGGAATAGAGGACAGAAGTGTTGACTCAGCTCTTTGTTCACCCAGTGAGTCTGAACACACACAGCACATCTGAAGATGCTCCTGAGACAAACCCCCATTAACTCCTGTGCTTTTGTTTTAGACACTCAATCTATCTGCATGCAAAAGACGACAATTAAACATACACAAAATAAATACTGAAAAAAAGGAATCAAATGGATATGTTGTTATGGAATCAAATTCTTTCTGATAATTAATTCTAGTCCATATAACTTTAAAATGAGGAGGGTTCAACTGTCACAATATAATGCTGAAAGAAACTATATGGAAAAGAAACCCCTCCACTACAACAGCTTTGGCTTTCAGTTTCTTCCACTGTGTATGTTTGCCATTAATATTTTTAGCTTCAAAGCATTTTTCATCTGTCAACTAAGGGTCAGATATAAAATCAAACAGGACTAAGATGTTTCTGTGAGATTGATCAAAGCCTTTGCAAAGGAGAACACAGCTGTCTGCAAGGTCTCACAGGAGAACTGTGCAAAACTTGCAGATTTATAGAAAACAGGCTGTCCGCTCTTAAACAGGAGGAAGAGCAGTCAAGAGAAACCCAGTTCTGGCAGCTGTGGATGAACACAGATATACAAATAAAAGCAATGATTAAACGAGCAATGATCAAATCAAATTATTGATCAAACATAGTAATCATATATAAAGCTATAAAGGTTAACCTGACACTTAAGGGAATATTTTGCCATTGTATGTTTAGCTAAGATTGCTATATTTTCAGACATAGCCCCTTATGTGCAGACCTCCTATGAAATGATCATGTTCGCCTCTGGCTCCATCTAGTGGACAACTTTAAGAGCTCACATTTATATCAGGATGAAGGGAGAACCCCAGTTTTAAGTTACAGATGACTTACTTATAGAATACCAAAAATTAACGATCCTGGACTCAACAGAGTTATTTCTAATAACATTTACCATTAAACAAATAGAAAAACACTTTTTCAGCTGTTAACAATCTATCCCACTGCTATTATTTCATAAGATGTCTTTCAAGAGTTTATAATTTTCCATTGATGAAAATCATCTGGCCACTTTTTACTACAGAGAGGTGTTGTACAGCTCAATAAGAATTGGTGTTTACATTGACAGTGACTTTTTGTGTCTTTACTCTAAACCCGGTGGTTCTCAAGTCCAGTCCTCGAGGCCCACTGTCCTGCATGTTTTGAATGTTTCCATTAAGCCATTACAGAGCTTGATAACGAGCTGATCATTTGAATCAGGTGTGTTGGAGCAGGGAAACATCCAAAACATGCAGGATAGTGGGCCTCGAGGACTGGACTTGAGAACCACTGCTCTAAACTATGATGGATTCAGTGTCTTGTGACTTGACAACTTAAAGCTGTTCATTCTCATTTCCTAAAGTCTGTCATAGGTTTATTTTGTTGCAATGCACTGAAATCTGCCCTCACTTTGATTAAAAGTCCTTTAGGATGTTTGTCTTCATACATCAAGTCTCTGAGAGTCTAGAGTGTTTTGGTTTCTCTTTCAGACTGATAATGCTCCCTGCATTCCTGCTCTCTATCTTATCTTTACAGCCCTTGAAGATTCCAAGACATTACCACATGCTGGTGTGTGTGTCTGTGTGAGATGTGTAAGTGTGTGTGTTTGGTGTTTAAGCAGACACATTGGTTATTCTTCTCATCCCATCTTACTCTATGATGGTTTCATGTAGGTATGGTCATGTTTTTCATGCATTTTTCACAAAAACTATGCTTGCCTTTATCCCTCAGGGTCCAGCTCTGGGTGAATGTAATCAGCAGAGCTTGGGTGTGTGCTGAGATGCTGTCATGCTCTCATAAAGAAAACAATAGCTGAGGACTGCAGGCCCCTTGGTTTAGTGTGTGCGCAGCAACAGATGTTCACCATAATTCATCACAGTTGACCCCCCCTTTGGAGGACTTGTTATGGTGTCTCATCCAATGAAATGTGGTCTCATGTTTCCATAGGTTTTATTAGTTGTAGGCTGTTGTTGTTTGGCTCTGCAATGATATTACTTAATCAGATTTTGTTTAACTGCACAATAAATTTTGCTCACATCAGATCAAAAAGGTCTGCTACACAGTAAAGCTGAAACAGTTATAAGAAAATCAAATATATTTTGATTAAGGACTGTGTTAGTGGAGATTGCTTACAATGCCAAATTTCAGGGCGCTTTCTAAACAGAAACAGGTTAGTGAGGCTTTGCTGCGGAAGCAAGAACAGGAAAAGTCTGCGTTTCCGTTCAATTATTTCTTTTTATCAGTTTCATCAGAATGTAATCTGTGGGCCAAATCAAACAAACCACCGTTTTTTTGCGCAACAGTTTTCCGCCAATCTTCTCATGTGCAGTTTTGCTGCCTCTCCACTAGAGTGCGCACTGCCCAAGCGTCAAAAACTGTCATAGAAGAGAGAAACCGGAAGTAGACAAATGGGCCTTAGAAATAAAAGCCCGAGACTCTAAAATGTCAGGATCCCTAAAGTTTCAGTCAGATGTGTTGGATCAGGGTAAAGGAAACAACCAGGGCCAGCAGTGTTCTTTGGGCTCTTTAAATACAGCTGTGCTGGATTAACATGTAACATGTAGGCCATTGGTCGCAGATCAGGCTAGCCTTTGTAGAACACGTGTATATCTTTTATGTAAACTGTGTAAGCACATTTTCTTTCAAAGTCTGGCTCACTCGGTAAGTAAAAAAAAAAAACCTAAGTCGAGGGCAGAAAGACATGTCTGTTACCCTAGTAGGCTAAGCGTACCCTGGCAATGTTATTGACCGTAGTCGTGATAGCTACATAAGCAGAGAGCCTGTTTTGGTCCATACCTTGTTCTGGCATGTATTTCAACCGCTGTTAACATTAAAGCAAGCGCAACACGGTGAAAAGAAACTTAACCAAAACACAAATACACAAATTTAAACAAACAGTGGTGATCTCAAACAGAAGAGAAAGAAAGAGAAAGGGAGAACGTAGGCCCATGAGCTCCCCCGTCTAAGATGTGGGGTGTTTTGTTTAGGAAATCATCGACAGGAAGTGCTCACATTCACACGGTAGCGCGCTTCATAGCAGTCCTTAAACCAGCAGAAGGACTTTTGGCAATGGGATGACGAGTGTGTCCCAGTGTTTCCAGTTTGTGACAGTTAAAGGTGATTGGTCACACTCTCAAGAGAGGCTTCTAGAGCTCATGTTGACCAGCAGACAAACGAAAAAGCCAGACAGAGGAGCGCCGCGGGGGTCTGAAAAATGGGAGCGGTGAAGTGAAAACCATCGAAAAGCGGCATGTCTGGATGAAAAACACCAAAAGTAAGTTACTTCGAACATATCCCGACAAGAAAAGCACTCGAGTTTTGCCTCTTTGTCTTCAACTTTAACGTTTTGGGTGAGAAATGTAGTGTTTATTGTTCGCCAAACAGTAGCGGAGTTTCGGGCACCAAAACGCAGCAGACCAGCGGACCTCAGTGGTCAGATCAGATTTCACGATTTCACGTTATCCTGTGCGTTTGAGAAACCGCCCCTGGTGTCCCGACTGAATTGACGGGACTGCTGCGTGATTTTTACCTTAAATCATCCAGACAAGGACGTCAACTTTTAGTTTGTTTGCAACCTCACGTGAACGATGCGCGTCGAGGTGACATGTGGATCAGTGATTGACAGCTCAGATGGGCGGGGTTGACTCGAAGGATTTATTAGTGGACAAAGGAAATTGAGATATTTGTCTTCAGTTTGGATAGTTTTTTTTCTGAAAATGCTGCAGTGTAGTCCTCAGCCCTCTGTGGTTTGCCACGTACAGCTGTAAGAAATTTGATCTGCACAAGTGCCCATGTGGTGAGTGTATACCCGCCTCCTGTGTGAACGTATACAGACAGGGCAGTTGGACACTTTCCTCACTGCTTCTCACTATTACAGCTTTTTTTTCAGTCACTAACAACAACCAGTTGTCACATTTTCAAAACTGTAAACACAATGAGCACAGCATCGGCCTTTTGTGGCCACACCATTCACACATTTCATGTTGTTTTTAGTGATGAGCACGGCAGTTCTTTGAGATGTACTGAATCACTAGAATCAGTTCACTAAAAAGATTTGTTCAAAAGATTCGTTCGCTGAATCACTAAATCATTCTGGGTTTGACTAGCTCTCTTCTCATTACTGCCAGCTAACGTTTTAAATTTGTTTAATTGGGAACTAAATCTGTTAACACGATGGGGAACAACGGTCGCCAACGGTCCCTGGGTCGCCTGGCAATGCTGTGTACTATGAAATAAATGCATTACCTGAGGAAGTGATTTGGTTTGGTATGTTCAGTTAGAAGATTTGGTTCTTCTAAAGGAATCATTCGTGAATGACCCAACGCTAGTTGTTTTCACACAATATGCAGTCAGTGAACACATTTCCACAATGCTTACATTTTCTTAACAGACGAGCTATACCTCCCAACAAAATGATGGATTGTTTTTGTATTGTTTACGAATGTTAATTCACAACATCCCACAATAGCAAAAGCAATATTCCAAACCTTAGATACAGTTAGGGCTGGGTGCATGAGTGCTACCCCCCTGGCAGAAATGCAGATGAAGGCTCAACAGATTATGACATTGTCGACAACATTGGCATGAAAAAGTTGGTGGTGTGGAGGTGTTTTTTTTTTTTTTGAGGTCGGACATGAAGCAGAGTAATGTGCACTGCAAATTATGTCGAGTTCATGTTCACGCAAAGTCGGGGAATACCTCAAATCTTTTTCAGCACCTGAAGCAGTGCCAGCAGAGCATGTACAATGCAAAAGATTATAAACCCTAAGTGGGGCAAGGACAGCCGACCATTCAGTCCACTTTCTGTAGCGCAATGCCTCACGACAAAACGTAGAGGAGACACAAAGACCTCACAGATGCAGTAGCTTATTGTATTGCAATAGAAATGCTAGCAATAAACAATGTTAAATTTTGTTTTTTATATTGTGATATATCAATATCGACTGATATGAAAAAAATATATTGTGCTAAAATTTTTCCCATATCTCCCAGCCCTAGATACAGTATAGAAACCTCTGCTTCTGCAATGATATCAGTTCAAAAACAACATATCTCAGCTGATAATAAAGAAACAATTGAATAATTGACACACAGCTGATTTATGTTGGGTAAATTAGTGCCAACCACAGCTGATTCCAGTCTGGTTTAGACTCAGTGGCAGGGGTTAAAAGGAGGAGTTTGAGGAGTGATGTTTTTGGAAACAGAAAAAGACAAACACTGTAATGTCTAGATGAGGAAGAGTACGAACCAGGGGCCCAGAGAGAAGAGCAGGAGCAGGATATTTTGTTCACTGTAAGCAATACTGTTAAACTTTTTCTGTTCTATCATATTTTTATTTTTTTTACTGTACCTTCTGTAGTAAACAGTAAAGGAAAAAAAAACTGATTTGCTTTTTACTGGAATGCTTTTGAATGGGAACATTTCATATGAACATACAGTTCCCAACCAAGAAATTTAGTGTACAAACAGTGGATTGCATGTTTTGCATGCAAATACCTGTAAAACTAAAACATAAATGTCTATGCAGTTTTTGTAATGTGAGCAATAGTCAGTGTTTTGAACTGGTGGACTTTGATCGACTGCTTGTACCTTGTGAAGTAAAAAGAAGTGTTATTCTTTGACAGAATAATTTTATTTTGAGTCAGATATCCAGTGTTTCGGTAAAGTTAGTGTGTGCAGAGAAAGATGTGTTCTACTTTGAAATGAAGAGTTAGTATATTTAACAAAATGTGTTTTTGAGAAGAAAATTATCCATTTGGCCAAATGTGTTTTGTAGGTGTGATTCTGTGTTAAGAGTTTAGAAAAAGTGTATGGGTGAGTGCTTGTTAGCAATTGAAAAAAACTGTAATAAGTTAAAATGGGAGATATGGCACAAGAACTAAATTTGACGTGTTGTAAAATCAGATGCGAGTATAGAGCCAGCTGCAGAAATGCAAAGTAAGAAATGTAACTCGGTAAAGTCGTTGATTGACAGCAAAACGTTGGAACCACTTATATATTTACTTTTAACATATAGATAGATAGATAGATAGATAGATAGATAGATAGATAGACCCACCGAATATTGAACGTCGAAAAGACGTGCAGATCAAGTCAGAATTGGGTCGGTCTGTCAAAGACCACATCTAGACGTCAGTGTGACGTTCAAACTAGGTTAGAAATTTTGACGTCCGAATTGGACCTTCTTTAGATGTTGCTCTGACGTTAAGGATTTGGACGTCATTGGAAGACCAAATCTAGACGTCGCACAATGTGCAAAATGGATCCAAGATTTAGACGTCATTATAGGACTTGTTTTAGACGTTGAAATTACGTCCACATTTGTACCTCATCATCGAAAAAATACGTTAAATAGATGTCATTTCGACGTTGCATTGCGCTGTGGGGATAGATAGATAGATAGATAGATAAATAGATATCATTTTCTTTTAAATAGAAGTAGTGATCATATGTATTAATCATTGAGTTCCACATTTTGTCGTCATGTCTTTTCTAAAAGGATGTCTCACAACTGAATGGGCTTGGGTCTGTCTCATTGCTTGTGAATTTGTTTAATCACTTTAACTGGAGGCTTCCTGTTGCCATCTGATCGCTTTAAAACACTTAAGCACCACAAATGTGTTTAAGCACCATGCCTCCTTTGAAGTGTCATTCATTAATTTGGCAGAAAAGGATTAGTGTGATATCATTCTTCCAATTACACACTTTTCAGCCTCAAACTGAATGATAATGAAATAAAAGAAAGGTCTCAATGATTAAAGGAATAAATCAAAGTGCCAAGGGATGCCGAATAATGCTTGACGGCAATGTGTGCTTAATGGGAAAATCAAATAGTGTGTTAGTTCTGTCTTCTGCTATAAATACCAAATGTAGTAGGAACATGGTGGACAGTCCTTAGAAGGCAGCAGAGGTTGTGCTGCTTTCCCAGGATCAAGGTGTGAAAAGACCTTTGAAAGTGAGAAGGTGTTGGGGCGTCATTTCACAGGCCTTTGCCAATTGTCCACTCACGGGGTTCATTGCTGGAACTGCAGTTGCCTTTGGCTAATTGCAGTAGTTAGAAAGCGTTTGATTTGAAGGCAGCGGCGGCAGCAGATTGCTGTTAGCTGAGATTTATTGGTGAAAGGTTTAGGGGAACACCTGGTGCAGCGAGTTCACAATCCTTGCTGGAGCAACAGATGGAGCTAAGGATACAGGGTAGAGAAGAGGAATGAGGCAGTGTGGCTACAAAACCACACAGAAGTGACGAGCTGCTAAAGACCAGTGAGGTGGATGTAAAAAAAGGTAATGGCTCTTAGTTTTACTGGCAGTTTCCCATGTTTAGTCTGAGTTTCTTTGTGGTTTCCCACCAGAGAAGATATCCTGGCTTGTTTGCTTGAAGTTGAACAGAAGTCGTAATAACAGTTCCATGATTCCTATGATGTTTCAGTACACGGAAAATAATTATTTTCTGCTTTATTAACATTTTTAAAACACTACCAAAAAAGTACACCATTCTATAATCTTGAAAACCCACTGAGACTTCTTCAACCAAAGAGACTTCTTCATCAAGTTTTCCTTTAGCTCTTTTATTTGCGGTCTACGCCATGGGTGAACTGCTTTGCCTCTGCAGAGCTCAGCCAGAAGAAATCTTGTTAAAACATTTTCAGTGAGTGAAAGATTTGTGTACTTGGCTTAATTTTTAAGTCATTAAACTTGTCCTTTCCCTTAGGATACACACCTACACACAGTCATGAGACATACACACCCAAACCTCCCATTCTTAAGTCATTTGTTCTGCTGAAATGAACTTTAACTTGTGTTTCAGTAGTGATGAATAACTAGGATTATGCTTATTACTTTCAGACAAGTGTCCATCAACACCATTATGCCTTTAGACCATTTTAGTGACAGTGAAAGACGTCAATAATTTTTCCATACAGAAAAGCAAATCCTTTCATTAGCAGCAAACTTCCCCTGAATGTACTTTTTAATTGTCAAGTCATGTAATTGGTGATGATATAACTGAAACACTCAGACACTATCAGGTTCAGGAACATTGAGCAGAGGTTAAGGAGTTCAAAAGTCAAACAAAATGAACAGCGCAGAGGTGAATAACTGCGGGAGTAGACTTTGAGCCATTGTAACCAGCCTGCATTATTGACCTACAAGTACCATGCAGCTACGTAACTTAAGACTGTTACATAATCCAAGATAAATAATCTAAAGCTTTGTTAGATAGCTGATGTAACCTGAGTTTTTCAGTTTGCTTTCAATGCATACACAAACACTCAAAAAGAATCAAAAACTGATTTCACTGTAGAGATCAGAGACTTTTCGATTTTCCTTATTTTACATATAGATTTTCTTATTCAAATCTAAAATTTTTTGGCAAATTCCTTAAAATGAAAATGATTTTATTGTATGTTATAACAAGATAAACTTCTTTGTGGTTGTCTGCCGTGACAGCCAAGTTGTTAGCTGTAGTTCAAAGGTTGACTTCAAGTTTTGTAATGCACTGTAGTTTTTTTTATTTAATGCTGTAAAACACCGGCTCATATCTTTAACGGGCGCTTTGCTGTGTCACGTCCAGGCCAGTCGACCATGACTGTTCATTTCTACCTGTTACACAACACTTAACCTCTGCCCAATTTTCACACTTAGTTGAGTGTTTGTGTGCGTGTGTGTGTGTGTGTGTGTGTGTGTGTGTGTGTGTGTGTGTGTGTGTGTGTGTGTGTGTGTGCGCACTGCTTAGTTGAACAGGGTGAGTTCCACTCAGCTCTCATTCTCCCATCAGCGTTGCATGTGAAGGGACAGCAGCAACATCTGGGATAAGGTATGACGGGTGCACTGGGTTTGTTTAAAATTGATTTTGCTGTTTTGGGAACAACTTAAAGTTATGATTCCTCCAAATATTTAGACTTTTCATATTTTCTTTATGCATTGTCATACACGTTATTTTAGAGGAAGTATAGTTTCAAGCTGTATCTGCAGGAGTGTTTAATGAATGTGGAGTTGTTTTTTTGTTTTTGACTTAATGCTTGGAGACTCAAAGGATGTGCTTCTCTTTTTGTAGATCTTGTACAGAGATATTTTAGAGTCTTTGATTTACGATAAACTCAAACCTTTCATTTTTTTATAACCACGCCAGTACGCTACAAATGTGCAAATAAAGTCTTTGATTGTAGAAATAAGGTCATGTCCAGTGGGAAGGCAAGAGTAAAAGAAATTGAGTGTACTCGTGTTGCAGGAATAAAAGCTCCTAGTCTTTTCACAAAGCTGGACAATTACTTTTAGGCTGGAAGTCAAACAGGGGATTCATTCTTATCTTTAAAGTCACATGTACACCGATCTGGTGGGGTGTTTTAAGTTGGGTTGTGATTGAAGGTTGAAAGCTGATTTCATCATATTCAAAAGGGAAAACAAGATAATGGTCCGCTTCAATGGGAGAAGCATACTCCAAAGGTAAATATTGAATTTTCTCTCTCTCCCCAGAGCATGATGGCACAACTCCTTTGGCTCGGCCTATCGCTGCTGGCCTTCGTCCAGTCCAGCACAGTGAAGAACTGCCACCCCGGCTGCCACTGTGAGGTGGAAAGCTTCGGCCTGTTTGACAGCTTCAGTCTCACCAGAGTGGACTGCAGAGGGTTGGGACCAAGCGCCACCATGCCAATCCCCATCCCTCTGGACACTGCCCACCTGGACCTGTCCTCCAATTCCATGGGCCCACTTAATGACACTATGTTAGCTGGTCCTGGCTACACCACCCTTGTCAGCTTGGACCTTAGCAGCAACCACATAACAAAGGTCAGTGGTCAGAGGAACTAAAATCAAAATATGTTTAAGTTCTTCCAGTACTAATTCTATTTATTCTCATCTGAAACATACTTCCATGAGCTCAAATGACATTTTCTTGGCTTTCTGACTTGATTGGATGCATATTTAACCATTTTCATGTTGACATTAAATGTTATCCTGCATGTCCATTTCCTTTGCATCCAGTAAAATGCTACTTCAGGCAGCCCACAATCTCAAACTCAGCCCACAGTACATCAGGTGATCCTAATGCCAGCCCATGCCAGCTGACAGCTCAGCTGATTACTTTTTATGCATCCAATTGGCAATGTCAGAACGGGTGTTCTTTTTCAAATACTTTGGCCTGCTCACACTCTCCCTGCTTCCTCCACAAGCTGCTTTTCAGTCGACCTCTACCCGGCTCCTCCTGTTGTGCTGTGTTTGATTTTTCCAGTGTCGTATGTATTATTTGTGAGGCCTGCTCTGTTTTATTTCCTGGGGGCTCTTTCCTGCTGTTTTTCCTTGCCTTGGCCTTTTTGATGCATGCACATGAAACAGAGGAGAGGTGTGCTCTTCCCGCTTCAGGCTTTAACAGTCAGTGTGCACTCCTAGAACAGAGCCATACCTCCAAAACAGACCTTATTCTATGATAACTCTCTTTGACATAAGTGGGCTTGTCTGAATGTACAGTTCCTGTATTGACGTGGCAACCTTCTGTTTTCATGATGACTTTGCAATCTTGTCAGTTTTTCTGCTTCACCGATGATTGTTGTGTGTTTTCATGGCTGTAAAAGAACAATTTACCTTAATGTCAATATTGTTGTTGTGATTTTGTAAAGATTATACCACAACTCACTCTTCTGAAAAGGCCAACACAGACTTCATACATTTTCAAACACACCTCAACAACTGAGTAAATTGGTGCTCAACCCCTAAAGTGCAAGGCGGAGAATTCAAAATATTCCAAAGTTTATGCAGCAGACTGAGTATTCAGAAATAAAGAAAAAATACATGTGAGGGGAAAACTGGTTAAGAGGGGTAGTGTTAACATTCAAGATTTCTCCCAAAAACTGGCACTTGCTTAGATCCTGCCTACCCCACCTTTAACTCATGTATGTATCTCCACCCCTATGTTAACTTCTTCCTTGGCTTCTCTTTTTTAGGTAAGCCCCAATGCTTTGTCCAGACTGCGTTACCTGGAGACTCTGGATCTGAGCGACAACAACCTGGAGAGCCTCTCTCCAAACTGCTTCTCCGGCCTCCCTTTGGCTGAAGTTGACCTCAGCCATAACAGCTTCCAAAAGTTCGACATGAACGTGTTCACTACCAAAGTTAACGGTGACCCTGTCAGTGTGGATCTGTCCCATAACCAGCTCGTGTCACTCTCACTGACTTCTCACGGAGGCGCATTACATATTCAAGGCTTAAATCTGTCAGCAAACCGACTGTTGAGTGTACCAAAGCTGGCAGGACTACCTTTAAGGTACCTAAATCTGGATGGTAATCCTGTCACCCACATCAAGGAGGGAGCATTTACTCAAATGAAAGATCTGGTTTATTTGTCCATCAGCGGTCTGCATGAACTTCAGGACATTGAGCCACACAGCTTCAAGGGCCTCCAGAGCCTGCAAGTTTTGGATCTCTCTCACAACCCCAAGCTTAAGACTTTGAGCCCTGCAGTTTTTAGTGGACTGGACTCCTTGCAGGAGCTGAATCTGTCTGGTTCTGGTTTGGCTTCCTTGCCAAATAACATGCTGACCCACTTGCCCAGTATTAAGAGCATTACACTGGGAAGAAACATCCAATGCTGGAGGACCCAAAAACAAGGACAGTTCCACCGACAGCTTGGTCAGGTCCAACACAACGATGTGTTAAACTGTAACGTAGAGGGGGTGGTGCTGTAAGACCGGGGTTTGTGTGTCTGGACTGCTGCTTTATAGGGCCAGTATACTCCCATCAGAAGGGCTTATGGATGATGTAACCTTACAACCCCTCTGCACATACCTTCCTGTTTTCCACTTTGGAGGGCCGTATGCAACAGTTTTCTGTCACTCTGTAACGTTAAGGTCTGACTTTTTTTACAAGCTTTTTCTGTTCTCATCAGATTCTTCTTCCTCTTTCTCTTGACAGATAACATTTTTAAAAAACTAAGTTTAACAGCAAGGGAAATGTGGGGAGGATTTACACTCGATTAACTTTTACTCGACTCTGAATACTTTTTATGTTACAGAACCGCAAGTCATATGAGGTATGACGTATATCCAAGCCTTTTAATTCCAACGCAATCGTGCCTTATCTGCTTTGATATGCAAAACACTTTGTGTTGCACTCAGCCTATTATGCTTGTTCATATGTGCAACTGGAATTCATGTAACGTTGCCTTCTGTAGCAAAGTACCAAGAAAAAGAAAAGTCGTTTTATCTCATTATCTAGTCCTGAATGGCAGGGAACTCAAAAGTCCAAAATGTAAAGTAGGTTATGTGTTTCCTTTAAAGAAGTGGGACCATATCTAAAAGATTTGCACTTGTTTCAGTTGAGGTTTTTTTTTTTTTTAAGCTCTGAGATGACGCCTTTTAATCATCCAGTGTATTACAAAGTTCTCTTCATTGTTCTCAAAACCCACACTGGAGAGTATTTTTTTTGACCACTAATATGTTTTATTTGACTTTGAATGTGATGCTTTGTTAAAATGATTAACAAAGGTAGTTTGACATTATGTTTTTAGTAATGTTAGAGTTTTAGATACGGACCAACACCACCCCAAAAAACAGTTTGGTACTGATGCAGCTTCAGCTAGTTAGGCCCAGTCCCAAAGCACCCCCTACACACTCGCCCGTCACTATCGAGTGTCACTCGTAATGAAGTTACACTCGCAGCTGTGGAGTGCGCTTCAAATGTGAGGGTATAAACAAGACGGGCGTGTATGGGACGCCCTCCTCACTCCACCGGAAAATGGAAAGATTCATCTCCATAGCAACACAAAGATGCGTCCTGTGCAAGACAGCGTTGATTTTCGTAGTAAGCGGACATCATGTACAGTTCTGAGCCGCTCCGGCTGCCTTGTCTCTTCATCCTCCCAGTAAAATCATAAATCCAGTAACCATGACAGTGACAGGAGCTAAATTATACTTCTGATTGTTAGTGATTTCACACGTCTTTGAACCCCTTTACTATTTAACATGTGCCTGAACAATCAAAACAAATGTCAGCACAGAGTTTCATTTGATCTTTCCAAACCACGTCTTTTGTGATTTTAGTTTTTGTCAGTAAGACAAAGGTGGACACATATGGAACTTATATTTGTATGTTGTTTCCTCCTCCTCCTTTTTTGCCGTGAGTGAGCGTCGGTGCAGACCACTCGCCCTCCTCACTTTGTGGTTTGGGACGGCCTTCAATATGGTGGAGCCTCTGCAGGGACGCGCAAACAGAGGGAAAGAGTATAGGGCGAGTGTTGAGGGGGTGGTTTGGGATTGGGCCATACTCTAGTCTAGTTTAACACAAAGACTGGACATGGGACTCCCTAACAAGTCATGAATGTAACCAAGTGCCTGAACCAAAAATAGTCATGGTATGTCAAGTTTTGGAGTTGCGGCATTTAAAAGACATATTAAAATAAATTTTGTCCCCTTACATAATTTTAGCACCAATCTAATTTCAAAAGACATACGGACCAATTTGAAAATTTGTCAGCAGTTAAGAAAAAAGTAATTCGACTATCTTGTAAAAGTATAGCTGGGTTGCAGCAGTGCCCACTGTAAAGCTACAAAGAACAAAACCAAGTATAGAGTTTGTAAAAGCCTCATACAACCATGAACTGTAGTTTAAGTTCTGGGTCTAACAGGTGGGATATCATTGTCTGAATGAGGCAAACTATCTCTATCTGTTTTCAGTCTTCGAGCTAAATGACTGCTGGTTGATGTTACATGTTTACCACTGACTTCAGGGTAGTTTCAACCTTTACTTAATCCCTAGAGGGGGAAAAAAGAGAAGTGAGAATCAAGTCTTATGCAAACTTTAATTTCTTTTTGGTGGGTTGATCTTTTCTTGTCACCTCAACAAAAACGCAATTTCATTACTTGAATGTTCGTCCCTGAATCTGTCAACTTGTCCCTTGTTTTGGAGAGTTTGTCCTACATATGTGAGGCACGGCATTTGACATAGTGGTCACTAATCTGCGTTCTGTTTGTTTATGCAGTACAAGTAAAGAAGAAGTGACCCTTGCTGACCATGAGTTTATTTTGACCTGCCATCAAATCCCTCTTGAGCAAGACTTATTTTAAAACAAACTTACCCAATCAAACAACTTTTGACATATTTACTACTGAGTTCAGTACGAATATCTGTTTATGCTAAAACAACAAGCTGCACTGTGTTCCTGTGTGCAGCCTTAACTTTGCATTCCTGTGGCATTTCTGTGGACCTGAGAGGAAGATCAGCCTCAATACTGCATATTAGCAATTTCCAATGTCACTAATCTCTACAGGCTTCATGCCTCTGATGCAAGAAATTGAGCAAAAATACACCTTTGAATTCAAATTCATATAAACCCTGTCTTCATGCAGGAGTTTATATTTGTATGTATGTAACTATATTGTATATAATTTTATATAAATATGAATGAATCACATGTTTAATAAATTGACTATTCTTACACAGTGCCTGATGTCTCATGTTCTGCCTGATAGAAAGTCTTGAGGTGCGCCGGGAGAAAAGCATAAACACATATTAAAAGTAAAATCACCTCCTAGGAGAGGTTGTCAGTATGAACACTGTATTTATCATTTTTCCTGAGATCCTGTTTTTTGGAGCAGTGTGTGATTTGTTTCTATGAACAGATCTGACTTATAACAGGGTGTGTCTCCCAACCGGACGAGAGTTCAGCTTAAATTTGAGAAGTTCACCCCGACAGCAGTTCTTCACTTTTTTTACAACTCAGCAGCATGTTCTCTAGAGACCAAAATTGTTTTATTTACTGTGTCTAGATACACAGACATACACCCACTTGTGGTCTGAAATGTGCATTAAAAACACTGAAAAAGAGCAGGGTTTGGCAGTGAACCGCTTAACTGGGGTTGGTAACCTGCCAAGGAGGTGACAGGGGAGGAGAAAGAGGCAGAGAAAGCTGGTGTCAGTCATGGCAGCTTAAAAACCGAATGTGTGTGGTAAGGAGAGTTTGTCCTGCACGTACCAAACTCTCCTCTCTGTGACACTTCTTCTAAACTCGCTCAGACAACCACAGTAGGAGTGACTAAACCAGGGAGTTTTTACAGATTGCAAGAGAAAATAGATGATTATCAGTCGGTTTCACAATAACCCTTTACATTTTTTCTGTATTATTCTTACTTAACTCAGTGTTTGTGTGAAGGTAACTCCTAACTCCTCAAGCTGCCCAAAAGCCCTCAGTGAATTGACCCCATTGCAGAAAATACTTCCAGATGTTTCTTTTTTTTCCCCCTTTTCTCCTACCTTGGAGTGCTGTCATGTTGAGACTAAAGGAACCAACCATCTATCAGAAACTTTCCCAGCTGCCATTTTCTACACTTTACGGCTTTCATGAAAGTGTGAAATTTGCAAATGTATTCAAGGAATGCAAGACCACAACAAATCAGGTCACAGATCGATAGCAGGACTCCCCGGACTAATGGCTGTAGATCTTCAGACCTGAACAAAAGTTGAATATGATCAACACTGAAACTAAAGACCTACCTTTTAAGTCTGGCTTTTAGTTGAATTTTGTTTTTATCTTTAATCTGCATTATGTAATTTTACGCTATTTTAATCCTGGAGGAACTATTTTGTGTTTTATTACCTTTTTTTTTAATTTACTTTCTTTTATTGTTTGATTTTAAGACCGTTTTATTTCATAAACTTTCAGCTTTTTATCACCTTTATTATATTTTATCGTGGTTTTATCATTTTAGTCCTAGATCCAGTGTTTCCTTATCTTTTTTAACTCAAGATAGCGTTTCCTCAGTCATCTGTGGCAAGTTCAAGAGTCCTGACCTGGTCTTCTGAGTTAGCATCTGTGTGCGTGAGTGTGAGTGTGTGAGTGCTGTATGTGTTAACTGGGCGTTGGGAGGGTGGGTGTGGTTTGGTATTTGTATTTTTATGTATTTTACTTCATTGTTTTTTTAATATCTTGCATGAATGGACAGCACTTTGTGTATGAAACAACAACATGCAACATGTACAGGTGCTGAAAAGCAGCTCAAATGCAATGACATGCAAGCTGCGTGATGCACTAGCAGACTGAAATGAAGATGTTCTTTTACGCATGTATGTCTATGTTTTAGTCACACACACACACACACACACACACACACACACACACACACACCATGTAACACGGTTTAGACGGCAACCTTTAACCATGTTTTACAGCCAGTGGAATTGAAAAGGTTGCTTTCAGTGCAAACTTTACAAAAAAAAAACAGACAGAAATGTTGACATTAATGCTTGACTCAGCAAACAAACCTTGCTGAACTCACAAGGAGCGCACAGTGACATTCGAAGCCGTTTCCCAACTATTGACTCTGACAGAAATTTGGTTTCTGTCAAAGTACAGAAACAAGTACAGACATATCAAGCTCCAAGTACACCTACAGTACACTGACAGAAGGGAAACTTTGTGTTTATCATTTCTTTACATCTTGTTTATATGGTAAATTGATGCCATTACCCAAACACTATTAATAAGTTTATACTGGGTACAAAGATAACCTGATAGAGTTAGCTTTATCTCCAGTTAACTGTTGTGTTGACAAAACAATATTTACAAGCGTAATCTTTAATGCTTTGGGTTTGATGTTAAACCGTAACCAAACAGCAGCTAACTTTTCGGCAAGCCTGAGCAAGATTCAACAAGATTTATTCCTCCACATTATGAGGAAAAAAAAAACAAGATAGCTGCTTTTCTGGTTTTTAGTTTGTGTTTTAGAGTATACCGAGACATCAAAAACAGACTTTTTTGGAAATCTAAATATAAAAACAACTCAATCTAGGCATGCTGTTTGCATTGTGGTGGTGTGGGACATGTGATCACAGAAATCAAAGGTAATCACTTGCTACCCTGCAGTGGTCTGGCACAGAAACGCAATTACTTCAAAGCAGAGAGATGCTTTGAACTGTGTATAATTAATTCAGGCAAGCAGAACCAGGGTGTCTTTATTAACTACTCGGCTCTTGCTTGAACAAATATCAAGCAAATGTAATTTGACCTTCCCAGATAGAGGATTAAGCTATTCAAGCAGCCAATTCACTTCTCTTCAGCAATATGCCTGTACTGCTCTGAGTGCTGCAATGTTTGACTTTTCAGTGTCAAAAGAGGCCGAGAAACTCCGGGAAGCTTTTTGATTGGAATGAAGAATCTAATTATTGTTTTTAAGATTGAGAGTAGTCTTATCGTTCTATTGCTGTTGGAGCAGATATTAATTTTTTATTTGATGTAAGCAGTATAGCCATAATAATAATACTCTGAAAATGCCCTCTGGCTTGTTTTGCTGTCGTGACAAAAGACACCAAGGCACTGTGTCAGCGTACTGCAGCTCAGCACAGAGGTTTTGTTTCCCAGACAAACAAAAGCTCAGCTCCACTTGTCACAGGCCACAAAGATTTGCTTGTTACTCTGAGAATCGCTAAAGCTGTTGAAGTTTGTGCCACTGTACACAGTTTTAATTCCAGCGCTAAAACCTAAAGACAAATCCATGCGGCTCTTAAGTTGGAAATGCAACATGGGAATCAAGGTTTTGATGCTTTTTTGTGTCGTGCATGGGCTCAAATGTGATGTCCAGCTAGATCTCGAAACCAGATTGTAACACAAGATTCGTCACACTCTATTATTGCTTTCTCTGTCACAACCTGAAACTGTGACACAAGGTTATAAGTAAGTTGGAGTTTGAAAAAAAGATTTCATAGTTTTCTGCTGCTTAGAAAAACATAAGAGGAAAAAGGTGAACTGTCCTGTGAGAATAAACATATTTTCAGAGTAGAGTCTCACATTTCAAAGGTTCTACCATGACTCAGCATGTACACAAGCAGCATGGTTGCAGTTTCATTAAGCTGATTCTTGTGTTTTGCTCAAATGGGCGCTACACTAAAGTTGGAAACGGCTCCGTCAGCAGCTTTCAAAGAGATCTGCAAAGTTATATCTGATATTTTCAAAACAACTTAATCACTTCAAAATTGGTATTGATCAGGCGATGCTGTTGTTGAAATTGAGACCTGTGAAAGGATTAATTTTTATCCGTTTTTTTGTCAATTGTTCCAGTCATAGCACATTTTCATGTTGCATTTTAATAGGTTTAAGAGTTTTACCGTCTGCATGAAAAGGAACAAAATTAGGTGTTCAGGTCACATGACTGTGCAGTTGTAAAGGCTCCACAGCGGCTAAAATTGACGTAAACATGCATAAATCAAGAAAGAGAGCTTGACACGATTTTAGTTACTTGCTTTTCCACATGATGTGACATTAATTATGTGAGGCAAAATCAGACGAAGATTCTTGTTTTTGTAACTTCAACTGCATTTTTAAAGCAGAATGAAAAACACCCCTTAAATGTTGCTTGTATCAGAATCAGAATCAGAATCAGAAATACTTAAATAATCCCCAGGGGGAAATAGCTGTTCCTTACAGTAACCCCAGTGCAAATAAAGTAGAAAGAGGAAACGATATTGGTAAGCAAACCGTACATTATGCACTCTGTTCATGCAAAAGTACTGATATGACTGACATATGCTTTTCTTTTTTACCTTCTAAATCATCTTTAATACTTTTTACCCCCTGAACTATTTTTTATGTAGATGTATTTTATTTTATTGATTTATTTTTTATGATGTAGGGCAGTGTTTTAAATGTCTGTGCCTGCTGCAACCTGATTTGCCCATTTTTGGGACATAATAAAGTTGAAGTGAAGTGAAGTGAAATACAGAATAGAAAAAATAAGTCAAACTGAAGAGATAATATACAAGTATGTACACTATATACAACACAAAATAGTAACACAGTATGCACATAAACAGTAATAACAGTAAGTATTATATGAAAATGTTGTCTCAGCTCCTGTTAAAATAAGTGAAAGTGTGCTGTTTTCATCAGTAGGATTAAATTCATTCTTGAAGGTTTTTCCAGCTGCAGTGTTTTTAGACTGATGCCCTGTTATGTTATATATGAAGGATCAGTTACCTCTGTAGCTCCCTCTTTGCCTTGTGTCTGCCCTTGGGTAATGTCTGGTTAAATTTACTCACTTATGGGTCAACCCAGGGCACAGTCTGACTTTAGCCACATTCCTGCATCTGTGTAGGAGGAAGAACTGCAGACGGCACATTTTGAGTGAGTCGCTGCTTCCCTAATGAACCCTGTGGCTTCAAGTTTTTTATGCACGAAAAAAAGGCAACAGACAGACAACAGAAAATAAGTACTGTGAGACTGATGCACACTCAGGAGGAGACTTTCAATACTTAACCCTCTACAAAAGCCAAAATCATCAGGTCTGTTATATTCTGAAAATCGAACTCTTCCCAAAAGTCCCCAAAACAGCGCACACTCCCTGTTCAGTGTTGAAGTAAAGGGAGTCTTGCATCACTCTTTTCATATTGTTGGTCTGAAGAGGGAGTTTCCCTGAGGAAAAGGGATATATCCTGAGAGTGCTGCCCTTTCTGCCATGCTGCTCCATCTGGTTTCCATCAGGAGCTCCTGGACCTTGTAAACGTATTCTCCACCTTTTTCCACTTGAATTGCTCTTTTCTATTGACCCAATTAAATCGTCTCTCTTCTTTTCGCTTTTTTTTGTTCTAATAAGCTCACAGAGAGACCACCTGATGATTAAACTTATCATAAAAATGACCCATAAGAATGTGAAATTTGAACAAAACAAAATAAGTGAATATCAACATGCAGATTAAAGGTCTAGCTTCAGGGAGCTCAATCCAGTTTCAAGGGACAAACAGTGACCTGGATTTTCTTAAACCATTAAACCAAGCATCACGTTTTAACCTCCGTCTCATGGTCTCTTCTTCTGGCCCCGGTTCAGATTCTTAATCAGTTTCAGTTGAGTTGAAAGAGCTGGAAACGGTAATGACTTCTGACTGGGGCAGGAACAGGGAGAGGTGCCCAACTGGGATTGGAATGAAATACAGATCGCTCTAACATGACCTCAGAATCCACACAAGCTAAAGGGTAATTAAAAGTGCACTGATCTGTTAACAGCAAACGTTTTTTAGAGGTCTGCATGTTTACTGGGGAGCAAAAATACATCCAAGTGTTGGAGGAGAAATCATCCTCACCTTGAAATAAAATCCCCTTTATTCCTTTTTTTGAAATCTTTGAAATTTAGTCTCTGTTCAGCATTGGCCTGTGTTAGCTGAAATAGTGTCAGTAGTTCCTGAGTCCTCTTCAGTCTGTGTTATTCCTTAAACACACAAGAGCTTGCTCGATCGAAATGTTTCCTCCTCAAAAGCTCTCTGAACTCTTTTAATTCATTACAGACAAAACCAAATCTTCTTTGTGAGGGAAACAAAGTGGGAGAATCATTAGGACACATAAAACTAGATTATAATCCAAATAAAATATTTTCAAAAATCAGATTTAAAAGCATTTATATGTACAGTAAACTATCTATTTTCCGTCGTAAAAGGGTTAAATAGAGGAAAGGCTTTGAGGGCCAACATCGGCAGTGAACACACTGGATTTGTGTGCAGCTGACGGTCTTGCACCACGCAAGTGAGATGACTGTTTCACTGCACTGTAATTACGTCCACATGATTGGACCTGTGGATTATACTTCTCAGCTTGATTTTCATTTTCTCAAACTTAAGGGAAGATATGCTTTACTGACCTTCAGAACTGAACACACAGAGTTTTATAAAACGTTGCAGTAATTCCGAAACTTTTAGCTCAAATTATGGTGGATTATTGCAATTTACTGGAGGATGAAGACACTGGGAGTTAAGGCCATTTTACAATGTAATAAAATGATCTAATTGATCCAAACACCAAAGATTTTGCTCCATAGCTAAGGTTTTTAACACTCGTATACTGACTTAAAAATGGTCGGTGACATCTGTGGTGCAGAGATCTGACACTTAGGGTGAAAAGTATCACAATGTTGTATACTCTGTCAGTATTAATATTTACTTCTTAGATCTAACCTGGAAACTATCAAAACTGCAACAAAACCAGGACTCCTCATTCTTAAACTTTTGACTGGAGCGCTCTCTAGTGGAAAAAGTAGGATATTACATGCATGACATTCATCATTGTCACAATGTGATGAGCTATGATATTTGAGTGAATCATTTAATATATAAAGCCTGGGGGGAAACCAAGACTTTACATAGTGGTTGATAATTTCATTCAACTGTCATGCCAGATTCAAAATATAAAACTCAATCAAGAATTTACCTGTACTTATCTCTTAAATGCCTTTGGTATCATATTTGATATATACTTTTATGATACTTCTATCAAATCAATAAGATCAACAAATTATTAAAAAATAAATAAAAAAATAAAAATGATAAAAATGTCTTGTGGTTTATAACTTTCCAAAAAACATCTAATGTATCAAACAAGATAAATACATATAAATGTTGAATTTTAAGGACTTTTTTTAATAAACATTTCAGCTCCACAAAAAAAATAAAAAATAATAATTAAAAAAAAATTTGAATTTTCTGGCCATAATTTGTGGTTTCAGGCATAAGAGGGTTAAGTCTGCTTCATCCAGACAGTGAAATTATCACAACAATGCAGTAAAGGTTTGTTGGTCAAATTGATTTTACATTTAAAGAAATTGTAAACAAGTGTGATGAGGCTTGCCTTAATATATATTTTTAAGAGCATAATCAGATGAATTGTCTTGGTCAAATATCACACTGGTTGCATAGATGGTACATTTTATTGAAAAAAAATCTTTGGTAAACTCATAGTGCAAAAATATCATATTTGTGTAGTGCACTTAGCAATGTCATTGACAATACTATAAATCCAATGTTTTAAATTGCAGCCTCACAAAATTTTACACAAGGCTTAGCTCTCCGGCATATAATTTAATAATCCGACTGTTATTTGTCTGCATTTCTTTCTTTATCATGTTCCAAGAAATGAAGATATCTATCACTAAAACATTAAATATATCTTACAATCTTTGTTAAATCACAAATAGTCGAGTAATCACACAGCACAATCTGTAACTGACATAAAACTTAGCATCTTGCTGTCTACTCTGAGTAAAACTTGTTGTAGAAATATAAAGTACAACAATAAATAATAATAATCGACTTATTTTTCTGAGGAATTTTCCAGCATTCTGTGTCTGACAAAAGGATATGACATACAGGTGTCCAGCACTGATTAACAAAGACCAAAATCTGCTCAACATTTCCCCAGATCAGGCCCTTATCCAACCCAATCAATGAGTTTTATCTTCTTGTGTTTCATTTTTATCATGTTTTTTTTTTCAGTGGTGAAGGAGCCATCGCTGATCGACCTCATCAGCAGTTGAGAATGGAGTTTGTCCTCATGATGCGAATGACCTTTCTTGAGTTGTAGCTGTATTCATACTGCATTTGCTCATGGAAGAAATAAAGGTACCCTGAAAGACAATAAAACACAACAGCAGTCAGAGAAATCTGCTCGATGGTAACAGTATGCAGAAGAAATACATCTATTTCAACTTTTTCAAAAATGTGCAATTGAGGCTTCCTGTTACCGTAGTGATAAGAAGCGGCATCAATTTCATCATCCATCCCAGGGAAATCATCCTCAATGGAGTGTGGGTAGCCGGGGTCCATAGTGCCTGTTGCTTCATCGTAGCTGTGGATAACAAACAGGAAAAAGGAGATTTTTTATTCTATCTTTTTTTAAATAGAGTTACATGAGGAAAAGATGGCTCGTTCACTTCACCATGAGTAATAAACTGTGTACTGACATACCTCCAATAGTCCTCATCAGTAAACAGCAAAGTTTTTCCAGTGTCTCCAATGTGCACGGCTGCGTCTATCTTCCTTATTTTCTTAGGAAGTCCAAGTTTGTGAATGTATTTTGGGTAACCGTCCACAAGGTTGTATCCATTCAAAGCCCACATTCTGATCCCTATAGAAACAGATTGGAGTTATAGTCCACACATAATGAACCTTCATAATATATTGAGTCAGTACAGAAGTTTATCAAAACCCACCACTAAATATGATGACAACATCCTTCTCTGCATTCTCATATGCAGCATCTATCTTGTTTGGGATGGACGGCCAAGTAGACTTGATCAATGTCTGCTCAGGCTCTGGCATCTGAGGATGGAGACGCCAGTAAAACCTGTGAAAAAGAGGGAAAGTTAACTGCATGTAGCGGCAGTGATCGGTATAAAATTCATATTTTAAAACAGAATAATCAGATTCCTTTTCCATCATTTTTGATAAGCAAAAATTTTCTTTTGTGTTGTGCTATACCTGTCTTTGAAGATGATGGTTTCCCCTCTGAGTTCTGTTACAGCATCAAATGTTAACATGGGGTCACACTTGTTTGGTGCATCAGGCTTTGGCTTCACTTTCTTTGGGTTTGGGTTCGGGCCTGTGAGAAATCTATAATTAATACTCTGCTCACGAAATATAACAATACTGTAGAGTAGTATAAAAACATATTTTTAATCTTAGATAGCATGACAGTCCAAGTTGACTTAAATATATAAAGATTATGACTTTTTTGTTTTCTTTCCCACCGTAGAGAGCCTGAATGCCGTCAATGTCATCTTCAGCCAGCGGGTAGCCAGTTGCATAGGAGTAGACGGGATACATCAGGGCCCCAGCGTCTGAGGAATGAGACATCCCTAGAGCGTGGCCCAACTCATGAGATGCCACTATAAACAAGTTGTACGCTGTGGGGGCAAAGAAGCTCAGTGAAAATATAATTCAAACAACATCACTTATTCATCAGAAGCAGTCACTGAGGTAAAGATGAGTGACTTCTATCCACATTTCTCACCTGATGAATCCTTACTCCAGTGTTCATCCTCATCAAAGTGAGTGTCTCCTCCGATGTCTTTCCCGGGTGGGTAGGCATGAGCCAGCAGCCCGTTCGGCCCATCAAAAGGGTTGTAGTCTCCGTGCTCTTGAGCATTAAGAGAGGATATTTTTAAATGTGTTGAGCAACTAGTTCACTTACAGCCAAACAGCTTAAGTACAGAGAATCTGGCATTAATGTCATAAGTAATAGCCAGTAGAAAAAAGTTTTATGTACCTTTTGATCCAAAACTGATCATGATATCAGCAATTCCACTGTGTAGCTTCTTAAATATCAGAGGGGTGACATCAGCCCAAACATTTAATGCATTGCGGATGGCTCTGTCAACATCAGTCTTCTTCAGATCTGGTGTATAATTTACGATCCTGAAACATGAAGAATAATCGAGATGGGTTATTTTCCAGTTTATGAGAGTGGTCCCACTACTTGCAAAAACATATTTGTCACCTGTTATATTTTGTTTGTGGTTTTATCTTGATACATACCTAAAAGTGACATTATTATTTTCCCACTTCAGATGTCGAGGGAAATGGTTGTATTCCCCGATGTCTGGCACGCCACATCTGGCTTGCTTCATCAGCTCCAAAGTGTTATCATCCAGATTTCCTGTTACCTTCAAAGGCAAAAGAGGTGGAAAGAAAATATGTTTCAAAACTGCTCAAAAACATCCATTGGGCTGTTTATGTGGTCAACATTACACCGGTTTTTGAGTCTTTGCTTTGGCAACCTCTGTCTTTTGGAATAGATTTTAAGATCCTTCCTATTTATCTGGTTTGCTTTTACCATATGATCCCAGTAGAGACCTCAGGTTTTCGGGGAGTGGTCTTTAAATGTAAACATACAGTGAATCATCGTTTCAATATTATGGCCCCTACCTGTGGAATAGTCAACCTGCAGACCTGAGAGCGACACCTACTGTTCACATTTTTAAAAACAAACTCAAGACCTACCTTTTTTAGTCTGGCTTTTAGTTTGTTTTTTTTCCAATCTTTTATTCTGCAATATTTTGTGTTTTATTACCTCTTTTTTATCAATCTTCTTTTATTGTTTGGTTTTAAGACTGACTTTTATTTAAATTAACTCTACACACTTTATGACTTTTATTATATCTCATCATGGTTTAATTGTTTTAGTCTCAGGTCCAGTGTTTCCTCATTTTTAACTCAAGATAGCATTTCCTCAGTCATCTGTGGCAGCTTGAAGAGTCCTAACTGAGCGTCCTTTTGTGTGTGCATCACTTTGTGCTGCATTTTTTTGTCTGAAAAGTGCTTTATCAATAAAGTTTGATTAATTGATTGAACACTTCAACCCTTCAGTGTATGTTCTTTTTTAATTTCATGGTTGATTGTTTTAGGAAATTATGGATGGTATTTTGTGTTTCCAAACAGAACAAGAAATATAAAGCAATATCATTCCAATAGCAACAATCTTAGATGCTTTTTTTTTACCAGCAAAACAAATAAAAACTTTTCAAAGTTGCTCACCTTGAGTTTAAAGAATCGTTGCATCTCCTTAACCTTTGTCTTGAAGGCATCTGAAGACCCCTCTTTTCCTTGGAGACCGACTGGAAGGCCATAAAAGCGCCGCAGGTACTTCTGTTGAGTGAAAAAACATGGAGCTGAATGACATTCATAATGATACATAAAAATGAGTTGGATTGCTCCTTTACATGTCTCTTTGGAGTCTTTTCCCAGTGATGAAGAAAATCAGATTTCTGTTGACTTAAAGTGCTGAGATGATAAATTAGAGAAGTCAGATCTCACCTCTGCTAAAAGCTGCTTGTCTTTATCCACAGGTGACAGAGGCCGAGCAAAAGAGAGGGGCACCAGTGCCAGCAGCAGCAGCAAAGCTATCATTGTTGTTGTCTCTCTGTCGTCCAAACCAGTCATTGGGGTCAAGAAGCTCAGCGGGGTATTTATATAGTTTTAGGCCTGTGTTTTTTCTGAGGATCACAGTGATTCATGTAAAAGCACCTAGCCACTTCCTCCTCTGTTGTCTAGGAATGTGCTTGTATCAGGAAAACTGCAGTTGGCGTGGTTTGAGTGTACTCCATTGACCCCACCTCAGATGCTATGATAAAACATTTCTCATATAACCACGATCTAAGGAGTTTCATAATAGACCTAATGTCTTTAAGATGATTTCTTTTCTCCCCAACTTGAAGAAAATGCTCTTCCAAAGTTTGTTCCTGTTAGTCTCATGATGTCTTGTGACATTTGGTGACGATATTTTAAGATATGAAACTAAATAAAAAAAGTCACCTTGTAACACATTTGTTTGTTTGCCTGTACTGACAGTGTGAGCACTTTCCTAACAACAGACAGTTGGTTCGTGTAATCAGAGCGTATGTTCTGTGAGTGCTCCGTCTGGTAATTACTGACTAGCCAGTCAATGGAATGATTCATAGTCACAAGAGTTACACAAGCGTATATGACAAAATGAATGCACTAGCATTATAAATGTGCAAGAAACTGTTATTTGGAAAAGGTTAGATCACTGCACAGAAAAACAAAACAAAACATTGACTTATAACAGTTAGTTAAAGCAACACAAGTTTACAAAAAGGAAACCACAAAGCTAGCAGAATAAGAACATGAAATAAGAAAGCTCAAACCTGTTGAATGTCACAACTCCAACATGAAGTTGTATTTTTTTGTACTGATCTGGCCGCCGGTGCACCTCTGTGACTTTGAAATATTTCTTACAGATGCAGATGGGTTTCTATTCAACGTCGGTGATATACCAGCTATCCCAACCCAATCCCAGCCCTTATCTAAAAAGAGGGTTGGTTCTATAAGATAATGGCCCAGGAGTGCTGCTTCAGCATATTGCTGATCAATGAAGGTGGAATCTTGTCTTGATGAAAAGTACATACAATTTGCAATTGTGGCTGTTTTCAACAAAATGGATGATATATTTTCTTTATTACAAAAAACAACTGTAAATACAGCATTCACAGGTGAAAGGAGTGTGTTACACCTTGTAACGTCCGACTATCGCTATCACTATCTTGTGAGGTTAATAGTTTTGTCTTTCAGATGTTAACGCTCTGAAATTACCAAATCCTTTATGACCAGATGATGAACCCTGGTTGTGGTGATTTTTGTGATGTACTGTAATTTTTTGGCTCCAAAGATGAAAAGTCCTGAAAAAAGTCATAGTGTAGTCACTTATTTGTACTTGAGGAGGTGCTTTAAAGCCCGTAGATGGGAGTTAAGCAGAAATGCTTACTAATATTTGATCTAAAACTCACCTTTTTCCGGAGAACCAGAAAACATCTACAACACACCCACCTTCTTGTGTAATCTACCTCAATACAACTGATCAGTTTGACGATTTAGGATATAATCAAGCTGTAAAAAGCAGTTCTATTAAGATGGGCCCGACAAGGGTTTCTGTATGGACTAGCCCGAGGTCTCTCTACAAACAAGCGGCTGCTGGAAGAGAGTAGGTGAGTTGTGTTTAGTCTCTTTGCTAAAGAAATTAGGCAAAGCTAAAAAGATGTTTGGTGGGTAGTACTATGGCTGGGACCCTAGATGTAGCATTATTTGTGGCTATAGAGTGGCTTTTTGTTTGAGGTTTGTGTTTGGCTCCTCAGACCGCTGTGTGTTGCTATTGTGCGGTCTTCACTAAAGTTGGTATAACTAGAGAAGCAAGCAGTCAACAACATTCATCTCTCGACGGGGTGTCTAACTCTGTGTTTTGGTGTGTTTGACCCTAAATTTATTTTATGCCGGAATATCCCTTTAAGTAGACACAAAGAAAGGGTTTTTTTTTGTTTGTCCTACATTGTGCTTCAGCACTATACAAGCATTGAAACATGCTGAATTTGACCGTGGTGAACACAGCATTGCTAAATACAAACATACTGAATGCAGTGGTTGGATCAAAGATTTAAAAGCATGGCAAAAAATGGAAAGAAGGACCTGCTGATGAAGACAAGTAAATGGACAAGTCATGTTCATCTGCATCCCATTAGAGACATCATGTTTAATGTGTGGAGAAAAATGATTCCCAACTCTACAGCATCCTGAGTGGACAAATATTTTTGGAGCAACAGTGTGTTTTGACTGCGGTCAACAGAGTGCTCCTGACTCATGCCAGGGAAGTTAGCAACCAAGGGGATTTTTACTGTTATTTTAAATGTCACACACACACACGCACACACACACCATCTACATAACTGTCATCTTCTCCATACACTCAGACTGTTTTAAGTTATAAAGTTTATTCATTTATATCTCTGTTTTGTCAGGAGGCATCAAGTCAGCCGTCTACAGACTTCACAGACTTAAAAATAACTGCGTGATTTTTCAGTTATATATGGAACTTCAATCTAGCTCCAGGTGTTTTCAGATTAACTGGAGCTATGGCTGACTATCTGCTCTATCATGAGAGAATCATGGTTCGGAGTAGGGCTGGGCGATATGGCCTCAAATCAATATCGTGTTATATAGAGCAGTTCACCTTGCTGCTCACCCCCTCCCACATTAACTTTGTCAACTTCAGCCGTCGCTCCAGCCGCTACAACTTTTTAACCGTCCTCCATCTCCTCACCTGTCTTTCCCTCTTTGTTACAGACTAGATGGGGTGGAGTCATGTCTCTGATGTAGGACAGCATCTTACAGGGACATGAGACCATAGCCAACCTAAACCAACTTTTATTTATTTATATTTTTGACACTGAATATACTGATATGAGCAAAATGATGTCAGTTATTGTTGTAAATTTCAGTTTCAGTAAATTTTCGGTTTTTCGTCTGGCCCTTGTTTGGAGCTACAAGCTTATGACATCTTTTAATGTTTGTAGTGTGTGGATATAAGATGATGTAAGAACTGGGATGCAAGTAGATGACATGTATATGAATGCATGTATGTATGCATGTATATGAGAATATGAACTGGCATATGAAGTGCAAATTTCAGCCTTTTGGGTTATGTAGCTGTTACTGTCATTCTTGGGCAAAAATGGTGTGATGGACTGTTGTGTATGATAGGGGAAAATGAAGTGTGATTAAATCAAACACGGAAGAATCAAGTGTCTGTTATGATTAATTCTTATCTTTCCACATTTGAAGCGTATTCAGGTCCACTTGAGTGTCATTACTGTGTTGTAGTGATCAGTGGTTTTTATGGTGTTATTGCAAGATACACTTTGAAATTTGCTTTAGAATGTTTTGTTGTGGTCCTTAAACACCATTAAATAACATATATTTAGGACAGGAAAACTATCAGTCATGACATGTAGGATTATTATTATTAATAAAGTATATTCTTGTAAATATTAAAGATATGATTTTGATTATGGTTATGGCGTGTAAGATTTGATGATTCAGTTAGCTGTCTTCAACCAGAAGATAAATCACGGACTGGGAGCTTGTATGGAGAACTGTATCATCAGCTGTAACAAACAGATGACAACTAAACAGTGTTTTCACTTTAATAGTTCAGATTAGCAGCATGGCCGGCAAACTATAGATTAATCGTTGTATGTCTTTTGATGCTGAAGATATTACACATATTTTATTGCTTAAAAAGTTGCTATAATTTTAAACTTCAATTTATTCCTTAACCTTTTTAAAGTCCTTACAAGAAAGGAGGAAGATGGCCTTGAATTGAACAACTGCAGATGGTAAACAAACAGGAAGCCTCGAACCACTGTGACTGCTTTGTTGTAAGGTCATGCTCTCAAGGCAAAGATGTGTAAAAAAAAAAAAGTCCAGAAGCAGCACCACAGGAGGGCAGCAGAGACTTCAATAGGAGTTTGGTCTCTGGTCCCCCGGGCTCTTTGAATGCATCTTTTAAGCATAATCATCTCCACTTCCTTCTGCTGAGGTTTTAAGAGCATGAACATCACATTTTGGTGAACATGTTGCTAATACATGTTGTTACAGAAGGTGCAAGGAGGTACACTTTCAAACATTTTTGTTGTGGCAAAATAACAATGCGACTGTGGCAGAAGTCAAAGACAAAGCTACCATTCAAAACAGAAGTACTGGTTTTTATTTTTTAATCCATTCATTCTTTGTGATACCGTTTGTTCAGAAGCTGAAGCCAATCCTGTATGACACTGAGTAACAGGCAGAGCACATCCAGCCAATCACAAGGCTGACACCCAGGGACAGGCAATCGATCAAAACACCCAAAGGCAATCTCGAGTTTCCATATGATATATTATTAAGCATGTCTGTTCAATGTGGAGTCTGAGCACTTAGAATGAGCCTATGCAGACAGAGAAAAACAATAAAACTGTACACACAAAGGCCTCCGTCAGCAGGTGGACCTCAAACAGGATCCTTCCTGTTAGGCAGCAGTGCAGTTTTTGTTTTTGGCAGTTTTTGGCTTCGTCCCAGAGTCTCTTGAGGCCATTGTTGAGAGGAGGACCAGGTCTAAATTAAAATTAATCCTGGACTACAAAGATCATCCATTGCACTACGTCTTTAAATGTCTTGAAAGCTCTTTTAGTGAGTGACTTGTGATGCCTCGGTGCTCCACTGAATGACTCAGAAAGTCTTTTCTTCCAGCAGCAGTGAGATTTTTTTATAGCATATGCTAGGGTCTGACTTGGCACTGCTGCATAGTTTGTAGATAGTTTGTTATTTATTTTAGTATTTATTCATTTTTATCAGGCTTTTGTTGTATTTAATCATGTCCTTATCTTTAATTGTACCACTTGTCATGTTTTATTGGCCTTTACTTGTTTGTTGTGTTGAATCTATGTTTTCTGATGTCTCCATGCTGTTTGTTGTCTGTGTGAGTCTTCTTGTCCTGGTGGTGAAATAGTTTCCCCCATGCGGGATCAATAAAGTCTACCTTACCTTACCTTATTTTGAGTAATATTTCTAAATCTGCATTGATGGGTCTGTTGGTTATTTATGTACTCAACTGTCAAGCACTAAGAGCTGTCTCTTATTATTCTGACTCTTGGACCCATCGTCTTTTATACTTATGTCATACTCCGATCATCCATCAAATGAAATAAAATGTTTTTACTCCTCGAAGCATCTTAATCTTACACGACACATCCCAGCATTGACAAAGCAATGTTTCTTCTAGTTTGATTTTGTTACCAGAGTGATCTCTTCCAGCTTGTATGTTTGCAGCTCCTGACTCCACAATCACTCATCATCCTTCCTTCTTTAAAATGCCTTCCTTACCTCATCTGTACCCGGATCGTAAAACCAAAGTGACATAGCTATTCGAGTCTTTCCACAAAAGAGCATGGCATACTCAGGAGAACTTGGCTCGTACCACCTTGTGTAGGAATGCTGCTGGTCCCATAAAGCACCACAATGACCAATCAACCATAATTGTAGCCTCAATTTGCTGCAGCACCACCCCATGCCGTGTCCCAATCCATCCTTGCAATTTCTGCTGCCTCTCAGTGAACTCTGTCATTGAAAGGCTTTTACATGCATGTGCAGCTAAAATGGGGCAATAATGGTCTTTGATGGTGTTATTTCAGGAGACCTTGCTGAATGCGTGGGATTAAGCAATGCTACCCAGCTTACTGCGCTCCATCAGTGAGTTTAGCTGAGATTTCAGCTGAGGGAATCTCTTTTGTTCTAATGGTAGAATTATGAAAAAGTGTTTACAGTCAAAAACATGTTAAACAGAAAGATGCATTTCTCTGCTCTTGTGTTGCTTCATGTTGCAGTTTCAACTATTTTTTTTAGGATTATCTCTGTTTTAGAAAACTGCCTTGTGTTACTCCCAATGTAAATTTTATGCCTTTATATTATACAGTAACTTTTATAATGATCATTACACTGCTTTTGTTATCCTTTCTCTCGGTCATTGGAGCAAGCATGTCACATGACTGAAAAAAAAAAAACTCATTCCTTTCTGTCCTCTTTTTGCTGTTCTTGGCTCTTGCAAACCCCTCCCTAATTCCGTAGACTGTCTGTGGCTTCCCTCGGATTTGCAAGTGCAATGAGTCACGATGACCATTTAAAAGGCTATCTCATTAACCAGAGCTGCCATCTCCTTGTATTTGAACCAGGTCACTGTAGTTCATGTAGTGTTAAGTCTGTGAAATGCATGTCATGGTGCTCTCCTGCTGTGTCTTGGTCTTGCTTTTGCCCGGTCTATGTTTATCAGCGCCCACATTCACGCCGGAGGTAACAAGCTCTCCTCCAGCAGAACCACAGGGTGACTTGAAGCTGGCCATCGTAAGTGCATAATTGCATGAGCTGCATTACAAATGTTTCAGTTTGGCGAAATTCAACTTGTACTCTTGTAAAATGCCAAAAGGAAATATATTTAGTTTGAGTTGTAAACATTGCAAGGATTATTTCTCACCTGTGTGTGGGATTTGGGATTTTGTGTAAATGCATTGCTTTTAATGCAAGCTTTTGGTATTCTTCAGGTTTCTCTCTTGTTTCTTTAACTACTCTTACTTTCCCAGAGGGGGGAATTTTTTTAGGGGAAACCCACCTGCATGTGTCTTGAAATATCTTGAGCCAGATTATTGTTATGCTCAGTTTGTTAGATTGTAATTTGACAGTATGTATAATCTGCAATTGATGCTGTCAATCTGATCAGAAGAGAAGTTTGCAAACATTGGGTGCAATTTGATAAAGACATTTTATTGCAATGCATGCTAAAAAATGTCCTCCAAAAAAGTCCTCCAAAAATCCAGGAATTCAACTTTCTACCTACCATTCATAAAGTTTTACAGAAACTTTACATAACTACCCAGGTTATTAAATCCAACATGATAATAAATTTTATGTGAATCTCCAATGTTTTCATAGGAATACCTTCAGCAGTTCTACAACCTACAAAAGGAGCCTCTGGGACGCATGAAGCGGAGTGGTGCCTCCTTCATCTCAAAGGTGAAAGAAATGCAGATATTCTTTGGCCTGAATACATCAGGTGCTCTAGACTTTGACACCCTGGAGCTGATGAGGAGTCCTCGCTGTGGTGTTCCAGACGTGGAGGAGTACAGCCAGATCCAGGGTACACGGTGGGACAAGAATGTCATCACCTACAGGTATCTTCATGTTTGATGATTGTTCACAGCTTAGATGTTATCATATTTTTGTTTGTATTGGAGCAGAACTAAAGTCAGTGTGAAAAAAAAGACAAAAAAAAAACGTGTCATGTCTGACCCAGACTGAACTAGCAAAAATCAAAACTTTGCAAAATGTAAAACCAGCATACAATAAAACCTCTAACAGGAGCAGTAAATAGCAACTCTCAAAAAGCCTGATGCCAACACATTTTTGAGGTTTGGGACTCCTGCCTGTGAGGGTTGTTGTTATGAGCTTGTTGAAGTGCCAAGTTCACCATACGTGGTTAAACTTATGTAACACTGTCTGAAATATTCTTCTGTTTCTCCGTGAGTTCAGTTTGAGCCAAGCCCGAAGGATCAGATTCAGGAAAAATGTATAATTAAAGAGAGGGACCTAAATAAGGCAGCCACTGTCAGTGTGTTTCAGATATATTAACATTTATATCTCACATGTTTGGGTAGCTTAATGCCATCAATGCAGTCGGACTGATAATAGCCATGTTTACATTCGCAAAATTTCTTGATCCGATTAAAATTTTGAGGGATCGGATTATCTGAATCCACTTTTTATATGGGTGCAAAATCAAATAATCTGATCATGCGTATACGTGCGCCAGGCTTCATTCAGATTAGAAGCATTTGGACATGTGCAGAGTTGTCTGATTTCGCTGAAACAACCGCAGAAGAAGAAGAGTTTTATTTACGCCTGTGCTGTCAACCTCACTCCATCCAATTCAGAAGTTTTCCCCCTGTTAAATGTTGTCACTAGATGGCGCCCTTGTTTATTTGTTTTACTGTTCTGTCAAAGGTCGCACTGTGCATGCAGTTGTGACATCATTACGCTGTATGTACGCCTTGTCATATTATCGGAGGAGCAGACGCGGTACCTGCGGTCGTGTTTTATGCCAGAGTGTTAATAATGAAACCTCCTGTACTGTCCAAAATAAATAAAGAGTGGAGAACGAATCAGGTAAGAGAGTCACGATCGGAATAAGTGTTTACATGGATACGTTTCAGAATAACGATCGGCATAAACCACCCCTCTTGATCAGAATACAATCTCTTTCCGATGAAGTCGAATTGAATCAGAATCTTCCGATCGACATGTTTACATGACGCATTTTTATTCCGATCGGGTATTTATTACAATTATTTGTGCCCATGTAAATGCAGCTAGTGTTAACATCATCATGACATTCATTTGCTTGTTTCTGCTGCAGCATTGGCACTTACACCAGAGACATGCCTCGCAACACAGTGGACTCTCTGGTTGACTCAGCCTTCAGCGTGTGGGCCAGAGCCAGCAGTCTGACTTTTGTCAGGTCATACACCCGCAACGCTGACATCATGGTGCATTTTGTGACCTATGGTGGGTTTGTCCTTATCACACACAGCATGTACAGCACAGCACAGCACAGACAGACAATATTTACATGTGAACTGAATGCTCCCTTGTTAGTGTTTTGTGCAGAACAGAAGTGCAGGAAGTGTTATTTCAGTGGTTTATGATGTATTGTGTAAGGCACTATACCATGAGAAAACACATAGAAAGCCTCAGTAGTAATTTAACCGTAAACCAAAGCCGTGTCACCATGTCATCTGCTGGTCTAGACTGACTCATTCAGATGAGGTCATCAGAGGCCTCTAGTTTTGTTTTGGCCAAATGGTTTTCCTCTGAGGTCTTTATTACATGTGTGGCTGTCTTTTGAAGAACACGGTGACTTGTTCCCATTTGACGGACCCAGAGGCACACTGGCGCACGCTTTTGGTCCGGGGTTGGGTGTTGGAGGGGACACGCACTTTGATGATTCTGAGCACTGGACAGCTGGAGACACAGGTGCAGCACCAAATTACATTATCATTACCCGGTGACAATGACAAATACTATAGAGAAAGTAACACATTCTCTTGCAGGTTTTAATCTGTTTGTCGTAGCTGCACATGAGTTTGGCCACGCTTTAGGCCTGAAGCACTCCAGGAACCCAGAGTCGCTGATGTACCCGAGCTACAAATCCTCCCATCCAGCGAACATTTTGTCGGATGAAGATGTAGCAAATATCCACGCACTTTATGGTAAACAGTTTATCTATGTTATTAAGTCAGTAAACCAAATATGAAGTGTTTTCATTGGAGTGGAACCTGCTGTTAAAGTTTTTACTTATGTGTCAGGTCCAGTCAGAAGTCGTGCAAATCACGTGTTGAGACATGGTTTGAGCTCTCAGCATGGTCCCTGGATCTCAGGATCCCTGTTTCCCAGACTCATGCAGAATAAATGTGATCCAGACCTCACCTTTGATGCAGTGTCCACTCTAGGGGATGCCACCTGTTTTTTTAGGGGGAGGTAAGTTGATGATTTTTGTTTTCTTTATCTAATTTGTGACTTTTATAAAATTGATATGTTTCATCTTTGGTAAGCCTCTTTCTCCGCACATGGAGGTCTTGATTATGATACCAGTTTCTTCCTTTGATGAACTGTCAGCAATATTGTGAGGTGATTTCTGTTTCCAAGATATCTCTGGATTAAGCATAATGAGCAATATGACATCAAAGAAGGTCCCATCACCAATTTCATGCCCAAGATTGAAACCAGCATTGACGCCGCCTTCTGGGTGCCTCGCAGGTCTACAGCTTATCTCATCCACGGTAAAGGCATTCGTATTTCAATCCTTTACTCAAACCCCAATTTCCAAACACACTAAAAATATTAATCAGTCACATAATAGTTTAGCTACAAAATGTAATGGTTTGCTTTTCATATGTGTGGACAGAATCAACCTTCTGGACAGTGAGAGGCTCTCTTGTAAAGGGGAAACCACGAGCCCTCAGCCACTTTGGATTTCCAGCCTGGGTCCAAGATGTTGATGCAGCAGTGCACATAGTGAAAACAGGGCGCACACTCTTCTTTATGCATGACATTTACTGGAGGTAAGGCCTTATTCTGGCAACTTACAGTCAACAATTATAATCTTTCAGCCTCTTTTAAAACAGTATGTGACTCAAACTGAAATCAGCCATTTGAAGGCTGATGCTACATTATTGCATCCATCACAGAAAGCATTCAAACTTTATTTTGAGCAGAATCAAGTTGTGTGAGTCACCTGTGAGAAGTCGTTGGAGGTTACAAAAACATACGCAGATAATTGTGGTTGGGTTGGGTTGGGTTGGAGAATACTGACCTCTGCTTATGACCTAAATGCCAGCAAAGATTCTGAATGAGTAAAACATTTGATCACTGAATAAAAGCTGAAGAAGATTTTTTTGTTCAAACATCTTAAGGACTGGAATTGGGTAACAAACAAAGGTACCACTTTGTCTACAGGGACCACCAAAATTGACACATCCTTAAAGTTCTTCACAGGTACCAAAAACAGTAAAACTAACCTTCTGTTTCACATCTGAGAAAATCACAATCCTGTGAGTTCAGAATTAGCTTAAGGGAATGTAGCTTTTTCTTAAGAATATGAAACAGTGGATACACCACAATTAAACTGCTAAATTATCTATATTTTAAAACTGCAATCTATTTAATGAAAGTGTAGCTACATCATAAGGCATTCGTGAATCGGAACATGCAATCTACAAGTTTACCCCATAGTTAGAGAGGATCTCATGCCATTTGAACCTCACAGACAGAGCAAGGGCTCAATTTTTGACATTTGAAGTTTGTTCATGTGACTGGAAGAATTGCACAAATGTTCAGCTTTGAAAGCTGAATGTGATTATGAGCCATTCTCACGCATGCATTTCTCTCACATGTGTATTTTTCAGCTACAATGAAAACCGGAGAGTCATGGATTTTGGTTACCCAAAGTACATCAGTGATGACTTTCCCGGAGTCAACACGACAATAAATGCAGCTGTTCATAAAGAGGGTGAGGACTTTGAGATTTTAATCACCATTATAATGTGCTCAGGTAACTTTCTTGGACTGTTCTGAACTATAGAGGTGGGAGAAAAAATCAGTACAGTATAGTATCACGATATTTTGTCTGGTGATATATCATATCGTCTCATTTACAAAGAATTGTTTTTTTCAAATTAATTGCAAATGTAAAGTCAAATCTATGATAATGGAAAAATAAAATCAACTGTTTGTCTTGTGAGATTGGCAGAGGTGACATCATAGAGCAGGAGAAAGTTAGTACAAATATAGCAGCACTTGGGGTAAGACATTAGGAATGCAAACAGGGCACAAATTAGATGGACCTGACACATGAGGTTTTAGAGACGTGTTACATGAAAATAAAATACTGTGTAAATAAGACAAACATAAAAGAAAGCACAAGGCTAAATTAGCTAAACAGTTGAAAAAATTGTATGAATCGCAATATATTGTAGCACAATACTCACTGTATTGCAAAATGTTTAAAATCGCAATAATATGGTAGTCCCACCCCTACTGAGCTACATAAAATATATAAACTATGAGCACAATGATACACTACAGGTTGAGTTTTTTTGGTGTGTCTTGTGTTGTTACAATACAGGAATGCTGATTTACAAAAAAACATAAGATTAGGGAGATTTTAGGGAGATGGTTCAACATACCAACTTAATCTCAAAAAGCCTTTCAGAGTGATATACTGCATTCCAGCCATGAGAAAGAGTAGACGTTTAAATGCAGAAAGTTGTTTATCATTACCACAGTAATTATAATCATCATTATCATCATCATCATAATATCACCACAAACAACATCAACAAAAGCCAGAACCATTCCAGCGTATTTTTTCTCTTCATAGGTTACCTGTACTTCTTCATTGGACCAGAAGTCTACAAATATGACTACACCCAAAAACGTGTTGTGGCAGTCGAGAAAGCGAATTCCTGGCTTGGATGCTGAAACACTGTTAATCCATGGATGTGCAATGAGGGAATTACTTGAAAACCTTGAGTTTAAAGCACAACAAGTAAAAAAGCACTGTGCAATGGTACTTCAGATGTTAAGTTTTATTTAACTTGTAACGTTTTGTCAGAATAGACAAATCCCGATGTAAGCCTAACATGTGCAGCTTCAAATTAAAGTACTCTGCTGAACAGCTTCAAGGGTTTTTCGCTGCATACCACTGCTTGTGGAATGATAGATATGACGACGAGGAATGAGGAGAAATGAGGATTGCTGGCATAAGTGTTGCATGTTTCAACTTGACATTACAATAAATAGATTCAACAAATAACCCTTTTGGCATGTGTTCTCTATATCACAAACCACACTTTACACACATATACTTAGACACTACAGACAGAAAGCCCAGACATAGTATGTAGACGTTTCTTTGGGAGGTTTTAACCACTAAACCCCCAGAAAATTGGGGCAGGTAGTCCCAGCTGTAACTACTAGATTGTTGGGGCATGTGACTGCACTCAACCATGAGAATACTCCCATATAAAATATGTGGGGCCTGGTGGCGATGAGCATTTAAACATGGAGTTTCTCTGGTTGTGGATACCTGGTCTTGGATCTCTGATGCTTCTGGAAATCTTCACCCTGCCCATTGAACAGGATGAGCGGCTGAGGCCTGAGGATGTGGAGCTGGCTGAGGTATGTAGTTGGATGTCTGTCCTATTCTTTAAGACACAGATATATTATGAAATTACATGGAGGTTCTTTTCAATATAATTCAACATAAACTTTTCACACTGTTTCCATGTTTTGATAAGGCGCTGTCTATTGGAAAAGTTTTTAATTGTATTTTACTATTCATCATTTATTTTCATTTGAGTAATTTTCATTTACTTGGTGTTCTTTAACTTGTTTTCATTGAGTTCAAAAGTATAATTTAATAATTTTTAGGAGTAAACTAATTTTAACATCTGTAGTCATAGAGAAGTGAATGGCTTTCCAAAAATCCTTAAACAGAATTGTAAACTGTAGATTAAAACAAGAATGTAAAGAATATAAAAGATATTTTTAATAATCTGTTATTTATTTTGAAATTGGACGAAACAAACAGAAAATGGGTTTTCTTTAACTGATTCCAAGTTTGTTTTTCTGATCCAGTCCATTATCTGACTACTGTTGTCCAAATAATCCTCTCCAATTTGTCACTGGTCTTTTAGCAATGACAAAGAGGTCAATCAGGGGAAACAGGGAAAAAGATTTCACCTCTTTGAGAAAATTTGATTTGTGAATAAGTTTCCCCTCTTACTGTACCTCTAAAAATAAAACACTACATGACCTCACTTCTCAGAGCTACCTGAGCAGGTTTTATGACCTGAACCCCAGAGGCAGAATGTCGGGGAGACAGATCAGGTCCACGTCAGTCATGGAGGAGGAGCTCAGAGAGATGCAGAACTTCTTTGGTCTTCAGGAGACGGGTCATCTGGACCCTCAGACCTTGGATATGATGAAGGAGCCGAGGTGTGGTGTCTCCGATATAGATAACTACAGTTTTTACCCTGGAAAACCTAAATGGAAGAACCTCACCATCACATACATGTGAGACGATTACTTTCATAGTTTTGAATTTTGTCGTAAGATTTACTCCCTCCCTTTATTCATTTGTGTGTCTCTTTAAACTTTGTAAACAGGATTGAAAAATATACTCCAGACATGAAGAGAGAGGATGTGGAAGCATCCTTCTATTCAGCCCTCAAGATGTGGAGCGATGAAGCACCTCTTAGATTCATCAAAGTCAACCGTGGCAAAGCTGATATAGTTTTCACCTTTGCCCGTGGAAGTAAATCTGAAAAACCACTTCTAAATGTTGATTAAAACACACTTAATTCACAATTTTCTTATGATGGTTGACACCAAAAACACAGTACAAATGACGGTGTCGATACTGGACTTTGAAAACCTGTTGTTGATGTTGCAGCTCATGGGGATTTCTTTCCCTTCGATGGGCCTCGTGGTGTGCTGGCTCATGCTTTTCAGCCAGGAGATGGGATGGGAGGAGATGTGCACTTCGATGAGGATGAAACATGGACAGCAGGGAAACGAGGTCTGTTATAAAGAAAATCACAAAAAAAGTTTCTTTAGTTCAGAGAGTAATCAGTCAGTCTTAATTTAAAAGGTGCTTATATGTAAAAAATGTAACAAAAGAAAAAAAAAAACAGCTATAAACTGTACTGTTTGATTTGTTACTTACCGAGACTAAGAATGTTGCAGCATTCAGCCAATAACCATGACAAGAATTAATTCTTTTTAACAAGACAAAACACTGAATTTTACACTTAAATTCAACTTAAATCTATCAGAAACTAGAATGATTTTAAGAACCCCTTTTTAAAAGACTTTTAGAGACATTGGGTACCACCATTCAGGGGTAACAGAGCACTATAAACTTTTTAACATGTGACTGCACCATTTTGTGGGGAGAGATTTTAAATGCTTTACTAGATTCAATGGGAAGTCAGTGTGGACAGGCTAACATGGGAGTTACACTCTAAAAACCCCTGCACCGGGGTTGAAAAGGGACTAAATACTTATTAGGTTATTTTGACCCAAATTTTGGGTTGACTCAATAACTCTTTTTAGGGGTCAAGTTAACCCAATCTTCGAGTTAATTCGACTCATGATCTTGTGTGAAATTGACACATGCATTTGGGGAGCTTTTTTTGCTTTTACAAACTGTACCATCTGAGCCCGTATGGCTTTCAATGGTACACGGTCTTGCCTCAAAACCCACATGGGTAGATGTACTTACTTTCTTACAGATGTGTCTCATGCGGGATTCGAACTGGATGCTTTACCCGCTGAGCTACTCCAGCCACCCAATACATACTGGGGTAGCTACCCCACTACATATATATATAAACTCAAGGTCAAAGTTCACAAGGTCACCTTAATTGCCATTGGGCCTAGAAACCACATAGAGTCAATCAAACCCAACGTTCTGACCCAATTATTGGGTTACTCTAAGAGCGCCTATAATTATTAACCCATTCAAAAAATCCTCAAATTGGGTTACAATAGAATCCATATGACCCATCCTTATTTTTTTTGTTCTTTCCATAAGTAGGAGTTGTAAGTCATATCCTGATCAAATAAAACAAAATCATGGAAACCTCCTCTGTCAAAACAGTCCAATGCAAGACTTAAACCTGAATACTCGTTTTGTAAATACACTCACAACCACTTCCTGTTCAGCTCGACAGCTTCGTAAGTCCCTGATGTTTCAAACCCACAGACATTTTTCACACGGTTTAAGATGAATTACCTTTCTGTTGGACTGATGGGACTGCTCTGTTGTTTCTATTCAGGTTACAGCCTGTTTGCTGTTGCAGCTCACGAGCTTGGCCATTCACTGGGCTTGACTCACTCAAGAGACCCCTCTGCGATCATGTACCCCAATTACAGGTCTCACAGCAGTACTCAATACTCCCTGTCCAAAGACGATGTGCTTGGGATCCAAACCTTGTACGGTGAGGAACAATTGAAAGATTCTGATGATTACTTTTTATAAATGGGGAAAAAACACATTCAGGAGATGATGTGCACTAATCTATATGTCATACTGAAAGATTTTCATCCCAATGCTCTTAAGGAAAACCCACAAGAAAAGAGGAAAACCAACAAGCCCCTCAAAAGTGTGACCCAAACTTGTCTTTGGATGCAGCAGTTATGATGGGAGATGAGATTATTTTCTTCAAAAACAGGTAGGTTTTTCAAATATGATTACAAAAGTGTTGTAAAATGTTTGAGTTCCCCCCGAATTCTCTTATCGATTTAATTTCAGGTACATGTGGATGAGAACGACACAGACAACGTACTGGAATCGCTTGAGAGAGAGCCACAGCAGCGTGTTTTTACCCAGCATCACCTCGCATGTTGATGCTGCTTATGACATCCCTGCCAAAGGCGTGGCATTCATATTCACTGGTAGAGTAATGAGCAGTCTGCAAAGCATCACTTAAACCTGGTCAGCATGACAAGGCTAGATTTCCAGCTAAGGAACACAACATTGCACTCAAATTATAGCCCTGTGCAACTTTAGCGTTTGAGTCCATACAGGAAACTTGCTGAATTAGACCGTGCTTGTGGTATGTTGCTGTTTTTCATAGTGGCTCCAAAATGCAGTGACATGGCTGTGTTTTTCCAGGTCATAAATACTGGGTGGTTCAACAGCTTAAGATGAAAAGTCAAGCCGGCTCCATCTATGAATATGGCTTTTCCCCCAGAGTACGGCAAGTTGACGCTGCCGTGCATATCCCTGAATATGGAAAAACGATCTTCTTCATCGGCGAGGTTTATTACAGGTTATTATTGATTACCACATTGCTACACAATTTAATTGTTTCACATTCTTATTACTACTATCAATATACAAACTCAATCAGTGAAATAAAAGTGTAAAATATTATAATCTTATATGTTCCTTTTGAGCCCATTTAGAGTCAGTAACTGAATGAGTTTAAGTTTTACCATACTGGACCTTTAATACAAAGGAAGTGTACACTATGTAAAAAAGCATTGGTAACACTTTATTTGATGCCTATTTTTATAACACATTATAAATATATGTATAATGTGTTATAATCACATTATAGCACTGTATAACTATAGTTATAAACACTCATAAACGATCATAATGCTTTATAGCAATAATCATAACACATTATAAAGCATTTTATTATGACTCACAAATTCAGGTATTATAATGTGTTACAACTGTTAACAACAGTTGCATTGCATTATCTATGTGGGCATTGTCAGTGAGTTGTTAACAGTTTTAACAAATAATACCTGACCTTGTGAGTCATAATAAAATGCTTTGTAATATGTTATGATTATTGCTCTAAAGCATTATGATCAACTCTAGTTATACAGTGCTATAATGTGATTATAACGCATTATACATATATTTATAATGCATTATAAAGATAGGCATCAAATAAATTGTTATCAAAGCATTTTTGTACCTATATAGTAAATTAATTCTGTCAAACTGTCCTTTCTTCCTCAGCTATGATGAGCACAGGAGAAAAATGGACCCTGGCTTTCCAAAACTCATCCAATCTGACTGGCCAGGAATCCCCAAAAGGGTTGCCGCTGCCTTCAAGTTACAGGGTAACTTTTACAGTTCACGGTCTTAAACTTAGTTTAATATGGACCCGACCCACAGGACACAAATAGAGTAGAGCTGAAATAGAAGTCATAATGTCTTCTTTGAATCATGTTGAGGTGCTTTATGGGTGGAGTTTACCATGCTGGGCACATTTTATAAGGAAACAGCAATTTACTCAGTTTTTGAGCGTTTCTCACTCAGTTATAAATCCTCTGTTTGTAGCTTAGCTGTTTTGTTCACTTTATATTGAGACAACATGGGAAGATAACTCACTGTCTAATTTTTAATTTCCACAGGAAGCATTTACATCTTCAGTGGGGCAAAATCCTATCAATATGCCTTCAGGAAAAAACAGGTGGTCAACATAATTTCAGCAAATTCTTGGCTGGGATGCTGACACAGGATTCAAGAAAAAAACCCATTGCTCCACTCACACATCACTAAACTTTCTTTCACTGATTTATTTGTTACCTGCTCTTTAAGTCTGTGTACCTATTTGTGAATGTCCTCTTAGTCAAAGTGGCACTCTTACTGCTCAGAAATCAAACTTTAATATATGATATCACAAAAAATACAGAGTTGATATTATTCAGATTTGTGGAGTTCAAAATGTGCATCAATTCTACTCACATAAAACATTTCAAAAATGTTCAAAGTTTTCTAAATTTGGCTTAATAAAATGTATATTTTTCTTCAAAGTTGTTTATTTTTTTTACAACTCATTCATTCTTCTTCTTCTGGCCTTTCACAGTAAAAAAACAAACAAAAAAACTTAGTGAAAGACGTTGGTATTCTTCACAATATTTGATCTCAACAGTGTTCAAGGAAAAAGTCCTGTCTGTCTCAGCGTAAAATTTCCATTATTTCTAATGGCATTAGCTTTCAAACAAAATGTGCCATAGAGTTAGTTTTGGTGGAGTTTACTGTCACCATTTTGCAGACTTTTTGATCCTTGAACCAACCACTGAAGCATACACAGATAACTCACAGTACCTTTTGATTCAAAGTTTCCAATACAGCTTCCAAATGAATAAGGCGAGTCAAACAGCAATGTGCCACCCTTAAGTTAAAATAAAAAGAAGCAAACACTAGAAATACTGAACTCAATGTATGAGGGTCATCATGTAGATTAAAAGTCAAATGAGTATTTAGGTGAACCCGATATTTTCTCTCACCCAGGGCCCTTTTTTTCAGTTAAACTGGCTGATTTTCAAGCTGGTTTGTGCAGGTAACCTGTTGTGTATGTGACATGAATTTTAGGGTATTACCTTTGTTATAATCTGCGTAAAGCACATTTGACAACACTGATGCCCCCACATGGCAGTGACAGACATATAATTCCTGTTTGAACCAGAGCACTTCAGGGGTCTATGGAGATAAACACAGTACATCACACACTCATGTTTACCCACCAAAGTGGACTGTGGCCACGGTACAAGAGAGGTCACAAAAACATGAATGGGAACACTAAAAACAACCCTCTGTTGGCAAATGTAGGATTTTACTTACTTAGAGGTGATTTTTTTAATGTTTCAATTCAAAATGTGTCAGTTTGTCAGAAAAATTGGGCCTAATTGTTACTATTATTTTTACAACTGGATACTCATTTAAAGGGGAATGTCATCACTATTGCAGCTCTTATCGTTTGTAGCTGTTACTGCAATCTTCTAATATGACAAAAAATAAAATAAAATTTGACGCAAAGTATAGAAAGAGAAGACAATAGCACAAGATACAAATAGCAGACAGTCTAATGAATGTTGAACCAGTGAAGGTCTTGTGATTGTATCATCTCCTCCCACTGTGTTATCATGGGGGCCACTATTTACTCTACCCTTCATCCTCTGCAACAGAGGCCTGTCTTTACTTTACTGGGGGGAACAAGAGGACACTGTCTACTTTTTGGCTGTCATCATAGCAAATCACAGCTCAGACTAGGCGAAGTCCAAAGGAAGGTAAAAAGACATCTTAACAAGATGTCTCCCATCGGTTTTTGGATGGTTCTGCTTGGTTGTTTAGCCCTGGGTCATGCAGCACCAACAGTGGCTCCAACACTTTCCCCTGAGGATGAAAACCTGGCTGAGGTAATGCAACATTTATTATGTGTTGATATTAGAAGCTAAGGCCAACTATGGATGTAGAAGTGGCAATTGCATGATGATAGGCAATACCTTTCTGTTGACAAGAATTAGGCAATCAGAAAGTCGGATGATCAGAAAATAAAAAACCCTTCTTTATGTTGATTATTCTGCTTCTGGTGTAGGAGTACCTCGCTCAATTCTACAGTGACATAGGGGTGACAAACTCCTCATCTCGAAGCCTTGTAAGGAGAAACTTCACTGAGGATCTTGAAGCTATGCAGACTTTCTTTGGCCTTGAGGTAAATGTGCCTGCAAAATATTGGAAATCACACGGCAGATGTACAAAATTCTCAAACTTTGCCGTATTAATTTCCTTGTGTCATTATCTAACCACCAGGTGACTGGTGTATTGAATAATGAGACTGTGGAGATAATGAAGAAACCCAGATGTGGTAATTCAGAAATTAGTAAATATGGACACTTTGCTGGAAAACCCAGATGGCAGAAAAGGGTGATCACATACAGGTAAATAGGAATAACATCCTAAAGGGGGGCTATTATTCTCAAAATTTTATTCACATAATTTGTACATATGTATCCAAGAGATATTGATGCAAAGTTCATTTTGAGGATAACAACATACTGTGTAATATCATTTGCAAAGGATAACTCAGTACACCCCAGATCTGACCAATAGACAAGTGGATGCAACTATTGCCCAAGCCTTTCAGCTCTACAGCGATGTAATCCCGCTGGATTTCAAACAGATCCGCTCCGGTACTGCAGATATCATGATCCTCTTCAAGGGTGGATGTGAGTCTAAATAAAGTATTTGAAAATGTACCTTTAATTACCTGTGGTTCCAACTAAAATAAGTTAAAAGAAATCAACCTCCATGCTAGCTGCTCAGCCATTTTAGTAGTTGGACAGTGGAGACTGAATTGTTTCAATAGCTCCTCCCTGTCCTCCTCTCACTCCCTCACATGTAAGTACAGAACATTTCTACAAAATTGTTGCAGATCACGGGGACTTCTATCCGTTTGACGGAAGAGGTGGTGTCTTAGCTCATGCCAACTCTCCAGGAAGGGATCAGGGAGGGGACACGCACTTTGATGATGATGAAACCTGGACTCTTACTCAAAGAGGTAAATAATTAATGTATGTTCTTTGTTTGAGTAAAGACGCTCGGTTCCTTTAAAATCATTCCAGCAAAGGAGCAGATATTTTGGAGAAGTATAAAATCAAAAGACAATTGCAAGAATCAAAAAACGAACAACAAAAAGATGAAAAAAAAAAAAAAAACAATAAAAGTGCAGTAGGTAAATCACATATATTGGACTAAGTTTAACTCAATTACTGTGTTTAGGTGTGAACCTGCTGTTGGTGGCAGCCCATGAGTTTGGCCATGCCCTGGGTCTAGATCACTCCAGGGACAGACGTGCACTAATGTTTCCTACTTATCAGTATGTCAACACAAATGGCTATAAGCTGCCAGATGACGACAGGCGAGGGGTTCAAGCTCTCTATGGTGAGTAGCAGCTTCTGTATAATTATTCACATTAAATTACATTGACTTAAACTGAGGCAAGTTTCTACTAATTTGATTGGCTAAGATGTTGAAACTAAGAAACCAGGCTTGATTTTGAGCTTCAAATTTGGCCTCATCTGAATTTTACTTACTAACCAGCAGAGGGCTAATCGATGAATATACTGTATATCTTTGCAGTTGACTCCATGCAAAGGAACCTGAATCCATATTGCATGTATAGTCAATAAGTGGGTTTTAATTTAAGACCTAAGCATGAATTAATACCATTAAAAAAATTTCTTTATTATTTGGATAGATTGAAGATGGATTTGATGACTAAAGGCTTTACATAATTTAGCCCCTAATGTGATTTTCCAATCTGTCTATCAGGAAGCCGTAGACCAGAACCTACAACAGCACCAAAACCCAAACCACCTCCTCAGCCAGAGCCTGAACCAGAACCTGAGGACCCAACAGAGGATCCAAACCCAGACCCTTTGCCCAATCCTGGAGACGAGCAGTGCAGCCGTCAGCTCGTGTTTGATGCTGCAACCTCTATCAGGGGAGACCTGTTCTTCTTCAAAAATGGGTAAGTTTTGAATGAGAGCTGTTCTGTTGTTATGCGGGGCATATCAATGTATATATTTTCATATTTAAATTTAAACTCAATACCAGGTACTATTGGAGGAAAAGTTCAAGCTTTCAAGGCATCCGCCTAACCAAAGTGAGCACAAAATGGTCAGGAATCAATACTGTTGATGCTGCTTATGAGGTCCCGCAGGAGAATGTCGCACATCTCTTTGAAGGTAATGTTTATGGTGTTTTGATAGATTTCATTTTTATTTCAGTCAGTGAAGGTCTGCAGACAATGTCAAACTCTAATTCTTTCTGTATAGGTCGTCAATACTGGGGCATAAATGCTAATACAAAAAGAAAAATTGCAGGCTACCCAAAGCCTCTCACCAACCTTGGCCTCCCATCTTCAGTCAATAAGGTGGACGCTGCAGTTTATGTGGCCACCCTTAGAAAAACACTGATTTTTGTGAACAGCCGGTACTGGAGGTGAGTATTGCCCAGAACAAAGTTTTCACTGTATTTTTAGTTGGAAAGAAAAAAGGGGAAAACATAGAGCACTGCACAATATATTAGGCATGATTTTACTCACAGAGGTCTCTCTTACTTTACTTCTCTTTTTCATTTACAGCTATGATGAGGGTCGGAACCAAATGGACCCTGGATACCCCAGATACATAAGAACAGATTTCCCAGGAATAGGCTCCAAAGTAGATGCAGTCTTTGAGAATTATGGTGAGAAATGTCATTTCTTTGTTGGTGGCTCACTCAAAATCAGGAAAACATCTGTCAATCAATCAATCAATCAATCAATCAATCAATCAATCAATCAATCAATCAATTTTTCATGATATAGTGTCAAATCACAACAATCATTATCTTTATGATTATCATTGCTTTTCTTGCTGAGTCATTGGCCCCTTAAGAGTCCCACTTTTTCAGGTGGCTGAGGCAAATTTTATATATTTGGAAGCTGGATGGAAACACAATTTCAAATTGAACCTTACGAGCTTTACGTTTACCAAATGTTCAAAAAGGCAGTTGCTTACCAACACTTGCCAAAAGAATTGCTGACTATTTTACTGCTTCCTGTCTTTCTTAGTTGCATATTTGCATTTAAACTGTTTCTTTTCATCAACAGGATATCTTTATTTCTCAAATGGCGCCAGACAAAGTGAGTACTACCTGCCCTACAAGAGAGTGATGCGTGTACTGCTCAACTATGGCTGGCTCAACTGCTACTGAGATCTTTGAAACAAGTGGACCGGCAATGAGATAAAGATGTGATGATTTTTTTCTTCTCTGCATGTTCAAGTATCATATCTTCTTAAGAATTTTTAAACAACTCTCAGTCACAGGGTGCTGTCTTGTAGCTTTATTGGGCTATAGATAAGTTATTCAAAACCAGCAAAGTAGGCTACAGGTCAAGTGACACTATATCTGTGAGAATTCGAATGCTGAATTTGAAATGCCCAAAGGTTTTGTTTTCTGTCTGAATTTTGTGAAATAATTCACTGATGATTGGTGACATGTGTTCTATAGCCTTAAATCACTGATGCAAAATCGGATCATTTTGGCTGACTATGAAGGAATTATAAGCTGACCCACCAAAGGTTACAGTCAAATAAAAGTTGAACTGATTTATGAAAGCAATTCTCAACTATTTGTTGTCCCTTGCCATAGCTTTCAGGTTTCTAGATTGTATTTTTAAACGTTCACATTCTATCTTGATTTGTTAGATAAAACAAGCAAAGAAAACAGGTAAATCTATTATCGAGTTGTGACTGCCTCATCCCTTTACGTTTATGTTCCTGTCAGTCTAACCAGCTGTAGAATTTGCCTTGGGAAGTTATCTTGATATTGTATATGGTTCATCTACAGTTGCTCGGGGAGAGACACTGTCTATTTTTGGGTGTTTGAGGATTCAGAAAATCTATAAAATAGTTTAGCTGCCATGTCGCAATCTGAAGCATAATGGTTGAGCTAGCCAGGTTTTAAACTACATGCAAATGTCGATAGACCTGGCGATAATTCAAGGTTGTATACTTTGGGCCTAAAGAGTGCTCAAAAAAATTCTACACTGATGAATCTGTGTGTGGAACATGCTATAAAAAATATCCAGATTCATTTCAAGTAGGCTAATTCCGGCCCCATATTTTGGCCTGTTTGAAATGCTGTTTTTCAATGTCTACAAATTAATATTGTCATTAATTTTGGCCATAGAACATTTAAAAACTTCCCTGTGAGTATTAGATGTTCTGCTGTCATCAGCCTTTGCAACCACAGAAGACTAGATACGTTAGCATGCTGTAGCAGCCCGCTAAGTGACATGACTATGCGCCATCTTGGTGGGGGCAATGTTCTCAATAAAGACATTACATGTGCATCATTTCTCAACTTATTTTAATGCACTTAACTTCATTGTCAACAAAAATAGAAAGATGATGATATACATTAGCTACAGATATCAGTATGGTTAATCTTATTCAGGGACAGAATTATACCTCTTGCAAGGTTTAGGTTTAAACCTGAGACTTCAGAGAATTTGGAAACAGTGGATAGAGTTATAGAAACTTCATCAGCGTTTTTCATAAATATCGTTGTTTCATCTGCAAGCTGTGTTATTTTGAGTTCTTTGCCATCAATTCCTTTAACAGGGCTCTGTAAAATCAGGTAATGTAATACTTGGGCAACTAGTAAGAAAACATGGAGAGAGAAGCTGGTCAACTTTACAACTTAATTTATATAAAATCTTTGAGCTCTGCCATATAAGAGTTTCACAAAGCTGTTGTTATCCTTGTAAAGTGTTTTAACAGCTTTTGTAAAAAAAAAAATAATAATAATAATAATAATTAAATAATTAAATATTAAAAAAAGAAAGAAAGAAAGAAAAAAGTGTCTGTATTCAAAGAAAGAAAGGGTATCAAAAATGAAATTATTGCTGACTGTGTCAGAAGCTTTCTGAAAATCCAGAAAAAGTTATATGGGAAAACCAGGGATTAAATGAGTGAAATCAATCAAATCTGAAACTAATCTGACATTATTTGAAATGTAGCATCCCAGCATGAATCCACTTTGAGATTCATGATGTTACTTCACCTACTTTTCAGACATTTAGACAAAATAGAAGCAAGTATTTTGTAGTCATTGCCGGTTGGCAATGAGTAGATCATTGTTGGGTTTTGAAATAGGGTAGTTAGACCTTGCTACATTGAGTGAGTCGGTTCTTAAAAAAAGAATTACGTCTTTTTTCGCCTCCTTAGATAATATGAAATACGTTTTTTTTTACTCCCAGACACCTTGACTTACTCATGTCTTGCAACCACATATATATAAAGATGTAAATAAGTATTATAGAAGTACGACAAAAGTATGCAAATCTATCTCTTACCGGAAATCCGGTTCAGGTGCACCACGCAAAACTTACCGACAACAGCCGCGGATTTATGTTCCTCCAACAATCCCTCAACTCTAACCCAATTTAACATTGATATTAGTTTCGTCTTGCGAGTATTCAGTATTTAGTCGGCACATAGCTGCAAGATTGAGTTTTTTCTTACGATAATTGCTTAAATTTGGTGGATTAAGTAACCGTTTGGCGTATTAAAGGTACGGATTAGCATTTGTGTATATGGTAGATGCTATGTGAGGGACTGAAGGAACAGATAATTGTGACATCTATCACCCAAAGCACGAACTGAACAAAGCTGGTCCACTATACTTTCACGGAGGTTTGTATCTTTGCTTGAAACTGTCTATTACTCCTGTATAGACTGCTTTTACATGTTTCCTCTGTTAGCTTGTCAAAGGTAAACAAACCGACATGTGCCTCTTGCAGCCTCTGTGGCGCTGCTATTCTTGCTAAGACAGTGTTTGTGTTAACAGAGGAGCTGGTATCTAAATGATAAAGGCTAGTTTCTGTTCTGTCACAGGGTCGTTTTCTGATGGAATCACTCAACACTTTTGAATCTGAGATGGAGGCTGACGGGCAGGGGAACTATTCTCTGTTTCCTGCTCTAGACAGCATCGCAAGTCTGTCAGGGAGCGGAGAGACTTTGGAGAGGTTCTTGAAAATAATCATCTTTTAAAATAAGATATTTCTCAAAAAATATTTTGGAAAATACTTGTGTAGACTAAATGCCCATTTGCCCATTTAGTCATACTAAAATGTGCTTAATGTGTGTTTTGATTTTCAGTGAACCCCCTAGTGAAATTGCAGAGAAGCCGAACCTCACATGGCTAGATGCTGCACAGGTATCTCAAATGTTCATTTTCAGTTTGGTATTCTTCACAGTAACACCATTCAGCCTTGTCGCCGCTGTATGAATGTTTGTAGAGTATAATTTTTCTTTTTTAACTTTATAGATAGTTTTGGAAAATGCTGGACGTCCTATGCACATCAAGGAAATCAAACAAAGAATCATTGACAGAGGACTTGTTCAATCTAAGTACAGCATTCCTCCCAGTTTACTACATGTTATTGCTCATATGATGGGCCTTTATCAATCCCTTAGATTGGCAGAAAACTTGGATCTTCATTTTGACTTTGAAAACCGTATTATTCTCTCCTTTCCAGTGCAAAATCAAGCTTGGAGGCAGTCATGTACCGTGAGGTAAGTTACTTGTTAAAGGCTCAGTCTGACAGCAACCTCTGCTGTTGAGTGTAACCGCTTGCACCACCACTTGGCATTTGTGTGAGTTCACCTAACACAGTTTATGTCTTGTGTGTATTTCTGTTTATGTTTTTTTCTTCATGTTTTCCACCCTGCTTTTTTTTCCATCTTGTTTTGCAAGCCTAAAAGAGGCTTACATTCCCCGTGCTTGACCAGAACTAAACAGAATAACCCAAAGTGACTCCTAGCTGTCAGCAAAAAACATTAAAAAATTGGCATTTGCAGCCCCGTGCATCGGCTTCAGTCTCACATTATGTTTCAGACACAAAAAGGAAGCAGGAGATTCAAGAGGATTGAGAACAGAAATGGAGTCTTTGCATTGCTGGTGAGTTTTACGGGACACAGATGTAAATTTGCCAAAAAAAAAAAAAAAAAACACCATGTTTGACAGAATCTGACCTATTGTGATATTCTAGACCATTGTTTATAAATTAATACCAAATCATTGCTGTCTCAGGTAAGTTAAAACACAGCACTGCCTGGTGTAGTGATCTCATATTGCAAGAGTTTTCAAACAATCTGAACCTAATAGTATGAAACAAGATATCTGCCATTGATTTTTGTTACATGAGCATAAGGCAATGCCTAGTCACATTCAACCTGAGAGTTACGAGTGTAGAATTTTTAAGCTGGCACTTAAAATGTATCCCATCATGGCTACAGTACTGATCAGTTAACCAAGTTTTTGTGCCACTTACACTTATCAATATGCTTAATTTCCAAAGCTGAGCAGTTTCATACCTACTAAATTTTGTCAGCAGTAGTAGATTTTGAGTAGTGTAAACTTGACAATGCTAGATATTTTGCTTCATCTATATTAGCCTGAAAAAAATCTGAAATGTTTAAAACTTTATGATTTGCTGCAGTTTTTGAATTTTCATTTCTTGCATTGTTTGTCATACAGCAGTTTGATCGTAATCTTCATCAGTGCCATGAAGTGTCTGTGGTTTGGTTTTAATTTTTATCCATCCAAGGCAGCAGCTGCTTTAGCCTCAGATTCTCCTGATTCAAGTGAACAGATCTGTTTGTCTCTTTCTCTCTGTTTCTTCACAGACCGATGAGGAGCGGCAGCAGGCCCTGCAGACCTTCACTGCCCAGTCCTTCCTCGGCTCCCCGCAGCAGAATACCATTTCCAGTTCTGGATCAGGTGCCTCAGGCCCTGCCTTTCCATCTCCAACCAGTTCCTCAGAGCACAAGACCAAGATGAAGAGAGGTCCAAGAAAAAAACAAAATGAGAAGTACAGACTCAAGTACCTCAGACTGCGTAAAGCTGCTCGTGCTATGATGTTTGTGAGTCAACCATAAAGTCTTGAAAAGCCATGACTAGTTTATCTTTACAGTATGTGCATATGCTATGATAGGTAATGGTTTTCAGTTTCTTATACTAAACTGGAGTAATGTACATGTTATAACCATGTTATCATCACAGGAGAATGCAGCTCTTTGTGATGAAGTCGCCCACATAGAGGAAAAGTTTCTGAGAGCAAAGGAGGAGCGAAGGTGAGTCAACAAGTTTCTTGTGTTCTCAGATGACATGATATTCTAACAAATGGTGCCAGTATAAACAGCAGTGACCTTCTTCCTCAAATCCTGTTTTTCTTATCACTTTAAATGATAATGGATTTTAAAGTGCTTTCTTGAAATGTTTGATGTCATTTCTCTTAAAAAAAAAGTGATTTATTCATGCTAATTTTCAATTGCAGGTTTTTGTTGAAGTCACTGTTGCAGTACCAATCATTTTCAGAGGGAGAGTTGATGCCAACACCTAGCATAAGCTCCCAACCAGCTGTTCCACCTGTGGCCTTAACCTCAGGTCCTGCTGGGGGTTCAGGCCTATCCGGTGGGCATAACCATACATCAGTGGTGCCAACAGTGGAAGAGGGACCTCTTAAAAGACCTAAAAAGGAAAGGAAGGAGAGAGGCAGGGAAAATGGAAAGGAGGAAAGTGAGTGCTCCATACATTTATCAATCTATAAAACAGTTGGAATTAAGCATGTGTATCTGTCAAGACTGTCTATTCATTTTTTTTACTTGTTTTTTCAGTTCCAAAAAAAGTTTCTAAAAAAAGAAAGCTAGCAGATGGTTCCCGAAAGCTGGTGCAGCCCATTCCTCTGGACTCATGTGGCCGTCCTGTCTTTCCCATCGTACTGGGAGGTTTAACAGTCTATAGTCTTGGAGAGGTCAGTGTCCAGCTTGACTGTGGTAATGTAAATTTGTCATCAGCATAGACATTTAGAGTGGCTGTGGCTCAGAGGAGAATTGGTCGTTTCTCAAATAAAAGATTAGGGGTTCAATTCCAGGTCTATGAGATGGACACTGATACATAACCACCTCTGCTCCGACTGTAAGGATGTGATGTGAATTTGTGATATGCAAAAGCACTTTAGATGGTCAGAAGACTGGAGAAAGTGCTACATGAATACAGTCCGATCCGTTGACATGTTCATTTATAGTCATGTGTGCTAAACTCTTGCTAAAACTAGTCTTACTATCCATCAGACTGATAAATGGCACACTCATTAAACCTGACACTAACTGCTGAATGTATTTCAACAATGCACTCCAGATCATCACAGACAGAATGTTGTTCCACGATGAGTGCGCCATCTACCCAGTGGGCTTCTGCAGCACACGAGTCTTTGCAAGCATGAAAAACCCGGACCAGCAGTGTCTCTACACCTGCCAGATCAAGGATGGGGGAACAGGCCCACAGGTAAGCGCACACCAAGGGTTTCAGGACGACCAATTTTTACCAGTGCCTGGGTTTTTCAAAATAGTAGTTGACTAGTTGTCACATTAGTCCTTGTCTGTAGCACTTAGAGATTAGCTTGAAATGTAAGGTGCATCATAAATAAAATGTGTTTTTTTGCTCTTGTTATAATGATGATAAAAAGTTGTATTCTGCGATACAAACGGCACAAACATTGGCTGTGGCATGTCACACAATGCAGAATTACATTGTATCTACATAAAAAGAAAAAATGGCAATGTGGCTTTCCTAGACAAAGCAATCAGAACCAAGGCCAAACCCCTCCCCTGTGGTTCTGACCATTTGACCAGTCAGCTGTTTCCAACAGAACCAGTAGTTGAAGTGGTCCAGTAGTGTTTTAGTTACAACACAAGACCTTTATTTATCCCCAAAGGGAAATTCATTTGGAATCTCAGATAAACTAAGTTATGATGATCCGACCTGCCCAGTGGTGGTAAGGCAGTGGCTCTGTAGGCTTCTTTGACGTTGGCATACAACAGATCCAGGGTTTTGTTTTTTCTGGTAGGACAGTTAACAAACTGTGTAAATCCAGTTAGGTGACAGAACATGGTTGAAGTCTCCTGATATTATTTCAAGTTTCTTAGGATATTGAGTCTGTATCCTAGCAACAGTATCATGGAGAACATCTCACAGAACTTCAGCCATTGCCTTGGGTGGGATATAAACAAGTATTGTTTTGATATGCCTGAACTCCCTTGGAACATAATATGGCTGAAGAGCAACGGCTAACAGTTCAATATCTGGACAACACAACTTCTCCCTGACAGTTATGTGTAAAGAGTTACACAATCTCTAGTTAACCAATAAAGCCAGACCTCCTCCTTTCTTCTTGCCACTAGCTTTAGCATCTCTGTCTGACCTTATGAGAGAGAAGCCAGGTAGATCCACAGCGGAGGGCAGAGAGTTGATGTTTCCCATGATGACTGATGGAAGAAAGGGTTTATTTCTTTATTTCCTAGCCTTAAGCTTTGCCTTCACCTTTGCATCAGCACGGCAACCCCGACAACATCTCCTGATGTCCTCTTGAATTGGATGTTGTTGTCCAGATTTGCTCTGCCTCAATGAAAGAAGCTCTTCTCTTGAGTTTACTCTTCTCACAGCAGTAATATCCATCAGTAGTTGAGAAAATATGATAAAGATATGGGGAAAAAAAGTAAAAATTGCTAAAAGTTTTAAAGAGCAGCAGACATTGCTGCTACTTTGTTGAGCTCAGGTTTTAAAACATTTAAATCTGGTTGGTAAAATCCCTAGCGCAGCTATTTTTGAAGTCAGGATTGGGAATTGTAGACCTTTATTTTCAGATGTAAATATTTTTTTAAAGAATGTTCTGGATGAAAATCTGTTTTTACGAAATTAGTAAAAACAAAAAGAGGAAGTCTACAATCTAGTGGATAAAGCTGAATTTTAAAATGAATGTATACTTTTGATTTAAAATCCCCTCTGCAGTTTGAGATCGTGCCTGAGGAAGATCCCCAGAATGCCATTGTGGCCTCCTCTGCTCTTACGTGTCACTCCAATCTTCTGAAAGCCACTGCATCTGTCAGGTAACAAGTTCCCCACAAATGCTGAGATTGATTATGGTTCATTGGTTACATGATTGTTTTCTGTCCTGGGTGTTTATGTTTTTTTATAGATGATATTCTGATTTCTTTTAATATGTCCTTCTTTTAGTTCCAGGTCTGTGGCTCCAATTGTGCCATCAGGAGCTGACTTTTTCGGTTTCTCACACCCCACTATCCAGAATCTTATTCAGAGCTGCCCTGGAGCACGCAAATGTAGCAAGTAAATGCACCCTTCTCTCTCAATAATGATTGATGCACTTTAAACTGTCGCAAAATTGCCTATTATATCTATTTTTAGATTTATTATTATTTTTTAAAAAATATTTCAGCCTTCTTAAAAAAGGCTTTTAGTGTTTTGTGTAGTGTTAGTGTTCTCAAACATAACAGAGCATAACAAAAGTGTAAAAGTAACTTCAGGAGAAAAAAAAAGTGCTGATGTGAAGCACCTCCCGGACAGGGACCAGGAGGAAACTGAACAGATAGTTTAATCACAATAACAAACATAATTTTCAACCTGTTCCTTAAAGTGTTAAACAGTGATTTGGATTCTGAGGTTTTCATCACAGGGTGACATAAAAACCAGAATTTTAAAGTCCCTCCCAAAGGAAAAACAAAGCCAAGTCATGGGTTACATAGTTATGCCATAGAAATGTTCATGCTCAATGAATATGTACTTAACCCATAATTTTTACACTGTAAACTGTGCACTATGAAAAATACCAAAACTATTAGCATCAAAGTAAATTTCTTCGTTGGAGTATGAAATCAAAGAGATAGGGGTTTAGATCATAATCACAGTTAACTGATGTGAATATATTCCTTATGTGCTCTTGGTTCCACTTGAGAAATATATATATTTTTTGGACATTATTTTTGATGTTTTGTCTTTACTCAGCTATCGGTGGATACGTTTTGAGGTGTGTCGCCCTGGAGATGGCCAGGTTCCTCATAGTCTATCAGAGGACGACGCTTCAGTCAACTTTGAGGCATACCAGAGGCACCAGAGGTTCGATGAGAACATCAAGACAGAGCACTCAACAGGTTCTTTTAAATGTATATGTTTTCTATGTCATTGTTAGTTTCATGATTAGTCTGTTAGCGAACCGTGATAAAACCATTTCATATTCAGGAGCAGTAGTGTTGGTTATGTCAAATATGGGGAAAAAAAATAATGCTTAATGCACAATTTGTGAGAATATATTTGTCCATTCCTTTAATAATCATGACTTGTTGGAAACACATCAAAGAACTTGCCCAGTGAGTTACTGAAGAGGCTGAAAAAAAGAGAGGAATTAATAGACTGCAGGAAGTTTTTTTTTTTTTAAAGGCGAATTATATTCAAGTACAGGTAGCACCAGTGTTAGAGTTGATGTGTTTTACCAAGTACAAATATCATATTTCAAATGGACAAAAGTCTTCTTTTATCATTTCTCTTTCTTGAATAGAAACTCATATTTTAGAAGAGAACATTGCAGCTAACACATGACTCCTCAATACTTACATTTTTAATACTTTGGTTTGTGTTTTTCCAAAACAAATTGGAATGTAATTGTTTAAAAAAATTGTAAACTCTGGTCTGTGTAATCTTAATATCCTTTTTTGGCATGCAATGTGCTTTCAGGTGCTTTTTTATGATCATTTTTATTTGATTCAACAGTACTGCACCAATAAGTGTCTGTATGGTTTCAAATTTAAAAGCTGTTAAGAAGTGGAAAGGTTGTCTTAAAATCAAAGTTTCCTCACTGAAGGTGTTTGTTTTTTAGGTGAAGCATGTCCAAGATACAATTTACTTTTACTAGTTTTAACTTCTTATGTGTATCTGTTCTTTACAAAGCTGACACTAGAGAAATCACTATCAGTTCTTATTGTTCACCCCTCTCGTCCTCCCTCAGGACAGACTGCTCAGTCCCCCAGCTCCTCTCATCAGCACCACCTGATCTCGCCCACCATCAAGCTCTCTGCCTCGTACTTCAGCGCCTGATTCCAAAGTTTCTGCTGAGTGTGGATGGAACATGACGGCGATTCTTTTAAACCTTAATTTCCATCAACAGGATTCGGGATTTATTGTCAAATAATTCCTCTATTTCCTCTCTGCTTCAGCCTTTTGAACAACTTAACGGACAGTGACTCAAGTCATGTTTTCTGTATGTCATGACAAGGCAAGTGCTGGATAGCATAACTGTGTGCTAGCATGGTTGATGTTTTAGATTGGATGTGGCTGTTGTTAGTTTTATTATTTCTTTGTAAGAAAATGTGTTTTTTTTTACTGTATGTCTGTGCATGTAAAGGCAAAATAAGTTGATTGATCTATCAATGATTTCTCTTAAGTTCCATTAATTCTACTTTAAAGTTAAGGAATTGATTTCGAATGGAATACACTCACATTTGCTTCATCGTAAAATTGTAATTTATTAGTGCAAAATAAACAAAGAGTTATTTGTTTCGTAAACATGCAATATCCCATTTCTCAGATTTTTGTACATTCAGTTAGTGCAGAAATAAGTGTCAATAGCTGTAACAGAATTGTCATGTTGAATACATTTACATACAGCTTACGAATCTTCAACCAAGACTGCCACCCCTGGCTTTTAATACCACCATAACTACCAGAACAAACTACCAACCTAAGACATCACATAGCACCAGAAGTCAAAATTATTGTATGAAGTCTCTTACCACTCTCATTAATACTGGTAGATAGGAAGATAAAACACTATCGATATCCAGCCACAATGATCACAGCCATTCTGACTGATCTACCAGCTTAACAAAAAAAAGGTACATCACAGCTCTTAGTATGGCAACAAAATATCCCATGCTTGAAACTAGCTACATTCAAAACACTGAAGTGCATGGTTATCAAGTTAGCAGGCACTCTTGTGTCTTTGCCAGGAGAAAAATGTTGAAGTATGCAACTGTTGTTAAAACTTCCCCTGGCCTGAATGGAGGTTGGCCAAAAAAGGAGGTGCAGGTAAAATCTCATCGGCACTGTAAACTGGGCAGGCTTTAAAGTCACACGGCCAGTCTCTCCAAGCATACCGGACAGCAGTAACCACACCTGGGTGTTGACACATGTAGGCAGTTAACTGGACAGTGTTCAGACCCCGGTCTATGATAGGAGCTGGAACCCATTGAGACTGAGGCCCACATGGAACTGGACCCGCAGAGCAACAGATCTTTGTAAATGAAAACAGGCAAAAAGGAATACGACCAAGTCAAAAGCTGAATTTTTATTTAGTAAAAGATTAGATTATTTGAAATACTATCAGAGAACATGTCAAATACTTACACCCGAAGGTCATTTAGGACCTGACAAGGTCAGCCAGTCTTACCTCAAAGATGTCGATAGATGGAGTGACAGAGACTGCCTGGTCATAGGTAATGTTGACAAAATATCCTTCAGACATAACTAGCCGTGGGAAAGGTCCAAGAAAAGACACATCCTTCTCATGATAAGCCACTGCCCTTGCTCCTAATGTCAATCTGTAGGCTACATCTTGCTTATCTCGGGGATGGATCCTGAAACAATAAAACAAGTTAAAAGCCCAAAAGTATTTTGAAGGTAAAACCTGCTCTGGCAACATGCAAACACATTTCTTACGGGCCGTAAGGTGAGGTTTCATCCGGTAAGTCCAGAGCCACCGCCATGAAGGTCCTCTGCATCCGAGCGTTCGGGACTTCGCCGATGTCTGCCGTTTGATGCCAACGGATGTTTGGGTAGCTATCATCTTTGGAGCCTTTTACACACGTGGAGAGCTGCAAACACAAACTGGGTGATACTTCTATACAGCAATTTTAATGCGTGAAACTATTTCTATATTTTATCAAGCAGAGGCAAGGTGGTGGCAAATTAGCCAATACCTGCCAACATGCAACTGAAATGGCACTTGAAAGTTTTTCACAATTGCTAAAACACTAAACTCTATTCTCTAAACCAAATTCTTAGTGGCCTAAAGTAATTTTTCAAATCAAACACTCTTTAGGCCAAACCTTACTCACTGTTCAGGTACTTAAACTCAATCTGCAGAACTCATCTGCTCTTTTTCACGAATCCTTGAACATATTCTCAGTCACTGAAACACATTTTACTCTGCGATACACTTGTGTTGCAAAATTATTAACACTGGCAGTAACATGTGAACACAACTCCATCACAGCTGATATTTTTTACACACAAATCCACATTGATCACACTTGTGGTTAATGATATGAGGACACTTTGAAGCAAGTTAAGAGGGTTTTTTTTTTCCATTACCCGGTCAGGGAGAATGAGGCCTGTGATGTGGATGAAGTCCTGTGGCCTGACCCAGGACAAAGACATTATGCTGTGGCTGTATGACTGTGGCTACTGAAAGCACTCTAGTTTGATTTTACGGTCTAAACTGTAACGGTATTACAGTGATGTTTTATTTATTTATTTTTTGAGTGGCGTGTAATGCTTCCTTTCTTACTTAGGCCCATAGCTCTCTGTGGAGCAAAGGCCTTCTCTTCTCCATCCATCATGGATGCTGTTCTTGGGCCTTCCCCTCTTCCTCCTCCCCTGAGGATTGCAAGTCAGGGTAGCTGATGATTTACGCAAAGTGTGGCCAATCCAGCCTCACTTCCGCCTCTGGATCTGGCTCTCTACTGGCTCCTGTCTCCCTTTCTGCCACAGCTCCTTATTGCTGATTTTGTCCAGCCACTTAATTTAAAATATGCGCCTCAGACAGCTATTTATAAATGTCTGGTTCTTCTGCAACACCTTTTTCGTCATTCCCCACGTCTCCGAACCATACAGTAGTACACTTTTAATGTTGGAGTTGAAGATGCAAACCTTCGTTGATGCTGCTATTTCCCCTTGAGGCCCAGATGTCCTTCAGGATAATAAACGCCGCTTTAGCTTTACCTACCCTGGCAGTGACATCCCTATCTGTGCCACCTTGCTTGTCAGCAATGCTGCCAAGGAAGGTGAAGGAGTAGACTTTTTCGATGGGCCTGACATCTAGGGTGTAATGACTACTCAGTAATGTTTTTAAATCCGATTGACTTGGGCTATGATCTGACAACATTGTTTGGTTTTCAACACAGGATAACTGTTAAGTGATAGCTTTATTGTGATAGAAGAGTCTGAGGTTTTGTGAATGTAGTTAGAATTTTTGGATTTGTGTTGAAGGTTTCAAGAAATGTGTTTTAGCAATTGAGGAAAAACTGTAAGCCAGTTGGTTTTTAACTCACAAGCTAGCAATTATTGAAATGTTTGTGTTGTTATCTTTACTTGACTTTATTATGCCAACCAAGGTACAAATACAAGTTCTAACATACCTGGACAAATCCAAAGGGGAAGTCAGGAGCTGTCTCCCCCCCTGAGCCGTTATGAAATGCCATCCTCCAGTCATCGATCATAGCAGGGAAAGAGCAGTTGTACTGTTCTTGATGATAGTTTGTATTTTTCTCACCTGGGGGTAAAGAAAGGCTTTGTAAGTGCATATACATGTGAATCTGTCAATTTGATAGCTGGGTATTTAGTCTCACCTTGGTACCAGAGGGCTCCTTTAACAGTCATGTTGAGAAGTGGATGAATCATTGCATTCCACAAGATAGAATTGGCTACAGGACTGATGAGAAATAAACAAGTAGGAAGAATGCAATTATTATAAGTTTAACTAAATAACCAAGAACTTTAAGAACTCTACTTCACGTGTTAAAATTAGACCTCTAACATTTTACCATGTTAAGCACACTTTAGGTCAGCAGTGTGTTTTCCCCATATCTTACCCATCATCATCTATGTCCAGTCCACACTCCTGCAATGCCCTGGAAGATGACCAGGCTTCGACCGGTGTTCCTCCCCAGCAGGACTCTACCAGTCCGATGGGGTACTGCAGGTGCTTATACATGTACCTCCCAAAGAGCCAGCACACTGCAGAGAACCCAGCCACAGATCCTGAAAATGCAAGGAGGTCCAAGCTCATACACAAATATGTTATTATATCATGGTTGACATTTCTCTTTAAACATTTTCGTACTGTCCTGTGTTGTAACGGTAACAGACCAGAGCAAAAATGTTCCTACAGTATTTGTAACTTACTCAGTTGTAATTTGATACCTGAAACTACAACTGTGTTCTTAAACAGAAAAATAAAGAAATGAATGAATGAATAAATAAATAGAGAAACATTGAATGAATGAATGAATTTGGGACATACTTTCTGTCGGCACAGACCACGGCAGACCTACTGCAATCAAATCAGCAAGCTCTGTTTTACTTTGTTCCAAAGCTGCTGTAAAAATCCTCACATGAGGATAGTCCTCTGCAAGGGCCAGCTCCTCTGAAGCGTTGAAAACCTGTTCAATAATAAATAAATGAAGAGAAAGGATTCAATGCTGGAAAATAGATAAATCAATATATCAACAGTGTTTTTTTGTTTCTTTTTTGTTATACCTCCAGTGGGCTTCCCTAAAAATGTGCAGTCTTTAAGAAGTAAAAAGTTTGCTCATTGTCTGAGATATATATATATTTTTAAATTCTTTTTAGAATTTTTTTGTTTTGTTGGTGGCTGAGAGAAATGAATGATACAAAAAATAGACAACCTGCAGCAAAGACTACCTGTCTAGATGGAACCTGAACCACTGAAAACTCTGCCTGGATACATATGATGCTCTCAAGGTGAGGAGAGCTGCTGGAAACCCACTTGGTAATTTTAATGACACTGATTATGCTCGGTAAAACTACACGTGTTGCATCAACAAGTACATTGAAATGATTTAAAGGGGTTATATTATTGAGACAGAGGCTGAAATTATATTTTTAATACATTGAATTAAGAAACAATGCTTTTTAAAATCTGAAAAATCATGTAAAGCTATTTAAAAAGGTAACAGAGGAGAGGAAGTATACAGTCTGAAAAAAAATGCATAATACACCCTCTTTAAAGTTCCTGTCTTAAAGGACTAATGTAAGTGAATAATCTCATACAAATGACTGGTTTTCACCCAGCTCTGCCCACCTGGGATATGTTAAAGCACATGTTGCTCTGCCCTCCACACAGCCACACATCTCCAAATAGCACATCCATAAGAACTGCTTTACTGTTCTTCGTGGTCACTGTCACATTGTATGGACCACCAGCTTCAACAGGGTCAAGGGTGACTTTCCATACACCTGTAAGAACATTCATTCAAATAAGTAGGGGAGACACTTTTTACAGTCTTATATATTTCTTGGAATCAATACATCATGTGTAAACAACATGTGTACCAGATGAAAGACCAAGGTCTCAGGTATATATTTCATATTCATGTCGTTTTCATATCTTGTGTCAGTGCAGATTTATAAGCAATCAAATAGAGAGTGTGAACATGTGACGTGTTGCCCCACCATCGGGTAAGTTGTCTCACTACATGGTGTAAGGTGTCACAGTGGATTTTGCAGCTAATAAAACAAGGACAAAATTATTGTTGCTCTCATTTTTTTTCCTTGAAAGTGAACATCAAAGTCAGGCACGGAAAATGTTTAATGTTGACCTAGAAAAGTCCTGCCCTCAGCATCACATCAGGAACTGCACTGCCATGTTCTGTTTTTCTTTTGTAATTCCTGACCATGTCTTCTTACTTTCTCCTCTCCTTAAAACCACTCTTTTTTCTGTAAAAATAAGGTCAAAATTTCAATATGAGAACTGCTGATAAGCAGACTCTCTATGTTAATTCTAATCCCTTTTAAACATGTGACAATTTACCCCAAAATGACACATGTTGCCCCAAACTACCATGTTTGCTAATTCCAGCTCTGGCTTAAAGTTACCTTAAACAGAACAATGACTGAGGTATGACTTCACAATGCTTTAATCTTTCCTCTAATAAGTCCACATGTTTCACTTCTAGGATTTTTGTCTGGAAGAAAAAAATATTAAAATATATAAGGTTAATTTTTTTTACTTTGGGTTGTGCAAAATGGTTAATTGGCGCTCATCTCAGCTCACAATGTACTCTTCTCTTCTCAGACAGGACAATACCACTTTTCAGTTGTGCCCTCTGGTGGCAAAGATAATTGCATTATGACAACTTACCCGTGTGACAACAAGCCCCGGTCTCCCCTATTTGTGGTTTTACACAGACTTCAAGGTTTTGTGATGCTAATCCACAGAAATTAAATTTAAAAAATTAGGTGGGATTAATTAAGCATATCTACCTTCCAACATCTGATTCATAAATTCTGAATTTTCATTATTAGCCTTATTAGCATTAAAAAAAGGATGTTTTGTAGTTTCGAAAAATACAACTGGCAACAAAGTTACCTGGTTACTTTTTCAGGGCCACACAGAACCTGTTATTGTTATGTAACAAAGGCACACACCAAATGTTGTAATCAAGCAACAAACATGCGGAACTGACCTGCTGACACATTTACAGCTGAGGCTTTCTGATTTCTTGGTCCTGACAAGTAGAGTGTAACCTGAGCTCCTTCAGGTCCATAGCCCCACAACACTGCTCTCTCGGGAGATCTCTGCAGCACCATGTGGTCTCCATAATATGAGGCAAAGCGCAGGACATCATCTAGGCACCACACACAACAATGAACCATTACTTTGGACGTTTAATACATACTTACCTTACATGCTTATCATACTGAACATAATACAGATTGAAAATACATAGGAACATTTTTTTCCCCCTCAGTCAATATCTCAAAGTAAAAAAAACTGACATGAAAAATCTGAATGATAATTCGTTCATTAGGTGTACAATTCAGATTGTGTTTGTGTTGTTAACACTGCCCGAGACACTAATACCACACACTTCAATCATAATGCCACACTTATTACCGAGAAAGCCTACTCACCTGAGCCGGTACAAGCAACAACTATCAAAACCACAAACAGCAACAAAGCCATGCCAAGGAAAAGCCCTCCTACATAAACCATAGGAGACCTCTTCGAGTATACCATGTTCTTTTAGTCAATACGCTCTAAAAACTGTACCCATAGGTCTCATTGACATAATCTAACCAGGAAAACAGGTGGCAAGAATAACAAGGTCGAGGAAACCACTAAAACATTTTCCTACGTCATCTAAGGGCGGAGCTGAACTTTCAAAATAAAAGTATCTGTGATTACAATGAAAAACTTTAGTCTTATCTATCTATCTATCTATCTATCTATCTATCTATCTATCTATCTATCTATCTATCTATCTATCTATCTATCTATCTATCTATCTATCTATCTATCTATCTCTTTTACCTAGATCTTGTTTCAACTTACTGTCAAATCAATAAAAGGCCTAAACGGTTAAATAAGAAAAGCTTATAAGTTAAAAAAAAAGGCTATTAATTCTGCAGTTTTGGGCTCTTTACACATGCTTTGGCTCTTGTCTGACTGCTACACTCCACTACCTTGACTGAAATTGCAGATACATATTTAACTGGGAACTTTGTCAAATAAGTGTAAGTTAAAAGTCTTTATTTTTATTTGGATTGGATTACATAATAATTCCATTAAGGGGAAATGGACGTCTAAGGCTTTCATGACGCATTAATGTTGCATGACACTTTGACTCTGATGAAAATTTATAGGCCAATAAAGGTGCTATGGTGACTAAGCTTGCTGGAAAAACACTCATTCATGTCTGTTTCAGTCTCATTTTAGAAGTTAAAGTGGGCTTTGTAAGCAGCAGCTGCTGTGATATCAGGGGGCTGAGAAGAAACTAGACAGTGCACAAAGACTTGACAAGCCATCATTACTGCTGTGGCTTTCTGTAAAACATCTAAGAGTGTCTTCTTCTTATTATTATTAGTTTTAGTACATTTGATTTCTTTTTCACGAGAGTCCACTACAGGCTTCAACAGAGCTGACATAGCTAATTAGATTGTGAGAGTATATACAGTATATTAAAAAGATAGACTGAAAGATATAACAAAAAGTCTCCAGCATATTCTCCATTTGCCACTTTGTATTCTGGGTTAAGCTTGTCTGGGAGTCTTGTTTGACAAACTTTTGAAATAAAGAAACCTGATGACTCCTACATTTAACTCTAGGTTGCATAACATATCAAATTTGGATGAAAAAAAAGGATAGATAGATAAACAAACAAACAAACAATGAGTAATTAAGTAGTCACCTTTCAGGACACTTAGGGTCACCTTACAGAAAAAAAATGACAAATAAAATACACGTCAACACATTCAAAGAAGTTTTAAATCTGGACTCTGCAGCAGAACAACAACAACAATCAGTGAGTGTAGGTCTGTGTAGGGTAGTGGGTTTTTAGGTGGGATTTGAAAGTGGACAATGAGTCAGTGTTCCTAATATCAGGGGGGAGGGGGTACCAAAGGCAGGGGGGGCAGAGCAGCTGAAGGCTCTAGATCTCATGTTGGAATGATAAGGATGGATGACAATAATAGATCTCAAGCTCAATGACATAAGAATCCCACTATTTATAGTCCATGAAAATATACAGGGACTGCTAGCGAATCTTTGAGACAAAATTGTATAATTTCTCAAATCTGGCCCTCAGAAGCCTGAAGCAGTGTGAGCTGAATGCTCACAAAGGCCAAAGTAATTAGCATCTTTACACTAAAACAACAGCATGAAAAATGAAATCAGGTGCAACATTAATTATGCAGCGCTTAAACAGCCAGGTGTTTATTTACCACAGCTTTTCCTGAGTTTGTCTTCTGTAAAGACAAATGAACATGCCATTTTCATTTGACATGCCATTTAACACAGAAACTTCAATAATTATAGAGATAAGTGATGGATTAAAGCGGAAAGATGGGGAAAGCTGTTGGAACTTAAAGTAATCAGAATAATACAATTAGGAAAGCTATTGGATTGCAATCTGATGCTGTACATTGTATAAACAGTTAGTTTGTTGAAAGGGCTTTGAAATAATCCACTTTACATTTATTTAAAGAGGTTAGGTTGATATTCCTGGAGCTTTAAGTGGGCACCCGCTGTGTAAAGTACAAACCGCATCAAAAGCCAGAAGTGATGTTTGGGCATTCAAATCCCTTTTTCATCATACTACATATCTAAGGCAAAGAGTTATATGGCATTTATTCATCCACTGCCTGTGTAAACATCCCTCATTGGATCTTTGTGGGACATAAACAGTGCAGTGTACATATATTTTCCCTCATTTCTCCACTACTGTTCAAACTCTACATACTTGCTGTAAATTTTTGATGCTGAAAAACTCTGTACAACCTGTTTACAGCAACAGCCTCTGCTTAGGGCCCAGCGGCCAGTAGGAGGTATATATGTATATATATTTATTTATATACATATATATATATATATATATATACATATACACACACACACACACACACACACACACACACACACACACACACACACACACACACACACATATATATATATATATATATTTATATATTTATACATATAAATATATTTGCATGTATGAGTGATGCTTCCTGTTTGATCAAATATATAAAATAAATAAAAACATTTTAGTGCTGCTGCTGATGTAGATTCTTACTGCCAAAATGTCAACGCTCCACTACCGTTTTGTGCCTCTTTCTGTGCAATGTGCACTGAGCATCCTCAATGTGTTACATTTTGAGATTAAAATCCATATGTGGCACCCTAAACATCATTCATCAGTGATTCATTGGTATCACTTGTATGGTTGGATTGGTTTTATTAATGTTATTATCTAGGCCCCCCCCCTCGAATATGTAAAGACATGTCATGAATCTTGCATTGACTTACATGCTGCATCTATCAGGTCTGTCCAGGTGGTATTTTTCCTTGGATCAGGCAGGTAGTCAAGGGTCTTGGTAGGTTGTGTGATCAAATTATTATTCCCCCAGGGGGAATTCATTTCACAGTTACAACAAGTTTATGTTGTGTGCACTAAAATATTTCCACTTATTCCCACAAGATCATTATTTTAAAGCTCAAAACATAATGAGCTGGCTTCAACCAGATCATATCTTGTACATACAAGTAACTTGTTAATATAAGTTAACACAATTATGAGTTTACTGTCAAAGCTCTCTGGGGGGGATATGGAAAATCTGACAAAAAACTATCTCAGGTGAGATCTGCTACTAACAGTTTCAACTGAATATAGGAAGGTGACAAATAGTAATTTCATCGAGGGAGAAAATGGATGAGCACAGAAAATATCTCAGTATGAGAGTCTGACTTCAGATACCTTGTACTAAATATATATCTCGCTCAGGTATATCAGAACTCTCTCTGTTTATCTGGTGTGTGGTCCGGTAAAAAAACTGTTGAATAAAGAAATGTTTTCACTGAAATAAACTTGATCTGCATGTCTAAAAAGGCTACATTTCAATGAAACAGAAAAAACTATGATAAACGTCAACAATGACAATCATTAGTTTGCCATGAATTCAACATTTGATCACATTTTTACGAATTAGGCTACCTACTACCGCTCAGGCACGCGCGTCACTAGCAGCCATGGTAACAGAGCGGTGACGCGCGTGCCCGTTACCTTTAAATTCTGAACGTTTCGTATTTTCGAATCACAACAAACTGGACATTTGGCTGGCTTGTACTACTTTGAGAGAGAGATATATTTTTGGCAAAAGCTTCAACTTCGCTTGGATTTTACGAGGATTTTACGACTTCACGAGAAGGAGACATCACCTGAGGACTCCTGCCGATCCTGAACATCGACGATAGATGGCGTCCCGCGGACCCCGACCTGCTGAGTGCCCCCTGACCCCGGTCAGAGGTAAGGCAGCTTTGAAATTTTTATGTTAAAATTCACTAATTTGTCTCAATTTTACCCGTTAAACGATTTTAAGGCGAAGCTATAATCTATCAACCAGGATTTAAGTGTTAAGATTGTCAGAAGTTGTGGGAACAGAGTTGTAAATTTCACTTGACGATATCTTGACCTATAACCATGTTTTAATGTCAGAAATGTTTAAATTTGCACGGGGAAAATGGTCAAACTTATTGACTGAGGTGTTGAGGTGAAAAACTTTTAATTTGTTCATTATGTATGGTGATGTATGGTGTAAAGTCTTCAATTTTCAATGTTAACTGTCGATGTTAAATTTTTAAAGATGGCGCCTCGAACGTTTAACCAAGCCTCAAGTAGGCGGATTGCACATTGGTGCCATGGCCGTGATGGTTAGGTTATTTAATGGCATCCCCCATGCCTGTTTTTAAACTGATAGTTTTGAAGTTTAACCTAGAAAAAGCTCTGTTGCCAAGAAGCAGACATCTTTATTAAGCTGCCCTGTGAAGTTGGTGTAAATGTAATCAATGTGCAACATCTGGACAAATTCCCACATATTTTGGCGTGGGTTTTCATGCAGGGAGCTCAGTGACATGGGGATCTTTTTGGCAAACCCCAACATTTTAGACAGGTTTTATTTCAGACCTCTAATTGATACTCAAAAGTGTCCAAAACATCAAAATATGACAATTGTTTCTCCTTGCTTACCATGTGCTGGAATTAAGTTGAAACTTAAATGTGACTTCTATGTGTAGCTAATCAGCAAAAATCAAGGTTGCTTGATTTCTTTTTGCACTTCAATCGTCAAATCCTGTTTTAAAAACATTTGAAATGGTTTATAAACTTTTTGTAAACTTGGGTTATAAGATAAGTTGTGTTAGAGGTGGGATATTTTCTGAAAGATGATATGACATGTATTTCTCATGGCTGTTCAACTTAATTCATAGATTTAAGAATTATATTGTTAAAATAATGTAAGGTGTGTTTTTAGGGGATTTGCTGGTTCATACTGTACTTTGATGTAGAGTGAGGAGATAAGATCTGGATTTGTGTAGCAGCCACTGTGGGCATCTCTTCAACTTTTGCTCTTATTAACTAAATGCACTGAAAAACAGGCTGTGAAAGAGATCTGTGATAGGTGCAAAAAGCAGGTGTGATGATTAGCGTGGGCTGTTCAGGTGAATCTTGCATGGGTTACTTTTGGTCAGAATTATGGGCCCGTGGATCTGGCTTGAAACAGAAGACCGACCTTCTGCACAGCGATCTGAAACTGTAGATCCTGGTCTCTGTGGTTCACATACAGTGCTGCTGATTTGCAGTCAGAGT